ATGAAAAATTGTTGTTTGTTTTGAATGGCGTTTTCACTGATTTCATTAAGTTTTTTTCAATTATTGCATTAGCAGTGTCAAATTCGATATGTCGATAATCTAGTACTTAGTCCCTCGCTACTTTTCCGTGATTGTATTTATATTGGAACACAATGATCACTTGTATCTCACTGGTTGTGTACTTAACACTGTTTGCGATTATGGTGACGACGCAGGTACAAATTGGATTGATAGCATAATACGTATTTACAATTTTCGTGTTCATCAGAAGAGTCTGTCGACTGCCGGGAGGAATTTGTTATCGCAAAAGACAGAGATATTTGAGAAGTTAAATCCGACGCAAAGTTTCCAACGACTCAAACTTGTTGTCATGTAAGTTTATACATACATTTAATGTTTATACAAATTTGCTATTGGCTATCCCTCTTTTTTTTTGTCTGTTATGATTCTTTTCATGTCATGCGCTTTAAATGCTTTCGTGATTACTGTTTGAATCTGTCGAGCGGGACAACGGTTACATAAGTTTTGATCGAGTGCCAAGGAAAATATTTTTACTCCCAGCTAGAGCTGTAGGTAATGTTGAGATGTGTAAGAAAATATAATTCAAAATTGCTACGTTGATATCAAATGAAACTTAGGGTTGTCATTGAGAAGTTCGAGTTTGTGTGTAATAAACTTTTTAGATGAAATCAAAGAAAAAGGTTTAATCTTCGCGCATATGCATCATTCAATAATCAATTTTAAGAAAAAGTTTTCTCTAATGAGTATTTCCAATTTTGATCAAAAAGAAATGAAAATGCGCAGTTTCGTTTCGCTCAATCTAGATATAAACAGTAAATATTGTTGATTGCACTCAAAGATAACTTTATACTAATTATTTGCATTCCATGGTTTTTATAAATAACTTGCATTCCACAATTTCATAAATTAGTTCGTTAAACGATAGCAAAGTCACCCTGATCTTTTAATCCAGCTTTGCAAGTATGTTGTTGTTCTTATTCACTGGAAAAACATCAAATGGAATTATTATTCCAAAGAAATAAATAAAAAATTTGCTGAGGAATTTGCGTTGCAGGAATAAATATTAGGACAAGCTTCGCGACCGGGGTCAAGATGAATGCTTCATTCGATTGAGCAATATACGGACCTTTAACTAGCACGAATGACGAGTACGTTTGTCTCATTAATGTTACATTTATGTTATTATTTTAAATTATGTCCATTAACAGATAAAGTTTGCTTAGTATGTTATTTTTCCATTTTTACTCAAATGAGAAATTCAATTCTTAAGACCGGCAAAATAAGGATTATGAACAACGAATTTCATGAAAATTTTCTGCTTTTTTACGCAAACTTTCCTTTGTGCACAGCAAATACAATTGCAGCTTAGCATGTCAGTACGATGAAAATTTTCAATGTTTTTTTGATGCTAAAGAGTTAAATCTGCGATGTTTGGTTGTATAAGAACGCAGTTAATGCGGTACGGTTGTTTCTACATTTCCCTCATTTACATATAATGCGTTAAATTTTGAACCAAGTTGATGCTATTTTGGAAGACGTTCATCACGCAGTTCACGATTTAAATATTTAGCTAAAAATGTGCTTGCCATATACATGTATCGCATCTTTACAGAAAATGATTTTTCGTGACTTTGTGTCAATACTGCATGATCTCATTTTATCTTTCGAAAATTTTGCTCACGAGGAGTCATCTGGAAACAATTATGTTGTTTTACCGTTTACTTAACCTAATAGTGTCTGGTATGTTTTTCTTAACTACACTCATTTTGCTCTTCTTTACTCTATAAGAGGCCCAACAAAGAATGCTATAATTCAAGTTGGCGTCAAGTTTCCTCAGGATGTTAATATGATCAACAATTTTGCGTGCCAACTATGTTGAAGATAAGACACGCGACTTATGATCAATTTTCATGCCCATCCAATTACTGATAGAAAATTATAATTAAATAAAATTTGCCTATCTATAAAGAGGGTTTCTTTCGAGCTGTACCAATAAAGCAAATGCTGATCATATTCTCACTTCAGGGGTTACGCATTATTCGAATACCCCAAAATTGTGTTTTATAAATTACATCAAATATATAATATCGCTTATGTTAAAATCCTAGACAGTATTTTAGAGACAATCGTTCCCTGAATCTATGTCACTGAAGTCAGTTTTAGTGTACAATTTCATATGTCATCAACCACGCGACATTTTTATTTCCAGTCGCACTTGACAGATAGATATTTCATCTCTTATAAAATTGCGAACAAGACTGTCTGTGAATAATTGTATGTTATCGACAAATTCTGCATCAGATGACGCCGCTCTGCGTCAACAGTGCAATGAAAAATTTTGGAATTAAACTTCGAACATGACATATCGTGATAGAGATACTTAGCTTTGTGTGAACAGATTACTATCGTTTTATGTTACAAATACCTCGGACTATTCATAACAGTTCTTAGTTTTTAATTACATGTGAAAATTGCAAGTTCTTAATGGCAGGGACTCTTTGTTAATGTAACCAATGAGTGTGGGTAAATAGTTAATGAAATTTATGACTCTTAGCTACTTTTAGTAAACGTGAGAAGTTTTAAACAAGTTCAAGTGCGATGGCTTATTCTATCGCCTCATTGTCTTATACAAATGCACAATACCCTTTAATTGAATTTTTTTATCTTAATCCACTGTTTGCGTTCCCAAGGTACTTTTAGTATTTGCGCAATTACTTTCAATTTATGAATAGAAACGTTGCCACCAAGGAAGAAAATTTTTGCCGACAACGGACTTCGCAGGAAGAATGTATAGTTCACAAAACTCAGGCATTTGTTTTGGTTAGAATTGCAATTTACCACCAACATAACAATTTTATATAAATTGCAACCTATTGCCGAAAAAATTCGTGGCATAATTAACATCACGTGATTAATCCTCGACATGGATATTTTTCTGTATTTGTAAAAGGTCAAACGTTTGCAACTAAGAATTCCTTAGCAATAACCATTTGACCTTTTTTTGAGGAGACACCAAATACTTAAACTTATTTGAGATAATCAAACTTTTCACATATCGAAATGAAGTTAACAAGGTTCGGCAGCGCGTGGCAACTATAAACAAATCTCGAACTTAATTCACTTGAAAGTTTCAATTTTTACTCGAGCTCTTGAAAGTTTCAATTTTTTTTCTTCAGGCAATTGGTTTTCGATAAGTTGTTTTTAGGGTGTAACTTTAAAACATAAAAAACTGAACAACACCCGACCCGCTTTGTTTGCTTGATGCATTTGATATGCCACAATTACAAATGTCAAGGTTATACGTGTATGCGCCGCATCTACTATGTTCCATTTTTTTTAAATGTACTGCTGTATATTATTACTAACTACATCAACTGTATGGTTTAGAAAAGAACGCGCAAAAATATCATCAAATGAATTCAATAATTTCGCTCTTTGACAGCAAAGTGTGTTGACAATAGCAGGCAAAAAAGATTATAATGGCAAACCAAATTTATTTCTTAATTTTTCCCTATATAATTTTTTAAATCATAAAGTATTAATTCTGAAATGTGGGAGAAACGGATCTCTCTTAGAATGGTATGTGTCATTAATTCAATACTTCATATAATGATAGACGCGTTGACAGGTTTATTGTCATTAATATTATTTCAAACGTTCCAATGAAAAACAAATGCAGCTCAATACACTTTAAAACAAGGTTGCGTGAGATCTTTGCGATTAAAGATGGCTGTAATTATGAGTGAAAATTATTGTTCGGAGACTTTATTGTAAGCTGGAACAGTAATTGGCAGTGTATTGTTGTGATTTGTCAATGTTGTAATGCGATGATGTTATCAACTAAGACATTCCTTAAACATTGTACGTCTAAAAGTGTTTTATCTTATCGAGCACATTTTCTGAAGACTTTTGTACGCTCATGATAATTTTTTGAATAGGTTTTGAGTAATCTTAAAACATCACTTGCAGAGATGTCTATCATGTCTATCAGTTTTATCTGCTTAAGCTAAAGAACGCTAAAGAGTGCAATCAGCGCCAATCCTACCACTTAAATAGCTTGCCGAATTCCTTTTAAAAGTCAAAATGTCATCATGTATTAAAAAGAATCAAAATAAATTCTTGTTTCAATACACATAAACGTAATCTGGATTTAAATAATAGAAATTTAGAAATATCGTTCAAAACTATTACAATCCGCCATCCTTCAAAAACAAATATCATTATCAATAATTGAAAGCGACTCCTAATTGCTTCAATTCATTAGACCTTTTATTTGTAAACTGTAATTGAAATTTTTCAATTCTGGGTTTTGCAGCAAGTCGACGTTCACCATCGTGATGAACATTACATATTGAGCGGCTGTGTTGCACTAAGTAGAGTAGACCGTTCTTTTCACAATACTTCGTGTAGTAAAATTGTAGTGACTGATACTCAAATCAGTGTCACAATCCTGTTATCTTGGCCCCTATGAATAAAATGAGCACAGTAATTTTGAAAAACAAAAGAAGTTCAATATTTTAACTCTTCGTTTAAGATAACGAAGTTGAGAAGTTATGCTAACATGACAATGATATAATCTTACTAACATTTTTTACCTTTAAAATGTGATTACAGTTTTAGTTGGGAAGTGTTGAATTTTGACCCTGTCATGTCATTATGTTAGAGTCAGCTGCGTGAATATCATTAATTTTTGGCGTGTTGGAGAAAGCTTTTTTTCATCTGTGCGTCAAAACCGATGCGTTGAGAATTTATGACATCGCGTGATCATATTAATCTTCTTTTTAGGGACTTTTTAACTTAAATACTGACATGCTTTTTTGACAAGTACATTTTTTGATGTTTTTTTAAGAATAGGATTTGTAAAAAGAGGCCTGCATGATTGAATCAAGTATCCTACTTCCAAAAAATAATCACGTAAAGCATGGGAAGCATTTCATTTACAAGAGAGTGTTGATAGATAAAACCACAAACACCGTAAATGCATAAAGCTTATGTATTGTGACCACCATGTCTACAATGCTCGACATTTTATGCCACTAACGGTGATTACAGAGAAAGATAGACTTGACTTTTAAGTGAATGGTTTTTCTATTTCATTCAACAAACTATTCGTTCTTTAGATTTATAATTTATATAGCGTATTGTACTTCATAGAATTTTAAACAAATCATAAATCTTGATCATATTGATAGAGATTTACCCAAAAACCGTTGGGTCTGTTGGTGGGTCACAGACCTCTCCCTAAATAAATCTTTAAAATGGTATTACTTTCATTGCTTTCTTTGTCTTTGTATGTGACAAGTTCCCTTTGAACGAAGTTATAATGAGAAAAGAGGCCTATGACAAATTTTGCGTAGAAATTACCCAATGTCACTCGTTACCGTTGTCGTTAATGGCGTAGTGCTTGTTAGATAGTATTTGTTGAAGAAATGAGGACACCAATCATCTTTTGGCCACTCTTTACCACTTTAAAAGTTAGGAAACGTGAAATTGGTTAAATACATGCATAAAATTGCAAAAGTTCAAAATAAGAATCATTAAAAGAATGCAAATCAAACCTTGACAACCATCAACACACAGGTGTTACCCCCTAGTGTAGCGTCGTTTTTTTTACCTTCGCGGTCCGCAGTTATTCATGCTGTTAATAAAAAATGTACTATTCCTTGTGGGAGCGCTTGTTGAACAAGACAAATGAACCGATCGTATTTTTTTCTAAATAAAAATAATAGTGTATTGCGCCATATTACGGAAAAACATTTCATCAACTTACCCAATATATCTTTTGTTGGGTCAGAGACCTTAGTCACGTGAACAACATTCAGCAAATAAAGTTTGATAAATTTATGAGCTATGTATGTTGCCTGTCAAATGATATATATAAAAAGGCAACAGTCGTTACTCATTAGTTTTCTGGTATTCTTTATGCCAAGAAAAGTGAAAGCTGTCTTGCTTTTGAGGAATATCCACCGATAAACAGTAGAGTAGCCAGAAAGACGTTTTATTCCCGCATTGCAAATATTTTATGTTCAATCACAGTGAGAACAATAGATTTCTAAAAAAAGGAATATTGGTATTTATTTAAAATTTGCATAGCGGGAGTAAGTTTGTGGCTACGCTACTTCCGGTAAAAAAATCACCAATTGTCTTATCTCATTTCACGTGCTGACTGGCTGCGATATCAATGTTTCTGTGGTCACTGAAAAGCGACATTCAATTCAGTGATACTCGAAGAGCAGGGGGTCCATGTGGTAAGCGCTATAAAAAAACAAAGCGCTAGATACTCCACATTTAGACCATCCTTTGCCATTTCAATAAACTATCTGTGAAGCCAGTCATATCAACAATTTCTCATGCAAGCATTTGCTTGAAAAGTAATTTTGTATTGATCAGACATTTGCAAAGCAATGGGTAAAATTTTGTTGAAGCTCAAATTTTTATGTTAAGCAAGTTATCCTTTCAATACCTTTAATGCAATTCTCACATAGTTTTAAAATTTTTCATAAGATAACGATGATGTGGTTGATCAGTTGATTTGTACGCAACGTTCAGACGTTGCGCCATTTTTACTACATTTGTTATTTAACATAATTTGCGCTCGTCACAGATCGCTTCAACAAACAATCCATAGATTGTTTTTGTACGATGTGTTTTAAAGCTACCCTAAAATTGTTTATACTAACATGGGCCAATCTAATTATGTTTATAACATATATCACTTTGGAATATGTCCCATTTTGTACTGCTTTTTATGCCGAAAAACTGCAAAGTTTTAATTACAGAAAAAAGACGTTAATTAGTATTACATTAACTATTATAAAAATATGATTTACAGTTTAATTATATTATATAGTTTTTCAAAGATATTTCTTGCTTTACGTAAGTTATTTTTTCTTTGTTAGCAGCCGTGAGCTGAAATGAAGTTGGCTTTGGGTCTTCTCTTGTTGGTTGTTGTGACAAGATCGCGTAAGTTTTTGAAAAGTTGACTGGGAGAATCAACAAGAAATAGCTCGATGGTAAAAGTTTTACAATTCAAAACTTGCTGATCTCATTCTTAGAACTTCCCAATATTTGCGGTGATGTCATTTGTCACAGATATGCAACATGTAATGACGGTGTATGTGTGTGTAACAATGGTTATTCCGGCAATGGAATTACATGTTTAGGTAAGAATTTATTTATGAATATCAGCACCCAATGTTAACTGCATTGTTGTTGAAAGGAAGAGTTGGCAAACGTTACGCATAAGATGTTATTAAGAAAGTTTACAGATTGTTTTAGAATCTTTAAAAAGAGAACAAACATTCGTTGTTCGATGTCCGCTATTTACTACGGAAAAAGCTGAGAAAGATATTTTATACATTCCCAGAACTCTCTTTAAAGACAAGTAAAATGCGTACCTTTGTCTAATTCATTGCTATATATAATATTTTAAGGAAGCAAAATTTGTGGTAGCTCTCAAGATGACTGTTCTCGAGATGCAACATGTACAGATACAGGACCGGGGAAATATCAATGTACCTGTAATGAAGGTTTCAGTGGCGATGGAAAGTCTTGCTCTGGTAAGTAGAATGTGAACAATCATACAGTTTGTCTTGTTTGCTGAATCTGAATCAGAATGTGATGAAAACATTCTGGTTAACTCTTGGTTTCTTTGGTCAAAAAATTAGTTCTCAATACAGTATACAGGATGTACAAAAGGACATCTTTAGAAATCAACCTGTTGTTATGATTTCTATTGGATGAGTGAAAGATTGTCTGCTTTACGTGCATCAAATGGGCTTAGTATACTGAGTGTATCAAAAATATTGCATCTGTTTGAAGTCACCCGAGTGACCGACTTCTCGAATTTGCACGATTCAGCAGTAATTGACCCTTAAAATGCAAAAGACTGGCGTCGTCAGTTTGTTAAGACTATGGTGGACGATGAAGCCGTCAAAGGCGTACGTAAGACTTAAATGGGGGCTCGAAGGAATGCCTCTTGAAAAAGTTTTTATTTCATATGTCTGCATATTTTTATTGTAAGACTCTATTTATTTCAAGCAGGTTGTATAATAAACTAAAAGTTATACGTTTTTAGAAGCAAAGCTTTCTGTTAGATGTGTCAACATGTGTACTCAATACAATTTTACAAACAACATTTCTTAAAGGGAGATATACTATTTACCAAGCCGAGGATTTGAGCTCGGACTCGAATTTCGGACTTCATAATATGGCAGTGTGGTTTGTTGTTTCTTATTCGAAAAAAAATTTAACGGACTTTCTTTCGGATGATTATGTCCCAATTGCAAATAATGCTCAAAACTTGAAAACGAGGTCTTCGCTTAAGTGATCGCATGTGTTAAACAGTATTTCCTCAGCTCATTATGAACAATCATACTGTGGTCATGGACAGGAATGATTACTTCGACAAAATGGACACCCTTGTTAACGACAGACAAACTTACGAACAACTCAAACGAGACCCAACACCATCACTAGTACGCAAACTTAACAACAAGATCTTCTATATGAGAAAATCTATTATATCTGAACGTATTTACTATCGACTTAGATGTTCAGTACCGCGACCACCCAGACTATACGGACTACCAAAACTTCACAAACCACAAATACCCATGCGACCAATTGTATCATTCTGTGGTTCGCCTACTTACGAACTCTCAAAGTACTTGACTGACATACTGCAACCACTTACAAACAAATCAAAACACAAGCTACAATCCACTGAAACTTTCATTAAAAACTAAGCACTATCCAAATACCGGACAACTACATACTAGTGTCTTTTGATGTGAAATCACTGTTCACCAGTGTTCCACTTAATCTGGCACTTACTTGTACAAAAACCCTCATTACAAACACCACGGACGTACTTCTATTACTGACAAAAGGCATTATGGAGCTACTGGAGCTCTGCCTCACCTCGACTTACTTCCAGTACAAAGGTACACACTACAAACAATTACATGGAACAATTACTGAGCTTCAACGATTATGTGCCGATGGCAATTAACTTTGATGTCTCGCAAACGACATCATGTAAGTGCTTCAAGTCAGATTCATTAATTCTCATAATTACCTTATAACGTGGTGAAACTTCGATCACAATACACTAATATACAAGTTAATTTAGTTCAAGACCGAGTTAAAGTCCGAGAGAAAGTCCATACTTGAGTATAAGGTCGAATCAGAGCTCGATTCCAAGCTCAAGTACGAGCTAGAGTCGTTAGCTCGGTATTTAGGTATCCTCTTATAGAGGTTGCTGTTCACTGTACTAACTTTGCTGGAAGTGATGCAGTTTACAGGAAGCAACTATTTTTGTTGCTATTTGAAAATGGATTCATTGCGCACTCATCTTTATTTTTCTTCATATTTTTTTAAAATCTCAAAATTGGTGTTTTGTAAAACTGGTGGAGACCCGTCTCCCTCAGTTCTCTCCCTGGTGACGCCACTGATTGCAAATTGCAGGCGTGAAATTCTTTTCAATTGGGTGTCAATTGTTGCCAATGGCCTCTTTCTAAAGGTTTCCTTTTTTCAATTGGCCACTGTAAAATTATCATGCCGTAACGTGCAAAAATTCATTGCAGCGTTGCGGCAAACGTTACAAAAATTTGGAAACTTTAAAATTGCAAAGGACTTTGCAATCTTGCGTGCATTTTGTATCACAACGTTTATTGCGAGACAAATTGCGTGGTTTAAATAATATACAGTGTAGCAAGCGTACGCAAATATTATATTATTGCTTTGTTGTATATTTCTGTGTTCGTAGATTTGGACGTAAATTTATTTGTTTGGGTGAAATGTCTGATTTGACTTTAGCTTATAGCATTCGGTTGAATATTTTTTGTTTCTTTTAGTCGTATCAGGAGAGTCAAAGACTGTGTGCGAAAAAGTGGATATAATCTTTGTACTTGATAGATCGGGTAGTATACACCCAAATGACTTTCAGTTGATGCGAGAGTTTGTTATTTCAATGGGAGAAAGACTGAAGGTTGGTGAGCGCAATAGTGCAGGGGAAATAATTGGTCAAGCGGCCATCGTCACATTCAGTGAATATGGAAAAGTGGAGCTAACATTAAAGAGCAGTCAGAGACGAGGGAGGTTTAGGAGTGTTGTAACCAATATGCCTGGACCACGAAGAGGAGGGCGAACTAAAACCCATCGTGGATTGGATGTTGCTGACACTAAGGTAGTTGTGAAATCTGCTGGGTATCGGGAAGATGATCCAAATGTTGTGAAAATTTTCATGGTTATTACGGATGGTAAACAAACAAAAGAGTCTCGTCGTAGAGGATACAAATACGTCAGAGAAGCAATGCAGCCATTCTTCAAACGTGAGAATTTGAATGTGTTTGCTGTGGGTATTGGTTTAGAGGAAAACTCGCCGGCTTATAGACAAGTTAAAGATATGGTTCAAAAGGACGAAAACGCTTTCCTTATGAAAACGTTTGAAGACTTAAATGCCAGAATGATGGAATTGTTGAACACGTTCTGCAATGGTAAATTCATCCTATACTACTGTATATTTATTTCTATCCAATTGAAAGTATATTTTACTCAAATTTACTCTACAACTATTGTTTCTTTTACTTACAATTTCACTTTCAACATTCCATTGATGATTATCAAATGAAGACTTTAGAAAATACTTTTTGTTTTCGTTGTTCAGTACCTAAGATATGTGGTGCATCTGACGATTGTTCTCCTCAAGCAACATGCGCAGATGTTGAATCTGGCAAATATGAATGTACTTGCAACGATGGTTATGTGGGAAATGGAAAATTTTGCACAAGTAAGTTCATATTGTATACATCCAAATTCATGGAATAATCAATATATTACAAAGGGGAATTTCTTTTAATAACTGTGAATATTTCATGTTATCTCTCAATCATCTCGAAAGTAATGAAGGTCAAAAAATTCATGCCTGTTCAGGGATACCGACATTTTTCGTCTTTCAGTTAGCATTAGTTGCCCAATGATAACTTTGACTATGAAATTTCTGGAGCAACTCTTTGGTTCGTTCATAAAAGCTTTTTCAATGTCTCGATTATTGCTGACCTAATACTTGCCGATACCAGAAAGTACCCCCACATAAAAAGTGAGGGGGTTGCTTCAAGCTTCCGACGGCCCTGAAAATTTCTACCATGTCCTAGGCATAACAAATATTTTGAACTTTAACTATTTCAAGCTGTAAATGAAAACTACTCCGTTAATGCTTTCATCTTTGCTTGTAGTTCCCCCCATATGTGGTACTGCTGAAGACGACTGTCATCCTTCTCTTGCCAACTGCACAGACACATCTCCAGGGGCATATAAATGCAAATGTGTGACTGGTTATATTGGAGATGGTAAACAGTGCGCACGTAAGTGACGTTTTAAGTAGCTCATTAGGTTATGGATGCTATAAGTGAGTTGGAATTCACCTGCCCTCCAAGGAGGGAGGAAAAATTGTAGAATGGTTGCGCAAGAAAGGTAGTTGTAATTACGATGTGACCCTTTCAGTCTTTATCTCTTTGACTGTGGAAAATTTAGGGTAATTACCTGGTGTATTGGAAATTGTTGTTTATTGACTATTAGTCCTTAATCTAGTACATATTTTCTATTGTTACAAATCCTTTTATAGGTGACAAGATTTGTGGAACTCCGAGAGACGATTGTCATCAGTTTGCTACGTGCACGGATACTGGTTCTGGCAAATATAATTGTAACTGTATCCTTGGATATTCTGGAAATGGTAAAGAGTGCATAGGTGAGGGCAAAGAGATGTTATTACACTTCTAAACGCATTAGTGTCTTTTTTGAGTGTTCATGGTGTTTTGTCTCATTACGAATCTTTTCCTAATTCCTTGAAGCATTACTGAACATACTCAATAACCAAGTAGTAAAAAGCTAATCGAGTCAAGAGAGAGTGCTGGAAAAAGTTTTTGCGTCAATAAAGCATCATGAATTAATTTACAATTCAGCCAACAGACAAACATTTCTCGTCACATCTTTAGGTGGTCTAGGTCTCCAAGAAAAAGTAACAAAATGGGACTGCTTGGCTATTTTGATTATACTCATGTTGATTTGATTTCTATTTATATGTAGCAATCGCTATTGCGTTCAGAAAAGAAACGTACGATGTCATTGAAGGAGACAAAAAAGCTATTGTCGAAGTAATTGTGGAAACTGGTGAAATCACAACTCCTTTAACTGTTACGTAAGGAGATTATAAATTTTCTTTTTATTGCAGACAAAAGACGATAAAGTTACATTCGTTATCTAAGAATCGAATGTCTTTAGCATGCATCAAAATAATTAAAAGAACCATGGCTCGTCCATAAAGATGAAAGTTAATGAGTAACAATGATGGCCATTTTTGGCTGGAATAATTCCTTCAATGCCCAATCAAATAAGAAAATATTTGTTGAAAATTTAATTTTTGATAATTTTGCGAATGTGTTTCTTACTAGTTTGAATACATTGTATGGTTGGGCTGGTGTATCAGATTTCCCTGCAGTTACAAAGAATATCACCTTTCAACCTGGTCAAACAGGCCCAATAGCCGTACAAATTGATATAAACGATGACGTCCAAGTGGAGTCGACAGAAGCATTTCAAGTTGTATTAAGCAATCCGTCATATAAAGTAGAAGTTGGTAAACCAGCTGCAGTTAACATAATGGATGATGACGGTACAGTGAATTTTTATTCAGAATTTTATTCAAATTAGGCAAATCAAATGTTTGTGTCTCGCAAGGCATGCATCAATCTTATTGGTCAGGATTTAATTTATTTGCTTAGGCATGCATCAATCTTATTGATCAGGATTTAATTTATTTGCTTAGGCATGCATCAATCTTATTGGTCAGGATTTAATTTATTTGCTTAGGCATGCATCAATTTTATTGGTCAGGATTTAATTTATTGGTCAAGCATGCATCAATTCTATTTTTTAGTAATTTTATTGGTCAGCATTACAGTGATTTCTTTTATTTTCTCATCTTTTAATGTAAACATGCTGTGCAAGTAGTTGTTTGAAAAGTTGTGGCTGTTGTTTTGCGACATTGCGAACAGTGAAGACGATAAAATGACATAATAAGCATGTGCTAAAAATAAGATGTACATTTAAATAATTTCTGTTTTACTATAGCTAAGTCGCGTTGCGGGTTTTAATTTTTTACCAGATAACACTCTCAATAGAAATTGCTGTTGTATCTTTACGCTTTGTAATGTTGCTTTTTTGTAGAAGCCGTTGTTGCATTTTCTCAAACTGTTTACGATATCAGAGAAAATGAGACGGCAATTATGGAGCTCAGTTTTACACCTGGATCATCTGCCAGTTTTCCTGTTACGTTGAGGTTGGGCTTCGCTACTCATATTCTACTTGCATTGCGTTTCTTGGAAAACTTTTCAAAAAACGCACGAGTTAGCTACTGTGAGGGAGATTTAATCAGTTGCATTAACTTACCATGTTGAGGACACTATTTTTTGATTGTTGAGGTTGCTTTATTTATTATTTCCTTCTTTAAGAACTTTTTTCAACTCTTTGCTTCGAATTACGTACATATGTTTGTTTATATTCACAAAACATTCGTGTTCCTAAAAAGTAATGTCACTGGTAGTATTTTCTTTTTTATTGTTTATCCCATGAATGTTGAATGACACCTTTTTAGCTAAATTTTGTAACTACGATAAACGTTTTCGAAATTTTTGTTGTTATTTTTGTTTTCGTACCTACATCTAATATTGGTGCTGAGTTGTTAGTTTGCATTTTTGTGAATTTTTAGTTTGACGACAAGTGCAGGTTCTGCTTCTGACCGAGATTTCTTCGGAAAGACCTTTGACGTGACGTTCAATGCAGGCGAAACTGGCCCGAAAAGAGTAGAAATTGATATTGTTGATGACTCTCTCGTAGAGTCAACGGAATCCTTTAATGTATCGATAGTTTCATCATCTTCACCTGCAGTAAGACCTGGATCTTCTTCCAAAGTTAATATTCTCGATAATGACGGTTAGTGACAATCTATTTGGATGCTGACAAAAAAATACAGACTTATCGATTGTGTGCTTTAGGGAATTTTGATGAAATGCCAGGGAATCTATAAATTTTAACAATCACAACTAAATGTTCTCGAAAATAACTAAACGTTTATAACATTAACTGATTAGTGTCTAAATATTACCAAATGTTAATGACAATTACTCATTCTAATGATCGTGACTAAATATTTATGATAATTACTAATTAATAGTGATAATTTCTTTATCTTAATTGAAATGTTGAAATTCGTCACATTGCATCAAAAAAATGCATTACAAAATGCAGCAGTGAACTTCAGTCATCTTCTAGCAGCAGTACAGCGGCAATTTTTATTCATTGCAATATGTATTATAGAAATAAGAATGTCAATATAGCTACTGTGATGTCAACATTTATGGAAAAATATTTTTTTGTAGAAGCTCGGATTGGTTTTACTAAGGAGTTATTTGAAGTAAATGAAAAGTCAGGAGTTGCAAATATTGGGCTCATCTTTCAATCTGGTGAAGTAAATGTTCCAGTTACTGTGAGGTTAGATAGATTTTTGTGACATTTCCAAAGTAACATTTTTCCTACCAGCAACGGAGTTATTTAATTCGTTGTAGTCGTAAATTCATTACATAAGTTCATTATAAAATTGATTATGCAAAACTTTCTTACTGTATCATGTGGACTTTAGATCGTGGAACTACCTTTATGAAAGGTTGTCGTTTGAAGTGGAATTTTATCGTTGCTTCTTGTTTTCTTACCGTATAAGCTCTGTAAACTGTTAAGATGAAAAATTTTCGAAAATGCCTTAAAAATTACATTATCACGTTATACCTTAAGGCTGATTGCAAAGTTTGACATTAAATGACAAAACATCATTTGATGCTGTTGAAACACACATTTCAACACATGCATTTTAGCATACAAGAACCAACGAAAACTCTTCTTTCCATTACATGCAAATGATTGAAACGGTTTACTTCAAAATGCCAATCGCAGTTCTTCAAAAATCATAATATTGAGATTATCCAGTCGTAGTTCTCAAAGACCATACTATTTGAACTATGGGTTTTTTCTTTAAATTTTCACATTTATTTGTGGGAACTTGAATCTTCATTTACAATAACTTTTCGAATATCTCTTGATTTCTTACTGTCCTTCTGTCCATAACTTTTGTAAATTTACAATTGTGAAATTACAAAGATTTTTTGTGCTTGTCTTTCACTTAAGGTTTGTAACCAAGACTGGTACTGCTGGAAGCTCAGACTTTGTCTCTAAAGCCGTCGACGTATTGTTTGAACCAGGCGTGAAACAAAAGACGGTGAAGGTGGATCTTATCAACGACAAACTTTTGGAACCCAGTGAAATCTTTGAAGTGTCACTTGAATCATCATCTGTTGATGCTGTAAAGCTTGGAAAGCCATCTTCTGTTAGAATCATTGACGATGATGGTAAGTACGTGGTTATACCCTTTACTACAGTTACAAGGTGTATATAAAAATTTGAACAATTTATGAAACGTCGCTAAAGTCATCAGCGGGCAAGATTTGCAAATACCTTTAGTAGAATAGTTAGTTTGACTTCCATTGGGTCATCTGACAGTAAAATCTTTGCAAATAGTAAACATTTTATTGTGAAAATTGTGTTATTGAGAAGCACTTTTGAAATAGCTTGCGCACGAAAATTATGCAGCTAAAAAGCAACTGAAAAACATAAGGTTGAATTATGGCACATGTTTTTCAAGCTAACAAAGTTTTAGGAAATTTGGCTATTGCGTACGCGAACGCTTAGCTTTCAAATTGCGGATTATTTTGAGCTTTTCATTTTTAAATTCCATTCTGTTATAAATCTCTTTAATTGTGCGTAAATTTGAGTTTAAATTATCCAAATATGACAAATTGATGAAGGATTTAAGAAAATAATAATTAAAAAGTGAAAACGCAAAATAATCAGCATTTTAGATGTCCATGGCGTTCGTGTACGGTTTTGCCATATTTCCTGAAAGTTTTTAATCCTATGTGTTCCAATTGTTTTTTAGCTTTGCATTTTCTTGTGCAAGCGATATTAAAACTGTTTCTCAGAAACACAATTCCCACTCTGAAAATGAGTGTTATATATTTGCGAAGATTTTACTGTTAGATGAACCATTCGAAGTCCAACTACATGTTCTATCAAAGGTTTTTGCAGATCAGGCGCAGTGGTCTTAGTAGAGACATTTTCCTATCTCTTCAATTTATTTTTCGTACACCTTGTATTTTGAACGCGTTCTTACTTCTATTAATCTTAATATATTCTTCTTTTACAACAGTTGCTTCTATTGGCTTTACCAGCAAATCTTACGATGTTCCGGAGGATAGAAAAGCTATTTTGGAACTTGATTTTCTTGCAGGAGAAGCGACGGAGCCTGTAACTGTCAGGTTACTAAATGATAATCTCTTTTTATATTTATATTTAATAGTGTCAATTTTTGCTGTTATAGCTACATATTACACTGCACAAACCAAAGTATATAAATATTCCAGTTTAAAGCAAGGTAAAAAAAACCAAAGATAATTCTCCAAATGCATCAACCTCTCCGCTTATTTCATATAACCACACGGCTTTAAATTGTTCTGCAGTATTTTCTTTATGCTTTGGGAATGTATATTTTTCTCCAGCGTTTTTTACAAAGCCTACTTTCTTTAACAAAAGAGCATTGCGTAACCTTTTTATCCAGTATATTCTGTGAAGGTGTGTAATATCATGAGAGAAACAATTTGTGTTTGTCAATATGCTTCTTTAGACTTGCTGCCCTGTCTGGAACGGCGGGAAAGAATGATTTTATTAGCAAAGAGATCGACGTAACATTTGAACCTGGACAACAAGGACCCAAAATCATTGAATTTGACTTGATTGATGACAAAATCGTCGAGAGCACGGAATCCTTTCAAGTAGCACTTCTGTCTTCATCAAATAAGAATATCACGCTTCAAGATCCCGCTGTTGTAAACATTTTGGATAACGATGGTACGTTGAGCTTTTAATTAATAATTATGTCAAAGGTCGAATGATGACTTTGAAATAAAGTCCAAAATTTGCAGTTTCAACACGCATCTTATTTAAACATAAATTTTTCGATTGGATATTTTCACGTCCTGAACTTGCTTTTTGATACATTTCATTCAAATATCCGCTGGCCCATACTTGTATTTTTTTAAATACTGCAATTTCGCTGCAGTCTTTAAAAAACTTCACTCGTGCATGTTTACCCGTGTTTGTTCCCTTAACTATACTATTTTACCGGTACAAAAAGCTACCAACACCTTTTTTATTCCTTCTATAGAGGCTTCAGTCAGGTTTGAAAGTGATACTTATGACGTAAAGGAAAATGAAACAGCTTTTGTTGATCTTAAACTTGATGGAGAAATAGCCTATCCAATCACAGTTCAGTACGTAGATTTTCTATCATATTATTTGACTTTATCGGATACTGATTGGAGGTCTCTTTTGTATAGCCTAAGTCAGAGTTTTACAATTTTAGCTTTACGCTGATGATGTGTGCTTCAATGATGAAGTGTTTTTGCTAGTTAAAATAGTTTGGTAGTTATAATATGTTAATGTTATTGAAGTATTTTATTTATTGTTTAGATTGACCACAAGACCAGGAACGGCTGATGAAGAAGATTTTGTGTTAAAAACTGTCAATGTTACATTTGAACCTGGGCAGTCTGGACCAAAACGTGTAAACTTTGACATAATAGACGATAAAATCGTGGAGGATACTGAGTCATTTAGTGTTGTTCTAGCATCTTCTGTTTCTGCAGTGATCGCTAATACATCGGCAACTGTGAACATTCAAGATAATGACGGTAATTTTTGTTGTACACAAAAGTTTTTACTACAAATAACGAAGCTCCTTGGCTCATACACGATGTTAGATGGGTTTTTATTGAATATTGTCAAAAATATACTTTTACGTTATTTTGATAAAGCTAAGTGTAGGTTTGAAATGATAAGTCATTTCACATCATTTTAACGCATATGAAAAATTTGACGAGGCTTATTTTTTTATATACGATAGAAGTCCTCATTGGATTTACGAGTAATGTTTACCGAACGCCGGAGTCTCAGAATGCGTTTATCGACGTTGAATTTATCTCTGGTCGTTCCGATGTTCCTGTTACTGTCAGGTAGAGCATTTCCGTATTTATGTTTTTTTACATTTGACAACATCAATATAGTCTAGGCCTAAGTAGAAAACTAAAAATTCTCTTGTGATGTCATTTTGTTCAATACAAAGACATACGATTTAAAAGGTGTGATTTGAACACATGATGATTATATTTATAGTGTTGAAACAATCCCAGAGTCAGCAGACAACAATGACTTTATTCCAAGACAAATTGATGTTGTGTTTGGACCAGGAGAGACTGGACCCAAGCGAGTTGAAGTTAACATTACCGATGACCCATATGTTGAGTCTAATGAACGGTTTGAGGCTCAAATAACAACGAAGGAAGCTGGCATAAAGATTGGGGAACCGGCATATGTCATTATTGAAGATAACGACGGTAAGCTACATATTTTGATTTCATGAATATTGTACGGTGATGCTGCAGAGTCGTCTTTTCGGCATAAAATTGCTATCAGTGATGGTATAGAAAGCAAAAACTTGGTCATTATTATTGTATTGAAAATGTGTGAAATCAGAATGAAACTATTGATCCTTAAATCAATGACCGAAATAAGAGTTGAGGCCTGGAAACTGTCCTGAAAGATATGTTGTATTCTATAAAAACCTCTCCTTCAAAAAATGATAAGTTTATAACTTGGTTACCTTAATCCTCTTACTGGATCTCTAAAAACTTTTGAAAAAATTTATCTCACATCTCTCTTATTTTATCACGTATTTGAATTTTTATTCAGAATTTTATTCAAATTAGACAAATCAAATGTTTGTGTCTCACAAGGCATGCATCAATCTTATTGGTCAGGATTTAATTTATTTGCTTAGGCATGCAGGAATTTTATTTTTTAGTAATTTTATTGGTCAGCATTACAGTGATTTCTTTTATTTTCTCATCTTTTAATGTAAACCTGCTGTGCAAGTAGTTGTTTGAAAAGTTGTGGCCGTTGTTGTGCGACATTGCGAGCAGTGAAGACGATAAAATGACATAATAAGCATGTGCTAAAAATAAGATGTACATTTAAATAATTTCTGTTTTACTATAGCTAAGTCGCGTTGCGGAATTTAATTTTTTACCAGATAACACTCTCAATAGAAATTGCTGTTGTATCTTTACGCTTTGTAATGTTACTTTTTTGTAGAAGCCGTTGTTGCATTTTCTCAAAGTGTTTACGATATCAGAGAAAATGAGACGGCAGTTATGGAGCTCAGTTTTACACCTGGATCATCTGCCAGTTTTCCTGTTACATTGAGGTTGGGCTTCGCTATTCATATTTTACTTGCATGGCGTTTTTTGGAAACTTTTCGAGAAACACACGAGTTAGCTACTGTGAGGGAGATTTAATCAATTGCATTAACTTACCATGTTGACGACACTATTTTTTGATTATTGAGGTTGCTTTATTTATTATTTCCTTCTTTAAGAACTTTTTGCAACTCTTTGATTCGAACTACGTACATATGTTTGTTTATATTCACAAAACATTCGTGTTCCTAAAAAGTAATGTCACTGGTAGTATTTTCTTTTTTATTGTTTATCTCATGAATGTTGAATGACACCTTTTTAGCTAACTTTTGTAACTACGATAAACGTTTTCGAAATTTTTGTTGTTATTTTTGTTTTCGTACCTACATCTAATATTGGTGCTGAGTTGTTAGTTTGCATTTTTGTCAATTTTTAGTTTGACGACAAGAGCAGGTTCTGCTTCTGACCGAGATTTCTTCGGAAAGACCTTCGACGTGACGTTCAATGCAGGCGAAACTGGCCCGAAAAGAGTAGAAATTGATATTGTTGATGACTCTCTCGTAGAGTCAACGGAATCCTTTAACGTATCGATAGTTTCATCATCTTCACCTGCAGTAAGACCTGGATCTTCTTCCAAAGTTAATATTCTCGATAATGACGGTTAGTGACAATCTATTTGGATGCTGACAAAAAAATGCAGACTTATGGATTGTGTGCTTTAGGCAATTTTGATGAAATGCGAGGGAAACTATAAATTTTAACAATCACAACTAAATGTTCTCGAAAATAACTAAACGTTTATAACATTAACTGATTAGTGTCTAAATATTGCCATATGTTAATGACAATTACTCATTCTAATGATCGTGACTAAATGTTTATGATAATTACTAAACGTTAGTGATAATTTCTTTGTCTTAATTGAAATGTTGAAATTCGTCACATTGCATCGGAAAAATGTATTACAAAATGCAGCATTGAACTTCGGTCATCTTCTAGCAGCAGTACAGCGGCAATTTTTATTCGTTGCAATATGTATTATAGAAATAAGATAGTCAATATAGCTACTGTGATGTCAACATTTATGGAAAAATATTTTTTGTAGAAGCTCGGATTGGTTTTACTAAGGAATTATTTGAAGTAAATGAAAAGTCAGGAGTTGCAAATATTGGACTCATCTTTCAATCTGGTGAAGTAAATGTTCCAGTTACTGTGAGGTTAGATAGACTTTTGTGATATTTCCAAAGTAACAATTTTTCTACCAGCAACGGAGTTATTTAATTCGTTGTAGTCGTAAATTCATTACATAAGTTCATTATAAAATTGATTATGCAAAACGTTCTTGCTGTATCATGTGGAATTTAGATCGTGGAACTACCTTTATAAAAGGTTGTCGTTTGAAGTGGAATTTTATCGTTGCTTCTTGTTTTCTTACCGTATAAGCTCTGTAAACTGTTAAGATGAAAAATTTTCGAAAATGCCTTAAAAATTACATTATCACGTTATACCTTAAGGCTGATTGCAAAGTTTGACATTAAATGACAAAACATCATTTGATGCTGTTGAAACACACATTTCAACACATGCATTTTAGCATACAAGAACCAACGAAAACTCTTCTTTCCATTACATGCAAATGATTGAAACAGTTTACCTCAAAATACCAATCGCAGTTCTTCAAAAATCATAATATTGAGATTATCCAGTCGTAGTTCTCAAAGACCATACTATTTGAACTATGGGTTTTTTCTTTAACTTTTCACATTTATTTGTGGGAACTTTAATATTCATTTACAATAACTTTTCGAATATCTCTTGATTTCTTACTGTCCTTCTGTCCATAACTTTCGTAAAGTTACAATTGTGTAATTACAAAGATTTTTTGTGCATGTCTTTTACTTAAGGTTTGTAACCAAGACTGGTACTGCTGGAAGCTCAGACTTTGTCTCTAAAGCCGTCGACGTATTGTTTGAACCAGGCGTGAAACAAAAGACGGTGAAGGTGGATCTTATCAACGATAAACTTTTGGAACCCAGTGAAATCTTTGAAGTGTCACTTGAATCATCATCTGTTGATGCTGTAAAGCTTGGAAAGCCATCTTCTGTTAGAATCATTGACGATGATGGTAAGTACGTGGTTATACCCTTTACTACAGTTAAAAAGTGTATATAAAAATTTGAACAATTTGTGAAACGTCGCTTAAGTCATCAGCGAACAAGATTTGCAAATACCTTCAGTAGAATAGTTAGTTTGACTTCCATTGGGTCATCTGACAGTAAAATTTTTGCAAATAGTAAACATTTTATTGCGAAAATTGTGTTATTGAGAAGCACTTTTGAAATAGCTTGCGCACGAAAATTATGCAGCTAAAAAGCAACTGAAAAACATAAGGTTGAATTATGACACATGTTTTTCAAGCTAACAAAGTTTTAGGAAATTTGGCCATTGCGTACGCGAACGCTTAGCTTTCAAATTGCGGATTATTTTGAACTTTTCATTTTTAAATTCCATTCTGTTATAAATCTCTTCAATTGTGCGTAAATTTGAGTTTAAATCATCCAAATATGACAAATTGATGAAAGATTTAAGAAAATAATAATTAAAAAGTGAAAACGCAAAATAGTCAGCATTTTAGATGTCCATGGCGTTCGTATACGGTTTTGCCAAATTTCCTGGAAGTTTTTAATCCTATGTGTTCCAATTGTTTTTTAGCTTTGCATTTTCTTGTGTAAGCGATTTTAAAACTGCTTCTCAGAAACACAATTCCCACTCTGAAAATGAGTGTTTTATATTTGCGAAGATTTTACTGTTAGATGAACCATTCGAAGTCCAACTACATGTTCTATCAAACGTTTTTGCAGATCAGGCCCACTGTCTTAGTAGAGACATTTTCCTATCTCTTCAGTTTTTTTTCGTACACCTTGTATTTTGAACGCGTTCTTACTTCTATTAATCTTAATATATTCTTCTTTTACAACAGTTGCTTCTATTGGCTTTACCAGCAAATCTTACGATGTTCCGGAGGATAGAAAAGCTATTTTGGAACTTGATTTTCTTGAAGGAGAAGCGACGGAGCCTGTAACTGTCAGGTTACTAAATGATATACTTTTTTATATTTATATTTAAGAGTGTCAATTTTTGCTGTTATAGCTACATATTACACTGTACAAACCTAAGTATATAAATATTCGAGTTTAAAGCAAGGAAAAAACCAAAGATAATTCTCCAAATGCATCACCCTCTCCGCTTATTTCATATAACCACACGGCTTTAACTTGTTCTGCAGTATTTTCTTTAAGCTTTAGGAATGTATATTTTTCTCCAGCGTTTTTTTACAAAGTCGACTTTCTTTAACAAAAAAGCCTTGCTTAACCATTTTATCCAGTATAATCTGTGAAGGTGTGTTATATCATGAGAAAAACAATTTGTATTTGTCAATATGCTTCTTTAGACTTGCTGCCCTGTCTGGAACGGCGGGAAAGAATGATTTTATTAGCAAAGAGATCGACGTAACATTTGAACCTCGACAACAAGGACCCAAAATCATTGAATTTGATTTGATTGATGACAAAATCGTCGAGAACACGGAATCCTTTCAAGTAGCACTTCTGTCTTCATCAAATAAGAATATCACGCTTCAAGATCCCGCTGTTGTAAACATTTTGGATAACGATGGTACATTGAGCTTTTAATTAATAATTATGTCAAAGGTCGAATGATGACTTTGAAATAAAACTCTAAAATTTGCAGTTTCAACACGCATCTTATTTGAACAGAAATTTTTCTATTGGATATCTTCACGTCCTGAACTTGCTTTTTGATACATTTCATTCAAATATCCGCTGGCCCATACTTGTATTTTTTTAAATACTGCAATTTCGCTGCAGTCTTTAAAAAACTTCACTCGTGCATGTTTACCCATGTTTGTTCCCTTAACTATACTATTTTACCGGTACAAAAAGCTACCAACACCTTTTTTATTCCTTCTATAGAGGCTTCAGTCAGGTTCGAAAGTGATACTTATGACGTAAAGGAAAATGAAACAGCTTTTGTTGATCTTAAACTTGATGGAGAAATAGCCTATCCAATCACAGTTCAGTACGTACATTTTCTATCATATTATTTGACTTTATCGGTTACTGATTGGAGGTCTCCTTTTGTATAGCCTAAGTCAGAGTTTTACAATTTTAGCTTTACGCCTGATGATGTATGCTTCAATGATGAAGTGTTTTTGCTAGTTAAAATAGTTTGGTAGTTATAATATGTTAATGTTATCGAAGTATTTTATTTATTGTTTAGATTGATCACAAGACCAGGAACGGCTGATGAAGAAGATTTTGTGTTAAAAACTGTCAATGTTACATTTGAACCTGGGCAGTCTGGACCAAAACGTGTAAACTTTGACATAATAGACGATAAAGTTGTGGAGGATACTGAGTCATTTAGTGTTGTTCTAGCATCTTCTGTTTCTGCAGTGATCGCTAATACATCGGCAACTGTGAACATTCAAGATAATGACGGTAATTTTTGTTGTAAAGAAAAGTTTTTACTACAAATAACGAAGCTCCTTAGCTCATAAATGATAAGTCATTTCACATATTTTTAACGCATATGGAAAATTTGATGAGGCTTATTTTTTTATATACGATAGAAGTCCTCATTGGATTTACGAGTAATGTTTACCGAACGCCGGAGTCTCAGAATGCGTTTATCGACGTTGAATTTATCTCTGGTCGTTCCGATGTTCCTGTTACTGTCAGGTAGAGCATTTCCGTATTTATGTTTTTTTACATTTGACAACATCAATATAGTCTAGGCCTAAGTAGAAAACTAAAAATTCTCTTGTGATGTCATTTTGTTCAATACGAAGACATACGATTTAAAAGGTGTGATTTGAACACATGATGATTATATTTATAGTGTTGAAACAATCCCAGAGTCAGCAGACAACAATGACTTTATTCCAAGACAAATTGATGTTGTGTTTGGACCAGGAGAGACTGGACCCAAGCGAGTTGAAGTTAACATTACCGATGACCCATATGTTGAGTCTAATGAACGGTTTGAGGCTCAAATAACAACGAAGGAAGCTGGCATAAAGATTGGGGAACCGGCATATGTCATTATTGAAGATAACGACGGTAAGCTGCAGATTTTGATTTCATGGATATTGTACGGTGATGCTGCAGAGTCGTCTTTTCGTCATAAAATTGCTATCAGTGATGATATAGAAAGCAAAAACTTGGTCATTATTATTGTATTGAAAATGTGTGAAACGAGAAGGAAACTATTGATCCTTAAATCAATGACCGAAATAAGAGTTGAGGCCTGGAAACTGTCCTGAAGACATGTTGTATTCTATAAAAAACCTCTCCTTCAAAAAATGATAAGTTTATAACTTGGTTACATTATTCCTCTTACTGGATCTCTAAAAACTTTTGAAAACATTTATCTCACATCTCTCTTATTTTATCACGTATTTACAAGAAATAAATAAAAGTTTCATCATCTCCATTTACAGAGGTGGAGGTTAACTTTGTTCAACGTTCCTACGACGTACAAGAAAACGAAGACGCTGTAGTTGAGATTGAATTGTCTTCTAAGGACATAAGAATTCCTGTTACTGTGAGGTAATTATAATTCATCGAATTAATTTAGCTACGTCCCATATGTCAATCACTTTCTTATGTGTTAACCAAAGACCAGTATATCAATTACTTTCCTATGTATCAACCGTCGTCCTTTATATCATCTTATTTCCCCTGTATCAACAACCTGTCATGTATATTAGTCACGTCTCTGCATCTCAACTATCTGGACTTTAATGTTATAATTCATTTGTGCTTGCTTGTTTGTTAAAAACATGGGTGCTGTCAAAGCATTTGATGGAAAATTTTTATAAAAAAAATGTGGGCGAAAGAATCATGTTGTTTACTACATATATTCAACTTTGAATGTTATACTGAAAGTTTTTCCCTGGAAAATCCACCTAGTATTTTAAAATTTTTGATGCCCCTTCCCGCATGCGGTTAATTATGTAGAAATTGCTAGTGTGTTTTTCTGGATGGTCCGTTGCTCAATGGTGCATTGCAAAAAATCTTAGTAAATGAGACGTTTGACTGGAAAGTAAAGTATGAAAAACGTTGCTCTTTAAGTGTCGTTACGTTAAACTGCCTAATCATTTATTCGTCCAAGATTTTAGATATTTTGATGACTGGAGTGATGACCGTTCTTAATATCGCAAAACCGTGAGCCATTTTTTGGAAAGGGGTGGGCAGGCATTCAGTTGTTGTCTAGTTATGAATCAAAGCACAATTTTCCCGTTTTAGATTAACTACAGAACCATTGACTGCTTCCAGTGGCAAGGATTATTTGCCAAGAACGGTTGACGTAACATTTGAACCAGGAGAGTCTGGTCCTAAGTCAATAACCATTCCGATAATTAACGATGGTCTTGTTGAACCAATCGAAGAATTTAAGGTTGTTATGGTTTCATCATCAGAGCCTGCAGTCAAGCTTGGATCACCGACATCTGTCAATATATATCTTCAGGATGACGATGGTTAGTCTTGAGGGCTGTTACAGAATTTTAAATACAATTCCCGTAGTTTTTAACTACTGTAATATGATGCGTATAATTGGCTAATGTGAAGTGTACGTACTTTACTTTTGCTATTCTGGAAGATCGTTTTACTCCAGTGAAATTTTTGTGAGGTCATTCAACATTGTGCATGTATATGCGTTTTACGAATAGTTTCTACTTTCAGATGCTGTTGTTGGATTTACAAGACGTTCCCAGGACGTACTTGAGAGTGAAAATGTAACAGTCGAGATCGGATTGGCGTCCGGAAACATTTCACATCCAGTGACTATTAGGTAACACTCTAGTTTTAGAAATAGGTTTTATTTCATCAACAATATGGTCGCATTTTTAATGCTATAGTCTCTTTGAGAGTTACCTTCCTTCCATAATTGATAGAAAATTTCACAAATAGTCTATTTAATGTTGCAGTCTAGAAACAGTCCCTGTAACCGCGTCAGGAGATGTAGATTTTGTCACAAAGACAGTCAATGTCACAATCAAACCAGGAGATGTTGCAACACAAAAAATAAATTTCAATATTATTAATGATTTGTTGGTGGAGGGAACTGAGCGTTTTAATGTTTCGATCAAATCTTCCTCGATACCAGCTGTATCATGGACAAATCCCGTCACTATAAATATCTTGGATGATGACGGTATTTGCATATATTTTTATTTGTATTTACTGTGGTACTAGTAACCATAATGTAATATTTGCGCGTAAACTTGTCTTGTACGCAAGCACTTTTACAAGGTTTAAAACGTCATTATAACTCTTGAAAATAATCCTCCATGCATTGCTGATAGGTCTGCTTTTAAATTTGTGTGTCACTTTTGAGATAACAGTCTATAAAAGATTGTGTAAAAACCTAGCACTTTTCTATCGTTTTGTTATATTTTTGTTGGTTATTTGTAGTTTTTTTCCACTTTACGAATGCGATAATAAAGCTATTAACGATGAGGTTATAGGATGATTCAAAATATCGAATATACAAATCATCTTTTTGTCGAGAAAGTCTCTCATAAATTATTTCTCATATTTTTAGAGGTTGTGGTTCAATTCAAGAGAGCTTCATACAGTGTTCGTGAAAACGAGCAACCTGCTGTCGAAATCGAATTATCAAGAGGAGGTGTCACCGAGCCAACAACAATTCAGTAAGAAAACATTTTCTCTGCAACACGTTTGACTCACCTACTTGGCGCTATTTTATTGCTACACAATATATAAAGCCAATCTCAAAGCATTTTCAAAGAATATTTCACCTTAAGGTGGCTCACTACAGACACCCGAGATTCGGGTGTTTCAGGTAGCCTTCACTTACGACAATATTTTCATCAAATACACTCAAACTTTAGAAATATGAAGCGGGAATATTCAAGAATGCCAGTCTAAAGAATAGGATAACTGTTATGGCAACCATGTCTCATTTTCTTTTGCACTTTGATTGTCTAGTTTTAAAAGAATTGACCGTATCTCTTTTTCTGTGAATTCGGTGAATTTTTTTGATTTTTTACGTGACGATTGTTATTCCTTCATGAAACATTATGCTTAACATTGAAGGAATTCTATAAATAATTTTTTAAGATATTGGAAAATTTCGGCTACATGAAAACTTATTGTTCTATTTTGCGTATTTTATATTTTTTTTGTAATAAACATCCACACAAACGTTTAACAAAATTCACCGAAAGAAAAACCAGAAAATCTTCAATAAAGTCAGCTCAGCCAGGCGTCTATGTACAATAATTCACTCGACATGAGCACAATATGCGCATGCGAATTGTCACCAGTCCCCTGCTTAGTAACTGTAGGGAGCCTCCTTAAAGTAGTTATATTGGGACCTTTCTATGGGATGAAAAAAAAACATACAAATAGCAATTTTGTTTAACAAAAATTGATAAATCTAGGACCTGGATTCTTTGTGATTTAAGTAGGAAAAAAGGGAGACGACAGGAATAACACATTTCAGTATGTTTGGAAAAACGCGTTTGCTTTTAAGACGTGCTTTTCACTAATGTATTGACTAAGTTATAAAATCCAATAATATTAACACAAATATCTATTTTTCAAGGTTATCGACAAGCCCTGGGTCTGCTAAGAAGGCTGATTTTGTAGCAAAGACTGTGAATGTAACGTTCTTGCCTGGTGAGAAGGGACCAAAAACTGTCCCATTTGATATCATCGATGATTCTTTGGTGGAGTCAAAAGAATTTTATTACGTGAACTTTGTGTCGTCTTCTTCGCCTGCAGTTAAATTTTCTCAACCTACAGTGATAAACATTGAAGATAACGACGGTATGTTGGTGGCAGGAATTTTAGTGGAAAGTGGGCTTAATTAAGGAGGCGAACGTAAAAAAATTGCTGTTGTTTTTTTTTACAAATTGAAATTTATGGGAAATGTTTTATAGGCACAGTGAAAGCAAAAACAAATTTTTACGCACAGTCTCAATTTCCTCTTTAATTGTTTATTTCTTCACACAGAGGCTGCTATTGGGTTTTCCAAATCTGTCTATGAGATACCTGAAGATAGGAAGGCTGTTGTTAATGTGAAGGTGACAAATGGAAGCTTTGATATTCCTGTCACAGTTCGGTAAGTCGACTCGTTCTTTTGCCCTTGAATGAATTAAGAAGACTCGTAGCGATTTCTATTAGAAAATCCTTAGGTGTAAGGTTAACAGTAAGGCAATGTGATGATAATGTTTTGGTATCATGTTGCTTCACATGTGCTCCAGCCAGCGAGAAAAATGCAGTTATATTGTTCAGATATTCCACACCTTTTTAATGTAGTTGATTGAGGGTTGCTAGCTCTAAGTAGTCTTTAATCTTATTTTAGTAATAAAGTATGAGCAAATTTCAATTTTTAAACAAGAATAAATTGAGTTTAGTTTGATTTTTGCCACAGCTTGTCCGCCTCTCCCATGTCAGCTGAAGCTGGGAAGGATTTCACTCCACGGGAATTAAATGTGACATTTGCTCCCGGTGAAAATGGGCCAAAATTTGTTGAATTCGATATCAATGACGACGACCTTCTCGAAAACCCAGAAGAATTCTCGGTGTCTTTCATCTCGTCATCTGTTCCTTCTGTGAAACTCGGCCAGCCTTCTACAGTCAAAATTTTGGATAATGATGGTAAATTTGAGTTATTTTCATCATGTTACATTTTGCTTAATTCGTGATGGTTTACAAAGTGCATGACTTCAACAATTTTTTTTTTATTTCAGAAAGATTTTTTTAAGTTGTTATGTCTTTTTTACGTTCCCCAAAAATGATCACACAAAGTTTTTTTCCATACCGAAATGAAATGAAATATAAAAAGACGCTTCTTGAATGCTCACTCAAGCTATAGGAAGGTTTTGCAAGTTTGCAAGCACTATTTCTTTAAAATTAAGTTTGATAGTTATTTTATCACAGTTTTGAGTGTGAAGTAAATCAGATGCCGCAAAATATGCGTACGATAAATAAGGTCAGTTGTGTTTTTCTTGATTTTGTGCTTGTTGGTAATTTGCAGAAGTTCTGGTTGAATTTTCAAAACCTTTGTACACTACAAACGAAAATGAAAAGGCAAGAGTGGCTGTACAATTATCATCAGGGAAATCTGATATTCCCGTTAAAGTAAAGTAAGTGCTTGCATGACGTTACGGCCTCGATTAGGTAAATAATGAAATGCACATCAATGTAACAAATATTTTTAACCATGTAAGACATCAAAAACATATCTGTGTGTGATATACAATTGCGTAACGCGTTTATTTTTTAAGCAATCTTTTAGGAAAGAAATATTTTTGACATTTTACGCTAAAATTTTGCAAAACTGCTTAATTTTAGTTAAGATACGAATCTTTTATTCCAAGTGACATGGAACTCCGGGTTTTTATGCACACCTTGACAACGTTCTTCATTAGAAATATTTTTTTATAGCCTACAGACAAGTCCAAATACTGCAGGTCTTTCAGATTACTCTAAAACATCAGTGCCAGTTACATTCTTACCTGGTGAAAGTGGTCCCAAATACGTTGAAATTAATATCACAGACGATGAGTTGTTAGAAGACAAAGAAAAGTTCACTGTATTTTTGACATCAAATGTTCCAAGAGTTTCTGTGGGAAGACCAGCATCTGTTGAGATCATAGACAATGAAGGTATGTAGAGCAGTTTCTCTATTCTCTTACTAGAAAACTTGTGTGCTTGCAGGATTTTTGCTAATAATTATTTTGATGAACAGCTTTCGTGGAAAATAGCTATAATAATTTTCATAATATATCACCACGAAGTATGAACAATTATACGGACTTATTCGGTATACATTCATACAATGTCTTTATTGTCTTGCTGGAGAAAACTTAAAAGAAATTTATTTCACGGCTGTTTCTAATCTACGCTGCATTTACCTTAACTAAAAAAGCAGCAAAAAATATTATGGAGTTTGGCGCCAAATGAAATATATATATTTCATACGTAGCTAGTGTTGCTGTAAAGGCTCATCTAAAGTGGAGGTCCAGAATTCAATGGCATGATATTCTATTTTACCTATACTAATGTGGAGACTTAGATTCAGATATCAGGTTAAAGTCATCGATAATTATGCATCATTAAAAGTATCATATTTGCTATACGTTTGACTTCTTTTGCGCATTCATAGTTCCGAAAATGTGAGCAGATCATTTTACATAAACATGTTTTCCTTTCTCTATCTTCTGTAAATTATTGTGTTTTGTTTTAGTGGCAGCGATTTGTGGCACTCCACAAGATGACTGTCACAGGTATGCCACGTGTGCAGATACCGGACCTGGTGAATATTCCTGTACTTGTAACGATGGCTATACTGGAGATGGAAAGACTTGTTTGGGTGAGAGATCTATTCGCATGCTTGTATAATAGAGCTTCTAGTTTTTAGAATAAACTCTGGCTTGTTGTGCCTTCATTTAAAGTCATTCTGTTATCATAAATGGACTGGCTTCAAACTCAGAGTCTCTAAAATGCATTTCTCTATAGTTTAGAATTTAGAGCTGCTGTCAACTGAGCAAAATAATTGAATGTTTTAGAAAAGAGAAGTCGTATCATATCTAATAACTGGTCCAAAATACTTAAACACCTTTAAATATTATTTTTATATTGCCTTTCGACCTGCTCTAACTTTGACTCTCTCTTGTTGTCATTCATATATCAACCAATTTGATACTATACAGAAGTATGTGTGTGAAACAATGGGCCTGTTTTGACTTCCCAGTACATATACCATGGCACAATAGCATATATTGACTGAAGTTTCTCATAAACGGCGTGCAAATGCGGGTGAGGAGTAAGTTGGTAAAAGATTTATGTTCATAGGAAAATTCATTCCTTGTGGAAAGGCAAAATTTCTAGTTAGACTCGTATCAAACGACAGAGAAAAGAGCAAGAAGTTTTGAAAATGTAATAAAATTGTTAATAGGAATGCAACATACAAAAATTTTAGCTATTTGATAAAGCATTCAGTGAAGTTTTAAAATACAGCGTGACGATCTACGGCAGCTTTTGTTGATTAATTGTTCAATTTTTGTTTCAGCCATTAATAATTGCGAAACTGATCTCAATGATTGTGGTGAAAATGCGTCATGTATTAACATGGGTCCCGGCGTGCACATGTGCTATTGTGATGCAGGTTATACTGGCAGTGGACGAAGTTGCCAAGGTAAAATAATGTAATCAATACAAAAACCTAAGCTTGATTTCGTTGTGGTTACAACTGTTAGAGAAGGAATTGTTTCTGAAATAAAATTTTTGTGGCAACTTTTTAAAACAACTTGCATAATGTGTTATGAATATGTTAATATGTCTATGTCTGTGTAAATTATGATAATTGTATGAAGAACTTATGTATTTTTGGATACTTTGCCGTATCAAAGTACATGCACTTGTTAAGAAGTTTTAGCAAACGTCCATTTTTGTGGATCCCACATTAGTCGTGGCACATTTACCTTTGCATCTCTGAGAAAGATATTAAAAAAAGCTATACGTTACACTTAGATAAATTTACACTTCACCATGTGCACTCACGAAGAAAAAGTCCAAATCGCGAACAAAAAAATATACGGATCTCATGTTTCAATTGAATCAGTGTATTTGAATATGGTTAGACCACCTTAAAATTATTTAACAAATGTAAATGTAATCACTTTACTATAGCTATATTTTTGTAAGAGAAAAATGTAGAAATGCTTTGTGTGCATTTATGAAAACTTCAACTGCATCATTATAATATAGAGAAATATGGAAATTGACAACTTAATATTTTTTTCTAGCTCTTTCACCTGCCAAAGCAAAATGTGCGAAAACAGATCTGATACTTGTACTTGATCGTTCTGGAAGCATTCGCCCCCAGGATTATGAACTCATGAGGGATTTTGTTGTTGAGATTGGCCAAAAATTAAAGATCGGGGAAAGAGATGATGAAGGCAAGGTGATTGGTCAAGGTGCTATTGTCACATTTAGCGAAGAGGGTACATTGCGAATAACTCTTAAAGAAAGTCAAGAACCTGGAAAATTTGTTGAAGTTGCTAAAGAAATGCCCGGACCATATTCTGGCGGTCGTACCAAGACACACAAAGCTCTTAAGGTGGCTAATGAGAAACTGGTTACTGAAGCAGCTGGTTTACGTGTAAATGATCCAAGTGTCCTGAAGGTATTCATGGTGATAACTGATGGAAAACAGACTAAAGAATCAAGGCGAAGAGGTAGGAAAGAGGGACTTCATTATTGCTGCCAAAAATTTCTTTTAATTCATCTTTTCCATTAATCTTTATTATTACTTTAAATTATTTGTTTGGCCTATGATCGACTTGTGAATTATTTTTAACGTGTTTTTGTGCCTATTCCAAAGATTCGTGTTTAACTTTAATAACTGCATTGATTATGATGTCTTGGCAAATAGCTGCAATTTTTTGTTAGAGCTCTTTATAAGAAACATCTTCTTTCCTACTTGGATTAGTTATACCTGTATTAATTCCGTTTATTTTGTATAACAAAGCACGATCACATCTTTTTACAACCTAACACACGTACCTGAAATGATTCCATGCTTGTGGAAGACATAACACACAAATTATTCTATGATAAAGTAGACAAAGTTTCTGCTGTCGCTACTTATAGTTTCACTCAGAGTCTATACTTTTGTTAGTCATCATTAACAGAACAAGTGTAAAGGTAACGGCTACATTTTTGATGGGATATAAGACACTTGAAGTCATGCGTTAACGCACATGTATTTTTATTCTTTAAACTTAGTATAAGTTTTTTGTGAATGCCGACTTCTTCATCCGGTAATCATTACGTCATTTTGAGAAGTCTACGTTGCTTTAGTTGTTTCCTAATTTCCTTATGAAGGTTTCTTGCCTGTAAAGGAAGCAATGATACCATTCCATAACCGTAAATATTTGAATGTGTTCGCGGTTGGCGTTGGTCTGCGTGACGATAAGGCGAAACAAGAAGTTAGAGACATGGTTAGATCACCAGCTAATGCTCTCCTTACCGAAAGTTATGAACAGTTAACTGAAAGTGTCGACGACTTTTTAATCCGCTTCTGTCCAGGTAATTATGACATTATCCTTCACAAGTTACCTCAGTATAGCGATTTAATTTTCGTTCTGACTTTACCAAAATGTTCCCAGGTTTCATCTTTGCAACTTTTTCTCATCTTAAATAATGTTCGAGGTTTTGTTTGATTTTTCTTTACATAGTAGCATGGTCGACTGGGTTTCTTGTATTTTTAGCGCCTCTTCCGGTGAAGTTGCGCACTTTGATTGGCTTAGAAAATCACATTTCAGCAGTGCATTCCTTTTCTGTATGTACTAAAGGACCTCTGGCTTGCTTTGATTATGAATTTGAAAATTTGCTTGATTATGACTTAAAAATAAATATAATCTAATGTGTACAACTACCAACACTTTTGGAGTAAGTAAATTAAGAAAAGTCCGCCATCTCTGTTTTGATTATTATCTTTGCTTACTGTATTGCTTCCCAACAATTAACAAAATGGACTTGCACTGTTTTCTACAGATCAAACATGAAATATTTTTGCTACATGTATATTGTAACTTTCGTGATGACGTAATTTATAGTTCCTTCAACATGTGGCTCAAAGAGAGATGATTGTCATCCTGAACACGCAGTCTGTAAAGACACCACTCCCCCTAATTATGAGTGTACTTGTAAAGATGGATACATTGGCAACGGAAAGAAGTGCGTTGGTAAGTCCTTTTAATTTAATAAAGATATCATTTCTATAGTCTATGGGAAACTTATTTCTGCGAAAGGCTTCGCGCTTCAATCACGAGTGATATTTCTTTGAGTGCATGTTGTTATTACATGAAGTTTTGAAGGGGGCATAACAACTTGTCCAAAATTAAATGTGGTAGAAGCCGATTTGAGTTACGGAAAAACCACTTTTGCGGTAACCAAATTAAGGAGCAAATCTTTCAAGGAAATTTTAGCAGTAAAAGTGGACGAACTACCTCTAAATCTACAAAATTGAGAAAATTTCGTGAATGTATTTTATAGCACAAAGAGTGCTTACTGTGTATGCTGTGAAAAGTAGCCATAAACATTCAAAACAATCGTATACCCAATTTTTAAAGACAATCGTGCATTTTCTAGATAAACATCGCCAAATTGAACATACCATTAAACATTTTTTACTGCGCCAGTAAACTCAAGTTAATACTGCGAAGAAAGGCCGTCCCAAGCTCTTCTTCCCTCCCTTTCCTTTTATTGTCAAAGTCAATGAGTGTGATAGTCATCGTTATTGTTTACAATGTCTTTAGTTTCTCCTAAAAAGGGATCTTGCTAACATGTGTAATATCTGCCAGTCGAATCTTTGAAAGAAAATGCGAATTTTAATCAAATAAATTATTTTCAGCTCAATTCAAATGTGCTACCTTGGCTGACGATTGTCATCCATATCTGGCGTCTTGTACGGACAATGGAAATGGGACTTACAGTTGTAAATGCAAGCCAAATTATTCTGGTGATGGAAAGACTTGTCGAGGTAGAAATGGTGCCATTTTATTACAATTTTATTAATTAACTTTTGCCATGCAAGTTGAAATTAGTTTTGTATGAAGTATACGCAAATGAAAATATAAATGCATTTTTTTCATAAAAAAAAAACTATTTAAAAAATTGTGTGAATTATGATTGGCTATCGTTGCCGATTACAAAGGTCTCATTGCATCATCGGTTGTAATAATCTTATTTACAGAGAAACTGAACAACTTTAAATTTGTCAGTCTATCTAAAAATTCTGGTGTAGGAGAAAGTTAAGAGTGATAGGAGGATTCACCAACAACCTTGTTAATAATGCAATTCAATTTTCTAGCATCCAGCCCACGACTTATGACTTGCAACACTTATAGCTTTTGGCAATATTCTTTCAACTGTCAGGAATGATAGCATTATTAAGATAAACTGATGAATTTTTTGTGTAATTGTCATTATTAGCGTTAGACATATGTGGAACTGACAGAGATGATTGCCATGAGCATGCAACGTGTAGTGACACTGGCCCAGACAGCTACAAGTGCCTCTGTAAAGAAGGTTACCAAGGAGATGGAAAGGAATGCACACGTAGGTCCTAGATTATAAGTAACGAACTGTTCATCGCTTAAATTTATGTGTAATGTGAAAGTGATTGTACAACATTTGTTTTGGTTGGTGCTGTTATAAAGGAATTTCTTATAAAGGCATTGACAAGCTTTTTTTGCTACAACTATTATTGTTATGATAGAGTTTTGAGTTTCTTCTTTGTGGTTGTTTTGTCTTGAGATCAATCGTGTTATAAAATTGTACATAACATACGTCATGCAGCTATTGATAAACTTCACGATGCTCCTTAGGACAATCTTCTTCATCTTGGTGATTGTGAAATAGTTTTGATACATTGAACTACCTGAAAGACATTGTATTTAATTTTTAGTCAAATTCGAAATTTGCTTTTGCTCGTACAGTGTTAATTTATTTGGCAAAATATACATTGCGCTTCTGCTTTCGACCCTTTCTCTTTCAGTATTTATGTATCATGTTTATAAATTCATGTGAAAAGTAAGTCTCTGCTTTGGATGGTAATATACTGGCAAGCACAATTTGCCATCATATAGACTCATCTTAATAGAATGTGTAAATTCGTATTACAAAAGAAGTAACACTGATTGAAAGTGAATCGGGATTTCATCATTTTCAAATTCGTTCTCATAAAGAAATTCATTGAATATACTCTACATAGCATGCAAAAAAATAAAAAATATCAGTAGCTCGATGAGATTACAACTTTCTATTTTGTAGTGTTTTCGAACCTATACTGCGCTTCCTGTTGTCTGTTTTATGGCAGTGCTAATATGTAAGAACAAATAATCTCATTTTTAATTTAGAAGTAAAGATTTGTGGCACACCAAGAGATGATTGCAGTCCTTATGCAACATGTCAAGATACAGGACCTGGAACATATACATGTACATGTGATGAAGGTTACACTGGAGATGGAAAAACTTGTACAGGTTTGTTTTTTGTTATTGCCTTGTCTTCTTTTTAAAACCGTTTATAAAACTCTGCATCTAAAAATCTTCTTACAATTTTTTACCAGAATTAAACATTTGTGGTACACCAAGAGATGATTGCAGTCCTTATGCAACATGTCAAGATACAGGACCGGCAACATATACATGTACTTGTAATGAAGGTTATACAGGAGATGGAAAAACTTGTACAGGTTTGTTTTTGTTATTGCTTTCTCTCTTTTTAAATTTGATTGTAGAACTCAGTGACTAGTTGTGCTCTGTTTTTTGCTTTAGAAATAAAGACTTGTGGCACACCAAGAGATGATTGCAGTACTTATGCAACTTGTCAAGATACAGGACCGGCAACATATACATGTACTTGTAATGAAGGTTACACTGGAGATGGAAAAACTTGTACAGGTTTGTTTTTGTTATTTCTTTCTTTCTTTTTAAGTTTGATTGTAGAACTCAGTAACTAGTTGTGCTCTGTTTTTTTCTTTAGAAATAAAGACATGTGGCACACCAAGAGATGATTGCAGTTCTTTTGCAACTTGTCAAGATACAGGACCTGGAACGTTTACATGTACTTGTAATGAAGGTTACACTGGAGATGGAAAAATTTGTACAGGTTTGTTTTTGTTGTTGCTTTCTCTCTTTTTAAATTTGATTGTAGAACTCAGTAACTATTTGTTCTCTTTTTTTTGCTTTAGAAATAAAGACTTGTGGCACACCAAGAGATGATTGCAGTCCTTATGCAACATGTCAAGATACAGGACCTGGAACATTTACATGTACTTGTAATGAAGGTTACACTGGAGACGGAAAAAATTGTACAGGTTTGTTTTTGTTGTTGCTTTCTCTCTTTTTAAATTTGATTGTAGAACTCAGTAACTAGTTATACTCTTTTTCTACTTTAGAAATAAAGACTTGTGGCACACCAAGAGATGATTGCAGTCCTTATGCAACATGTCAAGATACAGGACCGGCAACATATACATGTACTTGTAACGAAGGTTATACTGGAGATGGAAAAATTTGTACAGGTTTGTTTTTGTTATTGCTTTCTTTCTTTTTAAATTTGATTGTAGAACTCAGTAACTAGTTATACTCTTTTTTTACTTTAGAAATAAAGACTTGTAGCACACCAAGAGATGATTGCAGTCCTTATGCAACTTGTCAAGATACAGGACCGGCAACATATACATGTACTTGTAATGATGGTTATACTGGAGATGGAAAAATTTGTACAGGTTTGTTTTTGTTATTGCTTTCTTTCTTTTTAAATTTGATTGTAGAACTCAGTAACTATTTGTTCTCTTTTTTTTGTTTTAGAAATAAAGACTTGTGGCACACCAAGAGATGATTGCAGTCCTTATGCAACATGTCAAGATACAGGACCTGGAACATTTACATGTACTTGTAATGAAGGTTACACTGGAGACGGAAAAAATTGTACAGGTTTGTTTTTGTTGTTGCTTTCTCTCTTTTTAAATTTGATTGTAGAACTCAGTAACTAGTTATACTCTTTTTTTACTTTAGAAATAAAGACTTGTAGCACACCAAGAGATGATTGCAGTCCTTATGCAACATGTCAAGATACAGGACCGGCAACATATACATGTACTTGTAACGAAGGTTATACTGGAGATGGAAAAATTTGTACAGGTTTGTTTTTGTTATTGCTTTCTTTCTTTTTAAATTTGATTGTAGAACTCAGTAACTATTAGCACTCTTTTTTTGCTTTAGAAATAAAGACTTGTGGAACACCAAGAGATGATTGCAGTCCTTATGCAACATGTCAAGATACAGGACCGGCAACATATACATGTACTTGTAATGAAGGTTATACTGGAGATGGAAAAATTTGTACAGGTTTGTTTTTGTTATTGCTTTCTTTCTTTTTAAATTTGATTGTAGAACTCAGTAACTAGTTATACTCTTTTTTTACTTTAGAAATAAAGACTTGTGGCACACCAAGAGATGATTGCAGTCCTTATGCAACATGTCAAAATACAGGACCTGGAACGTTTACATGTACTTGTAATGAAGGTTACACTGGAGATGGCAAAGTCTGTGAAGGTATCTAAATATGGGTAATATCGTAACTGGAAAAGATTTGCACGATACATTCATTAGTGTTTTAACTCTCAATAAGTTTAGTTGATGCGTATCAGATTTTTGATTTAATTTTAAGTGCTTAAAGCTACTTTGAAATTGTGCTTTACGTAATACATGCACACAAAAATTATAAAATTTGAATTCATACAGTAGGATATTGCAATATTTACAGACAAAAATTGTAGAATGATTCGTTTGAAATGTGCAGGAACAAAGAATCAGAAGAGCTGTATAAAGCAATAACATTTAAAAATATGCAGGTTAACTGCAAAAATTTTTTGGTTGATTCCTAAAAATATACAGGTATTGTTCAGTTGTTGTGACATCAAATTTGTGGTCGTTATAGGTGTCACAGTAACATTTAGACGAAATGGATATACTGTAGTTGAAGGAAAACCTGCCTTACCAGAAATTATTATAAGTGCTGACCGTATTGTTAAACCCATCACAATCACGTAAGTTGAGAGATTTTTTGTTTAAAAAAGTTGTAATTATAAAATATTTAATTATATGTGTAAATATTTTTTGAAATACTCACTCAAATTTTTTTCTTCTTTTATTTATCAATTCTTATCATAAACTTTTTGTTAACAATACATTATCCCGTAAACCGATGCCTCAACCTCCATTACTAAAATACGTTTACATAGTTTTACTTAAAATTTATATAAAATGTTAGACTTAGGACAACTTCCAGAAGTGCAGACCATTCAGATTATACACCTCGGAGAGTGGACATTGTTTTCAATCCTGGCGACGAAGGTCCTAAAGTGATACCTATCAATACAACTGATGATATTCTTGTTGAACCAAATGAAAAGTTTCTTTTGTATTTAAATTCTTCTTCTCCCGGAGTAACAGTTGGTGATCCTGTAAATGTTACTATTAAGGACAACGATAAATCAGGTAAGAGATAGAATAAGATTTAAAATTACTCAGCTCTAACTATCATAAAAACTTCTGCTAATTTTTAGCTGCGTGCAAGCCAAAAACAGATCTCATTTTCGTACTGGATCGATCAGCAAGTATAAGAAGTGAAGATTTCGACAGAATGCGTGAATTTGTTAAAACCATTTCAAAAGATCTCCGAGTTGGTGAAACAAATGATGAAGGAGAAATAATTGGACAGGCTGCCATTGTTACATTTAGTGAAGTGGGTGAAAAAAGGATCACCTTAGCAGAAAGTCAAGACAAAGATAAATTTTATAGTATAGTTGACAGCATGCCCGGACCATTGCGAGGTGGTAGAACAAAAACTCATCATGGATTAGCTCTTGCTGACAAAGAAGTCGCAATTAAAAACGCAGGTTATCGAGAAGATGATGATGATGTAAAGAAAATGATAATGGTTATTACGGATGGTGAACAAACAGTTGAATCACCACGCAGAGGATATGTTCACGTTGGTGATGCTATGAAGCCCTTCTTTAACAGAAAAATGGATGTATTTGCAATTGGTGTTGCTTTAGAGACGGAAGCAGCTGAACAAGAAGTAAGGGACATGGTTCAACGTCCAGAAAATGCTATCATCACATCAAACTTCAATGAATTACTTTCACGAGTTGGAAGCATAATTGCCAAATTTTGTCCTTGTAAGTATTGATCAATTTTTCTTGAACAACAAGTTTAAATATACCTGTTTAAACTTCAATAATGATTATTTTCTACAAATTTTCAAGAATATTTTTTCTTCTATTCATCTAGCAAAAGAGATTTGTGGTACACCAAGAGATGATTGCAGTCTTTATGCAACATGTCAAGATACAGGACCTGACACTTATACATGTAAATGTAATGAAGGTTACACTGGAGACGGAAAAAATTGTACAGGTTTGTTTTTGTTATTGCTTTCTTTAGATTTAAGTTTGATTGTAGAACTCAGTAACTAGTTATACTCTTTTTTTACTTTAGAAATAAAGACTTGTGGCACACCAAGAGATGATTGCAGTCCTTATGCAACATGTCAAGATACAGGACCGGCAACATATACATGTACATGTAATGAAGGTTATACTGGAGATGGAAAAACTTGTACAGGTTTGTTTTTGTTGTTGCTTTCTCTCTTTTTAAATTTGATTGTAGAACTCTGTAACTATTAGCACTCTTTTTTTTGCTTTAGAAATAAAGACTTGTGGAACACCAAGAGATGATTGCAGTCCTTATGCAACATGTCAAGATACAGGACCGGCAACATATACTTGTACATGTAATGAAGGTTATACTGGAGATGGAAAAACTTGTACAGGTTTGATTTTTGTTATTTGCTTTCTTTCTTTTTAACTTTGATTGTAGAACTCAGTAAATAGTTGTGCTCTGTTTTTTTCTTTAGAAATAAAGACTTGTGGCACACCAAGAGATGATTGCAGTCCTTATGCAACATGTCAAAATACAGGACCTGGAACATATACATGTACATGTAATGAAGGTTATACTGGAGATGGAAAAACTTGTACAGGTTTGATTTTTGTTGTTGCTTTCTCTCTTTTTAAATTTGATTGTAGAAATCCGTAACTAGTTGTGCTCTGTTTTTTGCTTTAGAAATAATGACTTGTGGCACACCAAGAGATGATTGCAGTCCTTATGCAACATGTCAAGATACAGGACCGGCAACATATACATGTACTTGTAATGAAGGTTATACTGGAGATGGAAAAACTTGTACAGGTTTGTTTTTGTTATTGCTTTCTTTCTTTTTAAATTTGATTGTAGAACTCAGTGACTATTTGTACTCTTTTTTTGCTTTAGAAATAAAGACTTGTAGCACACCAAGAGATGATTGCAGTCCTTATGCAACATGTCAAGATACAGGACCGGCAACATATACATGTACTTGTAATGAAGGTTATACTGGAGATGGAAAAACTTGTACAGGTTTGTTTTTGTTATTGCTTTCTTTCTTTTTAAATTTGATTGTAGAACTCAGTGACTATTTGTACTCTTTTTTTGCTTTAGAAATAAAGACTTGTGGCACACCAAGAGATGATTGCAGTCCTTATGCAACATGTCAAGATACAGGACCGGCAACACATACATGTACTTGTAATGAAGGTTACACTGGAGATGGAAAAATTTGTACAGGTTTGTTTTTGTTATTGCATTCTTTCATTTTGTATTTGATTTTAGAGCTCAGGAACTCATTGTGCTCTTTTTTTTTGCTTTAGAAATCAAGACTTGTGGTACACCAAGAGATGATTGCAGTCCTTATGCAACTTGTCAGGATACAGGACCTGGAACATATACATGTACTTGTAATGAAGGTTACACTGGAGATGGAAAAACTTGTACAGGTTTGTAATCATTATTGCCTTATTTTGTTTTAAAAGTAGTTGCAGAACACAGTAACTAGTTATGCCCTTTTTTCTCTAGAAATAAAGGCTTGTGGTACACCAAGAGATGATTGCAGTCCTTTTGCTACTTGTCAAAATACCGGCCCTGGAACATTTACATGTACTTGTAATAATGGTTATAGTGGAGATGGGAAATTTTGCCAAGGTTTTTGTGATTTTTTTCTAAAACAGTTATTATTATTTTCTTTTTAATTTATTTTTTTTTAATTTATTTTTAATTTTAGGTGTTTCAGTTACATTTAAACAAACTGGATATGTGGTAGAAGAGGGAAAATCGGCTTATCCCGAGGTTTCTATTAGTTCAAGCAACATTACTGAGCCTATTACGATTACGTAAGTTTAATTATTTTATTCCTTTTAGAGTCATTTTTGCTCTTATGTTTAATAGACCTTACATTGTAAGGACATCATACGTTTATCTTTTTTTATTAAGTTTTGAAACTTACTTAAGCTTGCTAAGTAGTGTTTTGCTTGCTTGTTTGCTATTGATTATAAGCGTTTTCGCCATTGATTATAAGCGTGTTTGCTATAGATCATGTGCTTGTTAGCTATAAATCATATTCCAATTTTCTATAGATTATATGCGTGTTTTCTTCAGAATATATGAGCTTGTTTTAACCGTTGGAGAAATTATGTTTGCGAGGTTATTGAGTGCGTGCCTTAGCATTTTTGACCTTTAGGATTTAAAGCGTAGCTTATGTTGTATTAAGAAAACATATAGGCAGGGAGCTTGCAATTTCAAATGCTTTAAATTAACGTATATTTGGACATATAAATACTTTATCTTGTTCTTGTTTTCTCTGTGCAACAGAACCTTTCAGAATTTCCGCTTTTTTCTGTGATTTATTTTTATACATGTGTTGTTTTGTTTAAAAGGCTTATTATCATTTTGCTTATTAAATATTCGTTTTTGGCATTACGTAATTTTAGGATGATCTTGTCATTAAAAACTATTGCTTACATTGGCTATCTGTGTTGCTCTTTTATGTCTAGTTGCATTAGTTACATAATATTGGAACTTTTAAAATAGTTGTGTTGAGCTTGTTATTATGAAAATTTTAAAATGTTTGTTCTGGGTTTCTTACTTCTGAAAACTTTACAAATTCTAGAGTGACGTCAATTCCCAACAGTGCTCACCATACAGATTATTTACCTCTGACCGTGGACATTGTTTTTAAACCTGGGGATAATACAACAAAAAGAATATTTATTGACACAATTGAAGATGATCTTGTTGAACCAGATGAAGTGTTTCGTCTCTCTATATCTACTTCTTCTCCCGGAGTAACAGTTGGTGATCCTGTAAATGTTACTATTAAGGACAACGATAAATCAGGTAAGAGATAGAATAAGATTTAAAATTACTCAGCTCTAACTATCATAAAAAACCTCTGCTAATTTTTAGCTGCGTGCAAGCCAAAAACAGATCTCATTTTTGTACTGGATCGATCAGCAAGTATAAGAAGTGAAGATTTCGACAGAATGCGTGAATTTGTTAAAACTATTTCAAAAGATCTCCGAGTTGGTGAAACAAATGATGAAGGAGAAATAATTGGACAGGCTGCCATTGTTACATTTAGTGAAGTGGGTGAAAAAAGGATCACCTTAGCAGAAAGTCAAGACAAAGATAAATTTTATAGTATAGTTGACAGCATGCCCGGACCATTGCGAGGTGGCAGAACAAAAACTCATCATGGATTAGCTCTTGCTGACAAAGAAGTCGCAATTAAAAAAGCAGGTTATCGAGAAGATGATGATGATGTAAAGAAAATGATGATGGTTATTACGGATGGTGAACAAACAGTTGAATCACCACGCAGAGGATATGTTTACGTTGGTGATGCTATGAAGCCCTTCTTTAACAGAAAAATGGATGTATTTGCAATTGGTGTTGCTTTAGAGACGGAAGCAGCTGAACAAGAAGTAAGGGACATGGTTCAACGTCCAGAAAATGCTATCATCACATCAAACTTCAATGAATTACTTTCACGAGTTGGAAGCATAATTGCCAAATTTTGTCCTAGTAAGTACTGCCAAATTTATAAATTTAATCACACGAAACTGCGATCTGTTTTATGATGAAAACGTAAACTGTTTTAATGTCACTTATGATCTGCTTTAACTTAAATTCGGGAGTATCGTTTCATGTTCGAAGATGTAAATCGTCCAAGTTAGTAGAGTTCACAGAAGGACTCTTGTTGATGATGTTGACTGACGTTTCGACAACCTTAGCGGTAGTCATCTTGAGAGGTAGTCATAATCATTTTACTCTGAAGATGACTACTGCTAAGATTGTCGCAACGTTATTCAGCATCAACAACAGCAGTCCTTCTCAGGACTTTACTAACCAGGACGATCTACATCTAAAAACCTGTGATGATCTGCTTTGTCATGTTATCTTTTGCTCAAGTATGTGATTTTGCCTGATCTTATAGCAGAAGGGATTTGTGGCACACCAAGAGATGATTGCAGTCCTTATGCGACTTGTAAAGACACTGGATCTGACGCTTTTACATGTACTTGTAATGAAGGTTATACTGGAGATGGAAAAACTTGTACAGGTTTGTTTTTGTTGTTGCTTTCTTTCTTTTTAAATTTGATTGTAAAACTCAGTAACTAGTTGTGCTCTGTTTTTTGCTTTAGAAATAAAGACTTGTGGCACATCAAGAGACGATTGCAGTCCTTATGCAACATGTCAAGATACAGGACCGGCAACATATACATGTACTTGTAATGAAGGTTACACTGGAGATGGAAAAATTTGTACAGGTTTGTTTTTGTTATTGCATTCTTTCATTTTGTATCAGATTTTAGAGCTATTTGATTTTTTGCTTTAGAAATCAAGACTTGTGGTACACCAAGAGATGATTGCAGTCCTTATGCAACTTGTCAGGATACAGGACCTGGAACATATACATGTACATGTAATGAAGGTTATACTGGAGATGGAAAAACTTGTACAGGTTTGTTTTTGTTATTGCTTTCTTTCTGTTTAAATTTGATTGTAGAACTCAGTAACTAGTTGTGATCTGTTTTTTGCTTTAGAAATAAAGACTTGTGGCACATCAAGAGATGATTGCAGTCCTTATGCAACATGTCAAGATACAGGACCTGGAACATATACATGTACATGTAATGAAGGTTATACTGGAGATGGAAAAACCTGCACAGGTTTGTTTTTTGTTATTGCTTTGTTTATGTTTAAATTTGATGGTAGAACTCAGTAACTAGTTGTGATCTGTTTTTTGCTTTAGAAATAAAGACTTGTGGCACACCAAGAGATGATTGCAGTCCTTATGCAACTTGTCAAGATACAGGACCTGGAACATATACATGTACATGTAATGAAGGTTATACTGGAGATGGAAAAACCTGCACAGGTTTGTTTTTTGTTATTGCTTTGTTTATGTTTAAATTTGATTGTAGAACTCAGTAACTAGTTGTGATCTGTTTTTTGCTTTAGAAATAAAGACTTGTGGCACATCAAGAGATGACTGCAGTCCTTATGCAACATGTCAAGATACAGGACCTGGAACATATACATGTACATGTAATGAAGGTTATACTGGAGATGGAAAAACCTGCACAGGTTTGTTTTTTGTTATTGCTTTGTTTATGTTTAAATTTGATGGTAGAACTCAGTAACTAGTTGTGATCTGTTTTTTGCTTTAGAAATAAAGACTTGTGGCACATCAAGAGATGATTGCAGTCCTTATGCAACATGTCAAGATACAGGACCTGGAACATATACATGTATATGTAATGAAGGTTATACTGGAGATGGAAAAACCTGCACAGGTTTGTTTTTTGTTATTGCTTTGTTTATGTTTAAATTTGATGGTAGAACTCAGTAACTAGTTGTGATCTGTTTTTTGCTTTAGAAATAAAGACTTGTGGCACACCAAGAGATGATTGCAGTCCTTATGCAACTTGTCAAGATACAGGACCTGGAACATATACATGTACATGTAATGAAGGTTATACTGGAGATGGAAAAACCTGCACAGGTTTGTTTTTTGTTATTGCTTTGTTTATGTTTAAATTTGATTGTAGAACTCAGTAACTAGTTGTGATCTGTTTTTTGCTTTAGAAATAAAGACTTGTGGCACATCAAGAGATGATTGCAGTCCTTATGCAACATGTCAAGATACAGGACCTGGAACATATACATGTACATGTAATGAAGGTTATACTGGAGATGGAAAAACCTGCACAGGTTTGTTTTTTGTTATTGCTTTGTTTATGTTTAAATTTGATGGTAGAACTCAGTAACTAGTTGTGATCTGTTTTTTGCTTTAGAAATAAAGACTTGTGGCACACCAAGAGATGATTGCAGTCCTTATGCAACTTGTCAAGATACAGGACCTGGAACATATACATGTACATGTAATGAAGGTTATACTGGAGATGGAAAAACCTGCACAGGTTTGTTTTTTGTTATTGCTTTGTTTATGTTTAAATTTGATGGTAGAACTCAGTAACTAGTTGTGCTATGTTTTTTGCTTTAGAAATAAAGACTTGTGGCACACCAAGAGATGATTGCAGTCCTTATGCAACATGTCAAGATACAGGACCTGGAACATATACATGTACTTGTAATGAAGGTTACACTGGAGATGGAAAAACTTGTACAGGTTTGTTTTTTGTTTAATGTTTTCTTTGCTTTGTGTTATTGGTCCATATTTTTTCTGTCCACTATGAATGTATATGATTATCCTACACTTTTGCATATTGCATGTTTTGAAATTTTATTGAACTTATATTATGTTCAAATAATTTTTGTCATTTTCTGTCACCTGTACTTCATTCAGAAAACGATCTTTTTTTACCTAACTTTACTTAAAGAATGTGTGTCTGCCAAGATGATTTGCGAGCGTTTGTTTATGTTTACATCGCTACTTTTTGAGCTTGCGACATACTGAATTCAATTTCGCCTCTACGTCGTTTAATTTATTTGAAAAGTTAGCAGAAAACATTGATTAAAAATTCTATTTCACACTGTTGTTTAAGTTGCATGAACTACAATAAAAAAATCGCCATTTTCTCGCCCCACGAAATGGCTGTCACAGTGTGGTTAACGTTAATGTTTCAAGAGTTGATTATTTCGTAGTTTTTCTTTTATCGTTATGAAATGTCAACATTCGAATGTGTTTTTTTTTTCAAACTGTTTTTTTCACCCAGTTTGTTTATGAAAATGTATATTGAGATTATTGATTTTTTCTTCAAGAAATCAATATGTGCAGTGGAAATAATCACGACTGCCATAAGATGGCCAACTGTCGACCTCTTGCTCCTGGAAATTATTCTTGTACTTGCATTGATGGTTACGAAGGCGATGGAAAAAATTGTAGAGGTTTGATAATTGCATCTTTTCTTCCACTTATGTTTGTCTGCTTCTTGATGAGCTTAATTACTGCTGCTATAAAAACTACATAAAATGCGAAACAAAGCAAGCGACATTTTGTTGTTTCGTCCAAAGTAAATTTTGCGTTGTTCACAATCCACATTAATTAATGTTTTTTTTGCTGTTCTTGTTTAACGGAATTTTGCAATACCTAATATGAGTATTATCCCGTGCGCAAAAGCAAAAATTAAAATCAACATATCTCTTTTTACCGAGAATCACCTCCCTCCATCGCAGAGACTTTAAATTAAAAATGCTCTAATTAGTAATATGTGCTAAACGAAGCAAAATATTTACAATGTGATGTCGTTGAGAATACTGTATGATTGCCGCGTTTCCTGGTGAAATATTATGCCTTTATACAAAAGTCTTTGGGAAGAAGGAGGGGAAAGACTGCTCTACCACTTACTCTGATTGTGCACGTGTTATTTTTAAGATTTTTATTTTGAATGAAGCAATGTTTTATAAACAGATGGGATAGAAACTTCATATGTACACGCCAACCCCGGGCAGCCGAAGCTGATTTCTTCGAGGGGCGTGTATTGAACTGAACTGTAAGTCAAGTACAAAAATATTTGAAACTACGTTCGATAAAGATAATATGAATTCCCAAACTGAACAGCTTAGATTACAATATAATTCACTTAGCAATGTGAGTACCAAGCTTATTTTAAAAGGGAAATGGTTTTGCTTTCTCAAGCTTCTTTTGGAATAGAACTCCAAAGTTTCCTCTAATGTGTGAAAAGTGTTTTTACTAACGATGTAAAAGTCTGCACTTTACCAAGGCTGTTTGAAATGTTTCGTAATTCACAGCTCATCGCCTCCAAAAAGATATACAAAGGTTTTACATATCTGCATAAGCACTTAAGATGATGTACAAAAAACTGTCCCCTTCTCCCCTGGTGATTTTGTTTATTGACATTACTATTTTGTGTCGTTTTATTTGAAATTGTCCAAATCACTCGCATTATTGTTGAAGAATTCTTAGGTAGATGTGGTGAATAATAAGCAAAATTGTACGATTTAACTTTCAAGGTAATGAGATTTTCGGACCAGTGTTATACGAGCTTAAACCGAAGAATCCATCGACTATTGGTGCGGCATGGCGTCTGCCGGATGAGATGATACGATCTGACGTTATAGATTATTTAGTTTGTTATAAAGACATTAATAATGGTGGTGGCCAATGCAAAAACAGCACTCCTCCATCCCCGAATTCACCACTTGTCATGGATTTAACTGATCTTGTTGAGGAAACAACCTATGAAGTTTTTGTAAGAGCAAGAAACGCTTCCGGTTATGGTCCACCATCAAATGCTTTGAATGTCACAACTCCACCTTCACGTAAGTTGGGATTTTTCAGATAAGTTGGGTGGGGTTTTTTCACGTAGCTAAGTTGGGTTTTTTTTCGCGTAAGTTGGGTATTTTTTTCCCATGTAATTTGGGTGTTTTTTTTCAAGGAAGTTGAGTTTTTTCACGTAAGTTGAGTTTTTACGTAAGTTGGGTGCTTTTTTTCGCGTAAGTTGGGTTTTTTTCCGCGTAATTTGGATGTGTTTTCACGTAAGTTTGGTGTTTTTTTTTCACTTAAGTTTGGTGTTTTTTTCACGTACGTTGGGTTTTTTCACGTAGCCAAGTTGGGGTTTTTTCACGTAGCTAAATTGGGTTTTTTCGTGTAAGTTGGGTGGTTTTTTCATATAATTTGGGTGTTTTTTTTTCACGTAAGTTGAGTGGGTTTTTTTCATGTAATTTGAGTTGAGCGTAAGATTGAGATAGAAACTGAAAACTTAGTGCTCTTCTAATTTAACACTTTTGTTAATCTTGCAAACAATAGTTTTAATGAGGAAATAAGGAGGTATGTAATGTCGGAATGCCAATTGTGTTTCATTACAGCCGTTAAACCTTGTGTTACGAAGACGGATACTATCTTCGTTGTGGATAAATCATCTGGTTTAAGTAAAGACGAATTTGAAAAGATTCGCTCTTTCATTTCAAGAGCCGCGAAACGTCTTGGGATTGGAATGAAGAATAAAAACAAGCATCTTCTTGGTCAGGCAGCCATAGTTGCATTTAGCAAGAATGCTGACAAGGTCATTTCTCTCAAAGATAGTGGTATACGTAATAACTTTGCCAAGGCCGTACGTCAAATTAGTTTATCAAATAACAACGAAACCAACACACACCGTGGTTTGGAAGAAGCTTACCGTAATGTTGCAGTGTCAAGTGAAGGACTAAGGAGCTTTGATGATGGTGTTCATAAGACTGTGGTTGTTATCACTCATGGTCATCAAACAAACAATAAAGGTGGTTTTGTTTACGTCGGAGATGCAGCCAAAGCATTCTTCAAGCGTGGCATCGACATTATTGCTATTGGTATTGGTCTTGATAACGACGTTGCAAAAAAGCAGTTGATTGATATGGTCCGAACTCCAGAAAATGCTTTCTTGTTAAATGATGCAAGTGGTTTATCTTTTGTTTTTGACAGAATCCTTCCTCAAATTTGCCCTAGTAAGTGTACTTTTGAACTGTATAGGTAGGTTTCAAAATGCTTTTTGAAACCAAGAAAAGAATGTAGCTAAACAAAGGAGTGATTGCATTTGCTTAGCTATATTTTTAAACAATATTTTGTGGGTTTGCAGTTTGACGAAATTATATAACCTTTATTTCAACTAATATTTGACTGGGTGGCTAGATTGTGGTCCTTGGCAGAGGCTAAGTTTTGATATTTACCAATAAGTTCAAGATTTCTCAAAGTATTTGTTGTAGTTATGACATCAAAAAAACCTAGAAAATCGCAATCAAATTACGCATTTCTTTCCAGAAAATAAGATATGTGGTTCGCCATTTGATGATTGTCACCCAAAAGCCATATGCTTCGACACCAGTGCCGGAAAACATAAATGCATTTGCCGTGATGGATATGCAGGCAATGGAAAAGAATGTTTCAGTAAGTAATTTTGGTCGACCGCCTTTCATTCGAATGCTCTTTCATATGTCTACTGTTCATTCCCAAAACATTCCCAAAAATAGTGATAAATTTTCTTACTCTACCCAAATCCCCATACATCGTTATATACATCATATTGTATAATATAACATTTCATTACTACCCACAAAACCACACTCTTATACATTGCTGTATACATCATACTTTATGATAACGCTTTTCATTATTACACACAAAACTACACTCCTACATCACTATATCAGCCTATATATGCATCATATTACATGTCAGCACATTTTATTATTACAGACAAGACCACAAAGCGATAAATAGTATATGTAATTATATAACGTGGAAAAAATCTTTGCTAGTAAATTTTTCCTGAACTCCACAAATTGACCAGAAGCGCACTTACCATGAAATTAAATATATGGTTAAGGTACATCCTACAACATAACGCGTCCAAGCCTCTCTGTATGACAAAAAACTTGTCGATAAACTTTTAGTTATAGGTTTTGTTTTCTTTTTTTTTCAGAAAAAAATTGTAAATTCGACATCGGTTTCCTTGTCGACTCGTCCTCGAGCATGAAAGATTGCAACTATGATGGTCAAAAGAAATTGATAAATAACATCGCAGAGCAATTCCAAGTTGCATCAAACAAGAGTCATGCCAGTGTAATATTGTATAGCGAAATGGCTGCGATGTACAAAAACTTCAATAGGTTCTATTCGCTGAAAGACTTTCAAATGCTTGTGAAAGAGTTACCGATGATTAGTGGTCCAACTCATTTAGACCAGGCCCTTGATGTCGCTGCCACTAAAATGTTTTCTACCAAAAATGGCATGAGAGAAGAGTCTATACCAAAATTACTATTCGTTCTCACTGATGGCGTGCAGTCCCCCATCTCCATGAAAAAACCTCTGGAAGATGTTGCGGCAACTTTAAAATCACGAAATATTCATATCGTTGTGATAGGGTCCGGGGAAGCTGATAAAATGCAACTATCACCGCTTGTAAAATCAAGCTCGGACTTAATAATGGTGAAGAAATTTGAAGACGCAATTGAGCATATGAAAAAATTTTCAGAACATATGTGCTCAGGTAGGGATGGAATCATTTTCATGAAGGGTTGTCTCTGTTTTGTATCATGATAGAAATTATTTCTTTGATTTTAGCTGACAGATGTTCCCATATGAAATTAGTTGTTCCCGTGAAAATACAAGGTTGTAAAAGCAGTACACCAGTGAAAATCGGTGAGGCGCTAAAGAAATAGTCAGCATTCTTGTGCATCATTGTATATTGGAGTTGTTATTGTTGCAGTATCATATACTATATAGTTCCTTTTTTGATGTCTAAATCAATACCCGTCGCGTATACTCAGAGGAACTTAAATTTTCGCCTTATTTTATTGGGCATAAGACGCAAATGTTTGATATCATGCATGCTGCTGTGCTGAAATGCTATTTCCATAAGCGATGCGTATTACTCTATATTGGCTATAAAGAAGGAATGTTTAGTTATAAACAGGATTGTTCAGCTTATATTGACTATTAACGAACTGACGGATAGAAAGTGGAACACGAGCAAGTTGGTAAATAGTTTAAGTTGGTTGCTTTCTGATTACTTTATCTTGTTTTTAGGTGTCTGTATGGGTAAGTGTGCGACAGGACCTAGCTTTTCCTTAACGGATGAACAAACGTGGAAATTGGACTGTCAAACGTGTAAACCTCGCACTGTTGTTCAGAAGTCTGTTCTGTTAACCTGTCCTGGGAATATAAAACGATCGTTCAAGATAAGAGATGTTACATCTTGTCACTGCGAGAAATGCCCATGGAAAAGGTTGTGAAAAGAATGCTAAAGTGATGTATTTAGAAGAAATGCGACACACAGACTGAAATTAAACTCTGTCTTTGCAAGGGAATATTTAATTTAACATTAGTTTGAATACGTTGTTGTTAAAAAAGGAATTTTTACTATATCATTCATGACAACTATTGGAATATCCTCGAATATACTTTAATATAAAAAGTAATAAAACTAGTGATAATGATGATTTGTATAACTAAAACAATTTGTACTAGGCTACCTGTATACTTATTGTCTGTTATGAAAAAAATCGTGTTTAAAAAAAGCATAATGCCTGATAGTTCGTTTTCACTCAGGCAAATTATACAGATGATCTATTTATGTTCGCAAAGCTAACATTCAAGAAAAAGTATATCGGATGGAGAAATTGTGTTCAGAATAATGCGGAAACTGACGTCACTTCTGTCGTTCTATTACATTGTCCGATACCGTCAAGCCAAACATTACAGCATTATAAGGAAAATGAATGTGATTTATATCAATGTACTTGTAGAAAGAGTTGATGAATCCCGGTATTTCTGTCTCCCATTATCATCACTCCTTTACAAACCGGAAAACTGTTTGGATCTGTTTAATAGGTATTGGAAGAGGGAGAGCAAAGATGTTTCGTAGTAATATCGCTTTGGAACCAATGACTTCAGTGTCACGTTTTTATTCAAATGAAAATCTAAAAAGATTGAAAATCTACCATCCAAAACTACCTAAACGCAAACTCAAGTTATTATAAGCACATTCCTTCGTATTATAAGGCAGGTATTGCGGCGAACAGCTTTTATTGAATTCGGTCTATGTTTTGTGTGTCATTCCGAAATAATTGTTATTGGGATTCTTATGATTGGTTGCTCAATTAATTTCGGTTCCGGCACAGGTCAATAACTCAATGTAGTTGAATAGAAGCCTGTTTATTAGTGTTTAACTCAATTACTATAATAACTCGTCCGATCGAGCGTATTTCCGTAGTTAAACTGTTAACGTTTGTATAACAGTCTAGTGTCTTGGATTTGATTTCAAGCATATTTTGTGATCAGCTGCTCTTATGGCTGGTGTTATTTTGGAAACGACATCAAATAAAAAGTTAATAGGGTTTGCTGTTGTCCTCCTGGGAGTACAGCTGTTGTTCTTTGTGATTGGTGGTACATTGGGTAAGTATTCATACATGTGACAATTTGAAAGTTATTTTAGGTAAGAAATCTTTTCAATCTTAAAGATGAAGTCAAATATCGTTTTGACCCTATATCAATCTATCACATCTGGGACTAAAATCTTCAATTTTCATCAAGCTGTTATGAACATGAATATTAATACGTTAATAATATATTTCATTGTGGTTTATATTTACAAGTAGATGTCTGTAACCAGTATCGTGCTGAAAGTCAGTGGGGATTCTGCTAACTGATTATACCCGTGTTATGTATTGTTTGTAGCATTTTACGACATGAAATCATCTACCGCAAGCGTTGAATCGAATTTGTCCATAGTGATAAATATATTATTGAGCAATTTGCGTAAGGTTTCTCTGTCTTTAATATACATATTGATGCACTCATCCGTAAAACATAAGCATATCACTGATGACTGCAATTGCTGACTATATTGACCGACCAGGCTGTTGTCAAATCATTTTTCATAACTACATATCTGTAACCAGTTGAGTAGGTGTCACTTCATGCTTGGAGGTAAAGAAATAAAAAAGTTTCATGATTAATCCTCACTCATTGCTTGCAGCAATATGAATACGAATGTAAAGCATAAAGCTTTCTTATGCTATGTCGAATTGTTTGTTTTCTTCTAGGATAAATAAAGTAAATTTAAGTTAGAGCTCAGTATCTAAACATTCCTCTTGGATAATGAAAGCCAACTATACTTTACTTCACATTAGTGTTATTTGTTTTTAGCACCTCATCCAACCAATGCCATGGTTCATATGGCTTGGCCTTGTCTTGACCCCAGTAGAGGAAAAACTGACAAATGGTTTGGACATAATGATGATGATTGTGTACAGCAAGATTTGTCAAAAAATGTGCCAGGCTTGACACCTGATCAGATTGTCTTCTCTGTTCTTATACCTCACAGTGGCTTAGACATGTCTAGATGGCATCAGTTCATTGTTGGAGTTATATCACTTGAAGTTGATGATACTCACTTGCCTCGTTAGTATACATGGCTGTTTGTATGATACTGTATATGTGTTTAGATTGGGACATTATATAATCTTAGCAACATGTCCATGCCAATTGTATATCATGAGGATTTTATCCACTGTGTTTATATGATCTGTTATGGCATCTTTATGATTTCTTTTTCAAAGGCAGACACTGCAAAAAAATGGTCGCTCTTCTTACAATATGGGACTAAATTTTGTATTGTCTTTTTAATGTAGAAAAACACAGAATTTTTTTCAAACTGACTTTTTCCATCATATATCACTTTCTTTACCAACTTTTTACATATTTCACAAAAGCTTGGGTTATCCCCCCTTACCCCTAATGTGCACCGCAAATAACCCATTATTTGTTATGTATTAACTTAGGATTGGAAACGAACTTTTAAGTATGCATGTAGATGTAAGAATATTGTCAATAGGAATTGAATATTTAACTATTGCATTGCATGAAAATATCATTGATTGGTAATTTATGCATAACCAGGAGGCCTAAATCCAGTTGTAACCATGGATATTCGACTTGGGGCTAAGGATACACATCATAATTCATGGAAGGAACTGGCACGATCTACAGAAAGGAGGGAACATCATTGTAAAAAAGTAGGCACTTTAATTATATTAATCATTTTATGCATATGTATTAGTAATAACTGACGAAGTAAGTCAAAAAATTGCCAAACTAAAACACCAAAAAAACGTCAAAAACTTGTACAACGAATATAAATAAGAGACTTTGCGCCGTTCATGGACTATTTAACCTTGTTTATGGCTTAACATTATTGACCTTGACATTTCTGTGCGTCTGGGATTGCGATTAGTATACTTGTTCTAGGATATTTTTTGAAGGGAGAAGTGTTAATCAGAAGCATCACACTAATGCCTTGATGCAGTATTTGACAAAAACTATTATTTTCCATGTTTTAAGTTCGTCAATTTTACCTTTTTGCCTCTTTGGAGGTCGATACTGAAGGAATATTCACCGGACTGCACAAAGTGCCATATATTATAAAACAATAATTTTAATATTTTTACTGAATCCTGGACGTAGGAACGAATTTCACTTGTTTTTTATTTTTTTGGGGCTTAAGTCGGCGAGTGTACGGACAGACTATTGGGGCAGCCCGTATTCTTTCTGTAGCTTTCAAAATTTATTCTAGAGTCCTGTATAATTGCAGCACTTGAACTTCATTATAATACACATGGATGCAACAAGCAAGTATAATATAATCCATTTATTACACAAAACGAGGAATTGAACTATTTTAACCAGAACAATTGGTGGTGCTCGTTGCATGTTACGTATTCTAGTACAATGTCAGACTTGTCAGTAAGAATAAGACGATTTGTCTGAGTTTTGTGCGTATGTATTATGGTGAAGACTCTTTTACTCCACAAATGTACGTTATTATTCTCTGATGAGTTAAGAATAGGATTATCAGTGGTACTCTTGGATCTGTGTAAAGAAGTTTATGAGCTTTACTAAACATTGACAAAGACAGACGCGTTCATGTCGCAAATAGTGTTGATTCATGTCATATTCATAATTAGGGTTAAGATTCATTTGTTAACGGTCTTCACTAAATCTGAAAGCATTGATCATTCTTGGCAATTGAAATCAATTTCTACTTCGTTCTTGGAATTCCTGTAATCTAAATTGCATAGGTCAGGAAAAGTTACATGAGCGAATAAGGATGTATTAGATTTTGGCTATGTTCACCTATAATTTTAAGGTGGGAGGGGGGTGTTAAGCCCTTCCACTACAAAATTTAGGAGGGCTAAAGCCCCACAGTTCTCCCACTCTTCAACATTGTACGATTCATTGTATGATTCCGGGATTTGTTTTCTTTATTTTTTGTTTTAAAATTTTACTTTTGTTCTTTTTAATTCAATTAATTTTACAATAATATAATTTAGGGTATTCTTGCTTTGTGTATTGCGAACAAAGAAATAATGAACAAAAATATTCTGTTTTGATTGATTTTAAATTAAATTATCTTTAGAACGATGATGGCTTGGACTGTGAGGATATGCATGGTTTCGAACTTGGCAGTGTTCATTACGATCATTACCTTGTAAATATTCGGTTGCCTTTTGGTAAAGGTTATAATGAAGATTTTGGTCAGTTGAAATCTATGACCGTTGTGGTACGTTTCTATTTTTTTACATTTTTTGTGCTGCATCACTCACAATCGTAAATTATTTTTTAGGAAATTCACCAAAACGGTGGCTTTACAAAAATGTGGTTTGGCTTAAAAACCATCCTAGCACCACTACTCATATTTACTGTCGTGTGGTTTCGAAAGAGAATCAAGCGATTGCCAAGAACTCCTTATCTATTTGAGACGTACGCTTTTCTTTGCAGGCTGAACATCATAGTCTATGCTTTCATTGTAGCGAACATACTTTTCTTAGCAAGTTTAGCATTTTCTTATCATGTATGGAAAAGGTTTTTCTCAACTTTTGAAAGGGGATATTTTGTTCATTTGTTATTGGTACTACATCTAAAGTCCAAAATGATAGCCAAGCTATCAGTTTGCCTTTCAAATGGACTGTTAACGCTTTATTAAGTATCAAAGCGGGCATAAGAGAAGTGGTCGATAGGATAAGTTTAAAAACAACAATTGGCTGTTGGTAAAAACACTAATATTCACGGACTTGTCTTTTCTATAGGAGCATATTTTGGCTTGGAGTATCGATTGCTTTTCTTGATTGTAAGTACCGTGTTCTCTTTATTAAAATTTTAACTGAATTGTTATTTAACATGCCAAAATAAGAATTTTGATATCTTAAATATATTGTTCTTCCGCAAGGTTTCATCTCCTGGAAATATTCAGTTTACTATATTTCATTGTAGTTCCCTTTGAATGGTTTACGTTATGGATAAATATGCCGTTCATGTTAGTCATCAGTGACATTCGTCAAGGGATATTTTATGCGACATTGCTTACTTTCTGGCTCATCTTTGCTGGAGAGCATATAATGGTAGCTTCATTGCTTTCAAATTATATTTGGGTGTTTTTTAACGTATCTGTATTTGAAAAACCCTGCAGGACGATACGCAAAGGAACAGTTTGAAAGCTTACAAAAAAGAAATTGTGGCTATCGGTTTTGGATCTTTTTCTCTTCTAATATTTGATCTTTGTGAAAGGTAACATTTTTATTCCAGATATTAAAATGGTTCTTGCGATATTGATAAGAAGCATCATTCCCGAATCATGAAAATTCCGTTGTCTTCTTGCGTTGTGTGATTTTCATCGATAATTTTAGGGGGGTACAGCTTTCAAATCCATTTCATAGCATTTGGACGAGTGACATTGGCAAGAAACTTGCAGTATCCTTTTATTTTCTAATCAATCACGAAATATTTTGTTGTTGCAAAGAACAAGTATTTTTCAAGAAAACTAAAACCAACCAGAATGGAGGAAAGTAAAGCTATATAAAAGAGGATCGAGTCAAAATAAAAGCAAAAATTAAAACATACTTAGCTACAAGAAGCGATTGGCAATCAAAAAATCATATTGTAATCTAATCGCGAAAATTTGTGTTTTAGCTACAACTCATATTCTGGTGAAAGAATTTTGGCGAAGCAAAACATAGTGGTTGTAATTTTTGTGTCAACATAACCTGTTTACATTAGTGAAGTTAGCCTAGCAGGCATTCAGTGACACGTAAAACGTTCTTGAAGCATTGAAAAAACTTTCAACTTTCGCAACGCCCAAAGCAAATTTCTGTTCAAATTTCTAAATTGTGGCATATTAATCATTTTTGCACGTTATATACATTTAAAAGTCGAAGAATTTATCTAGTTTGATTGGATGATTTTATTTAATTTGCCAAAATCATTTAAAGCTTTTCTGAATCCTAAGTAGCTAACATATTCACAATAAAAGATTCTGACGTATGCAGTAGGAAAGAAGTAAATAGCTATGTGATGGATCTGATTTTGAAACTTGTATCCATACAGTTTTCTTAACTAAGACTGTTTATAGATTGTATTTTTAGTTCTCTCCGCTGTTGCTGCATCCTTGTACTTTTTGCTTTTTCTTATAATGATGTTGAAAGTATTCTGGCACATAAGTGGTAAACGGTCGAACGTTTCCCAGATGAGCGCAGGACGACGGGTGGCGTATGAGGTAAAGACACAAATTATTTATACATGTAATTATCTCGTTGTTCATATCGGGCTGTCGACGAACGTGATTACACTCAATGAGACACTTTTCTAGAGGTAATCCATGCACAATAATATTTTGAAAAATCAAGCATTTTGATTAGTCTTGAGCGTTGACTTTACAGACGCACGGGATGACGTCACTTCTTGTATTGCTTCTTTAATTGAAATATCTGAGAATATCATGTACTGAATTCATGTACTATAATTGCATGTTGAATAGCTGAAAATGGTCTTTTGATGCTCAGATGATCTTTCGTGTTCTGCGAAAAGCCATGTTATAGTAGCTAGATTTCAATTTTGAATTCAAAATGTTTCATTAAAAAGGCTATTGGTTATCAATTTCCGGCAAAAGAATAAAACTTTAAAACTGCTTTAGAGATATTTTCAGGAATTAATTTTTATTTCAATATATCCTAGTAGCTTACTTCTTGTTTCCAAGCTCTTGCTTGCACTTTTTAATGCAGAAAGTTTGTATGAAGCTTGTTTGGAAAACAGATTGCATTTTAAAGTTGTGTACTTTTTTTAATTTCAGGGAGCATTCTATAGATTTAAATTTTTGCTGGGATTCACGATGATATGTGCTGCATTAACTATTGCATTCTTTATTGTGACGAATGTTAACGAGGCTCACTGGAAGTTTGGAGAAAGAAACACTATCGAGGTTTCCAGTAAGTATACACATCTATTGTGTGTGTACGTATGTGTATTCATTATGGATGCGATGTATGTATATCTACACATGTTTATGTGTATACATTATACGTACGTTGCTTGTGTATGGCAAATATGTGTATATCTATGTGTATGTGCATACATTGTAGGTGTGTTGTGTATGGTATGTGTATATATATGTATCAGAAGTAAGTTTACCGAAAACGCGTTCCGAACTCGTTCCAAAATGCGTTCCAAATGCGTTCCAGTTACGTTCCAATTGCGTTCGGCTTAATATTCCTTGCAATCATTTTTCCCGTTGAACAAGGGAAAGCTGATTCATATTGGTATATGTCTGAATGAAAAACGATGTATCTTCATTTGTTTCTCAAAAAAAATCCCCAAGTCTCTAAGAAACTTTATATCTTACATATCGTCAGAGTTCTAATTCAAGTTACTTTACGTAGGTGCGTTTATTGCTGGTATTTATGGTTTGTGGAATATCTATGTGTTTGCAATCCTTGTGTTATATGCGCCATCCATACAATCCATCAACACTCGCACTATAGAAGTGAATGATGCAGATGAAGACACGAGTTTTTCTGACACACAGCGCTTTATAACACAGTCTGTGAATGCAGATTCCTCTCTCATATACTCTATTGCTGGAAAAGGAAGCATAAACTAATGGAGAATAGCTATGACCTGTGATTGCACTAGGTGAACGTTTTTATGATTTTTATATAATGTTTACTCTATTTACACAAAGATATTGTCACCTGAGAAAAATTAAAGTTTTTGTTGATGATATACATTTTCATTTTCTCTACTTAGAATTTGCTAGGAATGGCGAAGGCTTGCTTATGCCGATGAACACGCTTACTAAACTTGCACGAAGCCAAATTTTACCTCCAAAAACGCCAAAATTTTCAGTGGCGTCGGGACAAAGGGACCAAGGCTCCTCCAACTTTGAAAATCACACGTAAAGTGACATTTTACTTTGAGGTGAAGTGTCGTTTAAAAATGTTCTCATTCTACGTAAATGCAGCAATTTAATTCAAATTTAAGTCAACATAAAAAAACGGTGAACTTGCATTCCCTGCAAAAATCATACCACTGCTGTATTAATTAAAAATACAATGACTTGAGAAAATATGATCTAGTAAGATGATATATTCACGTTTTGTCAATTTTTTAGTTTTATTTTTCACTTGCAGTAATATTAAAATGAACAAAAAGAGCAAATCAACACACAATAAGACATAACTCAGTTAGGGAACAGGGAGTTGGTGCCGGGAAACTTAATAATTTTAAAATAAAGATTTCAGTACTCAATAGCGAGAAAGAAAAAACGTGCCAAATAAGGACAAGCAACGCATTGAACGAGAAGAAGTAAGAACAAAAGCAAAAGATCAAAATCGTTTCCTATCATGCAACCAGAAAATGACTGCTTCTGACTTAAAGGATCAGACGAATTCACACAGAAATCAATCATATTCAATCTTACCTACAACCATTAAGATAAAGCTAAGACAAGTGGCTGGATCTGTTTGGGTGCATTGCTTTAAACAAGCCAATACTTCGTCCCACAAAGAAAAAGGAATGATTGTTGTGGACACAAACAGTATTAATGTGGAATATGAAGCAGTGGGATCAAGTTTTACTTTATGAGTAAAAATTTCACTTATTTTGTATAAAGAATGCCAAGTAAACAGATACTAAGTTGGAAGTTGTGTTTACAGTGGCATGGTTCTGTGATAGTATGAAGATGCTTTAGACAAGATAGTCAGGTGGCCTGATCTAAAGAGAATGGGACAGCACGCTGTCTTTAGTATCATAGATTTTAGCATCCCAACTGATGGATCTGAAGGCATTCATTTACTTCCTTAAAATCACCATGTGCTCCATGGAAAAGCAGTATGAAAGTATTGCTCGAGATGAACAAACAAATAAGAAATTTGTTTCGAAAGAAGAATTCTTAAAAGAGAATGCTGATTAAGATCAAAATTTTAACGATGAAAAGCTGTGATACTGAGTCATTATGGTAATTTATTTTAAACAGTAAAAAAAATACGCGTTAACGTTAAATAGCTTTTTACCAGGAAGTGCCCTCGAAGTTTAAGGCCCTTCAAACTTAAACGTGCTCCTATGCCCCTGCAAATTTTAGAGCTACTTGAGATTGAATTGTTGGCTTCATATTTTATGCGGGGAAAAGACGGAAGCCATTGGAGGTAGAGTTCCAATTCTATTCATGTAGCGTAAACGACGTTTAGCCAAGCCTAAGAAGTGTAACCAAGTAAAGCAGGCTCGTATTCAATCAAGAGTGACATTTGTGTCAAGGAGACAATTGAATTGACAAATATTGTTCGTACAAGTTCTCTCCACTTTACTTTAATACATCAAGTCCTTGCTCGAAATCTTATGGAGGATGATGAAACTGCTGATGAAACACTTCCATGCGCCGAAGATCAGTGTGGGAGTGTCGATGTACTTGAAAAAATCGAAAATAGTTGCGAAGCAGTTCCTACTAATAAAGATAAGGAAAGACGGGATGCTCAGGTTTCCACTATAGAGGAGTCCGAGCGAATTTCATTTAGAGGAATAGATATGCTAAGACTGAAAGTGAATGGAATGCCCATGTTTACGTTTCACGAAATTATGCAGAAAATATCTCCCAATTCAAAGCGAGGTATTTACAATTTATCATAATTACGTACATCGAAATTTAATTACTACATTGATTGAGGTGGAGAAATTAAACTTAATGTTTGATTTCTCCCAACTTTAATTATTAATTAGTTTTAATTATAATATTGTGTCATTGTTCGGTATTGAAATAGACTGAAATGACACAATAAAACAACATTGGATAAACTACCATTTTAAATATAAAATTGTTGGTTAACTTCTAATGAAAACTGTTGTCTTAAAATTATTGGTTTTAAAGCTGCAATATTCTAACAATGCAAAGAAGGGATGACATATATGTGAATTGACAAAAGAATGCTTGTATTTTGTGGCAAATAATAATCTGTTGGAAAATTCATGTCTTTGTCTCTCAGATATATGATCAAAATTGTCATTTTATGACCATTGAATAGCATTTTTCCAACTTGTTGAAAAATTGTTATATATAGATGCTTATTATATATAGATGCTTATTATTTATTACTGTCCTCCCAGTCTATAGTTGTTAAACAAAACTTGGCTGTGATCAGAGAGATACGTATGTGCTTTGAATATTTTCCATGTTAAATGACAACATGGTAATATTGAAAAACAGACTGTTGAAAATCAAAAATTAAGATCAAAACAAATGACTTCATCAAAAGGAATGTGCCAGATGATATACTGGATTCTTGTCTCTGATAAAATTCCAATATCCAATAGTATTGGGAGTCAATTTTCCCAGGTATATATTATATAACCAGATATTAGACTTTGTGTTTACTTTCACTAAGCTATAATGTGTTTGCTAGTGACATCACAGCTTGAACAACTGCCATTGTGGCAGGGGGGAAGGGGTAAAACCAACATGGCATTGAGTAATGCAATAATGCAGAACAGCCAGCTTAAAACTCCTCAGAAAAGGAGCTGTTCATGAGAAAAAATTCACAATCTTCCACCCAATCACCTGATGTTAAACTTTACTAATTACTTATAATTGTATTTATTATCTCTACCCAGTAACAATTTGGTGTCTGATATTATCTGTTTGGTAACTGTACAATTATATTTGGTATCCGGTAAGGTAGTATTCAGTACATTCTTAAAAAATGTTTTAGTTGTTCCATATCATGTTATATTATGATTTTATTATGTGTAATTGAACATTGACTTATGTGTTTTATTGGCTTTATATCTTATGCAAAAAGTTGATCCTACAAATGCATTTAATCCTTCATGTTATAAATATGAAATAGACTTGAAGGGAATGGATGTTGCACTTGACTTAAGTATAATATTTTACTGATTGTATAATACATAACATTTCTTTCCGTTTGCTGAGTTATTAAATGTTTCGAGTTGAATAGCTGACTGAATTATCAGTTGAAATTATGGGGGGTCACTGGTCCCCTCATCGTACAAGAAAAAAAAGTTTGAATGGTCATTAAGAATTTTTTTATGAATGCAAAATAGTTTTTATGTGGATAAGGCATTTTTAATGACAAATATTTTGCAAATCTATAAAAATTTTGCAGTCTTCATATTTACTTAAGATTGCTCCTTTAGGTACCATTAACAGCAGATTTGCAAGACTTCAAGCTGTCAAGTACGCCTGCAACAAAGCCGATTTAAAGATAATTAAAGAATATGGAGGAATAGAACCGCAAAAGTACAACTGCACACTTGTAGCGCAAAGTGATGTTGAGAGATACTTTGACAGATACAATAATGGCGTTAAAACTAACCGTTATAGTTCAGAATTAAATGATCGAGTGTTAGGTGAAAAAAAACAACGGAAACGCTGGACACAAAAACCGTCAATTGATAATGATTTCCACGCAAGTCCAAGTAAAAGCAAGGAAAATCAACATGATTTTTCTCAAGACTTTGTAACTTTGAGTTTAGACAAAGCTCCTTTAGATAAAGCAGCCATGTCAATGATTCAAACGACTTCTATGACTGACGACGAAGAAGTATTATGTAAAAAACTTTTGCGTGAAGATGATGTGGAACAGAGGAGTGTGCTCAGTATTGGCCATAAACGCCAGCATCCCACGGAATACGACCTGCTTCATACACAGGAACAAAAAGACGACAATTTTTCATCTGATAATTATATTCTAGATGTTAATTCAAACATCGTTGAGAATGACAACTCTCAGAAGATTGTGACACAGCTGAATATTGATAAGGTGCACACGTTTTCTAACGACAATGAAGAAATAAGCCCTCACAAGTCACCTGGTTTGTTATTAAAACGTGTTGATGATAATCAATGGCATGTGGCTAACGAAGCTTCTATTCATGATGTATTTATGACGGAAGAAGACTCTGTGAACATTTCAACTGCTAAAGTTGTAAGACACGAGCCGAAGTTGATATTGAAAAGGCCAAAGAAGCGAAAGATATCGAAAAGAAAATCGTCTCCGAGGATGAAGACGGTGGATACCCTAAATGAACGTTTAGGTGAAAAGAATGTTGGTAATAAGGATGGAAGGAAAATGCAAACATCAAAACAATCCACAATACCTTTGCAAACTTTAGAGAAAGACGACAACATAGTTGAAGATTACTGTTTTGACAAAGATTTGCGAGAAAACAGAAATGGAGAGGATATATCTTTTGAGTTTCAAACTGAACACTGTGAAACTAAAGACTTGAACAGTGAAACCACCACTAAAAACCCGACTAAATTGGCCCGAAAAAAAAGGCAAAGATGTATCGAAGAGAATAGTTTTTGTTTAATTGATACAATTCCTTATCCTCCTTCATTATTTGTCAAAAATGGTGAACTGTGCCCAACATATACCATGGTTTACAATCAAAAGAATCGTATTCCCGGAAGCTGTCATGCCTTATGGAGATGGCGCCTGGGGAAACCGGTTAAAAACCAGATATTAGCCAGAGTGCAAGATGAAAGGGTGAAAGAAAGAACTCGAGACATCGATGAACTTAATGTTGACGGTGAATTGTCTTCTGATATTGATTGTTCACGTAATGTTGACAAATTTTCCACTAATTGGATTACTGAAAAAGAAAGCGGGAATTCGAAAACACGTTACACAACATTGATTAAATCACCTGAAGAAAAAGTAGATTTTATTTTAAATGTTCAGTCGACGTCGGATAATGCGAAGTTCATAGAGACGGTCTCTAGTGATGTATTGGCATCGAAAAATGACCTCAACCTTTGTGGAAAAAATACCTTATTTGAAAAAATAGCGGATTATCCGTCATCATCGACAAAACAGGAAGATATTTTAAGTTCGAACAATACACGATCAGGCTCAACTGACACAAACTTTAAAAACCTGAAAGAAGAAGTAAAAGAAATAAATAAAATATTGCCTGTGGTGTGAAAAGACAACTTTATCACGGAAGTCTTCTGTTGTGAACATCAGTCGCTTCTATAAAGATATAAGTCCGAGATAAAAATAATAACTGTATAATTTTACTTTTTATGATGACAAAAACTTGAAGGGGAGAGCAGGCTTTTCTTCCCAAGACTGTTTAATAATATTTGTAGTAGCGGCAGTTGATTGTGCATGGGAGACGTACGTAATGGTGTCATCAAAACACCTAAACTCAAAATGAGATGATCCAGTATTACTTTAGTCACGGTTATAAGACAAGCTTCATCGTATCTAGAAATTATCATATATAAATGAAATCATCATTATTTTTATTCTGGGTGCTATGGGCATAGAGTAAATATTTTAAATTTTTAACACATCGCTCGATTGAATTCAACCAACCATTTTTAGGCCAACATCGACATTTTATTGAACAATAAAAATAAAAATATACACACCTGTATGAATTCTTTTTTGCTTCATTGCAATCGAAATTTATTTGTGAAACATCTGAAAGTTTTGTATGGATTGGTCAAATCACTTTTCTGAAATTGCGAAGCATAAATTTTTTTCACTACTATATCCTTCTACACTAGGTGCACAACGCGTCGAATTTCTGTCGGAAACTTTCATTCAAGAAAACTTTTCAGTCATTTATTTAGGCTTGTAACACCAGAATTCAATCCGATATCACTAGAAGAATCATGTAAAAACGAACAATTCGTCACCCATCAATTTGCTAAGTACATCATGCCTTTTTGCTATCCGTTCAATATATGTCCACAAACCGTTAAATGGTATTTTATTACGAGAAAAAATCAGCGTTAAATTGGTATACACTGGCGGTCAAAAAGAACTAGTCACGTCGATGGTAATTGGTGATTTTATTCTCTGCTTGTATTTGACGATGAGTAGTTACCAGGGCTTTTCTCTAAAGTCCAATTCGAGAGTGTTGACTATAATGATTTTGATTAACGTCTTGGGACTAAAGTTCGAAGTCTTGGGCTTAAAGTTGAAGTAACGAAGTAAATTTACTTCGTAGCTTTACTTCAGTGAGAAAAAATTGTATTTACTTGTAACAAAGTCATTTTTTCTAGAGGTACTTTTTATATGAAAATGTTGTCATAAATAAACCACAAATGGTATTAACATCTCCACTTTTCACTAGTATTGATAACGGGTATTTTTCGAATTTCGAAGATGAAAAACTGGGTTTTTTTAACTTCTTGTGTTACGAGATTGTATGTCATATTTTGTTTTGGCAGTACATTTGCAGTGCAAATTTAGAGATCGTGATTTTACTTTTTCTTATGTAATAGTTTTCTTATGTAATAGCAATAGTTCGAGTAAGGTTTTCAGGCAATATTTTTACCTCTGCTTAAGTATAAATTGAAGAGTTACTTTTTATTTTTACTCATTAATTTGTGGAAATGTTTTGACATTATCTGAAGAAAGCTACAGGCAACGGAACATTTGCGCTGAGTGTTTCATAGATACGGCAGCGTGAATGCTGCGAAGATGATTGGAGAGTCATGAGACTGGTGAGGATTGTAAAAATGCCATGATCCATGGATGGCATGCATCTAAGAGCTAAGACGACATTATTGTAAGATTAGGTGTTGTCAAAGCTCTTCAAGATGAGTCAACAGGAAACAGCCAAGATAAATCTGAGAGAGACAGGTTTTGAAGGGTGCAATCTGGGAAGAAATCACGCCTTACTACTACACGTCAAAATATCAGCTCACAAATTGCACAAACACACAGACTGGACAGCTGACTGGTGTTCCAGGGCTATTTCAGTGAAAAAATTCTAGTTTCTTTATTAAACAAGTGAAAATGTCAGAAGGACGACTCTAAAGTTCAAGGGTTTCTTTCTAGCCCGTGGACCATTGTGCTCAAAAATACAACTTTCGCTACACACATCTCACGACTAATAATTCCTTTCATAATATTGTGCGGAATAATGCAAAAGCAAGTAATCAATGTGGCCCCAAGTGATAAGTGTGCATAATAAGCAGAAATTTAAGTTTTATTCACGATGACGTCATCAATACTTATCAAAACCAAAAAAGTTGCAAATTCCAAAAATTCTAAGTACCATTCGATAGACTACTATAAATTAAGAAAAAAGTTTATAACACCGCTTACTTTCAGCCAATCGTTTATAAAGCAGCAACATTTTTACTGTCTGGTCTACGGTCTATTCCACCATGTTAACGAACTGTGTGCCGTATTAAATGCTGCTTAGCAAAGCTTTCAGACGAAAATAATTCGATAACAGCATGTGCCGAAAATGTAACGCTGTGATTGAAGCAACTGGGGAGCCACTAATTTTTTGCGTTTTAGCTGGTGCGCCTAGTTGAGGTGAATTTTTTGCGTGATCAGTTCTTTTTACCAGGCTGTGTACTTTGAGTTATTAAAAAAAATGAATGCCCAAACAGCGTAACAACGCAAATTAAACTACTTTTGTATTTTTAACCTAGTCCCTATTTGTATTATGAACAGATGTACGTAGCTACGTATATTTTATAAGCATGCTCTTCTACGTATATTCATTTGCCCATATGTTGCAAAACAAGCATATTGCGATACAGATTTCTGGTCAAGATCAGGTTTTTGGCAGTTTTGTATTGATACCACGTCTATTTAAACTGAGTGAAGTGAAACTAGATAGAAGCTCGTGAATTTCATCAACCTAAAAAAAAGCAATAGTAACACAACTTTATATGTGAACAATATAACATAACCATACTATAGCGTTCAGTGGCGGATAACTCAGTAGGCTAAATAGGCTAAAGCCTTAAGGCTCGCCTTTTTAAGAAGCCCCCTTTGTTGTATTTAGACATAGTTTTTACTTTGCGCCTTTTCGGACTAGCTAAATGTTCTAAAGTTCGACTATATATGCTGTTGGCAACTGTAAGATCTACGGTTTTAAGTGCACGACAAACAAAACACGTAAAGTAGTGAGTTTACCTCGTTCAAACTTTAAATTTTTTCCTTATTGTTTACATTATAAATCACAAACAGAAGCAGGAAAGGCAAAAGTAAAGGAGCACGAGAAACGGAAATATCCTCAAGAAACTGAACTTATCGGGAGTAGCTATCACCTAAAGGCCCACAACTTTGCCCTAGGCAACAGGCCCTGTGGTTAGTAATCCGCCAATGCCAGGGTTGCCAACTTCGGGATTTTATCCCGCAATCTCGGTATTTATTAAAACAATTAAGATCTTTTGTTTCAAAAAGTGATTCTTGGGATTTTTTGTTACTTTTGAGTTGCTAGATTGAAGAATTAAAGTTAAAAAGTTAAGACTCGTAGAGAGTGATGGCGGAAAATGGCTGCATGAAAATGTTATAAATATTAACGTGGAAAAGGAGTCACTTTCCACAGCATGTAATCCTCTCTTTCGCTAAAGGGCCTGGAAGCTCTTAAGTTTAAGTTCACTAGACATACCTCTAGCAGCTTATGCTTCAAAAAAAGTCTATTGGTTATCACTTATACATAAGAGAGCTTACGTACTTGTTCAAGTGAAGTTGTATTTTCCAGTCTGTCGCATAGATCTTTTAGATTTTCCTCTTCATCCATCACATGACCTACTTTGGAAAGATAGACCTGTAGTAGTTTGACCACCTCCATAATGACAGTTTTAAAAGATCTTGTTGTAGAATGCGCAGCTTCATCTTTCTCAATTATACGCAGTCTTGAAAGTGCAAGTTGGAGTGGAGAGCGTTTGCATTCATCAAGAGCATTCACATTTGCACCTAAAATACAAGATGTTCAAGGGCTAAATTGAGTGTGCAAAGTACACATTGAGTGTAAAAAGTGCTCATCTACTGCAGGAAGTGCACATCTAGCGCACAAAGTGCTCACCTTGTGTACTAAGAGCACATCTACTGTACCAAGTGCACAATCCAGCATTAAATTGTATGTCATTGAATCATTCAAAACAGTCAATTATTTATATGTTTTAATCCCACTGAAATTCACACTTAAAAATCCTCAGACTTTATCAACAATAAATACAGTAAATATAGAATATACATGATCACATACCAGAAACCTAATTAGCTTAGAGGTTAGAATTACAGAGCTTCTACGCTCAAACACTTCCATTGCAATAAATTATAAGACATTGCTCTCATGAAAAATTCATATAGTGTTGATATGAGTTCATTGAATATTTCATACTACCTACCATGTTCAGCAAGAATAGTCACAATGTTAACATGACTTGCACATGCTGCAAGATGCAATGGGGTGTTACCATTGATATCACGAGCATTTGGATCGGCACCATGATTTAGAAGAAGTCGAACTATCTCAATTTCTCCCTTGGAAGATGCAAAATGAAGGGCAGTTCGTTTTTTGGAGTCTGCAGAAGAAATAGTCACTCCTTCATTGATTAGTCGTTCTACCATTTCGATATCTCTATTGTTGGCTGCTTCACGAAATCTTCTTTCTGCAAGGTACTTAAGTCCAAGGCATGAGCATAGCACCTGAAAAAAATAGTTAAACCTTGAATCATATTTTATTCCAAAAGATTAGGAAAATATAATTGCTTCAAAAACCTTTGAGTGCCTTCTTGATTTCAAACGTGTTGATCTCATTTTTGTTCTAAGTTCACTTTTTTCACTTTCAGCTGGAGGGTAAGCTTCATATCCTGCCACAAAGTCAACAGGAATAACATTTGCAAAGTGCAAGCCAGCAGGAGCTTCAGGAGGCGATGGCAAGCCTTGTGATTTACCATCAGTTTCCATCATGGGACTAGTAAACAGAGCAAAAATTTCAAAACTGAACTGCAAAATTGCTATCTCGAAATTTGCAACATGTGCAAAACTTACGACATTTGAGATGTGAATTACAGAAAATTTGCTCTTGTGAAGACTGACACTTTGTGTAAGAACTACTACTCTCAGATGTACTGAAACAGTTAGACCTGTGTTTTTCAATAGAGTCTCGTTAGGGGCACAGTTATAGATTACTTTCCCATAAAAACTGCAAACGACAATCAAGGATGCGGATTAGGTTTATTGTAAGGTACTAAAGTTTGTAAGTAGTACAAGTACCGAAGTACGCATATGGCATGACTGAGCCTCACTCAGACTACGTAGTTCTTCAGACAAAATCTTAAATCAGTCATGAAGTACCATGATAGCTTTTGTTGAAGATAAGGAGAATTTACACAGGAACATTATTGTGTCACTGGATACTGGATTGAATTTGAATAAAATGTATGATTTTTTCATAATCTTTTGCAGTCATACGTGAAGCGACAATGTACGTACGTAGAAAAATTTGTGAGGCTGGATCTACCTTTAAAGATACTAGCAATGATCTCTTTACGACAAATCCATAAAAAATACGTTTTCACTCAAAACTTGTTGCTGGTCATTCAAATCCTCAAAATTGTCACTAAACAACATTATTATGTTGTAACTTGTAGACTTGTTATTAAGAATTTTGTTGTAACAATGATCCACATTTCCATCGTCCAAATTGATGTTTGAACTTTGAACGACAGAAAAAGGAATGGTTAACTTATTATTCTAAGATAGTAATTTTTTCGTCTATTTTACTGTCAGAGAAACCATTCGAAGTAGAACTACCTAATTCCGCCGAATTTTTTTGCTGATCTTTCGTAGTGGGGGGGGGGGAGGGGGAGGAGGGCTTGAGCCCTTCATTTTTTCCCCAAGATAAAGTTTTTGCTAACATTTGTATATCGTAACCAAACTTGAGAAAAAGTAAGTAAATTTAGTAAATATAAGTCGCTGCCCCCCCCCAAGTTCGATTTCGTGGTTTGGCAAGAAAGTAGACTTCAATTATTTCAAACCCCCCACGTGCTTTAGGTAAGTTCCTTCCCATTATACCTGAAGTCTTTTTTCTTAAGCTTTCGTTGATGGTTTTGCTTCATGCAGTTGTTATTACTGGTTGTTCTCCATTCTTAACTGTTGAAAAAACTGACCGTTTGTTTTTGGCATTGGTATCTACTATGAACAGCAATTCAAATTATAGATCAGCTAAAATGCTAATTTGCTAATCATGGCGATTTGGTAAGATGATTTTGAAGAAAACTGCACAGTGCAGTAACATCAACGTAAAATCGATGCTCCAAATCATGCAGCAAAAAGCAAGTGCATGTGAAACAAAGTGTCTGTGTCTACAGTAAGTAAAAGCAGTCGTCGTGTAATGTGTATAGCCTGTCTACAACGCAGCACAGACAACAAAATGAACAAGAATGTGCAAACCTATAGCTAGGCGAACTTAAAATGTAATAAATTTTCCTTTAGCTTCGATCTTTCATCCAATGCAACCAAGAATGAAACAATGAAAAATGTTTGAATCATCCTCAGGGAAAGAATTTGCATCATTATTTATATCACTTTTTGCATCATTATTTACATCATTATTTATATCACTAATTTGCATCCCTTTTTGACTCTGAAGATGACTACCGCTAAGGTTGTCGAAACGTCAGTCAACAACAACAAAAACAGTCCTTCTCAGGACTATACCAACCTGGACGATCTACATTTACAAACATGTAATCATTATTTATATCATAATCACAAGAACCCGTGCATTCTACTCCTTGCAGACCTTGCCGTCGAAGAAATCTTCAAAGTAGCTTTAATGCTGTGGGGAAAATAAAATAGGAAACGGAAAACTTAGAGAAAAAAGCAACAAATTGAGTTTTTGTTTTACGTACCCTCGTTGTGAGATCTCTTTGGTCAAACTGACTCCACAAACATTGACTAAGTTTCCCATGTCGTTGTGTAAAATATGTTCTTGTACTAGGAAACACAGTGAAAATTATAATGCCCACTCTGTTTCGAAAAATAAATATGGTGAACTTGAATCATTAAAAAATGAACACAATGCCAATGTACCAATAGTCATGAATACGCTCCGAAATATTTCTGCAATAAGTGTGATAATGTGGTTTGTTTGGAATGTGAAAAAACGAATACAAGACACACAGTTGTCATTACCCTACAGATACTCACAATGCTGTCAACTATTGAAACAAATTGAGCAAGTTAGACATGCAATTCTGTCTTAGGGGAGAAAAAATTTTATGTTGAACATCCGGAAAAATAACAAAATATTTCTTAAACGAATTTTGCTTAGTTGTATAAAAAGCAACGGGTTTGTGATCATCAATTACTGATGTTGCAACGCAGAATAATTATCGAGTCTGTGGTGTGTTTTAACAAATGACTTGTAAGGTACACGTATGACGTGATGATAAAATAAAATCTCCCGTTGTGATGCAGGCTCAAAGTCGTGACCGCCTTGTTTTCCCAAGCAAGTATTATAAAAAACTCTTCAGTATTTGTAAAAAAGTTTGAAGTGCCTTTTTAGGGGCCAGGGTTTTTTCCTTCAGTATCTTGAAAAAGATTCTAAATCTTTATCCATAAATCACGTGCCATTTACGTGTATATTTTCCGTCTCAATAGAAGTAGCGTTTTACGATTGTACTAGCGTACCTCTTTGCATATTATTTACCTTTAAAGTTGACTTCTTTTGTTTCAATTTGAAATCGCTGTTTTTAAGAGACAAGAGACTAGAATCATTGAATAGTGAGAGAGCAGAAATTGCTGACAGGATTACGTCTCAAACCTCGTCAAACCTAGCCTCGATTATTGGGATAATCAAAAAACGTGAAAAAGAATTGAAAAACAATTTCGAAGAGTTATACTTAGAGAAAGAAGTATGGTGTCTTGAGAAGACGAGAACGATTTCAGATTCGACACGAGGTTGCTTTGTAAGCTGGAGATGAAAATAGGTTCTGGTTATTAGAGAAGCATGCTGTGAAAAAACTTCAACTTTAGTCTAGGCCAAAACATCCTCCTTCATTTATCGATTCCCGACTTTACTATATTCCTAGAAATAGTACCCAAGATTTTGCAAAAACGGTACTGGGTGAGGTAAAATGCTCTGAAATTGAACAAAGTCAATATTTGGCACACGGGAAAGGAATCAAAACGGCTGTAATTGGATAAGAGAAAACATTTCTAGTGCAAAACAAACGAAGGGATGGAGCAAACTTAAATAGTGGTGGCGACAACAACTTCATGCGTGTGTTACTGATAATTGTAATGGTACACACATACTGTCGCCTATACTCCAAAAGCCCTTGATGTGTTGAGTATATTAGTACGTGCATATGGTCAGCTCATAAGAGGTCTACAATGGGAAGTGCAGCCTGTCTTCAAACGCAATTACGAAGTCATAAGTCATGTGGTCTTTCTGGCAAAGAGATTACTTTGAAATTACCATGTAGTGTTGCTATTGATAAACATGACAGAATATATGTTTGCTGATTGCCACAAACATTGCATCAAGGTATTCTCGCGTTGTGATAGCTTTGTTAAATTATTTGGAAGTTACGGTTCAAAAAAACAACCAATTTAGTCATCCAACATATGTCGCTGTTGTTGAAAACAAACTCTTCGTCTGTGACGAAGATAACAATCGTATTCATTCCTTAAACTTGGATGGTGTTTTCCTTAAGAAGTTCAATGGTCCTGCGTATGATTTTTTAAAGCCACCTTGGGGAATATGTACTGATAATATTGGAAACTTGGTTGTAGCGGAAACGAGGAATAATCAAATCAAGGTTTTTAAACTCGAAGGACATCGTTTGAGGAACTTTGGGAAGGAAGGGAGCAAGGAACGTGAGCTCCGACAACCGTACTTTTTGACTGCCTTGTCAGATGGAAATATATATATTACTGACAACGGAAACCACAGAGTTCAAGTCTTCGATGAAAACTATTCGTATCTCTTTCATTTCAATGGTGGTGATAATTCCTTGAAGTTTCCTACTGGAATTAATGCTGATTGTGAAGGACACGTAATTTGTGGCAGATCAATGCAACAGTAGACTTCAAGTGTTTGAAGCAGATGGAAAAAACCCCGAACGATGATCACGAAACCGCTTCAAAATTCAAAGTATCCAAGCTATCACAAAGGACGTACTATGACCTGGATGGATGTATAGTTGTTGCTGACAGTGACAATGACCGGATAGTTATACTCTAACAGAAGAATAAAAAATAAAATTTTGGAGTAACGTGAAGGGGTTTCATGAACATAACACATGAAAACTGTTTTTCGAAGTAATTCTTAGAAAGTTTGAGCTTCATCCTATCGCAGCTTCACTGCTGTCTGCTACAGCCATTGAACTAAGAGCATTTTTTTCCACGACACAGAATAATCTATTTAAAAGTTTCTTGATGAACATTTGGTATCAAGGGTGCAATATTCTTAGAAAAATTGATTGTTGGTTCCGTAAGCGAGAATTGCAGCCTAAAAGCCGAATCGCCCACGTCTACAATCTCTCTGGGTAAACTATTGCAAATTATGTAGCCTACAATCAACTAAAACATTTATCTTAAAACTAAAAATTCAAACTCAGGACTGACTTTTTCATGTCTGTTCAAGTGTTTGATAGAAAAAGCCTAAAAGTGTGTTCTGATCAACCTTTTCCGTCGTTATCAGTTAATGCACCGACTTATTATACAGAGGGTCTCACACAGCCCACACACCTATGTGCGTCCTTGTTTGACATTTGTGGGTGTATTTTCAAACAGAAAGTAAGCGAGTGTTTTTCCATGAAGAATTTTATGTTTTAAAAAAAATAAATTATGACATAATTTCATTGCTTTGCTTATCAGAAAAATATTGTGCATCTTAAAAGAAAACAAACACATTTACTGCGCTCAAAACATTGATTACGTAATGACTTTTTTTCAATTGTCGTTGCCGTAAGTAATAGCTTGCTAATGCCTAAATAACAAAAATAAAAAAACCGACGAGTGAAAATAAATGCAAAATACTCAAAAACATATTTTTACGCTGTTGCCATGCAAACTTTAGGAATCTGATATATCCTTCGGCATTGCCCAGAGTTATAGCATAGTATTAGCATTTACAATGAAAAATTAATGCCAGCAAAGTCGCAAAAATGTGAACTGAATCCAAGACAGATTTGTAGAATAGCACAATGATGCAAATATTATGTTTTAAAGGATGAAGATGGCTTGGAAATATCGAAAGAACTAAAACGAAATATATCGATAAAAGTTTGCCTTCAAATTCTCGACCTGCATATTTGCATATTTGTTATGGCGTGTGTGCTTTTGTGAATAAAAAATTCCGCCCACACGCAAAACATCAAAACAACTGCAGGTCAACGTACAACGCATTAAAATGCAATAAGCATGCAAGAATGATCGTAAAACTTTTCTCTGACGAAATTTAAATGAGAACAAGGAAGGAAATGTTGGTAAGCTCATTTTTCGCTCGATGTCTAATATTAACGGTTAATAATTGAAAAAATCTTAGAAAATTCTTACGAATCTCAAATCTTTTCAACAGCCTGTATATGTCATAAAAGCCTGCACGGAAATACCGCATAAATTTTGTACTTTCTAGACAGATGGAGTTCACAGCCTATAGAACAGTACTATTCGTTTCAATTATGCCAAAATAATGCCTTATAATTTTTGGTACCATGATGACAAAGATTGTTGTGCTCATAAATGGGCAGCCACCAAGACCTCAAACAATTGAACTACATTATTTCTTCGACTCTTTCCTTGTCTATCGTTCATCTAATCATTTATCACATCAGGGAATACGCAATATGCTCGTCTCGGAGATGTTAAAGCCAACATTACGCATTAATTATTTTTGCCCTAAGATTCGATTTTTAGTCTTCGTTTTCAAATTTGAAGTCTTCAAATTTGTTTTTGACTGTGTTATTCAATATATCAAATAATATTCACTTGAAGCATGGCCTGCCAAATGATTGCATTTGCATGGAGCTGGGAAAATCATTTTAATCTGGATGTAAGTCTGTTTTTACAGTTGAAACAACTATTTATGGTCAATTAATTGGCTGTTTTTAATCACGTGATATTAGATGCAAAGCATTGAAATTTGATAGCCAAGATGAAAGATACTTTAAGATGGTGTGGAACATTATATTGCAATGTTTAGCTGGCCTGGTTGGCTGTGCGTTGTATTAAACCATTGCTCGATTATTTAGATTTATATGATTACTAAAAATGAGACCTTTCTATGTTTTGGGCTCTTTTTTGGACATCCCTGCAAACCACAAAAACGACGGTAGCTTTTGATTTTAGTAAACTACAGTGAATGTGCGTTAAGATGTATTATGAATAGCCGATGATGTACTGAATAATTAATTATTCAAAGCACAAACAAAACGGCTTTACTTTTTCAACAAAGTTGTGTTCTAACAGAGGAAGCAGTAAAATTATAGAATAAGCAAGACGGGGGGCACTCTTACAAGACATGAATCACAATCACATTATACGCACTATGAGATAACGGAACAAAACACAACTGGCAATTCTTTCTTCATCGCTTTTATGGCAAAAAATATACGTTTGATCGCATTAATAACAAACGAATTATTTTTTAAGCTTATTTGAATTGTTCGTGTTGTATCATTATAGATGAAATATCTAATCAGTTGTAACGTTACGCAGTCAGACTAAGATATCATTGAAGGGGTGGAGAGTGAAAAAAAACTGATGATGGATTTGAACTTTGATCTCTGTCGCGTAGCACATATTCGGCTCTTTTGTTATTTTCTTATTGTAGAAACCCATGACAACATGACTGTTTAACACATTTTTATGAAATTCTTTCAATTTCTGCCATGTTGCTAGAAAAATTCACCCCGTTAAAAGGATTTATGTTGATTTTATTTGCTTTTGAGCATTTGCACTTTGAAGTAACCCACAAACGTGACCACTTGACGTCAAATGAAAACATATAATTTCTTTTCAAAATATGTGACATTGTAACAATGTACCTTGTTTTTGTTGTGGCTATTCTTCATTGGCAACCAATCTCTTGAGATTTACCAAATTCCATAACATTCGCCCACGTTGGCTGGAGACCAAAACAGCATTGATAAAATTTTCTTTTGCCCTCCAACATAGCTGATGTTAAATAAAATGGAAAAACATCAAAGTAAACGGCATCATGACGATGTGCAGTTTTGAGAACATACTACATAGCTATAGCTATGTTGTGTAAAAAAAATGCTTCTCTTTGAAATCACGCGACCTTCGCAATTTGTATGATTCAGCACTTCTCAATAATGCAATTGTGATTTTAGCATAGTAGCCAGGTAATTTGAAGAATTGGCCAATACTAAAAGTCTCCTTTTTTTTATACACCCTGTATAATTCGGTTAGATAGCCATCTAGATAATCAAGGGGGGGAGATATTCATATAATCATGTTCTGCCCAGTGGCGTAACTGCTATGAGCTCTCTGGATGGGCAGAGCCACGGGCAACCAAGCGATCAGCTTGTAATTGAGAACCCTGAACGGTGTTATATATGAAAATGAAAATAAAGATATAAAAGTAAGTCTGTATTTGGACAGGTGGAAGCACTGGATATTTATCATTAAAGATTATTTGTAAATTTGTGTTCCTTGAAGTAAATTGAAAGCTGCATTTGGTATTTTTCTGTAGATAAATTAAAAACAAGTTAATTGACATATTTTTATGTAGGGGGGCACCCCATTCTAGAAGGACCACGGGCATTCTGGTTCAAACATACGTCACTGGTTCTGCCGTATTAAATTCCTTGGAAATCAACCTTTTCTGCAGATTATGTAACATGCATGTATGAACACCCCCCCCAAATTATCAATGCAAACAATGTTGTAGTCGTAACAAATACTATAGAGAGAACGTTTATGGAGCAAAAATAGTTCAAAATTGGCCCCTGCAAACGACTTAAACGTTTAACTTTTCAAACTTTTCAAAGGCCTTAGTAAGTTTTACGTTTCATTAGTTCTAATGTATCTATACCATTCTAGGTAGTATAATCATGAATCAGTAACTGCACTGTACACATTACATAATTCAGGAGAAATTTTTTCTACGAGTTTTGTTTCTGACTGTAGGGTAGCCAGCCCGCAACTAGGTTTGGTCTGCTATGTAAATTTCAGATCATTAAGATTATTAATCTCCTTAGAAATTTTTTGTTTTTACCGCGATTAAACACAGAGGTGTTAGCTTTGCAGTACTAAATTTGCCCGTGGGATACGCCACTCATTTACTGGCGAATGTAGTCACCATCTTTGTGATTTTTAGTGTTGCATTCCCTGCGTATAAATCATAGATTTTCCTCTCCCTGACAAGTATTGTTAGCGTAAATGTAGAGATCGCTGTAGTTGGATTTAAAAAATTGAAAAAGGCTGGATCTATGTGCTATAGGAGGCTCTCGATTGGGGCATTCATAAGTTGCTAGTCTTTTAAAATTTCTGTAGTTTGTCATTTCTCAGTTAAATTTTGCCATATTTTTCAGAATTAACAATTCTAATTAAAAAAAAACATTGATAGTTGCAAAAAAGATTAGTATTTTCCAGTGGTGTTTTCAAGGTTTAAAACCACCTAGGTGCGGGCTCTACAAATACAATACTGTCAAGATTGTTTTAATATTCAATTCAAGCAAATGTCGCTAGTCGCCAAATATTTTTCGTCCGTAATCATATTTCTGATAGGTCGGTATTATATTCCTATTTGTCGCTAGTCAGTTAACCCCATTGAGACCCTACTATAGTCCCACCCCTGCTCCCCAATACATGCCTGAGCTGTAATGTCATGTACTACATCAAGTTCCCATGAAAATTGTTCTACTTCAGTAATCAATATGTTAATGTAGAATGTGAATCAAAATTTCATTACTGATGTTATGATTCACTTATACACCCAGGAGAAAATTATTTATTGAAGTGGCAATGGATTTTCTGTTTTTCATTCAGATTTGTGTATTTTGGTTCCCGTAATAATGTAAAAGTTTTGACGAGAAGTTTATTTTCGATGGCACTGGTCACTGTCACACCGTCAGTGTCTCGGACAAGAAGCATATGGGATACTTTATCCGCCGAAGAATTTGAGCAGCTGCAAGCATACACAAAATGTAGGCCCTTTTTATCTTTTTTGCTGTGCCTGTTTGCTATTATAGTTCTTGACAAAATAGCATTTCACCCCGAAATATTCAGGAAAAGGTCCGAAAGTTAAGTGACACTGGTTTGGTTATTTTTGTAACACTTTAATGAATGTATGACAAGTAAGACAAAGTTCAAACGACGTACGCTAGCGTTTGCTAGTATTACCTTTTGCTTCTAAAGAGTTGGTCCTGTTTATTTCAACTCATGTGTAAATGTTGTGATTCATGTGCAATGTGAGATTTGTGAGTTAGATATAAAAGTATTCCTTTTGTTTGAGTGCTATTATTATAGTGCGTTGTGTATTTTATGAGAATTATCTTGTGGCTTAACGCCATGATCTTTTTCGGCCTTGATTGTTATGAATTTAATACAAATCACAAGCATTTTGTAAGATAAATTCTGGAAAATCAATTTTTATGTAAAAGAAACTGACATTGCTTTTTTAAATTGACAATTTAGGAAAAAGGAGACTAGAAGGTCCTCTTTATAATAAATCAGTTATAGCTTTGCTTGACATTATCTTACTCTAAACTCTCAATCTAGACACCTGCTTCATTGTCTTGGCAAATTGTTTTTGTGTTGAATTTGGATATTAGTAAATTTTTAATAGTACTGCTCAGCACTATAATTTGCTTTAAATATGAAATAGCTCAATGGAGCCTCTATTGCAATGAAAAAATCAGACAGGGCTATATCACTTTGGCATTCTCTGCAATTGTGATGCACAAATCAATCAAAATATTTTGTGACAAAGAAATAGTGAAACTGTCCCGCATTTGTATATTTATAAAACAACAACCTGCACAGATAGGTAATACCTTCCAGCAATGCAATATCATGACATATCGTCAGTTTCGACTAAATGCTACAAACTAAAAAGGCGTTTTAGAAAAATGTCATATTCTACAAGTATTCCATTTCTACAATAAATGTGGGAATAGATTTCTGTGAAAATTATCTTGTATCACATGCAAAACTGATGTTTGATCTATAAAAAAGTGTCGTCAGGGGCTTATCCCATAATTTTATGTCAATGCTTAGTTGTATCAATAGGTTCTGTGAAAATTTTTGTATCTTGTTTCTTGTCTAAAATTGAGAAATTTAGCCAGCTTCATCCTGAGTTAGTTACAAACAATATTAAAAACCTTTGTCACTCAGATGTATTAGTTGAAATGATGTTCCACATAATCTGTTCCTCAGCTTAAAGCCTATAAAAAGCTACATAACTATGTACAAGTGTTACATTGAGTATTGTGTCAATGCTTTGGTTGTGGTGTGATTGCTACAGAAATACGGCTTTAAATAGTTTGACTATCCTTATTTCTTTTAAATGTTTACACTAGAGATGTATTTTTATTCATTTCATGAAAGCAGCATGAGAGAGCCCATTTATATTCCCCAATATCTTGTATTATTTTACTGACAAAACTTATAAATCATATATTATAAATTGTGATTTTAATAGAAAGTCAAGATGCAATTGGGGGCAGCTGCTTATAATATGTGAAAGCAAATTTACAATATCAAAATTATTTCTCCCTGACTGTATTGTATTTTCTTTTCATCGGGCGTGAGCATTTATTGATCAATTAATTAAAATAGCCCAGAAGCAATGTACTGTGGTTATTTGCTTTTATCGGCGAATTAACTCAAATAAAGACTTATTCAATGAAATAAGAATCGGCGAAACGCAAATATGCTTTCTTTTCTTTGCTGCAAAAGTTTTTGACGTGTGTTTGTAAATGCTGGAAACTAATGAGCACGCAAAAATTTTTCTCGTTTGTTTACATTTTTTCAAGACTTTCTGACGTTAGCCAAACAAAACGACCTTATATTGTTATTGAACCTTTCAAAAAAGCTACGACTTAAGCCGCAAACAACTGAAATTGTCCTTGTGTGTGTGCGTGTGTTGGTGTTACTTTATCCAAAATTACGTGAGTTAACGTGAAAAACCTCCAAATGCAATTTTAGTGCAACGTTAAACTTATCATTAACTTTAGACATTTATACGAATATAAATAAAACATACATATAATATGTGAAACGTACTACACAACATCTAGAGTGTAGAGTATGTATAACGTACAACGCAATATCTAGTGTATATATAGTATGTGAAACGTACTACACAACATGAAGTGTATATATAATATGTGAAACGTACTACACAACATCTAGAGTGTAGAGTATGTATAACGTACAACGCAATATCTAGTGTATATATAGTATGTGAAACGTACTACACAACATGAAGTGTATATATAATATGTGAAACGTACTACACACTATCAAGAGTATAGAATATGTAAAACGTACAACACAGCATGAAGTGTATATATAATATTTAAAACGTACTACACAGCATGAAGTGTATATATAATATTTGAAACGTACTATACAACATTTAGTGTATATATATAGTATGTGAAACGTACTACACAACATGATGTGTATAAATAATATGTGAAAAGTACTATACAACATCTATTGTATATATAGTATGTGAATCATTCTACACAACATCTAGTGTATATATAGTATGTAAAACGTACTATACAACATCAATATTTGAATCTTTTTTTATAAACATGTGCGTATTCTTATATCGCTTGCATTCTATTAGATTTTTTTGTGTTCTTCCCAGATTCAAAAAAGAGGTTAAAAGATGTTCTCAAGCAATTTAGAGATGGTGAATTTTTACTCTATAAACCAGAAGAGGTATGCTATTCAGGTCAATTTCTCGTCATTTTTGACGTGACTTTATGAAAAAGTTTCTTCCATGCTGTTTTAATCTAGCCAATGAACTACGATGGCTTTAAACTCTTTATGAACGCGTATCTTGGCAACGACATTTCTGATGAATTATGTCAGCATTTGTTCCACACATTTTGTAAGGAAATTCCAATAAACAATGCGGCAATTCCAATAAACAATGCGGCAAAATCCAGTATACACCAAACAGAAACAATGATCAGTGAAGGTATAGTAAGCCATTTTATTAGAGATGCTTGTGGTAAAATATCACAGTAAATGAAAGGTTTTTTTCTTATATGATACGTACTTATTGAAAAGGAAAGTACAGTATCGGCAGACTCTTTATTTTTGCCGGTTTTGAATGATGTTTTCGTTTAAAACAAGTGTTGACTAGCGTATAAACAACAAACCCTCAAGATGAGGATGTATTAACATGTCCTATACCTTAGATATATGTATGTGATTATTGGGATTTTTAGCGTTTAGTCATGGTTGCATGTTTGAATATCCTTAATGGGAAAAAATACGATGTTGTATTTTCATTCCCTTGTATATGTCGGAGAATAAAGTACTCTTTTTATTGTACATATGCAGTTGCTTGCACTTTTATTGATTGTCGTTTACTATGACGTCGAAGCCTCGTACATTTCTAATGCAGCATGCTAACGAGTTAAAAAGATAAATACTGGTGGAGTACAGCTTCTGTGGAAATTTTGCGTATAGGTCATGGTATTTTAACTAAAGCATTAATGCTGTTCAATTTAGCCGAAAGCGGTATACATACTGGTATTACATCTGCTGCAATAGTGGCAACAATTCCCATCACTCACCGAGATACAGCCGCCATAACGCATTCATCGTCTCACACACATTTAACTGGCTCACTTTGTCATGAACTGGATCGCCTACCTCGCTCTTCATCTGATGGTCTAAACTGGCCATCACGTATTTTACCCACTCGAAGATCACTTATATCTTTAAACGGTAAACTAAATTCACTTATAAACATTACTATGATAGGAAAACCTTGCTTAATCATGTAGCAATAACTACAATCATAAATAAATGATCTAATTACATATAATCTTATAATCTTTATTCTATGGCTGGCTAAAAAGAACCCGATAATTTTTGTGAGATGGCTGTATGATATGTTTTTACTTATCATTTACAGTGAGTCAACTAATATTCAATTGTTTGGCTACATTGTGGCGTTGATAAAAGAACTAAACCTCCAGATACAAACCACGAAAAAAAAGTTTTATTTTTAAGAAATTTATTATTTACACAATACCATTTTAACAAAACTATTAAAAATCCAAACTCGCTAAGTCTTTATTTGCAATTCTTTGATTTTCCCGCCATTATAAAGTTATGCATTCTGATTGGCTTAAACTTAAATGTAAACAAATCCGCTGATTGGTCTGGTATGAAATTCCTCCTGTGTACTATCAAGTGGATACTTTTGATCGCAACCAAACCAATTAAAACAAAAAAGAAATGATCATAAATATCAAATTGTTTTCTTAGCAATTCTTAACTATAAATTTTGAAATACTAACTAATTAATAGTTCTTCATTTGTCCTAACAGACTCTATTTCACTAAATATTAAATTATACCTAAAGACGTTTTCCCTCACACTCCAAGCATTTTTTCGTCTATGATTGATCGAATGTACACCATCCAGATTTTCATGCATTCGAAAGTTCGTGTTTGATTTAAAAGTAGCCCAAAGCTCATCCTGATTTGAAATTATTCGTTTCATGTTTTTGATCCCATGCATTATTGTTGCTATTTTGTGTATTTTCATTCTCTAAGAGTAAATATTTAACTGTCCGTGGAAAAGACTTAAACGATTTTTTGATATTGTATATATAGGGTTTGTTTACCCCCGATACAAAGCTTGTCTTTTGACAGCTCTGAAGTCTCTGTGAAAATATGCGAACCACTCAAAGATAAGCGAAAGCTTTCGGTTTACGGCTTGTTGTTAAGGGAAACATCGGGTCCAAACGCAGCCAAGATTTCTTCATGAAATTACCGCAATATCTAAATGTATTTCGTGAGTGGACATTCAGGTTTAGACCGCCATGTTTCAAATATACGTTTCTCCATAAATAATTTCTAACTTATGCATTTTGATTGTATTTCGCTGTAATGTTTTTTTTTATGAAAGGCGCACTGAAAAATGCAAAGAGAGGATAATATAAATTTTATCAGATTTATATAATAAAGGAGGGGATTGAAAAATTTTTGTAAATTTCTCTTAGTTAAAACTCGTTCAATTACATCGTAGCGCATTAGTAAGTGCTCGTCTCTTTTGTAGGTTTGACAAAGAACTCTTCTGTCGAGAACACGCCGTCAAGCTCACGCAATAATTCCACAAAGAAAAAACAGTCGGTGACGGATCAATTGCTATTTAACACAAAAAGCGCTCACGAGACCGTTGCTATGGTTTCCATCCGGGAGATTGCTTGCTACCTATCTTTACTTGAAGGTGGAGAAGTTAAAGACAAACTTGAATGTAAGTAATCATATGACTTCAACTAGAGTGATCACATGACTTCAACTTGAATGTAAGTAATCAAATGACTTCAACTTGAATGAGAGTAATCACATGACTTTAACTTTCTTGTGATGGGCATGATATCTGGTGATTTACATGAGAACAAGCTTTGTATATGGCTGTCTGTGAGAGACGTGTGTGCGTGTGGTATCAAAGGAGTGCCATTGACTTTTATTGGAATATTTATTCATTTTTCATGTATTTTATTGATTTTTTAAACGACTCTAAAGATGTTGAAAAAAGTTGCTTTTTCAAAGCATAAAATGAAAAAATATAATGACTCTTCCTTTCTTCCTTAATTTGATAATAACTTCTTTCGATGCAATGTGGCAAACGTATTAGGAATAAATTGAATATTTAACATACTAGCTATTTGTAAGAAAGATATGATTGCTACGAGGGGTGTAACTTTAGTCCTGATTAAATATAAACCCTTGGAGTATTACCATTACACAGTACACACAGTTAAACATGAGTTAATTATTTGTTGACAACCAAAATACGTGCGAAGATATGCGAAAGTGAATACATGTGTTTTCGGTTTTCCACATATCTCTCTCCATGTAGTATGGTTAATCTCTGCCACTTGTTAAGTACTACTTACTACTTTCTATCAATATATTGTGTCAAGGGGATCACTGATTAAGATTGTTTCTGTAAGTTCCAAAACTTTGTTGAATCAATGTTGCCCAGCAAGCTGAAATTCATCTGTTTTTTAAAAGCTTTGTTAAAGGAAATACATATACTACCTACGTGTTTATAATCGGCCACTCTCGATGAATTTTTTAGTTACTATATATCCTACTTAAAGCAGATGTGTTTAGTTAGTTAATGGTTTAAAACACTGGTTTAAATCGAGTGTTATAAGTTAGTTGTTTTTGGTTTATTGTTCGAAGTCCAAATTCTTAAAATGTTATTTCGCCACTGTAGGTGTCCTGGCCACCATATAAACAGGAAATGTGATGTTTTCATATCCCTACAAATTGTCATGGCCATCAAACGACATAGTATAGTCTAAGTTTAATATAGAAATTTTCTACATTTTTGTTGCTAAACCGGCAGAGAAAGAGTGAATTACTTTATTTTGATTGGAGCGTAATGTGAAAGTCAAACATACGGTAATTCTTTTGAAAAAAAATTTCTCACACCAGCAAAAATATTTAGTTGAAACTAAGAAAGTTTAACTTCACAAAGTTTGATAAATTTTCAATGGCACTCTTGCGTTAGCCCGGTGTACGTATATGTAGCTATATGTGTGTGTCCAGAAGTAAGAGAGGGGGGTAGTGTCTGATTTAAAATCGCCGCCACACTTTTTTAATTTCATTTCAAATTGTTTTCACACATTTTACATAGAAATGACATGTAACTAATTATGCCTTAAAAAGTTTTCAATTTATTACAAAATAAGAACTAGGTGGCATGCTCTTCTATTGTAGTTGTTTTTCGTGTTTATGATACAGATGGGAACGAATATCTTGATCAACAGGTAATTTCAGATTCTTTACATGGAGCTTGTTTTTGTTTCTTTTCACTGATGATTTAAACAACATAATTTCTTCTCTAAATATGATTGAGCTTATAACACTTAATTGGAGTAAATCCCTCCATCAGTCAAGCACTGAAAGCATGAAGTATGTCAATCTTTTCCACCAATTTATACATTCAGAATATATGCTGACCAACTACTAGCAGACTTTTGAAAACAATATGTATAATGATAATATATTAGTATATTCTTTACCGAATAACCCATACAATATGTATAGTGTTATTCGGTTCAATCACATATTTCAACTTGATTGCTTTTATTGTAACATGCCTTGGTGCATGCAAACTTGAGCTATAATTATAAACTATAATTACAAAAAAGTGTGTTTAAGTTGTAACATTATTATTACCTTTATAACAAAAACTTCGCTCAACTTTAGTATTGAGCACTCTTATTTATTCACGTTTAACGATTTGTGACAGTTACATTCGACATTAACGATTGCAATGTTATATTTATTTATATATGTGATGATGACAATATTTTCTTGACAACGATGTTTTACTGTAAAAACAGACAATTTACCTATTAGCTAATGGCTGAGCACTGATAATATGTAGGCCTATAAGGCGGTTACTGAAATTTAAACGAAGATTGTTGTTTCTACTATTAAAACTCTGGGAGAAAGAATCTCTTTGACTTTAATTACTGCGTAGTGGATAGGCGGCTCCACCCACTGCCTTATTTAGAGAAATTAAAAAGTTGAATAATCATTTAATTTGTTTTTGTATCAAGTTTATCACAATTTCTTGTTACTATAACAACCAAAAGAAAACAAAGTCCAAATCTAGCAAAACATAAAATACCACAGCTTAATGCTTATTCACCACAAATGTTGACCTTGCCATGCACATTAATTCTATTTTACAAGTGTGTTGCTAAATATGGGCTTTGAAGTTAGAACGTTTCATCTTAAATGTTTTGTTGCTTGATGATTTTTATTGCTGTGTAATATAGCAAATGGAAACTCTAAACTGTTAATTCTTTATTTCAGCCGATACGTACGTTGTAAACCAACAGTTATTGCATAAAATGCTTCATAAACCTCTCGCCTGATCAGTGGCGGATTAAACCTTTCTCGGGCCCCTGGCTGTACTCTCTGGTTCGGTCCTTTTAAACTGTCCGCTTTCTCCCATTCCCCTGCAAATGATTAGTTTTCCCACACTGAACAAAAGATAGGCTTCACGAATAAAACAAACTGCTATTAAACTTGACAAAACAATTTAGTTAAAGTATGATTTAAATAGGTTTCTTGCGTGCTTTCTTTGCCGCAAAATCGTCAATAAGCTCGTCAAAATCAAGTGCATTCAAAATTTCATGCTCGATGCTCATAAGCGATAGTTTGCTGACTCGGTCCTGGCCCATTGTTCTCCTCAACTCATTTTTTATGCGTTTTAATTAAGAGAAAGATCTCTAAATTAAAACCATTTTGAAACCATCATACAGAGGTATAATCGAAGTGATGTTCACATTTGGAAATGCTTGTATCCAGTCATTTTCATATAACAATAAAAACATACGAAGTTCGTTTATATCCGTTTACGCATAACGATGACTAATTGTTGACTATTTTTTCGCTGCAATTTAACAACTATTGATATCTGCTGTGGGCACCGCACGAACTTTAAAATAGAAAAAAAATTAGGATCAAAAGATGCATTGTTGCAATACGTCCATAGATCTTAACATAATATATTTTAACATGATAAAAACTGAGCCAAATTTATTCTAAATTTCCTGCAAGCGTTTAGTTAAAATGTAGCAATACTTGGTTGTTTCTATGAATCATTTAAAAATTATTTGACTGCCAAAGGCCCCCTAGAACCCGAAAATCTGCGGACCCCTGGCTGTAGCCCAGTCAGCCTCCCCTTAATCCGCCACTGCGCCTGATTAGTGCAAAACTTTAAACTCCCGATGATTTGAACTCGCGAAAACGGAAAATGTATTGAGTTATATAGCGTAAGGCGAGGCGTGGGTTCTAGTTATCGACGCTGTTGTTGAACTTTGGTCAATATATAAGCATTAGCAGAAACAGCAAGCAACATACAGAAATTTCAAGTGTGATGCTTTGAAAGATCCGCACTTTATATAATTATGAACTTCATACGAGCTATAGGAAAATTGTAACGCTATTTAGGGAAATTTTTCATGATGAATTTTTGAAACTATATGTGCATGATAATCGAATTTATACTTTCTACTTATGAAATTTTGTCTTTTGAGATTTATCTTGAGGTTCACCCTTGAGGCTTGCCGAGATTTAAGTTCGATTTGTCTAATGGAAATTTGAACGTAGTTTGAAATTAATTAATTGTTAATTAATTGAAATTAGTGGGTAGTTTGAGTTAAGCGAGATAATGAAAACGAAAAAAAACTCTTTGCATGGTTACAGCATTTTGAATGGGTGTATATTTTCCCATTTTATCTTTAATCTTTGTTAGTCAACTGCCCACTCCAATAGACCTCAGTTACTATGATATTATATTTCCTCAAAGGATTTCCGTGTGCCCGTCTTCTAAAAGCTCGCTCACACTCAATGAGTGGTGCTTGAAAATCACCTCATAACTATTCGCAGACGGCAATTTCACTCAACTGATTGCTTGATTTGAAATATCTAAGAGAAAATCATGCCTTAGATGGAGAAATGACTTTGCCAATGATTAGAGTGTGATTTTCATGTCGCACTCAATGACTGTGAGTGTGAGTGAGTTTTTGGAATACAGGCATGAGTTTCAAACTGACAGTGCTCGTTACATTTTATAGGAGTTAGAATCCATAATACAGCAAATGATGAGTGTTGCCAGATATTTAGGCTGGGACGTCACTGAATTAAAACCAGTAAGTCATTTGTAGTTATCATTATATTGTTTCGTTAAATTTCATCATCTGTCCTGGTTTTGATGCTGGTTGTTTATTTGAAGAATTACAATCGACACTTTGCCGTATTCTTCATCGAATTAGTTTTCCTTTTTGTATAGTAGTTTGTTCGAATGAGGGTTTTGCCGTAAGGTTTTATACAAGGTTTTATACATAATGATCTTTCGTTTTATGAAAGGTAGTAACTGTTACGGTGATTATGATCTGTTTATACCATATGGTTTATACTGTTACTTAAGAGTGATATTTTTTATGAATGCGTCCCCTGACCATTTTTGTGATTTTTTGCGGAACCTTTCGTGCCTTCCAATGTCCATCCATCCAACGAAATTTGTTTGACATTTCTTTTACGTAAAGAAGATTTGTCTGAATTCGCACAACCAGAATAATGCGCTTGTCAAAAGAATATTTTTCGCAGCTTTAAAAACCTTAAGCAGGACATTGCGTTATTTAGCCTTTATAATTTGTTAAACTGAGGAATGGTGACATGCATATCTTCTGTGCAATCAAACACGAAACTTTATGATTATTTTGGACCGTTTATTAAGCTTTGTTGTTTCTTTGTTACCTCCTTAACAAATTGTGGTCTCTCTCACCGTTGGTGATTGCTTGATTACAGATTTTACAGGATATGTTGCTGGAGTTGGACTGTGACTCTGACGGTCGAATTTCATTAGAAGAGTGGATAAAAGGTGGTTTAACGACTATACCCCTTCTTGTATTGCTGGGTCTGGATCCGGTGAGAACCTTTAGAGACATTGTTCAGAATAAAACATTCGATTATGTGATAGTGTCAGTAACCACAGTTAGCTTATAGGTTTTTTTCTTAGGGCTGTCTTTATCTAATACTTCAACTTGTTATTATTTTGGAACTGTCCGAGAAAAATATAGAGAAAATTGTACGTTGTGATCTGACACCCTCCCCACTTCTCGATACTGAATGAAATGTACTTGTTCATTTCTAGCTAATACTTTTGATGTAGAAATTCAAAGGCCAGCAAAGTAAGATGGTAGAGTTAGTTGCAGAAATAGTGGCTAAAATAGTTTCAGAAAGGAGGTAGAGAAGACAGTCAATTGAGGACATTCAGGTAAGATATGTTCAGTTAACACTGGAGGATATGCAGTTCCAGGTAACTCAAAGCTACATACGATTGAAAACACGGAAAAACTAGTGCAATTTAAAAGTTGGGAACTGAAAAGTGCATTATTGTAAAACAGTCAGCAGAGTTTATAGGACAGGCAGTGGTTTTTGGTGTATGGAATAAAAAATCAAACGATGAGAGGGGTTGAAGACTAACTGCAGGAAAAGGACAGAGGTAAAATGTTGCAGTGGGATAGTGAGCGATTGGAGAGTCTTTGAAAAAATGTCAAAATAAAAAATGAGTATACTTGAGCCGTAACGAGAGTGTGGTAAATAATAATAAAATATACTTCTGAGATATTCTTATGGCTGTGTATTTAGCGTTAACATATACAACGCACTAGGAACTTGTACTGCAGAAAGGCAGGTGAAGGGAAAAGGATCAAGAAGGAGTTATAGAAGGAAAAAGATTATAGAAGTGGCATGACATCGTTGAGAGAAGAAAGATATTTACGCTAAAAGATACTGGTTGTAATTCAACGACCCAAATAATTAAAGATAGGCGCTAAGCAAAAAAATAATATCTTGCTTAAAACAAATATATAATATCTTGCTTGGAACAAAAATATAATTTCTTGCTTAAAACAAAAAATTAATATCTTGTTCGGGCTTTATACCATCCGATTTTTTGAGGTATGCTAAAAATCCATGTCATAAAGGGTTTTCATAGTAGTTGTATGAAATGATTAAGTTTATCTTTTATTTTTTTGGCTTTAAAAGTATTTTGATATGATTGCCAGCACTTGTATTCTAAGACTGTTAAAAAGCACGGTGGAAAGTGAAGCTTTATTTTTACTTCTTTTGCAGAAAATACGAGATGATGGCCAGCATCAAGTTAGTGAAATGTTTTTTGTGCAAAATTACTCGTATTGCCGAATCTCGCCGGAGATTATTGGTTTGGAAATATTTAATTTTTTTAGTGGCGTCAAAAACATTTCAGCAAGCCTGCCCATTGTAACATGTGTCATTGTGCTCTGACGGGTCGAGGATTTCGTGGACGTCAGGGACTACAATGTATATGTAAGTGTATTTAATGGTTAAGTGCTGCTTTACGTAAGCGCTGCTCTAGTACTTCATCTACAATCACTCTTAAACATACCATGACTCAGACAATGGCAAAACCTCTTTAATTACAGTATTGGAATAAATTATGGAAACATATTTACGAATGTATCAAACAATAAACCAGTGTGTGTTTATTTCTTCTGAAATTGAAACATATCAATTTACTCAACATTTGGCTGTTAATATCAACATCAGAGATAGATAATATGTACAAGTTAAGCTTAATACTTAGTGTGGAACCCTCTAGCTTTACACAACTCTTTCACACGATTTGGGACACTGGCATATAGACTCAGAATAAATGTAAATGAAATGTTTCTTTTGATGTCCTGAAACACATCCACAGTTGTTATAAGTTTGTTGGAGCTCGCTTCAATTTTTCCTTCTCCATATAAGTCCACACCTGCTCAATAATGTTCATATAAGAACTCTGGGCAGGCCAATTCAGAACGGTCAACATGCCATCACGCGTCCTATTTTTTAGGTACTGTTTGATTACCCTAGCTGTGTGCTTGGGCTCGTTGTTTTGTTGGATAAGGAATTTTCACCAATAAGAGCCCTTCCGGTAGGAACAGTGTGGTGGATAAATATCTGCTTATACTTGGCTGCTGTCAGAGTATCAGTGATTTTGTACAGCCTTCCAACCCCACTGTAGGTTATTCAGCGCCAGATTTGAAATGATCCTCAACCATGCTTCACAGCTGAGAAATGTGAACATCACATTTCTCCATTCCTCAAGTGTACATCTTTTGTGATATTTGGCCTGTAACAGTCTTTTCTGTTTGTTGCCACTCCGGACCATAGGTTTTCGTACAGCTACATAACCTCCTAGACCTGCAGCCGTCAAGGTTTTTCAAACATGTATTGGGGACACTATTTTCCTTTGTTGCATTTTCAAAATTTTGTGTTATGTAACTCTTTACTGGAGTTCTGTCTGCTTCTTAACGTCACTTTTAGGTACTGTTTGTCTTAGAAAGTTTCTGCCTTATTAATGCAAAATTTTCATCTGTGCCCTCTCCACTTAGGTTGTTTCCTTCGTTGGTGACATTATGGTTTGTATATTATTAGCCACACCGGGATGTGGGTACAATTTATATACTGAACATGAGTTGTATAGTTGCGATATTTGTTACAACAGCTATCTATTTACCTCATCCATTTTTCCATTACTGCAATAGTTTATACAGATTAACTCGGTCACATTGGTTATTTATTACGCTTTTTTTTAAGTTTCCATAATTTATTCCAATACAGTATATCCACGAGCTTGCTGCTTAGTCGATGAGAAAAATTGTAACCCTTATATATATCTATTTTTTATCATGTCTCTATCTTCTCTCCACTTTCCAATCCTCTCTCCACTTCCCTAGTCTTTCTCCACTTCCCTATCCTCGCTCTACTCCCTATTCTCCTTCCACTCCCTATCCTCCCTCCACTTCCCTATTCTTCCTCCACTTCCCTATCCTCGCTCCACTCCCTATTCTCCTTCCACTCCCTATCCTCCCTCCACTTTCCTATCCAGACTGCCTGTGTAGTGCAACCATAGTGATTCTATTCCTGCACTATATTCTGAAAACCTTGCAATATATTACGAATAAATATTTATGTTGCTTATACAATGGTATTTTTAATTCAGTTTGTAAATTTACTGTCCACGAAAGATGTGTAAACCGAGTTCCTGCGTCTTGTATTAACACTTACGTTAAAACAAAAAGAGCAGCAAAGTTGGTAAGAAAATTTCTCATTATCTCATCATCTCATTTCCTCGTTTTTTAGTGAAAACAATGCAATTTAGAGATTTGTTTGATTTTCTGCGTTTGTTCAGCGATTTTATCACTGTAACACCCGATTCCTTTATCGAGATTCTTTCTCCTTTTTGTGCTGTTATGTTGAAACTTGTCAATGTTGTCTTATTGGAAATAGAAGTTAACTATAAGATATAACATTTCGCGAGCTTCAATATTCCAATCATCATTTGAAATAATAAAATTAAACAGCGCCACTAGACTTTCGACAGCGTCTGAAATTGCCTCAATTTGTCCTGTTTTTATTGCTATGTAGTTTGTCTCGTTAAACATTTTATGGTTGATTCAAATTACGAGTGAAAAGGCAGTGTTTTTGTATTTGAAATTTTTCATTATCCTTGGATGCCTACTTCTGTTGTTCGGAGCTTTTTGCTTAGAGTATGTATCATGGTATTTCTTAGACCATGGACCATCATTGGGTGGAAGGCAATTGCTTTGGGAAATGCAGCAAATGTGGTAAAACTATCAAAAATACTCATTCACTGTCAGGACTACATTGTACATGGTGTCACATCATGGTAAGTTGGGAAGAAACAACGTTAGTACGTAGTGACAACGAATAAAAAATCTCAATGTTAATTTTTTTCTGCTGCAGTTGCTGGCTGATAATTCATACTCTACTCATAATCTTTATTGAGAAACTGGCTTGTTTTCTCGCTGCGTTATCATGTATAGGGGGGCAACCACCTAGATATATATATAGGAAGTTTTGTTTACTTGATTTTCCGTAATTACAGTGCTCGATGCGTTAGAGCAGAGCATAAATATTGATGAGAAGAAGAAAATACACAAAAACTACAATTTCATCACGACAAGCCTGTTTTGTGATTTCTCTTTCATTTTGTATTATTAATATCAATTTTCGCCGACAGCTATCGTTCGTTGATATAAAGATGTTTTGATACGTTTACCACAAAATCTGACAGTATTTCGCAACACAAACGACTGCTGCCGGAGAGGAACAAACTCCGGGTCCGACAGGCAAAATAGGCGGAGCTCCGGCTTAACTCCGGCCTCCGATACTTCCGGTGCACAGCACTACCCCCTTCCTCTCCCCCCCGCAAAAAAAAATGAGGGGAAAAAGAGACCGCGAAGAGCAACTTTTTGTTTCAATTTTCGTAGTGAATATATGTATCAGTGGATATAATAATCAAATTGTGTGCAATGCTTGATCAATCGTTGAATGTTGATCATATACGTAGGAAAGAAAGAATTACATTTATGGTATAACAATAGTATGGTACGCTTTTTTTCATGAATGTGACAAGTTTTGATCCCTTTACCTTGTAGATTCATAACAAGTGTGTGTCACAAACACCATTGGAATGTGATTTGGGCGAACATCGCATTCATATTTTGCCACCTATTTGTATACACCCTGCCAGCATGGTAAGCAACTAGTTTGATTTTATACAGTATTACAAAAAAGTTTTTAAAATATGAGTTTTTCGCGTGGCCCAGCATACCTAGACCTTTTCGTGACTTCTAGAATTGTGTGATGTGAGATAAGTGTGCCAGCGCGTGATTTACGTCGTGGAATAACCTTATTTAAGAAAGTAACGAGGCAATTGCTTTGTTTATGTAACTGATTTACTTTTGTGATTTACGAATATCTCTACGAGCAAAATATAGGTGGTCTTGCGTCAACAAAACACATTATTTCACTCGGTTGTGGTTATTGCAGCATGACTACTTTCAAAATAAAAGGAATGTATACGAAATAATATGAAGAGAATTTAACGTTTTGTTTTTCTCTTTTGCTAATGTACATATTACTATTTCGTGATATGAATTCTCGTACAGAATAAACACAGAAGCGGAAGTGATTGTGAAGATCACGCTGTTCAATCAAGAAGTAACACCGTTTTAAATCTGGATGGAATGCCAATACAGGCACGTAAAGATGCTATTTTCATTTGAGTTTTTATTTTGATGTAAATGTTTTTTCATTTTTATTACAGATCACTCCACTCCCAAACACAAATCCTCTTGTTGTTTTTATAAATCCTAAAAGCGGTGGACGACAAGGAACGAGGTTTGATCAAAAGTGGTTTTGATTTTTGTTGTCGTGTGGAGTCTGTAACTTTAAGTTTTCTTTTGTCTTTGAAAGATTAAGTATTGTATTTTATTCATATCATCAAGTATGTTGTTATTTGTTATGTAAATACAGCTGCTAGCTAAATTCTTTTAGGGGAGGGCATAAAAGTTAATTATGTTTTCGAATGAGTACTACCATTGTTAACATCGATTGTTGTTTTCTTCACGTAGATTGTTGTGGAAATTTCAATATCTTCTTAATCCAAGACAAGTTTTCAATCTTGCAGATGGCGGGCCTACTCCCGGGTTCGTGAGTGTGTTTATATTTATAGCTTTAACCGATGTACTTTCAGATTGAGTACAACGGAATGAATCTCCTTTTTGTTAATGGACGTTCACTCAAAGTAAATCATGTGAATGTAGATGAAACTTATTCTTATTCTACATCGTTCATTATGCGTTGACGATTCAGTTTTGTAGTATCACATGCAACCAAGCTGTATTGAGTGTCTATAGTAGCTACCAGTTTGAACAGTATTAGCTATCACATGGATCCAGGCAGGCTGTATTATTGCCTTCTACAAGTTTTTACGATGTCAACTATCACATGAAACCATTCTGCACTACTAGTGTAGTGCATAGTACCAATTTTAATGACATTAACTTTCATATGGAACCAATATGTAGTAGTGTAGTTCTTAGTATGACATCATGGTCCGGCAATAGAAGCGTTCCGAAAATTTTTCATCAACACAGTAGCTCACGTTTTTCAATTGATCTACGTATTTCCTGAACGAAACCCTTTGGAAAAACTCTTAACTGCCTGTTTTGAATTGACCAATCATACAATTTGCAATTTTTAAATCAACTAATTACAACAAGGCTTTTTGAATCACTCCGTAACTGAATGAATTAAGGTGATTGGAACAGGTTGAAAACAAAACCCAAATTCAGCTGTCATGCTAAACAAATATTTAAATGATCATAAAGATTTTACTTTTGACAGCTGTCAAAGTAATCGTCGGCGCTATAAATACAATCAATATCAATCGCTAGTAACTTAGCTTCTGGCGATAGTCAGTTCACTAGTTCTAAAGCTCGTCACTAATTCATCAAAAGCTCTTTCATTTAAGAAATTTCAGCATTTAAACAGGGGAAAATTCAATCCAATTTCTTTCATTTGCGAAGTAATTCACAAAGCTTTGACGTGATTGGTTAATTTTAAAATACACGTGGTATGATTGTACAATTCAAAACATGAAATTAGAAGTTTTTATTAAATGAGTTGCGTTGAGGAACTCAGTGGATTAACTGAAAAAGGGTGTGCTGATATATTGACGCAATTAGTGCTTTCCACTAGTTTTTCTAACGATTTTTACTGTTTTTGTTTTTTTTGGAGCCAGGCTTCATAATTGCTTTTAAAAAGTTACTACAAGTTCATCACTTTCTTTTTAGATTAAAATTTTTCGCGAGCGTACCAAATTTTCATATTTTGTGTTGTGGAGGGGATGGAACAGCGGGATGGGTTCTCTCTTGTCTCGGTAAGATACAAAAATTGTTATACTTTTGTTCTTGAGAAATGATACTTTATTTAATATTGTTTTAATCACTTTTTTTAGATAAACTTTGCTTGTCGCAATCGCCCCCGGTCGCTATTCTACCTCTGGGTAGGTGATTTTCTGTGTTTGTTTAAATATAAGTTTCTTTTACATTTATTATGCTGGAAGAATATTTTTAGGGTATTTCTGCTTTCTCTTTTATCAGGAGCGCATTATATCTTAATGAATATTTTGATTGGTTTTAGGAACTGGTAATGATCTTTCACGTCATTTACGATGGGGTGGAGGTATGGAATTTATTCAAGATTTGTATTTATTATCTAATGTTTGTGCTTAGAGTGTGCGAAACTTTGAACTAAAAATCCATGTTTCAACGTTTTCACAATATGAATGTGTTTTTAGGCTACGAGGGTGAACGTCTTTCAAAGATTTTGAAATCTGTTGAGAACAGTTCAATAGTCTCCTTGGACAGGTTGGAATTCCATTCATGTCGAATACAAGCGTGTATCATTGATTTTTACCTCTAAAATTTTTTATCGTTGTCTTTGTGGTATATGTGCAGCTTAACCATTTAGCAAAACTGATTGTCATTCCACTTTTGTTTTCAACTTTTTCTTGATTCACAGTGGACACATTTTTTAATTTGTAGATGGGAGATTACTGTTGAACATACTGATGAATGTGATGTTGCTGATCAAATTCCTTTAAACATTATCAACAACTATTGTTCCATCGGAGTGGTAAGTTCAGAAAACAGCGATGTTTGAGGATTCACTTTAGACAAAAATGCATTGTATTTTACTCAGTGTTGGTTCTTTTATCTCAATTTTCATTTTATGTTGATCATCTCTCAATAGTGGTGTTTTAATATGAACTTTGTCGTTAACACATTGTGTGATGGTGGTCTTTGTTATGAAAATGCTATTGTTTTTCAAAATTTATTAGGACGCTTCAATCACTCTTTCATTTCACTTAAAACGAGAGGCTCATCCAGAGAAATTTAAGAGCAGGTACCTATACTTAGTATTACCTTTAAGGGATTATACGTCGGTTTTGCAGAATTTAAAGTTTATCAAGCGTTAGCGTTTCCAAAGACAGCATAATAATTCCTGCGCGACATTAGTGACTTGTGAACTTCTCTAATTGCGTTTTCAATAACTCTATACGTTTCGCGGAAAGAAGAAATTGTTTAGGTCATGGTGGAATTTACTCTATTTTAGAAACTATGAAATTTAACAGTCACCCATCATTTGGATTATTTTAATGACAACATGCGCTCTTTTAAGTTCCTTGAAACACAAGCTCTTTATTTATAGTTCTTCCTTTAGGCACAGAATAATGGTTATACAGGGTCACTCAGGTGCACAACGTCGTGTCCTCATGTCGGCCATTATTCCCGCCAGATGATTAGGATTTCTCACTTGTTTCCAACCATTAAAATTACATGACGTCAATACTTAATAATGAATTGAAGTATATTTTGATTTAAGAAATGACTTCGGATCATTTTAAAGGTTGGGAAAAAGTCAAAAACCGTTCGATAATTTTATTGATATTTATATTCGTTTAGATACTTAAAGTCGTGGGAGCAGACATTCATGTCATCCAGTACATTTTTCAATATATTTTGCGTATTTTAGTTCTTGTTTTCAAGTCTTGATCACATCAAATGTTTTGCGCCAAACGAATTTTGGAAAGTACAGAGAGTGCGAGTCCATGAATAGTCGGCTTTCTTTGATCTTGTCGTGTGAAAATAGAGCAAGTTCTATTTCCATCCGATTTTTCAGCCTGACGGACCCGACTGTCGGAAGCTCACTTTACATATGTTCATTCGATCCGTTTTTTTGGATCCGACAAAATCGGATCTTGTGAACGGGCCTTTTTGCTGATTGTCCCTTATTAACTCATTAATTTTTCTAGACTAATGAATAAATTCAAATACTTCGAGTATGGAACATCAGAAAACTTTTCTGCGACCTGTAAAAATCTTCACGAAAATCTCGAGCTCATTGTGAGTGGTTTCTATTTTTGCTGATTTTTATTAAAAAATGTAGATGGTTTGATTTGAAATCTAAGTAATCTTTGTTAGGATTGCAACTATTATCGATAGCTCTTGCATACATATGTGTATTCAATTCCCCACTCTCGTAATCATTTTGGGAGAAGAATATTGTGCATTTGACAGAAATACGAACTGTCAGCATTGGAATATTTATTATAAAATCATTAAGTCGAAGTAGTCAAAATAAGCTGCAAAAAAACTATAAAAACAGCTCGGCATCAATGCGCATGCTCCTTCAATGCATGCTGCACATGCAAAACCTTTTTTAATAATAAATTTTATTCAAGAGACTGGTATTAAAAATATCGATATTTTACGAAAGTATTGATACTTGAGTATCTGCCCACAACAACACAATGCTCAGTTCTATTTTTTTCTTGAAAAAATCTCTAGTTTGTAAGCAATAGGTACCTGCAAATAATAACCAAATTACTTGACAACTGTAGTGTTCCATGTTAAAGTTCAATCAGTGTCAAATTCTTTTAAGTGTGACGGCAAGAAATTAGATCTAGCTGCTGGACCAAGTCTGGAAGGAATTGCAATTTTAAATATTCCGAGCTACGCAGGTGGTACTCATCCATGGGGTGAGGTGGATAAGAAGAAATCCAGAAAGAAAAATAAGAAAGCAAAATTCAATGGAAAAGACGATAATGAGTGGGCTGAACAAGGTAATATTTTACCGTGTATACATCTGTAGCTGCAATCCAAGTATACGTAATGCAGCACTTATAGAAATATATGTTTTTGTCCAGTTGATTCCTTATAAAATTGCCAAATTTAACTTGACCCTGTAGATTTTTAGTGAGATGTGACATGTTTAATATAAATGAATGGATTTATCTCTATATGCTATCGTCATTCTATATATGTATATCAAAAATTTGCTACCAAGTCGTTGAGGAATACCGTTGACTTAATTTTGTTCCGTTTCACTTGCTCAAGGAATATTCAAAAGCATTTTTTGTTTTCGAAGTTGTTTCGAATGGTTTTTTGACATCCTTGTCTGATTTGATGATTTAAGTCAATGAACTCATGTTATTATTGGAAAATTCTTGTTTGGTCAGACGAACATTATAAACGTTCACGATGAATATTTGTTCAGTAATCTATACTGAATCGTCACGTTTTATTGGTTCAGTTTACCATTAAGAACGATGAGAATCAGTAGCATATCTATCGGTCCTTCTCTTCTTTCCCATCAGAACGAAATGTTCTTGGCAAAATGAAGACGAGTAAAAAAACAAAAACAGCAAAAGTTTGTTCTTCACCTCACAAGACAATGATTTCCACAGCTCCCTCATGATATTTTTTATCGAGTTACTAAGCAACAAAACTTTTAAAAACGAAAACGTTGGCCCTAAAATTGTTATTGAATCATTTCGGATCGTGTTAGTTGATCATTTAAAATGTTCATTATGATCATTGGTGATGTAGATATTATAAGCAGAGTAAACGACATATTTTTGATTTCTACATTTTAATACCTCGTCAAACAAATTTTGTCTAAAGAATCCTACTAATTTCTCTCAATTGTTCTTGCCTCATAGTTTTTCGAACTTTAACTACACAAAGATTAAGTAAAGAAAACATACCAGACTACCAGTCTATAACTGCAGTTTAATGCTGATGTGGAATGAGGAAAAACGTCTTTGAACTTGTAAAGCAGATAAAAATAATTGGAAAACTTGAATTCGTGTTTTTGTGGCGTTCTTGGAACTCTCCATTCACATTTCTATCGGTAGGTTTCCCAGAAATATTAATATTTGCTTTATTGTTTAGATATTGGAGATGGTCTCATTGAAGTTGTCGGCTTTGAAAACGCACTTTATGTTGGTCAAATCATTGCTGGTGTTAGAGCGCATGCGCTGAGGCTGGCTCAATGCTCCACAATTACCATAATGTACGAGAATATTTAACGTTTTATAATGCCACATGTAGATGTAAGAAAATTTGAAATTCGAATAACGAAATTTGATTTTCTCAATAAAACTCTGTATATAAGCAATTTTGATTCAATTAAATATTCTCTTGTGATTAATGATATAAGATCTAACGTTTGATGTAACCATTGTAGAACAAAGAAGTTGTTTCCCATTCAAATTGATGGAGAACCGTGGAAACAAGCTCCAGCCACCGTAAGTGTTTACTCCTTCCCAGTTTCTTTTGAAACTTCAGTCATCCTTGCTCTGTCTCCTCTTCCTCACTCTTGGCTTAAGATGTTACGAAATTCTACTAGTCTTCTCCCTTTTTATGGATTTTATATTATAGATACGAATTTCACATTTCAACCAAGTCCCAATGCTTCAAGGACCATTGCCATCAAAGAAGGGATTTTTCTCAAGACGAAAAGCGGAAGTCGAGCAAGACCTGGACACCGAACTTTAAAGGTAATAGAGGCTGAGGGAACTTCGCAACATGCAGTACAATGTTCTATATATTTACTTATGTTAAATGTGACAGGAGATATTTTACGTAATCTACGAAGTTTCTCGACCTGTATAGATAATAGAAAGTTGAAACTGTGTTTCCTTTAATTTATTTAAAGTTTGGTTAAAAGTTTTATTCGTTATCTCGCTAATGTTGTAAAGGGACCGTGAATACTGTGGATCAGTATTCCTCGGCAGTTTAAACAGTTCAAGACAGTTGTATTATATGAAGACTTCTGTTGTGTTATATATTTTAGTATATTTAATTTGTGTTATAGATGCACTATGAGAACTTTAGTTTCAAAAGTTTTTCATCGAGTAAAATTGAAATTGTAGTTTAAACCGTGAGTTATTTTTGTATGTGAGACATGTCCAAACTTGTGACGACACTTTTTTAATAGAAACAACTATTCTGTATGATGGTTTCCAGGCCAGGTGGCGACGCTAAGTTAACAATTATTTGATGAGGCTGAACTGGGCTGAACATGATATCAAGAATTTTTGAGAGCTCGGTCAATGTTATCCGCCCCATGTTGAATTGAAAATGTTGATCCTCGAAATATAGTCTTGTGCCCAATTTACATAAATTCTGTACGAAACTGCCTTCCATCTCTATTTTATGTACATGATTAAAAAAGCAAAGAATAGGAAATGAAAAGCAAGATTTTTCATTACACAGTCGGCAGATGTTTAAATTTAAGGGGTTAAATGTGTTTATCTGAAGGTTTGTAATATATGTGACCAACTTTGCAATTTGATTATCCAACCAATCTTCAGGGCCGGATTTACCTAAAGGCTTACGTGGTTATAGCCTAGAGGCCCACAATTTGAAGGGCCCATGCCGCAGCTCGCACTATTCTTTGATAAGCCGTATTTTGTGTGCACAAAAAATATGAGTATGTTAACTCATATATCAATTTATGGACGAGTCAGGTTTGGTTAGTGTTTTCCCTGATGTGGGAGTTTGCTTTCGCATCTACCATAATGGTCACAAACTATGGAGATAAACGATTATTTTCAATGGGATAAATGGTCAAGTGTGATTGTGGGACTTTATACAAAGAAAGGCTACATTTTGATAGTACTTTGTGCATTAAAAGTAAGGACGCGTGAAGCCACAACATCGATAAGATTATTCTATACAGATTGCAAAGCAGATGTCACACAGTGCCATCATTGGGTCAATGAAGGGTAAAGACGTCATATTTCGTTGTCTTTGTCTCTGGCCGTCCCTCTCCTCAGTTAGCCTGTATATCGAACAAAGGTAAATCCGGGACTGCCTATATTCATCTGTACGTAGACTCATGGATGACCGACGGAAATTGTGGTTACGAAGAGGGAGGCAGTTGACTGATGGGAATGACCATCTTGCTTTGCTTTTGATATTAATGTACATTTGAGTTCCTCTCAAATGTTAAAATAACATTACTTTAAACAGTGTCTCCAAGCTAAAGACTACATTTTGTGTCCGATCAAACGCCAAAAGAGGCGATATCTTTGCACTTGTTATCGAGTAATTGAAGGAATAGCTATAAGTAAATTTCTCTAAACTTTGAAACTGCTTCTAATGACATTTATGCGTGAATTTCATTGCATTAGAAATGGAAAAAACTCGAATTTCGAGTATTATTTATTAAAACGCCCAGTTTTTCACTTTTAATGGAAGTTTTCATTCCCTTATTTGTTTTATATTCTTGTATGAATATTCAAATGTGCCTGCAGTTTCCAGTTGATTCAAATAAATTCCAATGAAAAAACGACAGATCGTATGAACATGATTAATACTGTGTATTTACAACATATATTTATGACTTTATAATGACGTCATTTGTTGCGTGTCACGTGTGTTTGGCCAACGATCGAAGACAAAATTTGCTTTGTTTAGTAAATGAAAAATATTTTTTTGTTTTTTTATCAAGTTTGAAGTTATTCATACCATTTTTGCTTAAAAATAATCATGATGATACGGTGGTGGCCACCATACTTGAAAAAAGAACATGTACCCGCGTTTGAATGTGCCATTGAATGGGGAATGAATCCGTCATGTTTCTGTTTGATAAACATAGTCTATAGGAGGAGGGGGCAAAGGGGCAGGCGTCTTCCCACTCCAACTGTCACAAAAATTAACGTAAGTGAGGAATCTTGGAAAATAGTAGTAAAGACTCAGGCAATCTGAAAAATGTTGCATATTCTTCCCAACAGTTGGGCAATGTTGGTGTATGCTTTTGCCTGTATGCCTTTGATGATAAAGAGTCGGAACTTGTCTGCCATATTGTTATCAAAGTAAACAATCCCTTATTACTTCTCGTATAAGTGAATCAGTGCTCTCGTTCAATAAATGATCAAACATTCGATTTTTTATGTCGAAAGCCGAAACAAGTTTTAGAGCGTGTATGGTCCATCTGCTTTTGACAGTTTGTAAATAACATATGGTTTGCTTAATCTCTTAGGACAAAATTTTATTAGAAATATATTATTGAGGAGAAATTGTCAATAAATGAAGTAAACAATTCAAAATATGAAAAGAATACAACACAGTTTATAGAAACAGCAGGCGTTCGTATGAAGTTGTAAACATTAATAACTCCATACATACATTTCGTCAAAATAATACAGTTTTCTAAACCTCGAAAGGAATGAAAGTTCACTTGAGTATCGCAAATCTCCAACTTCTTGTCTTGACTATAAATCTGTGAGTCTTCCATATAGTCGATAAAGTATTTGTTGTGGTTGAAATGCTAGGCAACATTTTAATGTTTAACTCTTGTTCTTATAAAGCTCATGACAATTATACGCCTTTTTAATAAAGATATCCATGCCAATTGCCAAATATAATGTACACAATCCCACCATGCTCCGCGGCTATGCAAAGCAATAAACCTGTACATTATCAACAAATTTTGCAATACTATAGCTCGTTTTTTTTGCGACGTCAAACTTTGACAAATTTTTTCACAGTGGCATATTAGAGCAATTGCTTCTCAATTTTGTTAAAAGTGAATACAGTCATCTTGTTACGTTGTTCTTGGATATATTCATTTTTAATAGTCGTTTGCTGGGACCTATTTGTTTCGCTTATAAAAATTTAACCCGCTTGTGTTCTGTTTTCGGATTTTCATAATTTTATTTTATAATCACTACTTCAATTTCTTCTTCTGATAAAGAGAATCAATAAATTGATGAATTGAAACGTGGCTATGGCTATGTATTAATCGGCAATAACGTTCATACCACAGCAAACTTTAAGAAATTCTTTTAGTTTTCTAAGGAAGTTGTTCTATTCGAAATGTGCTTGGAATAGACTAGCCAAATTAGACATCTCGTATAAATGAAAGTCGTCGTTTGAGTTGAAGAGAAATCGTGTCTTTTTTCAAATTCGATTCAATTTTTTTTCGTTATTAGTTCTAGCAATTTTGATTGCATTAATGCTTGGATAGAGGTTAAACATAAACAGCTTGAATAGACTAAAAAACCGCGCTTTGCTTCAATACTTAATTTCGATCAACAAAAATATTACACAATTCATGAATTAAAAGCGCGGTGGACTATGAAAGAGATTTGCAAAAACACCTGCTTATGTCCTGTGATAACGCATGATTCAATCAGTATTAAAAACATACAAAGAAAGGTATATAAATCATATTAAAGTAGTCCTCTTATCAAATTCAATGATATTGCAAAGCATTGAATCTCAAACAGTCATAAAAAATAACATTCAAGAGGCCTCTTTCATTTAGCAAATAAATTCATGTAATTTCTTTGAACAGTTTGTCATATGATGCAAAAATGCCTTTTTCTTAAGCACATGTGAAATATCTTCGATGCGTATTGCAACCATTGTTTAAATAGATAAAGTGGGCCTGACATTACGAAAGGAGACTTTTTGAAAACCTTTAAAACTTTCCTAATACTTCCCACACTTTGTCAGACATAATTTCAATCATACTAAACTTGATTGACCAATGAGTAGGCTGCAGAATGCATCTTTTATTAGTTGGTTGATCATTTATGCTAAAGATTAATATATTTGGGCTGTAAAATCATACTGCAAATTGTTTGTAATAGCCGTTGGTGCATGTTATAGAATACAAAAACCAAGAACTTTGTTCTGATAAATTTTAACGAATTCTTTTTGTCAGCAAAAATACGTTTGGGCGAAAAATATTTATGACGTGAAAACACAACTATTTTAGTATGTCAGAAATTTGAAAATAAATAAATTAAGAGTGATGTAATCAAATAAATAGCGAACTTCAAGTGTGCATGTGTTTATCAAGTTAGATTTCACGTCGCTTTGTTCATATATCACTACTCACACAACTCGCTTTGCACGATTATAATTTAAACATCTTCCGTTATCACACCTTATTTTGTTTGAAGTGTTTAGCTAGTAACTTAGCGAAATTAAATTTCAAACATGATTCCAGAATTATCTTACGAGCACTTTCCATTCCACGTTTTAAAGGTACAGTACATTCGTGCACTTGTGACTTTCGTATAACTTTATTTAACTTTTTCTATTATTAAATTCCAGGAGTTATCCTTTGTTCATTCCAAACAAGAAAAACAGCACGGAAAGTTAGGAAATCCCAAAGAAGAGATGGGACTGACGAAGGAGTCGTTAGGTATAGATTATGTATTATTGTATAACAATACGAACAATGATGATAATTATTGCAATGCATGAATTCTACTGTAATTAACTTTATAATTTGAGTATTTTTTCTGTAGAACTTTTCGAAGATTTGTCGCAAATGCAAGAACACTGGATGAGTGAAGGTACTTTTTAACTGTTTGATGTGTTCAAATAAGAGTTCAAGTACTTAACTACTTGGAGAGCACAAACACTAGCAAAAACGTATTATAAAAAAAGATATGTCTTCATGAAGTATCTTAAAATCTTTCTTTTCTATTATGTATTTATTGTCAAATATATCGTGGTGTTGTATGTTGCAGTACGAATGACAGACACAATTGTCAGTGGCAAATTGGACTCGAAATTGAATTCACGCTTAGAAAAATGTCACGAACAGGAAAAAGTAGAGGGTAAATAGTGTTGAACAATTTTATGATTTTCTTACTTGTGAAAACAAACAACGCTCAGTGAAAAGAGGCCATTTGAACATTCATACATTTACTGATCTGCTTTTGTGTGGCCTATACTGTCCTTACATACATTATGTAAGAAAGTTTAACTTTTCTCTAGAAGATAGATAATTTGGGCGCTTCTCTTCCCTCGTTTGTTATTACTCATCAATAAACCGAAACTTTACGAAGTATGATGAAATCGAATGCATTTATGATTTTGAGATTAATACTGCCTGCCTAATTGATGATGCAGCTTGTATTTTGCCTTAAATGCTTCATCGAAAAATTACATGAGATCGGTCAGCTGCTTATGATGGTTGCATCGAAGGATTGAAAATGATCACGTGTTATTTATGGATCATAGACTATAGCGAAGCTCAAGATAAGTTTAGATTAGTTAGGGCCACTGTTAGCCGCCTATCGAACATCGTCTTTATTGCCATGTTTTTATTGACTAGCAACTTCGTGTAGTTGTATTTGCCATATATGTAAGCTTTCAGCGCTACCACGCAAATTTTAGAGTCGAAATTTAATTACAGTGATTGAAGTTTAGAGCTGAGTTTGTGATTAATAAAATAAAGAGATAAGAGAAACTACATCACAGTCTAAATTTCGTCTCCACCTGTCTCTATGCCAAATATCTTGAATGAAACGATCGTCATAGGTTAATTAATGTAATCTAGAACATATAGAAGATAATGAATAGAACTTTCAAAACATGTTTTATCAAATAGATAATTTTGAAATGGATCACGCAAACAAAGCGCGTGATAAGCTGGTGGCACATTATAGGAAAATTTTTCGTTTTTACTGATGTTGAGGACCGTCCCCCCATTAATTTGGCGAGAGTTTAGCTGTGCCAAAATTGCTTTCTCTTGAAACTAAATTGCTTGATGTCTTAAGTGAATTGCTTTCAAATGAAATTTTCTGGGGCACAACTAAATATGTGAATAACTCTTTCCTCTCTCCCAACTAACGTTATAGGGATGGTCCTGGTGATGTAGAACTGGGAACATGTTCAATGTTAAAAATTATCTCGTCATTTGAAATTGATGTAAAGTTTTAGAAACGTCTATGCCTTATTGTCAGCTTTTCCTATAATTTTCTATACAAGCTGTGCTCTCCTAAAACAACAACCTCTGTCGATTATTAAGCTACAAACGTATTCTTCAAAAAAATTTTTTTGAAACGTCGACAGTACGTAGGAGTTTTTGGTTATAAGTTTGTTTTTGTTGGTCGTTGTTGTGCATGAAATGTTTGCCCACAAAAGATTACATCATTGCAAAATTATTTCAATGTCATAGTAAGTGATGGTTTCAAGACTAACGCCTACTGTCTGCCATTTAATATATTCACATCAAGCTTATCCCATTAAAAGACCATTAAGTCGAGCAAGCCTATTGATGTACTTCATCTTGGCACTTATTTGAGATAACACTGTGTTTCGCTCGTTTGTTGAATTACGCAATCTTTATTGTATAAATAGAAAGTTGGTCAAAAGAAACGATCAAAGTGGAAAGTAATGATTCACTGGAGAGCTGTAGTCAACAGAACAGAACAATGGACTTAAACAATAGTCTGTCATGGTTTGAGTTTCATCCACGTTATCAAACTACAAAGACAACTGGAGATCAAATGGCTGGTCACACATTGAAAACGAATATGACCAGGTGTCATAATAGGGCTTCACATGAACCATCAAGCTCTTTTAACGATGTAAAAGTTGAAAAACTCAAGCACTGTGACCAGTTTAGAGGTAGAATCATTGTTTGCACTATTTAACACCTATTTTTCTTATATTCTCGTATATATTCGTCATAATCATGAAATTGAATGCGTTAAATTTTCTACAACTGTTGAAACATATTGTACTAAAGTTATATATAGATGTATAATGTGCAGACTTTGATGTTTTCTAGGTCAGTATAACGAACAAGATCAGATCGGTTACATGTGCGACATAAGTTCACCTCGTATTGCAGGTAAATTCTAAGTATTCTCAAGTGTATGCTCTAAAATAATGAAATATGTGCTTCGTTGTTTTAAATCCACGAGGAATTCGATTTGATTTTTCAGTCCTGAACAAATAGCCAATTATCAATAGATCAATAATCATCGTCAAGTTTCTTTGTCAAATATTACTGCCGGACTAGAAAATATTCCTTAAAACATCAGGAATGTAGTTTTATGCTTAAAACATCAGGTACGTAGCTTTTAGCTGCGTGTACTTACTACGTCTACACATCTTTAGAGAACTTGAGGTAAATTTGAATGCCAATGATATCATGTCGACAATTTAAATTTTTATCGTAGTCTAATTCTCTTTAGAGAAAATATGACATACATATAGGAATACATTAAGTAATATTTAAATGTACGACAGCAAATAACAGACGATGTGCGTGTTGTATAAATAATATAATTACTGTGTTATCTCTCTTTAGTGACAGATGTTTCTTCGTTAACTTATATTCAATCTTTCAACTCTTTGGGCAATTAAAGTGCGGGCAGCGATTATTACATAAACTATAAAGTAAATTTGTTTTGCTTTTTTGTCGAAGTGATTAAACGACAGAGCTGCTTAATCCTATGTATTAATTTGTCATAATCGAAAGAAAATACTTGAACAAAGGTTGGTTCATGTTTTTTTATTGGAATTTTAACATGTCCTCGAATGATGACAAAGAGATTCGTTCATTTCCCTAAATAAATATGCAGAATAATAGCAATGGTGGTACTTCAGCCACTTTTAATGGTTATACTTCATGATATTAGATCGTTTTTAGTCTTAAATAATAAGTTTTTAAGACTTAAAGACGCCATTACTATCGTTGGAGTCTCTCATTAATGTATGAAGTGTGCGACAGAATTAAAATTTGACATCTGAACAAAAACTAATATGTTAATTGCGTTGTAGTTCATATGCTATCCAGGTAATCCTATACAAGGATTATGGAAAAATTAATGTACGTAATTTACTTTAATAATGAAACAGAGACTTTGTAGTGGTGACAAACTTAAAGATAGATTTCAAAATAGCAAATACCATGGTGAATGGTGATAATAACAATGTAATAGTTCTTATAACAGTTAAAACAGTTCTTTTAAGAACTATTGCATTGTTATTATCACCATTCACCATGGTATTTGCTATTTTGAAATCTATCTGTAATTTACTTTGTGGATATTCATCTTTAGCACGCTATAGCTTAGATATGGATAGTGACATTTTAATCGTAATAGAACCTTGTTAAATTATTTTCAAGAAATAAACTTTGGTAATCATCGTTATTGAAAAAAATGCTATCCTTGGTTCCTGGTTTCGTGCATTCGGTCCATATCTATAAGACTAATCTTATAAAGTAACATTTTACTATTTTTGCTGACTAAACTCTTGCCATGAGTTGATTGGAAAGATGGCACAATTTGAAAGGTTATTTCGTTCGACACAAACGATAATATAGCATGTCATAATTCTAAGCTTTTGCAAAATTTTCCAGCTCATTAGTACGACTACAAGAAATAACACATGCCACTTAATTGTGTTGCATACATCTTGACTCTGAAGATGACTACCGGTAAAGATGTCGATCAACACAAACACCAACAGTTCTGAGAAGGACTGTTTTAACTTTATAATTGATATGAAACAAAAAATTTGAAGAGTACTTTCGTTCAGTTTTTTATACCTAAAAATAACTTTCGTTTGTTTGTCAAAGTGAACGTCTTAACTCATAATGAATGAAAAGTATAGATAAATGTTGTTTCACAAATGCCTTTGTTATTAGGATCGTGCCAAGAACGTTAATTTCGTTTGAAAAAATTTCACTAAAGAAATTAAGCAATTTACGTTCAAAAGAAATTAGTTGGGGACAACTGATGAATTATTATTACAACGTTATGTTTGCTCTGTCTCAAAACTATTCAAACTGTGTTTACTCGTATTGCTAAAGACCGTTATTGACATTTCTGAAAAATTATTCTTTATAAAAGAATTCAGCCAAAAAATCATGCTGAATTTGGCGTAGTGTTGTCGCCAGCTCACAAGTGTCTAATCCTGGTTAGCCGGTTACACGAAGCCTAGATAGCGTAATCCATTGGATATTGAATTTTTCAAACGGTTAAAAAGCCTCATAAAAAAAGAAAAATATATTATTTGAAATGACTAATCAATGAAAAAAATATTGCTCCTAAGATTACAAAATTTTACGTCGTAACGAAAATATACAAACACTTTTTTACAAGAATGAAAATTTTACCATCCAATGGATAACGCTATCCTATAGCTTCTTGCAACCTGCCTCAGCTGTGTATATTTGAGAACACAATCATCATTCATTTTATTAGAAATCTATTGTTTTTTGAATAATCAAACACCGAAATATTTACACAGCAGGGCTAAACAAACGGCTGTTCACTGCTTGGGAAACCATTTTTTTGCTCAATTTTTTGTCGAATTATTTTTGATAGGGAGCTGTGGATATGAGACGAAGACTAGTTCATTCTGTAAAGATACATTGTCTTTTTATGAGAGATATCAACGAAACTACACGGACTATAATGAACGTAAGAGTTTATGGTTGACACACTTTTACATCAATATATATAAAGTCAGTGCTAATTTTGTTTATAAGTCAGTCTTAATTGAAGTTCCACTTTTTTCGAAACTTTTGTCCAATGATGTATTTTTGAAACTTTTCCAAGTCAAAGGATGTGCGTTATCTTTTCAAAGCGAGACTCCACTAGTCCGGAACCGACATATTGGCTAGAGATTAGAATAAGATCAATTTTGCGTGTTGAATAGAAGACGGAATTATGTACTAAAATGTAGCATCTTAAAATAACATTTTTTCACTTAGAAAAACTTTACTTTAATGAAGAGACAAATTTAATGTTGGTTTTGTGATCAAACTCGTTTATAAAGCGCTCCTTGTAACTTTATAAATTGATAACACTGGTCAACAAAAAGAAACTTTTTAAAAGGTGTCTGATATTTTTTGACTGATTTACTATATTTTTGCTATGCTAAATCTAGATATAACATTCATTTTGCTCTCGGAGGTCAAATTTTTTTGCAAATTTGAATTTAAAATTATGCGACTTTAGTTATAATTTTTTAAAACAATGTTTTCAAGATTTACATGTTTTCAAGATGTTTCAAAACAAAATGTCAGTTTTTATGATAAAATTGCAGTATTCCAAGAAAGAATCATGTACACTTCATGTACAGCACATGTAACTAAAAATGAAAACTTAATGTTTGCATTATTACGGTCTAAATTTTCGTTTTTTTTTGATTGTCGCGAATGTTTTGTTGCTGGCACATCTCTTTTTAAATTCCAACAGTAGTCCGCCATCATCACCATGTCCCACCTTTCTCTTAAGTCATGGTGAAAGCGCTCTCCTTGCTCATCGCTTAAAGAGCCAAGATTTTCGGGATCAATACCAGCTTTTAATTTTTCAGTTGACAAATTGGGGAAGGTTTTACAACGAAACTGAAAACACCGTCCATCTTTATCCAAAGTTTTAGTGAATTGCCTTATCAAACCGAACTTTATGTGCAGTGGAGGAAATAAAATACGTCCCCTGTCAACTAGAGGCTTGTTTATCACATTTTTTTGCTCTACAACTAGCAAGCTCTTCACGTACTGGCCATTCTTTTTTCACGTAATGATGAGTACGATCCCTATTATCCCAGAGGCATAAAAAGTATGGGTATTTGGTAAATCCAGACTGTTGATCAAGCAAGAAGTTGACCATTTATAAGTCAACGCAAATCAGTCATTTATGTTGGTCATAAGAAATTTTTTCTAGGACGTACTTAATTGCTTCATGCTGTTCTTTTAATGTTGTGGAATGTGCCAATGGCACAGATGCAAATTGATTTCCATTGTGTAGCAACACACATTTCAAGGACCTTTTGCTGCTGTCAATAAAAAGTCGCCAGTCCTCTGATTTGTATTCAGGTACTCCAAGATGTTTCAGTAACTCTACTATGTCATTGCGATAGACTAGTTCTTTTTCTTGAGCAAAATATCTTAAAAATCCCTGGTGCCTGGTACGGAAGAAACTTACCTTAACTTTACCATTTAGCATGTTCTTGTCCTTTAAACGAGATGCAAGAAGTTCGGCAGAGTCTTTTGGCAAATTTAAATCGCGAACAAGATCGTTTAGTTCGTTTATGGAAAACAATTTTGGCCGCTCATCATTGTCATCGGGAAAGGATGCATCATCGGTAGTGGCAATGCTTTGAGTTTCATCCTGGCTACTACTGCTTTCTTCAATACTTGTATCTTCAAATACAAGTACGGGAATTTCTTCACTATAAGGAGTAGGGCGCATAGCTGACGGTAGATTGGGATACTCCAGTGTTGTGCGATTTTTTCTGTTAATTCCCATGACATTGATAGCACGAAAGTAGCAATCGGTTGCATGATTTAAGGCTCTCGCCAAATCATGGGTATGCCAAAGTTCATGGACTTTTGCGTGCCTTTGCTCCATTGACGGAGATGCTCTGTACATCTTTTGCAAACCATGTGAGGTGCCCAACGTTTGTCTTGATCGCCGAGCTTCATGCCAAAATATGCATAGTAAACATGCTTGATAAAGGTGGTGACAGTATTGCGATTTGGTGCAAGTGTGTATTCACCACAAACATAACAAAAAACATCTGGCTTATTTTTATTATTTCTACTTTTTATTATTTTTTACTTACATTAATATGTTGGTGTGTTTTAACAAGTTTTACCATTGAATTCGAGTATGGGCTAAATAAAGCCTTATTTTATCTTTAAATATCCCATAATAATCGCAAAACCTTAACTCCCTAATTGAAATTCAATCAATAATTGCTTATTCAAATGCTTTCTTCTTTGTATTGCTAGTGCTAAAAAATTTAAATTTGTTCAGATAATAGAACTTTAAAAGGTAAATGGTTAATACTTCTGTTGTACCTTTCTCGGGTAATTAAAAGTTAAAAAATAGAAAATTAACGATAGCTTAAAATCTCGACCTGACCCAGCAAAAATAGTGTTATTTTTGGACTCAGCACATCAAAATTGTCCAAAATCAGTTTACTAGACTGAGACACCAAATTTGCTGTTGACCAGTGTAATTCCAAATAAAATCCCATTGGATGTCGGCTAAATGAAAAGACTATTAACCTAAGAAGAAAGGCTCGGACAAGAATACGCAACAGTTGCATTTTTTAAGAAATTAAAAAGTGCTTTAAAGCTATCGTTTTCCCAGCATCAAATAATTATTCACATTTACGAGCAAGAACAGATTTGCCAAAAACATTATTTCCGGGGGGATGTCATAGCCTACATGAACTACCTTTCGCGATGGCCCTGAATATTCGAACACTACTTTATCCTCACTATATTAAAAATTTTCTATAATCGTCAATAATTGCTGATTTTTTATTGTATTCATTTACCAAAAACCTCGTGAAAAGGTGCCTGCAGATTTGCCTTTTATCGATTAGCTAACATTGGTCATTTCATTCATATCGTAGCAAAGCGATATGATCTTTACCTTCACAAATCATCAATATTTACAGCAACAGTGTTCATAGATATTAGGCGCCTTCGATTGCGATTTCTTGATTTATCTTATTTTAGGCTTTGTTTCACCGGATATGAAATATTTCACTAGAGATGTGACGGTGTATCCCGAGCACCGACCGTTTCAGCGACGAGGCTCACTACAGTTATGGCAATTCTTAGTCGTCCTTCTCGAAGAACCAAAATGTTCGCAATACATTACGTGGACTGGTCGAGGAATGGAGTTTAAACTCATTGATCCAGAGGAAGTCGCCCGCAGATGGGGAATTCAAAAGAACAGACCAGCCATGAACTACGACAAACTCAGTCGATCTTTGAGATACTATTACGAAAAAGGAATCATGCAAAAAGTAGCTGGAGAGAGGTACGTTTACAAGTTCGTTTGTAATGCTGAAGCTCTCTTCGGAATGGCGTTTCCTGATTCTCAGAGACCGTTTATTAAAGCCGAGTGTCGTAGTGCTAAGCCTTTGCTGAGTCCATCACAAACAGCCATTGCTTTACCGCATAATTTTCGTACAAAAGAGTACTATGAACATTCTTCTAGATATGTAAATAACACAGGATATTATCAAACCTCTTGGGAGCCATATCAAAACTGTGAAGGACAAACTATTGTTTACTAAGCTTGTACACATTTGAAAATATGTGATGTTAGTTTTCAAGAAAAGTAGGTACATTTTTATTTTACATGAAATTGTTCGTGCTAGCAAAGAAAATACATGGAAGCGAATATCCAGTCTTACATTAAACCTGGATTTATGTTCCGTCAGAATACTGTTTTTAGGAGTAAGGCCCGTTTCAAACGTCAAAATTTACTAGTACTGAATGCATTTTAAACAAAAGATAATGAGAAATTTTATCTTATTTTCTTGTCTTCGGTTCGGCGCATGTAAAGTCTGACGTTTGAAACGAGCCTAAGAATTAAAGACATTTTTTCAAATTGTTTTTGGTAAAATATACCCGTCTCCATATCCTTATTATATCGAGCAGCCTGCAGCTTTGGTTTATCTTAATCATTTGTGCTTTTTTGATTTGGGACTTCCACTTTGGAACAATATTTGCAGATTCGATTTTTTTTGACAAACTTCTTTTTGAAATACATGTTGTAAAGCAACGCGGAGATATGATTTTCAAGAGAAAAGTCAAGTGCGCAAATGTGTTTACTTCAGTAAAAGTTCAGCTGTTTCCACGAACAGCAAATTGCGATACATATATATTAGAAATTGTAGAGCATGTACTCAACATCTTGTTTTTCTTGAATTTCACATTTTTATGGTTGTAGACTTGGGCATTTGCCATTTTCTACAATCACGCACATAATTTATATTATATTTCATTGTGTAAAGAAGAAAAAATAATTGCAGAGAAAACTCAATAAACATTGCAAACTCACACATTTTCGTTAAAAATAATAGAATTAATTAACACAAATAAGACGTGTATACTTGTATTTATTTGGAGCTTAATATCATTAATATACGCAGTCAGATAAATAATAATAATCTTAGAAATATCTGCGTGTTTAAATTAATGATGACTATATACAGCATCAATAAAATATGTAAACTTTTTGTACCGTAAATAGCTATGTTTCACGAGTACATGCTGTGAATTACAAGATTCGGTTAAAAACAGTAAATAACGAACAAATGTGTAAGTGAATGTTTACAGGTCTAATTATAAAAACCATATCATGTGTAAGTTCGAATCTCTGAAAAACCTGCACATTCTTCTCACGCATCTACTGGCTATCTAGTACCGTAAATACTTGTCCATTGCAAATTTGTGACGTTTCCTTAGCAACAGTGACGATCATTTCCGAAAATCGCTCAATGAGTTCATTTGATGAAGGATTAAAGAAGTTCTCGCACCACACTGCACAGCATATGAAGCCACTGTTTTTCTTACACATCTCGTCCATCTTTCTCTACAAACGAAATACATTATCGTAAAATCTCAAATATCGATAACAAAGAATTATAAAATATACCAATGAGTGAAATGTTAAATGGTAAACATTGAATAACCATACCCTCAATTTTATCGTCATCTGTTCATCTCCACCACAAAGAGTAACAAATATATTATTTTTATGCAGTGTTTGTAAATGCCGGACAACATCTTCTTTTGGATGATTTTCCAACTGCATAGTAAGGTAAAATATTATAATGCATGTCAAAAATGCAGAATATAAGATATATGAACGCTCACATTATTGCCGTTGAAAAGAAATGAAAAATCCACTACAATGTTTACTTTCTCTAGATTCGTCATTGACTCGTTGTAATCGATAACCTACAATAAAAATATAAAGTTGATTTGGTATCTGTCTGCAAACGGGTAGCTACGTTGTACCTGGTCTTCAATCTTTTGCTTTCAATACACAATTATATTTACGTTGATTTGGCTTATTTCAAACTGTCTTTTCAATAAATTTGCGAGAATTGGCTGAGCACGACCATGCATGAACACAGCGCTTTGTCGTAAATTAGCTAAAAATACATAAAATGTCTACTTTATTACAGAAAATGTAGAATATATTCGTCTAGATGTAGAACATAATCATCTATATGTAGTATATGACGTAGATGGTAATATATGTAATAAATCTATGTGTAGTATAATGACGTATATGTACATTAGTATGTAAAACATATGTCGAAACATGTATGCGCTCAAAAAAATCGTCGTTTTTCTCAAATGTTTTTTAAACTTGCTGCTAATTAGAAATCATATTAGTATATAATGACGTACATGTACATTAGTATATGATGACGTACATGTACATTAGTATATGATGACATACATGTACTTAAGTATATAATGACGTACAGGCACAGTGTAAAATGACGTATGGTCATATATGCATGCTGTACTGTGTATTTTCATGTAGATGCAACATGATATAAGATAGAATATTTACTAAATGACGTTATTGATAACAGTTTTAAATAATTGACACTGGAGAAATTAACCTTTGATTATCCCTTCTGCAGCAAATAAGTCCTTCTTGTAAGTTACCTTAAAATTTGAGAGAATAGCAAATGTAACATAAAATGTATATATGTATGAGAACGTGTGTTCTGCATGTTCTGAAATATAATTTACTACCTTCCAAAGATAATCTGGGCCATCGATTAAAAATGCTGCAACATTGCAGTATTTTAAAGCTAGGTGTAAGCACTCCGTGCCGTAATCAATATCATGTTGAGAACACTAAGCATACAAAAATGTAAGTACAATGTAAGCGCATAAAATTATAAATTGCTGTAAAAAAGATGTTTTTGATGTTTCGTACTTTGTTATATGCGTTGAGAATAACGTCGAAGTGAAAAGCTTGAGGCATTTCGCTAGCAACAAACTTTGACCTAAAAATTAAAATTATAAAGATTGCCGGTAAAAGTGGAAATAAAACTCCTACTCAAAGAACTCGATATTGTTTTGTCCCATACCACCACACAATGTTCAAATGTTTTAGTCAATAGATAATTTTTCAGATTTTGGTTCATTTTTCAGAAAATGACCATAATAAAACAAAGGCTTTAAACTGTTGAGTAAACGCAATTGCCATGGTGAATGGCCAAACATTAGAGAAATTTGTGTCTCAAATTTTAAAATTTTCTGGTTTGCAAAAACAGTTCAGAACTCTTGACTTCCTCCTGTTTTCAGTTGGGTTTCTTGGTTTCCTTTGCGTTTTCAGAGATCTTGGGTTTCTATTGGTTTTCAAAACTCTTGAGGACTCTATAATTTTTGGTCATTCAGCATGTCGATTGCGCTTTTCAAGGCAAAATAAACATAATTTATCTTCTCTCAAAACATTTGCTTGAGAAACAGAATAAACGGTAATTCTAAAATTGTCCTAAAATATCGGGTCGACAATAATGGCTTCACATAAACAAAACTAAAAACAGTTGCTTTATAAACTAGAGAATGGACAGTAATAGAGTGTAAAAATGTGCCATTAATTCAAAAAGGCCAATTTTGTCGCAGTTTCATCGAATATTTTTCATTAGAATGTACAATAATATTTCCAAATGTTACCGATTGTTTACGTTTATACACCTTGCTGGACTGAAAGTTGACATTTTAATGTTTTATTACGGAGTACAAGGATTTCCAACAGCACGAGATATTTATATATATTTCCAAGTTCAAAGTTTAAAATCTTACTTAAAAATTGGACAAAAAAATGTCAAAGACATTAAAAAAAATCGTTTCAAAAGGTAACAATTTAGCTCCATGCAACCTTTTGCCTTAAAGTTGATGTTAAATTTAAGCCTGGCATTTATTTTGATCTCTAATCATTAGGGATGAATTTCGGGTATTTGCGGGACACGTGTACAATTACCACCATTGAAAAAGCCACTATACCTATTTTTTAGTTTTACGTAATTATTGCACAAGCTCTCTAAGGTCCCAAAATTAAAATTTTGCAAAAAAGTGCCACACTCATATAAAAGACATTTGTTATATTTCTAATGAAAAAAATTCGCCTAGTATAAAAGACAACAAAAATCATATTTAAAATCATATTTTCATGTTTGTAGATGTAGATCGTCCAGGTAAGTATATTCCTGAGAAGGACTGTTTTTGTTGTTGTTGACTGACGTTTCGACAACTTTAGCGGTAGTCGTATTCAGAGTTCATTTTTGACTGAAGATGACTGCCGCTAAGGTTGTCGAAACGTCAACAACAACAAAACAGTCCTTCAATAACCTGGACGATCTATTCTACAAACATGTAACGATACTCCCGGGTTCAAACCATTTACTGTAATCATATTTTCGTTGTATATTCCACAAAAATACAACTCCTGACGGCTGACATTCACAATACTCGCTGCACTTTATTTACAGAAATGTCGACAAATTTTCGGCAAACAATCAATGAAAAACTCATCTTTTACTGACCTGTCCAACGAATGACTGAGAAATCCATTCAGGTTTTTAGCTAAGACTGTTGACACTAAAGGTCTAACAACGCCACTGGCCTGTAAAGATAATTGCAGTTTTCAATCTTCAAGTTTTGCATTCAGATAGCCAACGTGTTAACGGTACAGCTTTTTCTTATAAATCTGTAATGTAAGGCTTTTCAAACTTCAAGCGTTGCTTTCATGCGGGCAAGATGCATATACATGATATAATGGTACAATCTCTCAGTGTCTGTAATACTGTATGGTATCGAGTGGGCAACGTGTACTGTGGGCAACGTTTTAATAGTAGCTACAGCCTTTTGGTATATCTGTAATGTAGAGTAAGTTTTGCAAACATTCAGGTGGGCAACAGAAAAGCATGGTACAGGTGTTTAGTTTCTATAATGAATGCTATCGAATGGGTAACGTGTAAATCGTACAGCCTTTTGGTATATCTGAAATGTATGGTTTCTTAAAGTTTTGCATTCGCGTAAGCGAGGAACGTGTACTGGCAGAGCTTTTTAGTATCAGTAATATATGGTTTCGAGGGCAACTCGGAAAAACGTCCAAGATCGAGTTTCACTGATTTAAAACAGTACAACTCCAAACAACAAACGCAAAAAAATCTTAGCAGGCGTTCTCTAAAGTTCATTTTACGGTTGACAAACACAAAAATAGAGTATAAAAATTGTAGCTCTGTTTTTTAAACTCTTAAAGTTGATTATGCAATTTTTTATATGATCAAATCTACATACATACATAATATTTAATCGCCTCTCTTACAAAGATAGCTATCGAAGCAAGTTTTAAATTGTTTCCCATGTTCAATGGAAAAATAAAAAAAGTTGCAAAATCGTTTGAAATTCTAGCTGTTTTAAAACATCGAAGGTCTACAACAGTCAAATATAAAATTCATATCTTCGTGCCACAATGCCACATTGTCATTAAAATACATTCAACTTCTTGTGTTGGTTTAGCAGCACAAAGCAACTAGTTTGGAGTCTGGACTTCATGGTTTGAAAAAAGATTGCTTAGGATCTATCTTGAATTTTCATACTATATATTGCTGCTTACACCATGTTTTTTAGCGGCAATCACAACTTCTTTTAATAAACTTTCTTCAAGAAACGGACGTACACCATCATGAACGATTACCTGGTATAGAATAAACAGTCAATGTTCTACCAGGCTGTTGCTTTTCATCAAATAAAAAGTCTTACGTTATTTCAACTTACTACATCTGGGCTTTTCTTGCAAGTGTCCAAAAAGTTGATACCGCTAAATATTGACCCATGTCTAAAAGAAAAGTGAATCCATAGGATGCGAAAGTTTTTAAATTAAAAATGTATTCTTAAGTACGCGTTTGTATGCAGGTGAATGTATGCGCTGTATAAATGAAAAACTCGTCGAAACATCTTAAAACTTTATTTCTGCTTTAAGTCCAGTGCTTAACAATTGCATTTGCCAACTAAATGAAACACTGATCAACAAAACGCATCATTAATATAAGAAAATAACAAACCCACCTGGTGGGCTTACCACTGACGCAAACTACTTTCCCGTATTTAAAGTTTCGAATAATCTAGAGCAAAAGAGCTTTTTATTCAAAATAAAATCAATTCATACGTTTTGTCGTGTACCCATCTTCAAATCGTCTTGAGCAAAGCGGAAATCTTTAGAGTTTGAAGATCTTTGGTGGACATGTTTGAAATTTCAACTTCATCTATGTATGTATTCCATTCTTTTTTAATTTATGGAACATTGCTGTATGTATTGTTTTTGGACTTTCAATATCATGGACTTTCAATTGAAGACAAAAATATTTGCAACGCATAATCACATAAAATGACATTTTTCTTAAATCTAAACAACACAATGTTGAAAACAAACAAGTTTTGCTATACATAAGTCAATTCTACTCAAGATATGCCTTCCTAAATCAGTGATAGTAATTTTGACATCATCATAAGAAAAACAAGTTCTTTTTAACTAACCACCCCCGACACACAAAAGGCACCCTTGTCTAAAATGCTTTCAATGCTCACTAGTCAGTGTCATAAATAAAAGTTTACCAACATTTTCTAAGTGCTGTCTTTGATGGTCGGCAGATGGACCAACTACAATGACTTTTTGTATCCAGGGAATTCTGAAAAATGAATATTTATAAAAATGCAACAAAGCAGTTTCTTATTAACTACATATGTGTCAGAATTTGTACACCTTCAAGGAATATAATTGCAAAGAGTAAAGACAACATTAAATTCTAAAATGTTTATAGTTTCCATTTGTTGTTGTAAGAGTGTTATCAACACCATGTTATTTGTTATAAGAGTGATTGAATATCAAAAATTGTATAAATACTAATGTTTCAATAAGATAGATAATAAGAGATAAGATAACATACTGCTCAAATGCTTCGATTGCATAACAGATGAGTGGTTTGTCTACAATCTGGAGATACTAATGAAAGAAAGTTTGAGAGAGCACTGGTAATTTATCTTGAGATACTACTGAAAAGAAGATATTAATTAGCATTCTTATGCTACAAAAGTTTTATATCTATATCCATGTGGTAAGTTAATTAAAAAAAAAAATAAATCCTTTCTAGCATGGGGAACTCGGGAAGTGTGTCTCTGGAATATAAGCATACCAAGAACCATTTTAAAGGCATATGAAAATAATTCTGTGTGTGCTGTAATGGAAACTAAATTTTTGTAGGCTTTCTTGCACAAAGGTGACTGCCTTAAACAGTTGTAAGTCAAAATATAATCATCAAATTTTTACAAAATCTCATGCACTAAATAAGTTGTATAACATGAGAAATATAAACAGTTTGATCTGGCTGCTTAATAGATGAATTCATCATTCTCAGCCATCATTTATTAAAGCAGAATAATTAGACAATACAATAATTGTAGATAATAGCTATTTTATGTTACCAAATGCAATGTAATGCAATGATTAGAATATGAAAACTACGAGTTCAATTTAATCTTTATCATCTAAAATTTACATGTAAAAATCTATTGTTTGTCTACCTGTTTTGGTGTTTCAGAACCCATTCTTTGACCAGTGCCAGCAGCAGGTATCACTACTGATACATCAAAATCAACCATGATGAAATTATAGTTGCTCATAACAGTAGAAATTATAGTTTTTAAGGCACGTCATTGCCAAAGAGACTAATGACAACACTCATTGAATATATTGGCTTTCTAAAAGCTGAATTGGCCTTTCTTTAGTTGATGAAAAACAAGGGACGGTTCTTCAATATTGTTGAGCGCAATTCACCATTTTTGGTGTATGGTACAATACAAAATAGAATTTTAAATAGTCTTTTATTTTAAAAAGAATAAAGTATAAAGAAGTGATGAAGTATCATGAAAATGACGGTGACTGGATTTTTGCGGGAAATTTAAACACGCGCGACTCTCGCGATTCAACGATATAAATATTAAATCATCATTCAATATCACAATTCAAATTCATTCAACTCTCAACAAAATTGTCAAGTGATCACAGTTTATCTCAAAAAGCCCACGAATGTAGTTTATACTATGAAAATACATTTTCAGTAAATTGAGACATTTTGTTTGGAGAATATTTCGTTCGGATGGTAAGAGAAAATGATGATTTTAATATCACTTCCAATTATTGTTTAATAATATTTTAATAGCCAATGAACTGAGGCTTCGTCGGTTGATTTTATAATAGTCTTTGTTGTATCATTTTTACTACAATCTTTATCTTTCTTTTTAGTCTTAATTATTTTTTTCCTTCTTTCAGCTTATTACTAAGTGTTTTTCCTGTGCGAACTATGTCATTTAATATGATAACACAAAATGGAGGGGCTCAGATTGCTAGAAGGGTTTCAAATTTTGTAAGAATCAGACTTGTTATGGTTTGCTGTGAACCATGAACTTTTCTTCAGGCTGACTGAAAGTCATCTGGGTAAATTTCTCTAATAATTCTGTCATAATTATACATATTATTTTAATATACTTAAGGCTAGGAAAGTCACCAGAAAATTGCCACCTTGTTTTGAAAAAGGAATGAGAGAGTCTGGTCTTGATGAGATGAAGTTTCCTGGGAAAATATATTATTGTTCACACATAGATGAATGTAATGTTATTTGTAATGAGCTGAGGTAAAACATTAAATTTTTGAATCAACATGATTTAGTATATCATTAGTTACATCATTACTTTTTTATTAGCTGGTCATGAAGCTTTTTGTTTTTTGTCTATTTCCAATGTTTGAAGAGTATTTCTTAGTTACCTTGGTTTTACGATATAATATCAATACAAGTTTTAAAATTGTGCTGTTTTACATAACTACTGACTACAAAAAAGTAGCATTTTGAGAATGTATATGTTAAAATATTACAATTGTAGGAATGATGTTGAGTCAGTTGGTTTTGATATTGAGTGGAAAGTGGCATTCACAAGTGAAGTTAGAAAAACTGCTTTGATTCAAGTGTGCCCTTCAAAAAAGATTTGCTATCTGTTTCATCTATCAATGATGAATAGTAAGTACATAGACTGTGTCATGAATCATTTGAATCATTGTTTGTGTGCATTACAGAATTACGTATTATAGCCAGTCGCAAACTCCAAGAGATGAGGGAGGGAACATTCTGCTGTTCTCTTTAACAATAATTTTCAAAGAAATTGTTTCTTAGTACAAAGTTCTATTTAGGGAATAGTAAAAACTCTAGAGAATATTTTATATCATAAATTTGCTCAAAATTTGCGTTTTCAAGACTGCTAAAATCTGAAACAACTTTCATTATAGATTTCCCTTCTGAATTGAAATATATCCTTGAATGTGAAAATATCCTGAAAGTTGGAGTCGGAATACATAAGTAAGTATTTCAGCTGTTCAATTTTTTGCACATAGCCATTGGTCAGCAATGCACATATAGAGGAAATGGAAAATGGATGTGTGTTGTTTGCAAGTGGTTTGGTGGGCAAGGAATCTGGCTAATGAATGTGAAAAGGATGTAAGTTGTGGTGATCTGGGAACTGTGATAGTAGTGAGGTTTATTACGTTTTGATTAAGGACTGGAGTGTGTGAAAAAATATGTGTGTTTGTATGAAGATCTGGGATGTACATTCATCAACTTTTCAAAATATGGTCAGTAAAGTTGTACTAAATAGATGGTCATCGTTTTTTTGATGTAAGAAGTTGATAATTCAGTTCATCCATTCACTTTGGTGGACAATATCTGTCATTTATCATAAATCTTACTCACTTATGTATTATGATTTCCAAAAACTGTGACGCAGCTTTGTTGGTAAATCATTAATTTCACAGGGACTAATTGAAAAACACCTTTGTAATCCGAATGCTCATGGTTCGCAAGTATCACTCTGATAAATATAAAGGAGTGAATAACGTTTGATAGAGAGATTCAATGAAGTATGTGGCTAGAAGGAAGAAAGGGGAGATCAAAGTAACTCATGGTGATGAGACAAGAACAGAAGTTACTAGGAAAAATAAGAATGCATATACGCAAGGAGATATGTAAAAATGGGACGGAGGGGAACGAAGCTGCCTACAAGAACATAAAAAGTTGTGAAATAACATAATGGGACCTGAAAGAAAGCGATTGTATTATGAAGTTCAGCCAAAAATTTAGAATGAAAGTTTTGAAATAAAGTTAAACATGTGGCTAAATTTATAAATGAGAAGAATTGAAGCAATTGGTGGAAGGCCCAGTTTTGTGAATATGGTGAGAAAAAGAAAGCAAGAAAGTAGGCTTGTGGGTGATAAAAATCGTGAAGGATTCAGACAAGGCTACGCGTTTCATTAGAAGCTGGCAATGGACCATTTCTACCCGATACTTTCATTATTATCTACGTCCGTTTGTCGTATATCAAAATATTTGATAGTTTTCAATTCGTCTACTCCCTCTCCAAACATCCCCTGTCCAGTGGCGGATTACTAATTACATGGTCTGTAGGCTAAGACAAAGTTAAAGGCCTTTAAGCGATACCTATTCCTCTCACTAAGTTCAGTTTTCCTTTGCTTTGCATTTCCTGTTAGTAACTCTACAGGGTAAAAAAATGGGAAAAGTTCATTTTAAGGTTAGAACAAAATTTCAGAAATCATTGACATGAGGGAAATAGGAAAAGTTAAAACCTCATGAGTTCTGGGCATTTGACATTTGAAAGGTAGACAGTACGAAACCCATTTTTCCTCTGCATTCAATTGCTCGTTAGGTTTCAACAGTGTAAATTATCTTAGTTAAGCACATTTAGCTAGCCCGGAAAGCAAAAACCTTCAAATCCGTTCAAAACGTTTAACGGGCCTTTCGAAAGCCCTGACCTGTGGGCTTAAGCCTACTCAGCCTACTGTATAATCGTGCTTGCCCCAAAACCCCCTTCCCCCAGCAGCCCCTGCCTTTACAGATGGTGTTCCGCAGCCTACTGTCTTTCATGCGTCTGTTACTTTCACAAATAATGTAAACCTTGTTTAGGATATGATTTCAGTGGCCACCTTGTGGGTGCTTCTGTGCTATGTTTCATTTAAGAAGTAAAAGATGTTTACTGTGTGCATTTACTCGACGTTCGCACAAACGTCTCCAAGGTTTGCATAAGCCAGTACGAACACGAAAAAATCTTTTATCTCTATTATAAATCGACAGAAATGAGAAACAGACAAATTTAAAACAGACGTTTTAATGTTTCCTCTTACATTTATTGATGATTGATTTGCAATTTTTCTTTGATTGATTGATCAATTCAACTGATTGAGCTCAGATCTTAGCGTGATGGTTGTGGTGCCGATGTTGAAAGTGGAAGGTGGATGCAATCATGCAATTATGTAACTAGTTATGTAGTGTAATGGAGAGTGAAGCTGCTAGAACTGAGTACAACATGCTATGAATATTGAAGAAAAGATGTTAAAGAAGAGATTGTGGGTCATGGTGAAAATTGATAAAATGCAATTTGATTTTATACTAGGCATTGGAATAATATATGCAACCCTCAATTCGACGAAGTTAGAGCGTTTAGGCAAATAGAAGAAGGTGTGTTAGCCAATACTTCATGAGTTCTGAGCATTGCGTATTTTATAGTAGATAGTACGAAAGCCATTTTTCCTCTGCATTCAATTGCTCCTATGGGTTTTCATAAGCATGAAAGATATTTCAATGATACAAATTTGATTGTTGGGAATTAAATGGATGTTTGAGTTGATAATTCAACTTTTATGCAAGCGTAGGTGTCTGGTACTTGAATAATGCCAATTGCGATTAAAATTGTGTGGATTAAATGGGTGTGTGTGTGAACAAGTTCACGTACGCTTTCGACCTATTGGTACCAAGGAAATTTCTAATGACTTGAGCATTTCCTTGACTTCATTCTCTTTAGTCTTTTTACACAACTTGACTAGACACTGCAAATGCTTTCAAAATTCAGCTCGGTTTTTTTCATCCATTCATTTAGTGACATGCAGAAACTCAAGAAAGATTTTGAAATTAATGCCAATGGATATTTAGAACTTTCTGATTTTGCCAACTCCAAGCTTAAGTCATCTGAGAAATGGAGTTTAAAGGGACTTGTCCTGAACTTGGTGAGTTAATTCTGTTTATCATTGTGCATAAGAATTTGAAAGTAGAATTTGAAAATGTAAGGAATATTGCTTGCGACGTGAATAGTATTTTAACTTTTGAATGCTGCATTGGCATGTCTGCCAGTGTTAAACACATTAATACAGAAGTTGATATTTTCAACATGTAAACTGTAAATAGAAAAAATTCGGTATTACAATGCCGGATGGCCCACATTCTTTACACTTTTTATATTCGTACGAACACTCATGTCAACATCTTTCTCGCCTAAACTCTTAAACAAAAATGTGTCTTATTTATGAAATTTTTTTGACCATATGTCACCCAAGTACGTGCTTGCATGCATGTTCTGTGGCTTGGGTGCGAGGATGATTCGTGGATAATTTGTATTGCATGTAGGGTGTTTTGGTGGATGGTGGGGAGCTTTGTGCTTGCATAACTAAAATTTTTGTCGAATTCAATTCTGTCCAGATAATCTCCACGTAGCGTTTTATGGATTGTAGACTGTGGGCTTTTTTTAGGCTTGTAGTTTTTAGTGTAATGTTATAGTAAGGTTTTCTAAAAGTTCTAAAAGGCAGTGTTCTGGCTAAGTGCAACCTAGTGGAATTAAGTATCATATCGCCCCCGTTGTTAAAAAATTTGGAAACACACTATTGATAACATGCCATTTATGATTTTATCACCAATTGTAATTTTTTATGTTCTCAATCGTATCTGCTTCAGGTGATGTTGCCATAACGTCAACATTGTTATCGTTGATAAATCTGCGCTGTTTACGTCAATAGGACTAATGCTGAGACATTCAATGTCCGAGATCTTTGTTATGACTTCAGTGGTTTTATCATGTTTGCATAGGAAATGTATTTAAAACGATTTATGAGCCAAGGAGCATCATTTGCTAATTTGTTTTAAGTGGCTATACTTAATCAAATATTTGTTTTTCTCATGAAGCCACACCTCATTTCTCGCAATCTCACTCGTTAATTTTTTTTCTCCAGACATTTTATAAACATATGTGTTTTGTTTTATCTAGAAGCTAGATATAACTAGTTTGTCTACGAATGTTCGTACTTTATTGGAAAATCATGTAGTTTCCCTCCTTAAATTTTCTTCTATTTAAGTTTCATCTCGTTGATACAACGATTTTGATCGTCGTGTGAACAAACTTTTTGAATTTAACGAACGTCACTGGAATGACTGACATTTTGTGAATCTCTTTTTTTAAGTTATACAATGAATGAAATCGTTCAATAAAACATGCTATCAAGATATTATAGTGTATAATGTTAACATCGACTTGTACAAAATACAGCGGCCTGTTGAATTCAGTTGAACAAAAAATAACGGTTTTTAATTAGAGTTTTTTTTAAAACCATCGCTAGTTAGACACTGTTGAACCCATTCTGTTATTGCGCGTAAATTAAGTTTAAAAAATTTTTCACGTCAAATTGCTCGCTTTTTCTTAGTTTGAGGATGGCTTTATAAGGAGAAAAGGCGTTGTTTCTAAAACCCTTTATCTTTATATTTGCTTCTCAATGTATATATACATCATGCAGTTCACGTTTTTCTGAAAATGAACGATGACAGATGTAATATATTGAAAGATGTAATCGTTTGAATTTAGACGTCAGAATGTTATCGTAGTTTATCTTTGGTTTCGATGAAAAGATGTCTCATTAATTTCATTCAAAGATTATGACAAGTTTTGACGAACATATTTAAAGTGACTTTCCTCAAAATGCCAATGTTATTGGCTTCACGGCGACATTCTTGTTGCATATGTGGTGTAATTTTTCGTGGTGGAACGATCTTAGGTATCTGTAGTTAATTCATTATATGTACTACAAGCATGGACTATTTATTTCAGTCGTAAAGCATTCCTTTAATGTTGTATCTCCTGAATGTGATTTCTCCTTTTGAAACGTATGATAGCTAGCTAGCTATATTTAAACTTTCAGTGGAAATTTTTGTGATAAATGTTAATTGCTTTTGTGGAGTTATAGGAGCATACCAACTACCTATAGGCTGTCTCTGATGCTTTTAAAAAGCAAAAAGGAAAGGTTGTATGTTAAAACTTGGCTTGCAAACCTTAAAGTATAGAAATTTGTTCTTACCAATGATTTTCTGCGCGTGTATCTGACAAGTTTATTAAACAAAATTTTGCTTATAATCTAGCTAATTTTATCTGTTGCATTGAGGAGTTAGTATAAAGATGCTGTGAAGGATGGCGGAATCGCACTCTGAATATTAAATTTTTTTTACAATTGTCCTCTACTAATGCAACCCATGGGTGTATGTTTGTCTTAGAAAATTTTGCACACATGTATAGTGTATGTATGGGAAAGTTATTCCGTTGAGCAAGTGCTAATAAGCTAAACTGGTAGCTAAAAATTAAATGAAAGATCTTATGTTATGTGTTCCATTATCTACCTTATACATAGCTTAATGTGCGGTTTAGTACACCAAGGAACATATACTACATCTTAGTTTTTAACACCAAAGTTAAACAAAATCAACCATCAAATCATCTATTTTCTGATAAAACGAGTTACGTAATTAAACAGCGACAAATCTTGTTTTATTTATATATGATTGTTCCTGAATTTTCTACACATGTCGCAGCTAATTTCACAGCATAACCTTTTTGCTCTTATTGAAAAAAATGTATAAAGCATTCTCAACTTTTGACTCAAAAATTTAAAGTCGACAGTCCTGTCCAGGGTCTATCATGATGTAGACGATTTTGAAATATCTTGAAAAAATGTAAATTTATTAAATTTTTAGAAATTTAAATATTTTACATACATGTGACTGTATTGTCATTGTTGAATTTGAATATGTCTAAAACACAGTTAATGGTTTGTGAAATTCTTGTTTTGAACACTACACTTTATAGCATGTGCGAATTTAAACGAGGATCTTGAAAATTTCATAAAATTCGAGAAACTTTAAATCCTAAGTTTTATTAAATCTGTGTAAGCTTGTGTTTTTCCTCTTAATTCGCAGCTTGCATAGATACTATTGTAAAGTATTGTTAGTTCATATTTAGCTGAAGTTTGACAATCAGCATTCGTGTGTTAAGTCACGTTAGCATGATAAGAGATTAGTTTACGTAAAGCAGGTGAAACTTCAAAATTTCTGTCGCGAATATTTTCATAAAAATTTATGTGAAATTTGCCGAAAATTCAGTCCAATAACCTTCGAAGTTAAAAGTGTTTATTGGCGTTTTAGTTTACTAAAAGGTGTTGCAGTAGCGTACTATAGGGCGATAATTAATAGGGCGGTCATTTTTCTCATATACATGTTGTATTTTGCTAACTACTCCGCTGTAAAGTGGTGTATAGATGTATAAAACGGGGTGCGCGATTTTTTTGTTCGCTGTCATTTTAAGTGTTGATAGCTGGTACGGCTACATTTACCAAAACCAAGAAGTGAAATATCAGGCAATGTTTTTCTATATGATGAAACATATCCTAACATGCACCACCGTTTTGTTCAGAGTATCAAATGCTTCAGATTAGCAAGATTATTTTGACAAATCAATGATATCTCGAGAGACCAACAAAATAAAAAAATTTAGTTAAACATTTTGAGCCATATGGTTTTGTTCGTGTTTTGTCATATTTATATTATTTTGTTGATTTGTACAGAATGTTTCAGCATCTTTTGCTGTCTTCCAAGTATTTGCATTCGAAGTAAACTCGTAAACTGCCGTTTTGTTGAAATGAATTTTGATGATGAACAGATGATTTGCCTTGTGTACATTTTGCTGGCAGACAGATTAATCCGAAAAGAGGTTAACCACTGTTGCCAGTGTGGTCTATAAAAGCACTCGACAAATCTGTCTGCCAGCAAAACTTAAACAAGGCAAGCCATCGATAATAGCATGAATTATGAATATCTCTGCTCGGCATCGAGCTTGTTACACAACTTAAGCAAAAAGTGCTGCCTTTTGTTCGACGCAGTCTATAGATGAGTAAGATTGTTTACGTTTTTTGGCAGGCAGATTTGGTCGAGTGCTTTTAGAGAACACCAGCAACAATGCTTAACCTCTTTGAGATAAATTTTCCTGCCAGAAAACGTAAACAATCTAATTCATCTATTCGTTGCGCATTCTTATAGTACGAAAAACTTGGCATGTTTGCTTAGATATCTTGTTTTTAAAACATTTTCACGAACTTAGTGGTGTCGCCAGCTACATAATGCAGGGAATGACATATGCATGTTTTTTTTAATTAAGTTTCTTTGAAATTAAATTTTTATGGGGATCATAACATGTCCACATTATCCTTCCCACTTGTCCAGGTGGTAACGTGATAGATGTAAATTATAGTCGAAAAATTCGCTCAAATCGTTTAATCCAATTACGATGTTGGGTGAATTCAATCAGTAGATTATGCTGGAACAGGAAAGCCGATACACTTTTTAACAATTAACTGTTTCTTTCCAAATGTCGCTTATGGAGTGTAATATGATATAAATGTAAAAATGTGTACAAAATGTTCACCACCAGCATGGAACAGAAGCAAACACATTTGTCTGAGTTTGTTACATTTCAAGTCTAAAATATAAGAATGGGTTTACGAGATACAGAGTTCAGTGATTATTGTGTGGCGTGTAAATAATCTGGTATGGTGTGAATTATATATACCTAACATAGAGATTTATTTTGGGGTGTATTTTGCAATAAAAGGCCAATTGTGATAATCTTATATCTTTCTTTATCTTGCTGGGAAAAGTCAAACCAGCGCATCCTTTTTGTACATGCAAATCTGGTATGCCATGCAAAGTGTATACGAAAGCTGAATTACCCGCGCTGTCCACAAAAATTTCACTCTCCACTTGATCTATAGCGCTATAATATTTTCAAACAACCGCTTTCTCCATAGCTACATATTCGTTCATCTTTGATTATGAGTTAACTTCAAAATGACACTTTTCCCTTATCCACTTTATAGTTGCACGAAAAAATTGCGAAAAACAATGATGTACGATGTAGCGATTGGGAAAGATTTCCACTGACAAAAGCACAAGAAAAGTATGCTTCTATTGATGCTTATGTAAGTATGGTTATCCCTTACATGTAGCTAAATCAACCGAAAACGCTCAATTTTTGTCGATTGAGATCATGTGGAGCCCATGCTATTTACGGAAAATGATAAGCGCATTGATTATTGAATTTCTACTCTCTTCCAGATTTTATACATAGAGATAATCGCTACGTATGCACGTACAGTGTTTTATTCAATATTTTTCGTTGTAATATTTATTCAAAATAAAGGTATAATGGCTATGAGGAGTGAAATTAAAGCATCTGCTTGCATGCCATTTTTGAACTTGCTGTTATGCAGGTCCACAAAATTCTTTCTCTGTTGCCATGTTATTTAACTTGCATAAAATCATTTTAATTAATGCACTTACGAATTGCAATTTCTAAAAAATCCACTTTATAATACGTGATCAAAATAAAGCAGACGTTTTATATACCTACGAATTTCAAACTGAATGTTTTACAGTTGCTGTTGTAGAACTATAGAAGACAAATCAAAATTCGGAATGTTATCAAAAATAACAAAATTCTCAGCCAACTAGGCTAGCAAGTTTGCAATTTCAAAGTGTAGATTTGAAGTGGAAATTAATAAAAAAAATATTTCTAGGAAGACCTACTTGGTCTATACTTGATCTAATCAAAATATACTAGTACAAATATATAATCAGCAAATTATCAGAGTCCCAAGGCAATAACTATAGAAATGAGAGGTTTGAATGCAGCGCAGCAAGAACAGATGTCATGTTAGGATTTGTATATGTAATAGCATGGTTTCGAGTGCAATTTGGAAAAAACATTCACGAGTGAGTTTTAAAGACTTAAAAATTGTACGGGTCCGAAAGATTAGTGCAATTTGAAGTCTTCGAAAAGACTTTTCAAATGTTTTATTTTGATTGGCTCTTACATTACTTCTTTGTTTGAGTAACCAATCAGGAGCACATTTTTTGCTTTTTTGCACTGGTGTCTACGATAAATTGCACTGCTCTTAACCAATCAAAATTGAGAAATTTTTTCATGTATATTATTAAGAATATAATAAACGGTGTTGTGAATAGCTGCGACGAAGTTATCGGAAATACTGTTAGAAAAGTACATGTTTCCTTACAAAACTTACATGTTTCCTTACAAAACTTATTTATATAAAAGTACATGTTTCCTTACAAAACTTATTTATATAACTTGTGCTGTCAAACTAATTCTTGGCTTGCTAGCTACGTCATAGCCGCCATGTTGGATGATTTTAACAAAGGATTTTCCTTATTTACAATACAAATTTCATCCAACATGACGAGCATTTCCTTGTTCTTTTACTCTCAGGGGAATGGTTGCAAGCCACAAATTATATCAAATAAAATCAAATTGCAAAGTTGCTTTTAAAGCTGGTTTAGAATTTGAACTATTTTCGATAAATCAAAAGGAAATTTCTGATTTTCATTTTTAAAATTGATAAGGAATTCACATTTTGAGTTTATGATTTCCAAATTCCCATCCAAAATTGCATTAAGTTCTGTGGAAGTAATACGAAATCAACTGTAATACTTTGTGTTTATGCATAGGCTGTAACATGTATAGAAATTGTACCTTCTCAGTGTTTGCTACTATGCTACTGTTTGGTTGTAGTTTTTTCGTATGGTTATGTTTGTACTAAATTGGTTCATTGAAAATTTTGAGTGTGTACCATTGAAATTAATTACACCTCCCTTTTGGAACTTAAGTAATTGATGAGTTTAGCTTCTGCATGAGTAACCTCTCTGTTAATTTAAATTGTTTGTTAAACAGCGCAAGCTGTGAAATATTCGTGATTAATTGTTTTTCTATTGTTGCGCACCGCTTTAATAAGGCTCAGACGTAAAAATATGCGACTGTGAACATTTTTATCAGCCTGATATTTGCTCATTTTATCCCCATTTGGTATTGAGAAAATGTCATTTGACAATTAAAATTCTGTTCATAAACTGAGCAGTTTTAAAAAATAGCGTATTGAAGTTGAGTTACGTATTTTTTTGACAAACCTTGTATGATTGCCAATTATGAAATTTTTAAAAAAGGCCAAAGAAATGCCTGGAAAAGACTTGACTTTTCATGTTATTAATAAAGATAGTATACGCGACCATCGGCCGTTTTATGATGGATGATTGGATCTTCTTATTGATCATCATCAAAACAAGTGTTGTATAGTGCATGTGTTGTGAAGTCTAGAGATAAGCTCTATAATCATCCAGATGATGATTCTGGGAAAAAAGGTTAATTATATTGTCTGATTTATTTGTCGTGCATTTCCGCAATCTATGAGCTTTATGTTTTCAGGAATAAATAAATGGTTGATGAAAATAGGTCTGAGTAGCATTGTGCATGGAGAACATTGTCAACTATTTTTACAGGCAATGCATTTATTGCTAAAACAGATTTAGAGTCTTTACTAATTTGGTACTGCTCAATATAAAAGCGTTAACTAGTTGATAAACTTTCAACTATTCAATTAATATATCACTATAGCTGTAAGTTAAAAACTATGACCAGCCAACAATTTAAAAAAATATAGTGTAAAACAAATTCCGAAAAACAAGACATCTTGAGATTACAAAATATGAATCAAAACAAGACGAGAAGTGCACTATTAAATTATTTCAAAGTCGAAAATTTACATTTCACTTCTCGTCTTGTTTTGATTCATATTTTGCAATCTGAAGATGTCTTGTTTTTTCGGAATTTGTTTCGTACTATATAGCTGTAAGTTGTCGAAGCTTAATTTATTTTGTTCCTGTTAGATAGAAATCGCGGCTATATATTCATGCAATATCGTGCATGTCTTTAATACATCACACTTTCGAGGTTGCTGTTTACTTTAAATTTATGTAGTTTGCCTCACAGATTTCAGCTGTCATTTTTTATCTTTTCAAATGTCAATTTTGTGTCTATCGTGAATGATCTCAATTATCTTAGTCTCAAAACAGTATTGAGGTTATTCTGTGGTGTTATAGTTTTTCAAAACGGTTATGTGTAAGATCTATGTTAACCAAACAAGAAATTCTATGGCCACCCAGAGCAGTTGAATCGTTATACTGTTCCTGGTTCTTATAAGTTATGACCGTATTCAACGTTATTATCGTGACAGTTTTTTTTCAATTGAGTTGACTTGCAATTATCAGTTTTCAAATGCGTATTGCTATTTCATGCATTTGATTAATCCATCACACGTTTGACGGTTACTAGGACTCTCCTTCAAATTAATGAATAATTGCCTTAAGAGATCAGCTTTTGTTATTTCCCAAGGTTTCTGATCGTCAACTTTATGCGTTTTTTGTTAATTGAAACTAAATTCAATTATCTGACTTCCATATATTACTATGAAAGTTATTTTGTGATGTAATAGTTTTTAACAATGGTTATGTAAGATTTGGCTTTATGTTGACCAAATAAAAACCTTTAGGGTCCTGTTTGAATTTCGACTTATTTTGGTGAACTAATCTAAAAATATATTATTTGGATTTCAATCTACGTCTAGATTTTTGTCATTCAAACACTTATTCTTTTTCATATATTGAACAAAAGGATGAGAACACGACTTGTGTCAACTATTTCGCCACGTGCATTAGCCATGCACAATCATGTGCTCAATAATTTTAGCTATTTAAGGCTTCTTACCTGCGATTGTGCGTTGTTATAATTATTGTGTTGTATGTTTATACACTTCGTATTTTTAAAAATTACATTCTTTAAGTAGCTTCGTTTGATGCCAACACATCTGCTGTGTTGTGGTCATTTCCAAGAAAATATAGAAAGAAACAAATACCGAAGAATAACGCCATCTTGAAATTCTGCATACATCAAAGATTTACGATTTCGGCCTGTTACGATGATTTTCAAGACGGCTTTTCTCTTCGGAATTTTTTCATGTGTTTTACATTTTAACAAGAAAAAAACCAATAACATTTCAAGTCTACATCTATGCTCCTTTCATGAAAGGTAATTGTGAAATGCCAGATATTATCGCATTAATTTATTACCGAGTTTTCTTTCTGCATGAGGGTAAAGATCAAATGCATTTGTTTTTATATTTTAATCAACTTGTCGATCGTTAAAAAAGTGAGTCTTCCGATACAGGTACACGATTTCTGTTCAATTGTACAGTCAAAACTCATAAGCATCTTCACTAACATTTTTCGAGGCTTCCAAAGTTAACAATTAGTGTTTTGTAGAGTGTAGACCAATCACAAAGTTTAATGACTTTTGTGCGTTTTAGCGAGCGTTAATTCATGGTGGCGTTCATTGTTTTGACGAGGTCATAATAGCTATCATTATAAAAATCTTGTGTCAACACCCTGTATTTTTTTGTGTGATAACTTGACTTCACATTTCAGGCTGGCTATGCGATCTACCTGAGACTCAAAGAGATGTAGAGTGTACTGACATCGCTTTTTTTTGCTACACAAGCTGTCATTGGAACTGAAGATTTTTTATCGCTAATATTATTCTGGATTATTGACTCTACTGAGCGATTTTATTAAGACTTGTGGGATTTTATTGCAGCAGAATCTGTCGACATTTCTTCGTATTATTGTGTGTTCTACAGGTATGTTGTGAATGCGGGCATGTCATCAGAATAGACGTCTTCTAATTTACATCATTCATACCTGTATAAAATCGCATGTTATATTAAACAAAGTTATGCATTTGGGTTGTTGAATTTTGAAAAAGTTGATTGATGTATCAGTAATGCCTATACGGCACTCTGTTGATCGACGATTTGCCGTTTTTTATTGTTACACAAGTAAAGTTTCGGGGTATCAATCCTGCATTTGTAGCCATTAACCCAAACTATCGCTTGTATTTTTGGTAACTGATGAACCACACGTTTCTAAAAGGATGGCGCTAAAGCACCAACTTGTTTTCATGTGTTGCTTTTAAAATGTTTTAGTATTTTTTGACAGTGAAATGAATTATACCTGAGTAATTGTTTATAGTGTTTACACATGGCTGATAATTAGTTTTTCCATTGTCTAGAGTTTGTAATCAATGGTGCTTATAATTTGTAATGGTCTATAATTTTACTATGTTTGAGCATTTGCTTTTCTGGCTCGACATAAAAACGCCGTTCTTAACCTTATGAGGGAGCTACATGCGCGTCATACAACGATCTTTTGAGACTGCTTGAGACCAGTTGTTGAGACACGTTTCATTTTGTCCTTATTAACGATACCACTTGTGTATAGTTTTTAGCTTCATGCCTACACATGGTCACTCTTGTATAGCAAGTTGCATATAGCTGCCAATTACAAGATTGCCATATAAGAAGAGAAAAAAATGTAAATCTAGTTATGTTCACAGTGTTTTATGCAGACTACAGATGTTTTTTATCACATGACGTGTTTGGAGTGCCAAGATTTCGATAAAGTCATATTTCGTCGTCAAAATTTCCAATGTCAACATATCTGTATGAAAAAACATGAATTAATTCGTGTTCTCAAGTTTGTTGTTTTATTTGCTGTAGTCTGTGTTCGTTTTATATTAGTCGTTAACACTACTTACTTTAGCAAGCAACGACAGCAACTTAATTGATACTACGTGGGTGTTATTGAATTGTTGGTCAATAACTGTCTCTTTATGCGACTAATTAAACGTCTAGTTTTTGTGACGTGCTTAAAATGTTATTTTTGTTGAAGCCAGACAGTTCTTTTAGATGTGGCCGGATTTTATCAATTGCCAAATGTTTTCATGCCACCAAACATATCAATAACGTCTCTCCAGTCGATGTTTATCAAGTAGCTAATTATAGAAAAAACGATCTCACATGTTTCAAATAAGTGTAATATGCTTGTTCCAAAAATCCCTACAATTCGACGGGTTTAAGAAGGGAGCAAAGTAATTACAATTACTCAGGTTTTACAACCTTACTGAATGCAGGTTTTGTCAGTTGGCTGTTAACTATATTGTAGAGACGAATGGGAAAATTCTTTATAATTATAGCGTCCGAGATGCGGTTTCTTCACCTGAAGTTTGAGTGGTAGTATAGCTACTCAAATTACTTTGATTTTTATCTTTTAAAAAATTATTGCCTTCTTTGTGAACTGTATGATATTTATTCAATCTTTTTGACTTCTTTGTATCTCACACTTATATATTATCAACATTTGCGATTTCCTCTACACTCACTATAACATTACTATATTATCATTCGGGGTTTATATCGATCTGTAAAGTTTGCAGGAAGACTTTCCCTTATTCTGTCTTGTATCTATAGCAGAGTCTATAGACTATAAGAATAACAGCCATATAGCTAGTTAGCAATTACATAGTAAACTGCATAACATAATCGATGTTCAATTCACTTCAGCATATAGAAAGAAACATTGCAGATACGACTTAGTTAAGTATGACCTTGTTGAAAATTTTAAATTTGAAAAATTTAAATTAGATAACAACAGATATTTGCCTTTTCATGTAACATGTGTTTGTTGATAACAAAAATGAACGATGTGTGTCTTTTATAGTAGCTATCATAAAACTTGAATCCTGAAACCCCGAATCCCATAATCACCACAGCCGTACATATTGGAGGGTGTAGACTGTAGAGGTGTCGCACACCCCGAAAAAGAATTATTTTGAAATGCAATCGGTAAAAATGCTATAATATAATCGGCAGAAAAAATATTTTTGAGGACTAAACAACAATATTACATATGATTTGGATAAAGTGTAGATAAGACGTAAGAGACTAAAATTTTGGTATAAATTAAGAACAATTTGAGAGCGAGACATGTGCAGTTCGAACAGTGTCACTGTACGGTGATACAACGATACAACACCGAAGGGGCGTCATTTAGTAGACCTTAAAAATTTTCGAGGTTTTGTCGTATAGTGTATTCGGTAGAAGCTCGTTGGCTAGTCGGTTGGAAGGATTACACCACCCCTAATAAACTTTCCAAGATACCAAGATCACAGAATAGACATCTAACATAAGGCCCACTCGGCTAAAATCGTGGCGTATTTTTTCACTACGAGTGCGTGATTTCCAAGCAAGATACTTTAACAAAATCAATATGGAATAGTATTGCACGAGAATGCTTTTTACTTAAATTTCACGATTAAAGCAAAAGTTTGCCGAAATTTTTACAAAATGTTATCATCTTGCAAAGACGATAAGGTTCCAAGCTTTTGTAGTGCAAAACGATATATTTATAAAAACATCTATTTTTTCTATTGCCATCTAGCAGAAGTATCTTGATGGAAGGCGTGTCAACTTAGAATTTGCTTCAGAAATGTGGGGGACACTAACATCTAAGGTTCCGACACGAGTGGACCTTCTGTTAAGATATCTATTCTGTGCTAAGATCGTCACAGATTTTTTCCCCAAGTTATAAATGGTTTATACCGAGTCATTAATTTCGATTAAAATATTTGATGCAATTCTATGTGTAATTCTTTCACGTTGATTTCATGAAATGATTTTCACTGATCAGTAAATAACTAAACGTTTTGATTATTTGTCATCGTTATTGTTATGATATAGTAAATAGTCGCAGTCTTTGCTCATTAAACCACTGCATTCTAGGAAAATTCTTGAAGGAAAAGCTAATATCGCACTTCTGGATTGATTTAAATTGGACTGAAGCTATTCGTACTCTACTTTGTAAGAGGAAAATTCCATCGAGGAAATTTCCCTTCTTTTCCATACAAAAATTGGTTCAGATTTGCTTTATCATTTGGGCTTTTTTGCTTATTTCTTACTTATTATGTTCATTTATGAAATGTTTTATTATAACTAGTTAGAAATGATGTCTGCGCACGCGCATCACTATTATATGGAATCACTATTATAATAATGATTAAAGTTTATTTATCAGCCTTTTCAGCAAATGCCGATTTTCATAAAGGATATGTTATAACTATGTTTGCAATTTAAAAGATAGTAATTGCAGATTAATAACAATATTACAGACTAACATGTACTAATTACCAATTGATTATAAATGTGGATACTTTAATTACCAATGGTCAAAAATGGTCACACTGCATCTTTAGAAGATTTCAAATACTTTCATCATGTTCTCTCCCGGACGAACTACTTGTTCGGGAAAGCCTTCTAATTTCCAAACACAAACCTTCCCTTAACGTCAAGGTAGTTCCGTCCCTCTTCTCCTTCTTGAACTCAACCTTTCTTGTTACTTGTAATTTAACACATTGTAAAGAATTATACTGAATTTATTCATTTTAAAATACCTAGAACATTTGCTTTGAGAATGTCTTATGATAAAGACGAAACGTTAGCACTGTAATATATATCTATATATATTTTTGTTATGGATGTTTTACGCATTATATGCTGGGTTTAGATATTTACATTTTGATTCCTTGTATATGGTTAATACGTCTTTCCCGATTTAAATTTTCAACCACACAACAAGCATGTAGCTTCTGCGTAGGTTTTTTGATTATCTCGTATATGTCTAGAAATGTTTTTGTCTATTATGTTGTAATACTATTTTGTTGCATCAATTCTGGATTGCTTTAATTGGGTGTAAACAGTGTATGCATAATTATATACCTAAAGCAGGTGCTATTTTAAGTTCGCTTTTATATTTTAGCAAAAAATTGCTTTTGACGAGATGTTGTTGACATTGTAAATCTCTTGTATCAGCTGCTTTGATATATAACGACTCTGAATTGTTTCATTTTTTTTCATTTTGGCAACGTTTTCATTTCTACTGGAGTTTTGGATGTATGTAGCTTCGTCAAAATTGCTTATTGTAAGTTAAAAAATATTTTTCATAAGTTTTGTGATAGGAATACAATATGGTGCGAGAGAGTATATTAAATGCGCCATTATTGGTTTAAGTTTTAATGTTTGAAGCATATATAATATATAATTTGCTAATTCTCTTTTACCGCGGGTGAGATGCGTACTTTCAATATATATTTTTTCGCATCTTAGTTCAAAAATGGCTATGTGTGTGATGCTTGCATGTAATGTGCGCTTTAAAAATAAAAATACGTGAACATTTTTTTTCTTTTCCTGCAAATCTATTGATAACTCTGTCATTATTCATATTAAGGTTTACTTAGCATTGTAGGCATTTTGGAACATGTATGTTTTTATTGACTTTGAATAACCAACTGTACAGGAGGTAGTTTCAATGTTTTGCCAATGTCAGTTAATTCAGTGTAATGAATATAATGAGGTCGTGTAATGTTTTTCTTTTGAGGCTGGATAGGTTTATTAATTTACCCATAGTTCAATTGTGCATAAATGCAAAGATATACCCATGGTTATATAGCTTCTTTAATATTGATAACTGGATGTAGCTAATAAAGATGAGAATTAAAGTAAATAAACACTTAATGATTGTATCTTCATAAGCCAAGATGCTGTGACGCTGTTTTCATATTAAGAATTGCAAATTGTCCTTGTATTAATAGAGTAAAGTTCATAGATAAATACGTACGGCAAGCAAAAGTGTCGTAGATTATAGCCACCTGGACGGAAGGCTTTCAAATGTCTTATACGCGCTACAAAATAGCTTTGGAAAGTGAAAGTAGTTTGCCAGCTGGGATTTTATATATGAGAATCTAATTCTTCGAGGAAGAATTTCGGTGTTGCAGTTTTCCGAGAGCAAATGTGTTTGACGACTCAGCAGTTTAGTGGGGAAAGTGATGTCTGCGAAAGTTATAAATCTACCTAAAAGCAAAGCGCTCAAAAAAGTAAATCAACTTACATTGGTATGTATTTATTGCCGTTGAGTTTATTGTAAGAACTCTTGTCAAGTATTATCAATGTCGATAAACCTTGGTTGAGGAGGACATGTTCGACTTAACAGATGCACTTTTTGTCGTATCTAGATTAGGGCTATTTAAAAAAGTCTTATTACCGAGTAGGTTGATTAGTTCGTAAAAGAATTCTGATGCAAAAAGAAAAAATTTTAACGTGTTTGTGGTTCACCACCAGCTTCAGTGAGGCAGGTGATATGTTGAGTCATTGTAGCTTCTTTGTAGAAGTTACGTGGCAACAGAAAATACAGGAGTCGATGTTGTTTTCATTGAAAAAGATAATTTTCAAAGATTGAGGATTAGAACGTAGATGGACAGTTTGGAAGGCAGCTGGGGAAAGACCTTTGCTCCAAATCAAGAGAAACAGAACTAAAATCAATTTTACAAAATATCATTTCATTGAAAAATAAGCCCGAATCGCTCACTATATGTTCAACCTGTTCTTTCTTCCAGGCGTTTGAAAATAAACATTCAACCCACTTGCAGTCATCATTGTTCGGGCAATGAACTTTCTGTTCAATTGGAAACAAATAACATTTGATATCTTAATTCCTAGATCCAACAATCTTGGACGGTAAAGGTTAAAAACTCGATTTCAAACAATCCTTAAAGTTGAAAATATTTATTTTCAGTGGGAAATACTTCAGCTGCACAATTTGCTTGGAGAATATTGCCCCATAGCTAATTGCAATATTACACTATCATATATTGTATTATTCATTTGCAAATTTCGGAGCTAATTACACCGGAAATTGTACAGTAACTACTCACTACTACCGAAAAACAGTAAAAAATTATGAAAATATGGTAATAAATGACACTAAAATTTCATACAATGTGAACATGCGGTAGAAAAAACATGTCAATATTTGCTAAAAAAGGACGTGGAAAGTCGATTGCCAGTTTGCCTGTCAATATAAATATATCAATAACATTTACAGGATTACAATGTAAGGGATCCAAACATCTGGTTTTGACTTTAATTGTCAATGCGAGACGTAAAATATACAACATTCCAAAAAGTTTGTATAGTGAACCTAGGCTTGGTTTATCAACTTTGATTTAATTGTAAACTTAAAATTAAATTTTGGCAAAATAATTTTTCGTTCATCCATAAAAGAAACATTCCATAAATGACAATTATAAAAGTATTCACGAGTATTCGTATTTTCACATTATTGCAACATTTTGCCAGTAAGGTGCCATGCGTGAAACGGATTCTCAATAAAGATTCTAAAGCTTAACAGATAATTTTTGAAATAGCCATGAAAAGTTTTGTTTCAGGAAATTTATTGAAACGTCGCTCGCTTTCAATAAATTTTAGAAAACGAAATTGCTTATGCCTATTTTAGAAATTATCCGTTGGGTTCTAATCTTTATATTGATAATGCAGCAATGCTACATTTGTTGACGCTGTATTTTTGCATGAAAGTTTGAACATGAGAATTGCGTTTGATTGAAGTGTAGCTTTATAGGTTAGAAGCTTCCATTCTAAAATGTTAACGTGCTTTAGCTGCCGGAAGTGATCGATATTGCCAACGCGTTTTTAACCCTCTGCATGAAAAATAAATTAGCTATTTAAATATATATTCAATATACTTAGAAAAGTGATTTTGATAAAAAATCCAAGTATGCCTTTTCATATTGACTCTGGGCGATTTTAAGGCAATTTTAAATGAACTACGGCTATTCGGTTTAACAAATAAATATTGTACACTAAGTGACAAACTATTGAAATTTTTCATATGCATCTGTATTACTCAATTGTTGTGTAAAATAATTCCAAATGCTATTGCAAGGGGTAAAATATTTCCTTGACAACATACGTCCACTTGATATTAATTAATGATTGACGATTTATTTTTCAATTTACTTGTTCACGTTTTAAGTGAAAACTGTGAATTATTCTGACGTCGATTATTACTCAAGTATATCTTAATATCATCGCAAAATGATTTTGCTCATTAGCTTTGCTCACTAAGTCATATTGGTCTTTCTGGAAGCATAGATATTTAGCGATATAGGACAAGCGAATCATTTTTAGTGTAGCGCTACAGCAATCAAGTGTATAATTATAGTGAGTGTTGACAGGATTAAAACAAACAGTCCTTGCGATTGTTTTATCATCACAGCATATATGTAGCAATAATGTAGGTCTAGAACTCAAGAACTGAAGTAAGTAATTTTCATTTTCAGAAATAAAGCTGATTTGATTTTTTATATAGGAATATAATTACTGACGTCAAGAAAATAGAAAATCAGTGATGTCTTTGACAGTCATAGTTCTGCTTTTAAAGGTATATGGCTATGTGTTTTATTTCTTTAAGATATATCAGTATAATTTAGCTCCACAAGCAACTGCGTCAATTAGAAATATTTAAAATAAAGCTCAATCTATTTATTATTTACATATATATAAATGCATGTTTTTTAACTTATGCAATATTATTGTTTTGTCTAAGTTTTACACATGCAAAGAGCAACTACAGTGCACTTTGTAAACGTTGATATATTTTTGGACAGCCTGTTTTAAAATTATATGCGGAAGAAAATCTTCTCGTTCTCTGTTATACTTATATTTTTTACTTATTTTTATATACTTATGTTACATATTAATGTGTACTTATCATAAAATCAAAATTTATTCACCTTACTCGATCTCTTAGAGCCAATTTTCAATTTGCATTCATATTGCCGTAATAGAGAGCGAAACGGCAAAAGTCTTCCTTTCATTGCGACAGTTATGTGGCTTACCGGGGGGGATTAGCTGCATATATGCATGGTATACCGTATTAAATTCTTTCGAAATCCATTGCTTTCTACTGATTACAACATGCATGTATAAATATGTGCCCCCCCCCCAATTATCGACCTTCCTACGCCCTTGATCATGGAGTATTATTTGTCATGCATAACACTATATTTATAACGACCTTTGCAAGTAGCTATGGAGCAGCTCACATGCCAATAAACAGAAGTATGGCCATCCCGGAAGTTTTAGTCCATCGTATTATAATCCACTGAAATAAACTTGTCAAAACGAATAAATACAAGAAATACGTAAACAGTTAAATTTATTTTCGTGAATTGATTAGTCTTTGAATGGGATACGTGTTTCCATGCATGGTCATGCATACGTGGTGCAACTTCAAGTTTTTCCAACAATTTTACAACATATACGCACAACAAATTAAAACCCTCTTTTTTCTTGCAGGTCACTGTTCTTACCGTCGATGCACGAGATAGCTTTAATGAACAATTTGAGGCACAAAGAAAAAAATGTTTTTTGAAAGATGCAAATCGCTTAGCACCCGAAACCAAGCATGGTATTATGATTACGTTTATAAATTACTTTTTTGCCATGGCGCAAATCCAAAAGTTTGAGCTTTATCTCTTTTCTTTTTTTTCTTTTTTGTGAAGTAATTAATATTAATGGTGATAGAGATGCCCTCATTTATCCCTTGCAATATCTATACGCAGCTTTTGTTAAGCATCGTTTTCTGGTATGTGAAAAACGTGACAGGGAAACTTTCAATTAAAAAAATGTATGATAATGATCAAAGCTATACAACAAGATCGTTTGTCTGAAGTTATAATGACATGATTTATATCAATCATCTTATTTCAAATCTATTTATTGCTTGGCGCCTTAGTGTATTTATCTACTTTTCACATTGACAGTCTACCAAGGTAGTTTCCACTAACCTATGTACGTTACTTTAAGGCACACTTTCAACATTTATGATTTGTACAGAATGATTGCATGAGTATGTACAACTTTGAAAATGATTAAGGAAATTTGTGCATTATAGAACAATTTTAATTCATGCTGTTTTTATCAGAATATCAATAATGTGGGTGTCTTCCCTCTTATTCCCATGCATCCTTCTCTTATATGCGCACCCTGGTTTTTATAAAAGATTGTCATTATTGTACTATATCTGCGTCGATATTGACCACAATATCAATAATAACCCAAACATCACTCTTTTTTTGTTCGTTTTTCGATTTTTAAATTTCCAATTAAAGGGACTGTGAATTTTTTAGCAAATGGTGAATATTGTGCCGTTGATTTCTACGCAACCTGTTGGCCCAAAACACCAGCAAATCAAACTGTGTTTCTTCCCTGTCCTTCTCTTTTCTTTGATCATCGCTTCGGTAAGATTTCGTTTTTTTTTGCTTTTTATCTTTGAGCAACTTAAAGATGTAAAATAACATTATAAGAAAAGTTTATGCTGTAAAGAGTTGGTTCCAACCCCCTACTCGAAGCAAAATTAAAATTGAAAGGTTTTGGAAATGTTTCCAAAACCCTCATAGGAAGCCCTAAGGATTATTTATGTAACCTTGACGCAAGCTAATAAGAATTTTTTCTGAATTATTCTCTTCGTGACTGATATACTATACTTCAAGCAACGAAGGCTATTGGAATGTATTTTTGCTGCAAAGTTTTCGAGTAAACTTAATAAATTTATGAATGTATGAAACCTTTCGTGGTGTGCTCAAATTACGAGTCAAGATGCTGTGTTTTTTGAAAGTTTGCACTATCCTTGGATTCCTAGTTTGAAATTGTTTCCTCGTTTGGATTTATGGGTTTACGAATGTCTGTGACACTTATATACATATATAAACCACCATTAGCGATTGCTTCATACTGACCTTCTTAGGTAATGTTTCAAGAAGGTGCAATAGTTCTGGTCTTTGGGAAAGAACAAATATCAAAAATTGCATTAGAAATTATCATTCTGAGGTACGACAAAAGTATTTATAGCTATATAAGTAACAAGTAGTTCATTTGTTTTGGTTTTGTTATCTAGTCTCAAGATGAAGACATTGAACTGCGTGTTTATGTCGCTCTCAATTGGTTTTCTTTGTCCATTATGGTCCCCTCTATCTTCGTTAGTGTAATTTTTTTGTAAGTAACATTCTGTTTACTTTTATTGGTGTATCTCTCATTTTTATTTTCCTGTTATGTTGTACAGGAAGTCGCTTTTCTTCATTTTTTTTTTTGACTTTCCAAAAAATAAAATGCGCAATTCGACCTCACATAAAGTCGTAAGAAGATTAATAATTGTGGGGAGAAAGAGGTTGTCTACCTTTACTCTTTTTCTTATTAATATACTTTGACATGCCAGCGTATGAATGGCTTAATATTTCATACCACCCACCCACCTCTGAAGACACATGTAAAAGTCATAATAGTCATCATTAATATTTCAACATCAATTGAATAAGTAAACTACAATTAGTAACACTAACTTCTCACTTCTTTACCTCATTTTCTTCTTGTAAACACATCTTAAAATATTTGGGATTCGAACCCATGACCTCATGAATATTTTTTAAAATTTAAAGGTCATTCGAAAAAATTGCAGTTATTTTATAGTCGTCGATTATTTTGTCTATGTGGCTTAACAAGATCTTCCTGTTCTTCAAATCCATTCACGTTCCCGCAAAAAACCGATCTTACTCAAAACGATGAAATTGAATCGTCTTTTATTGTATTATTGAAAAGTAAAACTGAATACTTAGAAATATGTTTCAATTTAGGAAGTGCAAAAATGAGCGGTTTAACGTTCACACAAGTCTTATTCTGGCGTTTTGTTTTCGAATATTGACATTTTTCATTCATCATTATGGAAAGCTTGATGATAAATCAAGGGTATGTATGACAATAACAAAACCGATACGCGTTGATTTTTTTTCAAATTATTTCATTGACGGGCCTTGGCCTTTGTTATTTTATGTAAAAATGTATTTACTCAGTTTGTACATAATTTGTAGTTTTTTCTATATCCTGAATAAGAATTTTTGCACTAAATGTTATGATATGCACTAAGTATTATAATATGTTTTAATATATTTCATGTACGCTAAATATTATTGTATATTTTTAGATCTCCTGTAATATTACGTGGATTATGAATCGTTATTTTGCCGCCACTGAAATTATGTGGATGTTAAATGAAGCCTTACTTCTGTTAAGAAAAGTTGTCGTTATTTTTAACAAAAAGACCTACTTTAGATACTACTTGCTCATTGGATGGGGTATGTCACCTGATTTGGCATGTTTGATAATTAGACGCCCTGTATCTTTTAGCTCTTTATTGCCCCTAAATATTCACTTTTTCTTTGATTTATAATCCTGTTAATGACAAAATATTTGTCTTCTATTTAACAGTCGTACCTTTAGCCTTCATGTCTGTGTATATTCCTGTTATGTTTTTCTTGGTTGATCGTACTGCAGACAAGTACGTATGAATGATGGAGTGAATAAAATAGCTATCTCTGAATTTTGGATTCTCATCAAAGTAGAAAGGCTGTTTAATGTTTTACTTATACCAAATTGGGGAAAATTTGCAGGTTTTCATTTCAACAAAGCGATGTAGTCAGTTTACAAGTTTAATCAATGCCATGTTAAGATTTCATTGTTCACTCGCTTTGAAAACAATAGATTTAATAAAGAAAAATACCGTGTTCAAACTTGCTGCCCGCTGCTTCATGTTATCATATTGATTTACTTTAGGGCAGGAGCTAAGCCAGCCCGACTTTTATGCCTACAATGCATATATTTTAGTGTTCTTTCACCAGAAAACATGGAATGGAACGAATTTTTTGAAAAAATTTGCCCTGCAGGAGTGAAAGTTCGTGCTGGCTTCGCCACTGCACGAAATATACGTTCACGTTTCAAATAATTAGAGAGTTTTATTTTCGTGTTTATGGCAAACAAAAAACCTCAACTTTGCCGTGAGGATTGCCGTTTCAAAAAAATTTTAATTTAGTTTGGCGTTTTGCATTTTGTCATGAGCGAAATTTCCTGTTTTGTTAAAAGTTTGTCGATGAAAAAGACATATACTCACATAAAATAATTACATTGAGCCATAAACGTCACTTGGTTGTATTAAGAGTACTAAAAAGCTTGCGACATCACCTACCGCAGAAAGGGCCTCTTACCGTTAAATCCTGAACCACAAACTGTAACGTAAACCGCATATCCATGATCACGTGACTTTTAGCAGGTTGCCGTTTGCCGTTAACGCCAAACTAAAACTCTTTAATGACAGTGAGTTGCTTTCATTTCTTGCATTGTTTCTCTTTATATATATATCTTGTCATTTGATAAATTCATAAAATTCGTTTCATTTATCGTGTAACACAGATGTTGGACAAATTACAGAAATTCACCATACATGTTGGTCCTATATCTTCCACTTGTTATTGTTCTAATTGTAAGTAGTTAATATGATTACTTACAAAATAGTTCACTGCTCTGTGTATTTCCCAATGATTACACCCCATTGGCAAATATACGGGATTTAAGTTAACGGTCAATCTTTAAATCTCCGGAATGCTTATTCGTCATTTATAGGAGAGATAAATACAGCCCAGTTTAACATAGAGCTGTAGACACTACTTTTTCAAACAACTGCTAGACTATAATAAGTGAAAACTTTAATACGACTTTCAATCTAATATAATTCCCAATCATTATGTAATAATTAGCTTGTGTTTTGTTTACTAGATCGACCTTATGGCACTTCTTTACACAGTGTCCATTTATGTACGGCGACAAAAAGTAAATCAAAAAGGGGATTTTCTAAAAATAAGGTATGGTAAAGCTCAAAACAAAAAATCCGTAAAGTATAAACTTAATAGTTTTTAAAGACTATAACCGGTCTGGATACCTTATTCACAGCCTGTAATTGTGTTGCATAAATTACCGTTTACATTAATGTCTAAAGCCAGCCTAAATTTTTATTTATACAATGTGACTATTTAAGGAAACTGTGTTTTCATTTCTTTGTCAATTTAACAAACAATATTATTGATGTCGCAGGAGTAATCTTCATCTGATTTTTCAAAAACCTTTTCTAGTCGACAATTTGAAGAAATAAATTATTGAAATGAAGACGAAATATTGCTTTTAAAACTTGTCTCTTGCTGTTATAATTCAAATCTTGAGTTACAAGATGAATTAACAAAAGAATGCATGATTTCTTCCTGAATAAAAACGCAAGATGTTGGATGACTGCATGTGTGTGAAATATTGTTTGAAAATAAAAAGGGAAATTTTCACTTTCAAACTTCGTTCTATTACTTGTCTAGTTTTTTGTTTTTTGCAATTCACTTTGCCGTTTAAGAAGATGTCTAATTATTTACATTTCCACCCTCCAGAATTGAGTTAGGGGTAATCCGATCATACAATTTGCAAATGTGTTTAAAAAATGTTCATTTTATTTGTTTGAACTAGAAAAGCCATCAAGGGAACTCTGGTGCTGTCGCCTTTACTAGGAGTGATTTATTTGTTGATATTCTTTGTTCCAGCAAATGCTCCGGTCTGGTATCAATATTTCTTAAGAATAGCCTATCCCATGCAGGTATACCTGAATTAAAGTTGAATAAACTTTACGCTTCCTACTTGTTGTAGCTTAATGTACTTGTAGAAGTAAAATTTTCCATCAAATTTGATTACATCGTTGATCTGTCCTTATCTGGCCGAGGCCTTGTTTGGTAAAAGACATGCTTAGCCGAGGCTACGAGTACTTGTACCCGTCTTGACTAATCAGCATGGATATTTTTAGCAATTAAAATATCTGTCCTGAGCTCGTTTAGGTGCATACAATAAGTAAGCGCCGTGGAATGTTGATAAATTGGAGGGAGCTAATATTCATATGTTCAAGTTCTGCTGTTTTAGTTTATTAAAATCAGTTGTGACCAAGGGTCAATATGAATATATGAACATAGCCCCTCAGCCTAACTATCAATCTTCTCCCGTCATGGCCGTCACCATGGTGATTTGAGCTAACAATCTAACAACTAAAAGGAAATGTTGATGGAAATCAATGCAGCCTGTATTTTCTTCATAAAAATGGTTTTATCCAAGATTTTTTGCTATTGTAGAATTTTGGTGGACAGTAATTGTATCGGTTTATAGCTCCATGCAAACATAAATAATGACACAATTATCGAGCTAGCTACGGTAATGCTATTTAAACAGGTTTCAATCAATATATATACAATCCTTTGCACGATTTTGTGTTTACCGGTATAAGTCGAGTAGTAGATCAACTTGGTTAACTATTTAGGGTCAATATTTCGCTCTCTTTCGCGCGTGCTCATAGGTTCATGATGAGGGAACATAAATGCTGATGTGTTCATCTGTATTTTTCTTAGGGAACATTGGCATGTCTAGTTTATATAACGTTCAGCAGTGAACTGGTGAGCAAAGTGAAATTGACATACCACACGTCACTCCAAAGAAGTCGTATGTTGGATAAAGTAAGCAAGTTGATTTGTTTCAATATTTTAATCCGTATTATTTGGTGCATGTGACACGAAAATTTTACTATTTAAGTCATATTTTCATTCAACAGAATTTTTAGAATGATAGTGTATAACAGTTTTATCTCTTTTCATTCCAAAGATTTGAAGTTTTTGTAATGTCCTATATTCACACAACTTGGGAGGTCATTTTACATAATGAGTCGCTGCTAAGTTTCAAGCATCTTTTCTTTTAAGGCAACCTTTGTTTGAAATGATCTGGCAATTTTTTATACCGTAAACTGTTCACAATAAGGGGAGCTCTTCTTGCCTCGATTGAAGTATGTTTTCACCAAATATACCTGCTATTTGAATATTTCAAATTCATAATGCAATGTGACGTCACGAGTTGTGTAAAGCGGAAAATTACATATGCTACAATATCGTGATATGAATAAACTGTTTTAAAAGGTACACTGTCATTTCAAAAGTTATGTTGAATGAAAATATTTTCTAAATAATACAATTCTCGTGTCATATGCTCTTCAAAGCTCCTCAATTAATACTTCATTTAATTTTATTGGCATTCGAAAGTGAGGAAGCATCTTTTTCATGGCAAGTTATTTGTTTGAAGACGATGCTCCAGTAAAACAAAACAGTTGTCTTTGAAGAAAGATTTTGTTCCTAAAAAAGCTTAATATAAATATAGTTCTTTCTTCAAGGGTTATTCGTGGAGCTTTAACTACCGCATAAGAAACTCAAACAGATCTTCTAGAAGGAAGACAACTTCCTCATCCCCAGACCCATCGATAGAAGCAAGCGGCCTCTCTCACTCTTCACCAGCTTGTGAAGACGGTCCTGATTGTGGATGCCCTGATTCGATCAACGTACAGAGGACTGGGTTAATTTATGAAAGTGCACAAGCAGAAAATAGCGTTTGATGAGTTCACTTTTCACCAACGTGTGTTTATTTGTTCTCTTGCAAAATGATAAACGCTTTTGTTTTCATTTTTTATAAATATGGCTATCCGTAAAAAGAGGAATAATAATCACAGATGCAATTCATCACCGGGAAAGTCTTGTTTAAATTAACTATTTAATAGTTACCTACATAACCTAACACCAGCAATATTTGTTGTAAATTTCTAAACAATAAAATTTTACTGATAGAATTTTGTTAAATGTGTTTTAAGTTGCAAATTTAGTGAACAATTTCTTTCCATGTACCGTACGTAGACTCTCAAAGTACTATTTACTAAATAATTGCGAAAGTACCGCCAGTGTGGCCAGATTTGTAATTTTTATTACCAGATCCGCTCTGTTGAGCTTAGACAATCCCGCCTGCTTTACATAATTGCAACATTTAAAACAGGGGGAAGCAATCAGCTCATATCAACAAATTTTTTATAATAAATTATTCATATATGGTCACACTGAGTACCGCCCAGTATTACATAAAATTACATAGAGTTAAAATCAAAGTTCGCAAAATAAATTTTCAGAGGATTACACAAATGATTACACAGCCAAAATAGTCAATGTCATTGTGTCAAAGTCATAATGTTAGCTAAGATTGCATAATGCAATTTCGCCAAATGGATGCCAATTCTTAATTATGGATTTAATGAACGACTTCGAGGCTCTATTAGGAAATGTTGTTATTTTTGTATTTGTCAAAGAATGGCCGAGATAAAGGTCCGACTTCACAAGAAAATATTGCAATCTATTAAGGCGTGGTTGTCGTTAAATGGACAAAAATGTGTTTGAAAATGCGTTAAAAGAAAACTAAACTCCAGATACTCTGCAATAGAAAGCTGTGCTATGAACTAAACTCTTACAACTACAAACAGTTTTAAATCCGCAGCTAAAATGCCGCCAAGACCTTTCGTTGATACCCTCTATTACAGTATTTTCTATTGCTGACAATTGATTATAATCAAATTTGGTGTCTCAGTTTTGTAAACTGATTTTGGACAATTTTAATGTGCTGAATCCAAAAGTAACACTGTTTTTGCTGGGTCAGGTCGACGTTTTAAGCTATCGTTAATTTTCTATTTTTTAACTTTTAAATACCCAAGAAAGGTACAACAGAAGTATTAACCATTTACCGTTTAAAGTTCTATTACCTGAACAAATTTAAATTTTTTAGCACTAGCAATACAAAGAAGAAAGCATTTGAATAAACAATTTTTGATTGAATTTTAATTAGGGAGTCTACGTTTTGCGATTATTATGCGATATTTAAAGATAAAATAAGGCTTTATTTGGCCCATACTGGAATTCAATGGTAAAATTTGTTGTTAAAACACACCAACATATTAATGTAAGTAATAAATAATAAAAACAAAGTGATAATTATTTCATGTTATTAAAAGCAGACGAGAAGTCGCAGAAGGTAAGTCTTACGTATTGGTTAGGTATCCATCTGTCCAGATGTTCTGTGATGAAATGTAGATTGTAAATTTTTTATCTGTGTTTTCAAAGTCAAATAATTTCATTACGGTGCGATTAAAACTGTTCGCAGGACATAGATATAATTGTGCCGAATTTCTTTGATACAGACTTTAAATTTCATAGAGACAACGTACACAAATTTAATTTTTATTTTTTTCAGGTATACAATGGCGACTCGCAGAATGTGTGTAAATAAGCCAGATGTTTTTTGCTATATTTGTGGTGAATACACACTTGCACCAAATCGCAATACTGTCACCACCTTTATCAAGCGCGTTTACTATGCATATTTTGGCATGAAGCTCGGCGATCAAGACGAAAGTTGGACACCTCACATGGTTTGCAAAAGATGCACAGAGCATCTCCGTCAATGGAGCAAAGGCACGCGAAAGTCCATGAACTTTGGCATCCCCATGATTTGGCGAGAGCCTTCGAATCATGCAACCGATTACTACTTTTGTGCTATCAATGTCATGGGAATTAAAAAAAAAATCGCACAACACTGGAGTATCCCAATCTGCCGTCAGCTATGCGCCCTAATACTCATAGTGAAGAAATTCCCCGTACCTGTATTTTAAGATACAAATATTGAAGAAAGCAGTAGTAGCCAGGATGAAACTCAAAGCATTGCCACTACCGATGATGCATCCTTTCCCGATGACAATGATGAGCAGCCAAAATGTTTTCCCAAAACGAACTAAACGATCTTGTTCGCGATTTAAATTTGCCAAAAGACTCTGCCGAACTTCTTGCATCTCGTTTAAAGGACAAGAATATGCTAAATGGTAAAGTTAAAGTAAGTTTCTTCCGTACCAGGCACCAGGAATTTTTAAGATATTTTGCTCAAGAAAAAGAATTAGTCTATTGCAATGTCTAACACTACTATGTCTATTGCAATTACATAGTAGAGCTACTGAAACATCTCGGCGACTTTTTATCGACAGCAGCAAAAGGTCTTTGAAATGTGTGTTGTTACACAATGGAAATCAATTTGCATCTCTGCTATTGGCACATTCGACAACATTAAAAGAACAGCATGAAGCAATTAAGTACGTCCTAGAAAAAATTTCTTATGACCAACATAAATGGCTGATTTGCGTTGACTTAAAACTGGTCAACTTCTTGCTTGGTCAACAGTCTGGATTTACCAAATACCCATGCTTTTTATGCCTCTGGGATCGTACTCATCATTGCGTGAGAAAAAAATGGCCAGTACGTGAAGAGCTTGCAATATGTAGAGCAAAAAATGGTATTTTTAATGGTCCTCAAATTAGGCAGCTGATCAAAAACTCTCCCGCGTTGGAGGAGACCATGAATCCTGTTGAGCAACAAGCGTGGAATTGCTTTGTTCAGGTCGTGATGAATTTCCTAGGCAACACAAAAGCAGAGAACTATAAAGATCTAGTAGCAAACATGTTAGTGGCCTTTAGGAACCTTGGCTGCAATATGAGCATAAAAATGCACTACCTGTACTCGCACATGGACCGCTTTCCCGAAAATCTTGGCTCTTTAAGCGATGAGCAAGGAGAGCGCTTTCACCAGGACTTAAGAGAAATGGAATCACGCTACCAGGGAAGGTGGGACATGGTGATGATGGCGGACTACTGTTGGAATTTAAAAAGAGATGTGCAAGCACCAAGACATTCGCGACAATCAAAAAAACGAAAATTTAGACCGTAATAATGCAAACATTAAGTTTTCATTTTTAGTTACATGTACTGTACATGAAGTGTACATGATTCTTTGTTAGAATACTGCAATTTTATCATAAAAACTGACATTTTGTTTTGAAACATCATTAGTAAATCTTGAAAACATTGTTTTAAAAAAATATAACTATTGTCGCATAATTTTAAATTCAAATTTGCAAAAAAATTTGACCTCTGAGAGCAAAATGAATGTTATTTCTAGATTTAGCATAGCAAAAATATAGTAAATCAGTCAAAAAATATCAGACACCCTTTTAAAAAGTTTCTTTGTGTTGACCAGTGTTATCGCTTTATCGGCCAAGGCCACTTCCGCGTGCGCGCCAGGTTTAGATTTTGGAACTTTAGTAGAAGATGATGGAGGACGAAAGTGAACGACAAAGTTTTCCGTCATTAAAGACTCTCACTTCATCTGATTACAGAAATTTAAAAAATGAGCAAATGAAGGTAGTATTAATTCATTGGAAATGGATTTTGAAGAGATCTTTGTTTTATGTAGAAATCATTGTTTTTCAGACAGTTCAAGATTTGTATTTGCCACATATAGAATCGTTTAATTTTCTCATAGAAGGAGGTCTAGATCTAGCAGTTCAGGTATGATTTCAATAATGAATTAATTATTTAAAGTAAATTTCACTATGCGATTCAACAAACTTTACATTTGTTTGCCCCACTTGTATTTTAGGATACACTGTACCCATCATTGTACACACCGCATGATTTTTGCTGCGTTTGCAGTTTGCATTATAGTTGAAGACCCCTAGGGCCGAAGATCCATTGAATGGCAAAAATTTTCAAACTTGTAAAAAAAGTTTTTATTGTTCTTTTGACAAAGAAATTTTGCAATCTTCCAAATAATATTTTATTTCAATGACTGCACAGTTCAAATCGCATATTTTTCTCTTATATGAGATTTTTTAAACTTTGCCATCCAGCAAGGCACTATTCGGCCTTCGTGCAACTGACTCCTGGTTGTTTGCTAATGTTGAACAATCATTACTGATATAAAACTTATTTGAGTAAAACATCACTAATAACTTGGGAAAAGTACATGTATTATTCCTGATGGCAGTGTGAAGCTATTAACATAACTAAATGCACCTGGTTATTAAAGTGCATTAAAACATGAACTGTGGAGCAGGGGTTGGTTCATAGACAAGCAATTAATCGGGTGAAATTCACTGTCCCACACAGAGTCTGTTTTCATGCTATTGTGCAGTCCCCCCTACTTTTGAATAGGCTCTGTATTCCTTGTACATAAGTAAAATGTTGCATGGTTTCTTGGCATTTCATTTTGTCTCTTTCCTTTGTGTTTAATGATGCTCTTAAGATATAGAACTCCTACAGTTGCCATCATTTATCATGTGAATGAGTAATTCGTATATATATTTTCAGGATATCTTTCCAGAATCATTTGAGCTTCCAAACGGGCAGAAAGTTTTAATCTATTTCACTGTATGTATAACATAGTTCTATAATATTATTTGTCATCAATGAAATATTAATATTAACTCATTTTAATCTTTTCTAAATGGCTTTACCATTCAACTTCGCTTATGCAGATTATCACATGTTTATCTCACATAATATTTTCATACAATATTTTTTTCTTTTTTGCTAACCCTTCTTACAAGTATTTCTTCATGCTCTTTGCAAGAAACTGATGTTAGCCATTTCAATGAAGTTATAAAAATTGTCTACTTTAATTGAAGAATAAATTTGAACATCAATTCATTTTTGACTGATATTTTGTCACATACAATCTTACTTATGGTACACATGTTGAATATATGTAGCATCTAACCATTCTTTCCTTACTTATGGTACACATGTTGAATATATGCAGCATCTAACCATTCTTTCCTTCCTTATGGTACACATGTTGAATATATGTAGCATCTAACCATTCTTTCCTTACTTATGGTACACATGTTGAATATATGTAGCATCTAACCATTCTTTCCTTACTTATGGTACACATGTTGAATATATGTAGCATCTAACCATTCTTTCCTTACTTATGGTACACATGTTGAATATATAGCATCTAACCATTCTTTTTACTTATGGGTTGAAATATGTAGCATCTAACCATTTTACTTATGGTACACATGTTGAATATATGTAGCATCTAACCATACTTATGATGTTGAATATGTTTTTGGCAATTATAATTTTAAAAAGATTGATATCAGCTGGGCAGAGCAGAATATATGAATATTCACACCCACCCCCCACTTAACATTCTAGTTTTGCTCCTGCATTCTTTTAATGCTTGGTACCTAAAGAAAATTGTTTGAAATGAGGGCTTTGAATATTTCACTGTTTTATCTTATATGAAGTAATGTGAATTGAGTACTTTTTTGATTGATCATTACAACTGTGTTGTTTTACACATGCTTTTCGTTACTTTAAATGTTATATTGCATTGTTTTTCATTGTAGATTTAATCATTTAAAACATGTCTAGTAATCTTAAATTTGATTATTTATTCCCATTTCTATAGGGAGCCATTGTTGGAAAACCTACAATACCAGAAGAAAATGTTCATTCCAAATCGACAAAGATGTTTCCTGCTGAGGTGATACATTTTTTCCATTGACCGATTTGCTGTTTGAACTATTTTCTATATCATTTATCGACTAGTGGAATAATTTCAATTGTTATTGACTTTCAGTGCCGTCAAAGAGGTACAACATATAATGCCAAACTTCAAGTGTCTATTCAGTGGAAAGTTGATAATCAGATTTGTGGTAATCTTGTCAAAAGTATTGCCATGTTGCCGATTATGGTGAAGGTGATGTACATAATCTTGTTGTTTGTTTAGTTTCCTGATGGTTTCTTTCTTGTGTGTTGCTCATTTGTAACTTACATTATTATATTTGGTACATTTTTATCCATCCATTTGTATCATTGATTCCTTCATGTGCACTGCATGTATTGTGATAACTTGTCATTTCATATCACATGTTTGGATACGTTTGCTCATAATTTGACAGTTTAGCATCTTTGTTGGTTATGACTATTGTCAACTGTATCTCATTCAGTGGTGTTGACAAGGGGGAGGTGACAAATAAAGAGTAAATATTTTATTTGCCAATTTTTTCCATTTATTGATGAATCTTCAAGTTGGTAAATAACATTGACTTTTTTCAACTGAATTTTTTTTAATTAAATTAAATGAAGATATGATCTTCGCACTTTGCTGGACAATTTAAGCAATCGTCTCAGGACCTGAAAAAATCAGGTGACTCAACGGGATTCGAACCCATGAATTTCAAAACACCGCACTGCATAAAACATTCATAAGAATTTTTTTTGGAAGTTATGTAATCTTTGTAAAAGTACGTACACACTGTGTACCGCCCACGTGCTACGTACCAATTTCTCTAATTTTTACACCTTTAGTCAAAGTGCTGTTCGCTGTATGGCTTAAAACCAAAAGATCTTGTGGCCAATCATGAAGAAGCTGAGGTGCGGACTTTTTAACCATTGCAACTAATACAAATGTTTCTTTTTGTATTAAAATGCAAGAAAAATCATGTTTATATCATAAAGATATAGATCTTTTACACCACAAGTTTTTTAAGTTTCGTTGAAATGTTTTCCAAGCCTAGAACGTAGGTAACTGTCTCGATTATTATTATTATTATTGTATTCACTGGAATGTTGCAACAAAAGTATCTTTTCATCGTTTGGACCACTTTTTCTTCCATAACTTTAACTTTTCGTGATCATTTGTACTTTTACACCACTCGTGAAATCCTGACCAATTGACCATCAATATGTTTGTGGCATTCAGCCTAAGTATTCCATATTTTGTGCAATGCACCAATTTGAAGTGTTTTGCCGTCTTTTTAAAATTTTTGTCAATCGTCAAAATGTGCACAACTATCTACTTATGTACTTTGGATGTTGATATAGGAAAATGAATAGATATATTATCCACATGTAAACAACATAGCAACCTATTTTAGAAAGTACATACGTAAACTTTGAGGAAGTACTTTAGTTTAGTAGAATTGTCCATTACTTATGAGCAGTTTCCTGTTGCCTTCTCGTTCTTTTGATGCATTGAACAAGTAACTCATTAAGTGTTCATTTCATTATTTAGGAAGGTGGCGGTTATTTCATTATAAATGGTCTCGAGAAGGTTGTTCGAATGCTGATTCTTCCTCGAAGGAACTATGTAAATAAGTACACGAAACTTGTACTTGATGTTGCAATTGTTCGTCTAAATTTACCTGTTGTTTTCCTAGTAAATATACCAAATACTTTCCATGTAGTATCAACATATATTTGTGGTTTTATAATAAGGTTTTCAATGCTGGTGTCAATACCCTGACTTGAATATTTTAAGTTAGTAATCTAGACAAGTTCGATGAATCTTCTCTAGAAAGCGCCAAAATGAAATCATCATATATACGAGAAATTGAATTTGAAAAGTATTTGACATTATTCCATTTGTACGTACCTTAAAGATACTTTTATTAGTTAGTACCCTTATTATTAGTTTTTTTACTTTTCTGTTGGCAAAATGTCATGGCTTTTTGTCTTATTCATTTCATTTATATAACGAAATTTGTTTGCTCCATTCGGTCACTTAACGAGGGAAACTTGCACTCTCACAACTAGTGAAAAAAATAACTCTGCAGTTCGATGCAATCCTCTAATTTCGATTAAAAGGTCCTTTTGTTTTGTGTAGCCGTTAGCTCTCGTTCGTGCGTCGTGGAAAAAGCGTGGTCCTTTGTTTACAGAATATGGTGTGCAGATCCGCTGTGTGCAGAAAGATCAAACTGGCAATGTACGTAATTTAATTTAATTTAGCAATAATCTACATTTTGCTCGCATTTGTATCGTGCATTTGCGTCTGGATTCTGTTGTAAATCGTTGATTTTTTGTTGCATATTTCATGTAAAAATATGTCATATTTGTTTGCTGTAGATCATAGCTCCTCTATATTTATTTCTTATGTATAAAGATATGTCATAAAAACCACTTGTAGCCGACCATTTTAAAAATAAAACGTGCAAGAAAAGCAGGCTCCGCTGATAAAGCCATCTTGAAATTCTATATTTGAAGCAAAACAAGAGACGTCTGTGAAATAAAGTCTAAAATTTACACTAAATTTTGCCTTTGTTATTTTAATTCTAACATTGAATTGTACGATGGCCATTTTCTTCGGAATGTGCTTCTTCTTAAGATATGACATGTTTGTCTGTTATAGAGCATGGTACTTCACTATTTGACTGATGGCACCTGCTCTCTATCGTTCTCGTACAACAAGGAACAGTTTTTTATGCCAGTAATGTTAATATTGAAGGTATGAGCACATTTTTGAGATATTTTCAAAAAAATTCTTATGAAAAAGTATACTTGAATCAAGTATGTTTTTAAGGCTTTGTACGATACAACGGATCTACATATTTACAAAGAGCTTACTAAAGGCGAAGAAACGAACATTTTTCTAAAAGAGTAAGTTGTATTTGTTGTGCATCTTTGCACTTGTACAGATGAAATTATTGAAGATATTTTTCATTTAAAATGTGTAAAGAATGTTAGTGCTTTTGGTGTCCACATTATATCCACCCTCTAAGATCATCAGATTTAGACGCTTGATATTTTTAATAAGAGACTCGTGTGTTTGCTTAAGAACTTACGTTCAGCAGTTAGTTTTTTTTAAATGACGAGAGCAAGATAAGGAGAAGTTGTGGATATTTTCATGACTTCTTTTACATTTAAAACTGTATTACATGTATAGATTTTGATGAATTAGTTTCATAATGTTCTTCAAATATGGGTGTCAAAGGAGCAGTTAAAACTTATATATTGTATAAAACGTAGTTTACACCTTATATCTCTACAGTATTCCACATATATCCACACATACATTACCAGTCATCTTCGTCATTGTGCTCTGTTTTATTTAGTTGCGTTGCAACCATGTTAAGACAAGTTCAAGACAAAGAACTTACGAGTCGGACGAAGATCTTAAAATATTTTGGTATTTTTCATTTTTCGTAATTGTGCGTGCCGTTAGTGTTTCTTTTATCGTGTTTCATATTAGCGTCAAATGCCAAAGCGATCAAATCCAAGCAAACTAATAATTTTTTGTATACATGGTGTTGTTTGGTATCATATTGCTACAACGAAAGTTTATCATGTCAGTGGTTGTTTTGTAGTTTTTCATTAGTATTAAGTCGGTTGGATCTTGGATGTTGCACAAATACTATAAAACACTCGAGATATTTTTTAAAGGTGAAAGATTTCGCGTGAAGTTTTCCCTTCCTGAATGTTATACGGATATCTTTGTGGCTAAATTCTTAATTCGGTTCGTGAGTCTTTTCTTATTTACGTTTATTTTGCGCTCAACAATAAGAAAAATGTTTTGCTTTGAAAACGTATAGATGACACGACAAAGAGAGAATAAGTGTAAAATATTTTGATTGAAAATTACAAATGCAGCTGGAAACAAGGGAATAGGTTTATTGTGAGTTTTCAATTGTGATGTACATTTCATGGTACTGGTTAGGGGGTCGTGATTGTCATGTATTCACAATGATCTGAGTTATGTCACAAGTTGCATACTCTGTCGAATAACTGGAAACAAATTTCGTATTGTTTTTCTTGGCAAAAACCTTGATCTTTTTACCTTTGTCGTCTCATCTGTGAACATTCTGATAATGAGTTATTTATCACATACACGTATTTTTAGTGTTTTCTAACAAGGACAGTGTGTTGTTTAAAATTAAAATTACACTTGTTTAGTGTTTTTAACAAGGCTAATGTGTTGTTTGACATTAAAATTACACGTGTTGAGTGTTTTCTAAGATGGCTAGTGTGTTGTTTGACATTAAAATTAAGCCTAATTTTATTCTTGTAGGAAGTGTATTTGCATTCATCTGGAATCACACGTCGATAAATTTAATCTACTTGTGTAAGTTAGCAAATTTTGCCTGAAATCCAAAATGTTGGAGACTTATATTTGTCATAACATTGATTGAATAGTCAACATTCGGACTATTTTGCTGAACTTTTTAATTGGGAAACTTTTGGTCGTATACAATTTCATAAAACTGCATAACGTTGGTAGTCTTGTACGCTTCTTTATAATTTATTGATGCAGGTTTATGATAAAGAAGCTGTACGCATTGGCTATGGAAAAATGTGCTCCTGAATCTGCTGACAGTCTGATGAATCAAGAACTACTTCTTGGTGGCCATTTTTATCTCATGTTTTTAAAAGTAAGTTGGTATGAATTAATTATAATTCTCAGGTGCTGCGTACTAAAGTGACCAAAATGGTCGTTTTGGTAAATTTTGGTCCACCAGCTAATTTTAAAACTACAGCATTCCGACTTTGAATGAAATCTTTTGAATTCAAGATGTGAACTGTCGACAATAGTTCTCGACTTTATTTTATGACTTTCAACCATGTTTTATTTAAGCCCACAAACATAAATATCAATTGCTAAAAATGTTAAAACATGTGAAGTAATGTAAAATTTTCAATATTCAGGAACAGGTGTTGATTGCATGATATGTTCAGCTTTATTTAAGATGCGCAAAAACCGCAAATTATGATAATGTAATATATCAGTTAAAAAAGAAGTCTGCACCATGCAATATTTTCTTAAAATTGAATTTTCCTATTTCATTGATCGTGAGAGCATTTTATTATAACGAGCTTTTGACTTTTCCAACACTATATCTTTTTACTGCAGAGCCCTTTTTTTGAGTTTTTACATTTTTCTACGGACGCTATGTTCTTTAAAAAAGGTTGCGCATTGATCATGTTGAATGCATGAGACACACTAGGAAAAATCAAGACAACTTCTTTTTCAATTCTTTGCCAATTCTGACTAAACGAGCAAAGTATAAAACAATTCTTGCAAATAAGATAGACACATTCTTTGTCTACATTATAAATTCATATGTCGTTAAAGTTGGGAAAATAATTCATTCATAAACATTTTATCTTATTTTGATTCAAGAGTAAAAAGGTAATTGAAAATTATTTTATATTTTTATATTCGTTGTAAGTCTGTCAGAGTTTCTCTTTGATTGAATAACCCCCTAAAAAAGACCTCGCATCATTCCATGACAAAAGGAAGTATTTAGGAATTACTACTAAATTATAACTAATTATAACTGTAAATGTAACTAATTATAACTGTAACTAATTATTACTTACAAGTTTATGTCTGTTTGCAGGAGAAGCTTGAACTTTGGTTGAGGTCTTTACGATTCGCTCTGGAGAAAGATATTCAGAAAAATTCCCACGATTTTTCTTTAAACATTAGTAAGACTTGACGATAACATACAATGATATTACTTTACACTATAAACAACATAAAGTTTTTACAAAATATGTTATACATTGCATTGATTTTCTAATCTACATTAGCACGAAAAGACGTATCTGTAATTGAAGTCTTTTCAATATTTTTTCCAATAGTTTTTGGGGATGACTACAAATAATGTCTTTTGAATTTTTAACAGATTCAGTTCTCAAAGCCATGACTTCTTGCTTAAACTTGACTAATCAAATAAATTATCTCCTGGCAACGGGAACGTTGCGCAGTAAATCTGGCCTTGGCTTGATGCAGGTAACATGAATGCTGGCTATAAATTCTGAATATGCATTGACTCCTTTTTATGGACGGTTTATACCCTGTTTATACTGTACATATCGTTTTTTCCATTATTTTGATTTTAACAAAAATAGGTCGACTTTCAATATTGGTTTCACCAAGTCGTACAAATATTCTATTGAATCTTGTTGTGTCTAAAATGTTGTAAATCACGAATTTCATGTCACATCTTGTTTCGTTGAAATGTTATTTTTGATATTTTAAGTTGCATCATCATTGCTTGCATGTTTAAGTTGTATGTTACACACTTGTTGCAGATAATTTTGCGTTGCTTACATGTTTAGGTTGCAGGTTACTCACTTGTTGCAGATAAATTTGCATTGCTTACATGTTTAGGTTGCAGGTTACACACTTGTTGCAGATAAATTTGCATTGCTTACATGTTTAGGTTGCAGGTTACTCACTTGTTGCAGATAAATTTGCATTGCTTACATGTTTAGGTTGCAGGTTACACACTTGTTGCAGATAAATTTACATTGCTTGCATGTTTAAGTTGTATGTTACACACTTGTTGCAGATAAACTTACCATGCTTACATGTATAAGTTGTAGATTATACAGTTGCTTAAGATAGACTTACATTGTTTGCTCGTTGAAGGTTACACAATCGTTGCAGACGAATTTACATTGTTTACATTTTTAGGTGGCAGGTTATACAGTTGTTGCAGATAAACTTAACTATTACAGATACTTGTCACATTTTCGTTGCGTTCATCGTGGTGCTTTCTTCGCTCAAATGAGAACCACAACTGTACGAAAACTTTTACCCGAAACTTGGGGTAAGTAAGGGTTTCATGATTTGGTAAGAAGTGCTTCTTATAATTTTCATTACTGGACTTTTTGTATTCTCGTTCTACTGGCTTCATAAATATAAAAACAGTGGACAAAAAAGTATGCCCAAGTAAAATGCGGTTTCTAGTGAGCAACATTTAAAATGAGCAAATTCGAAAGTAGTGCAAAAAATAGTCATGGAGGGGCAAAATGTACCCTTATCACGATACGCGTTAAAATTATCAAGTGTCGCGAGACGTCATGAATTATTTCGCGTTTGTTCAGAACAAGTTTCTGTCAACAAGGACTGTTAACTATATCATTTACGCTTTTTCAAACAAATTGTTGGAGATTTTTGAATTAACAAGATACATTCTATTATAACTCATGAAAAACTCTTGTGTTATACTTTCATACAGGATTTCTATGTCCTGTGCATACTCCAGATGGTTCTCCTTGTGGATTATTAAATCATTTATCAGCTACATGTGAGGTAATTCACTTATATTCACATCGTGCATTTGTTTTGAAAATTCTACTGTCAGTGCTTTTCATTAAGATTCAAGTATACTCCCTGCCGACTTGCCGAATAATTGAGTTATTAAACGTGTATTTTTTCTAAAGTTTAATCTGTGTTTTTCCTTCCTTGATGAAATACGGTGAATGACCCTTTCACGAATACATACAGAAGTAACGGCCTCAATTATTGGTAGAGATGGTTTACTTTCATTTCAATTTACCTTCATACAGGGGTGGCAGTGTGACCAGATTTAGTAATTTTTTACCAGGTCCGCTTTGGTGGGCTTAAACAGACCCAACTGTTTTACATAATTGCAACATTTAGAACAGGGGGGGAGCAGTCAACACAGATCAACGCATTTTCGGAGATAAATTTTTCATATGTGGTCACACCGAGGGATAGGCTTGGGAGTGGGGGGAGGGGGTGGGTGCGCAAAGGTGTGCATATCCTAGCCTTCGCTAGATAGAGATCAGATTTTTACTTATTTAGGTCGTGAATGCTCAATGTAATACAAGTAATTTTCCTCGGTTGCTGTGTTCACTTGGCATGACTCCATTAGATTGTCCAAGATCACAATCCGCTTCTTCCTGTTATCATGTCTTATTGGACGGGAAAGTTTTGGGTTTTATTGAAGAACAATGGATCGACGTTTTAGTAAAGAGACTGAGAATGTTAAAAACTGAACAATTGGAGCAGGTCTGTCAATAAATATTTTCAACATTTTTGCACGAATGGAAAAAAGTCCTTTATCCTTTATCTTGTTTTCAGTGTGTGAAGTTTGCTCAAAATGTTTCTACACATTCACGCACAAAATTTTGTAAAAATTAAACACTGGAAATAAACGGCCTTTTATGCTTTTTGGTGTAGAGTACTCTTAACTGAAAACCCCGATTTCTGGTTGCATTTTCATGTTTTTTGTCTCAAAAATCAAAATGGTTTGCAAAGTTTGAACAGGTTTTTGCCTCTATCCAATATTGATAGATTACTTGGCGGCCATGTTGATAGATTACTTCAAAGGACAGATACTCAACAGAGCACAAAATCAGCAGAAATTCTTTTTACTATATTGGTTTTTCTACGAACATAGCAAACAGTGAATACACTCTATTCGTAAATATCTGTAGAACCACACCTTGATATGTATTGCCTTTATTTCTTTGCCACGCTGGAAAGGTGTTCGATATGAAAAAGTTGTACCTTGAATAAAGTGTGTTACGAATAAGTCTGTACAATGTCTGTATTAAGTATTGTCTTCGTATCTTTATTCAAATAAAAACAGTACTTGTTGGAGAGATAGCAATTTAATGTTTTTTATATTTTCCTGTTCGACACGTAGGTTCCCAAACATTTAGAAATTTGCATGGTTCCATTCACCGAAAGTGCGAGTCAATATCCGGGACTTTATTTATTCACAACTCCTGCAAGGATGATGCGATCTTTGCTCAATGTGGCAGTCGGTAAACCAGAGATGATTGGTACTTTTGAACAGGTGAACATACATGCAAGTCGTTTTTACGAAATATGTAATGAATGATGAAAGAATATTTGCGTGTCATCTGATGGTAATCTTATCTTTGTGTTTTTGACCTAAACATGATGATGAAACTACCAAAATGATTGCACATCGATTTCTGACATTCACTGTAACATGTGTATATGTACACGATTTCGACAATCCATAAACTCTCACTGTATGGTTCATTTAGTTATTTGATGAGGGCGGCATTAATTTTTTTGATCAATTTTTTCAGGTTTATCTCGATGTTGCGATTATACCTGAAGAAGTTTATGCTGGGTGAGTTGATATGCCCAGCGGCATCAGTGCATGGCGAATAGACAAACTTTTTGTTGTTTTTTTTTTGTATAAATTTCTTATATCCTTTTTAGATTACTACACATATGGAAATAACACAAACAGGATTTTTAAGTGCCATTGCAAGCCTAACGCCATACTCGGATTTTAACCAAAGTCCTAGGAATATGTATCAATGTCAGGTGCGTAATATGATAAAAGAGATCAAGCGACAGATTTCTTCATCGCATGTCACTGTAACTTTGTTCAGTTTTTTATTATTCCACGGAAATTTTCAATTTTTTTTAAGTGGAAGGATTTGCTTTGCTTTTATTTGCAGTGTACTTAGTAGTTTTTACTTCTTCAACGCGTGTCTTAAATTTTCATAAGAAATGTAAATTATCCAATGGAATCATATCATCACATAAGACATTGTGTTTTCGATGTCAGGTATAAATACTAACAATCTAGAACCGTTAAGTTTCAAATTATTATCTGAAATTTGGAGGCGAAGATTCAAGTTTTTTCTTAGACACCTATAGCGAAGACATGGAAGGGATATAAGAAAAAGTAATGGACGCTTGCTAGTCATTTTTACTTCACCAATAGTCGTTTTGCCATTCGTTTCTTAAAATTTTCGAGAAAACATGTTTGAATTAATTTCTCGCCGAATATCAGAGGTTCAAATCACATACAGAATACGCATTTACTTACCATTTGGACGCTCAAATTTTACCCATCTCAGAAATTGTCTTAGAATAGGATTATTCTCCCAGCGGGTCTTGTTGTGAAACTGAACAATGTTTTTTCATGAATTATTTTATATTCAGGCAATTTAACTACTTCGTCACTTAAGTGATAAAGTGTTTCTCATTAAACTGCTTTTGTACGTAGATGGGCAAACAAACGATGGGGACACCTTGCCACTCAATACCGAATCGTGGCGATAATAAGTTATATCGAATACAGGTAAATCCATTGATATCCATCAACGTCCATGCAACATGGTAAGTTCAAATAATCGTATGCCCACCACACAATTCTTAGACTCCTCAGACACCGCTAGTAAGACCAAAGTCTCACCAGGATTATAATGTTGATGATTATCCACTTGGAACCAACGCTGTTGTTGCAGTTGTATCATACACTGTAAGTGTAAATGTTCATCTTAAATTCTATCATATAGCTACAATCTTACTCAAATTTTACAGACGTTTAACACCTACATTTTCTTTTAAATTTTTGCATTTATTGATATATGTGTATTTAGTTCATAGGTGTAAGCAATTTCTCATTCTTCTAGTCTCGACTCTTAATCATTATCCTTGAGAATTGCTTTTTTTACCCACAGTGATCAACACGATTTATTTAATATGACTACGGTTAATAGAAACTAACACAGTTTAACATCCATATATAAATATTACCCCTCCCCCACCATCAAACTTTCGACTACCTTTGTGCTAGTTCTTGACAGACGGTACTTTGCAATCTAGGGTTATGATATGGAAGATGCCATGATACTGAACAAAGCTTCTTACGAACGAGGCTTTGCCCATGGGACAATTTATAAAACCGAGGTACATTTTGTTTTTAACTGTTGTGTTGTTTTTTATTTTGTGCCAATGAATCGTGAACTGGAATGTAAGATTTAAATTCCATTTTGTAAATCTCTTTATAAAATACAAACAATAAGACGCGTGCACTGATTCTTCTATAGCTGAGTTTGCGTGAGCCTGTACAAGCCGATCTGAGCTCAATCATTGAAGCTCAATTAATTAAATCAATTAAAGAGAATTTACAAATGAATCGTGAATACTTATCGTGAAATGTTAGAGAAAAATTAAAACACTTGTTTTAAATTCATCCATTTTGCATCATTGTTATTTTATACAAGAAGTAAAAAATGTTTTTCGTGTTTTTCACTGGTTTATGCAAACCTTGGAGACGTTTGTGTGAACTCTCAAGTGGTGCAAATCCTCGAGCAGAGGCACTGATCTGCTCTCGGGTTCTCCAAAAGGTCTGCTCTGCTTGCATAAGCCTGTTAAAACACCTTTAACATTTTCATTTTTTAATTGCTAACTGGTTGTTTCTTTCGTTACGTAGATTGTTGATCTTTCAAAACATTCAAATAACTCGCGAAATGTCACACTTATATTTGGTAAGATTACACTTCAACATATCATTCTTTGAAAGTTGTTCATTTAAACGCTAAATGATTTCTATTTTCATAATCCAAATTTGAAAGATTTGTTTGTTTTCGTGCGTTAAAGAAATGCATTTGTTTCAGGTTTTTAGCCGTTTCACTTTCAGAAAGTTTTTACAGTCAACTTATGTGTCGTTCTCAAGGTGGTTGTGATACATAGTGTAAAGTACATGTCTACCATTTGGTATTTGTAGGCTGTCTTCCTGGTGATAAGCTGCTTGCTTCTGGCAAATTAGACCAAGATGGTTTTCCACCAATTGGAACTAAGCTGGAGATGGGTGACCCCTGCTATAGGTTGGTGCTATATACATAGGTTTTCATGCGACAAAATTTTGTAATCAAATTAATGCTTTACGAAATTTCAATTTTTTATATGGGACAGTGTTGTGTGTTTTTTCATAAAAGGTTAATTAATGAATCTATAAAATGAATGTTAGTAATTTTTGTTGGGAACATTGGGAAGAACTGAAAATTTTTGAAGAAACTGTTTGTAAAAGTGGTATTGGTTTATGCAGTTATTGTTGTTCGTGTAGTGATAATCATGTAACAGATGCGCCATTTTACAAAAAGCAACCTACACGTTCACTGGATTTGGACTTTAAAAGTGTCACTTATTGAGAGACTGGAAAGAAAATGTAACCTTCATTTCTGCACTTAAATTTTTATCTGTTCATAATTTTGTCCAGATTTAGCAAGCATAGAATTGTTCATCAATCAGTGGATTTATAAGCAAGGCCACCGATATGTACACGCGCGTACCTATTTTAATATGTATTTTTCATAGACGGCTTTACGTCTCTTTTGTAACGTTCAGTTAACTAATGTTTGAATTTCTCCCTCGTTCAGTTATATTGATCTTACTACGGGTGCAACCAAAGTGAAATATTATACTTACATGGAAGCTGCCTATTTAGATTCTGTAAGTATATAAGTTTTCTTTACTCGTAAACAAGACGTTGGGATGTCATTCCATAGTTATAAGTAACTCATTTTTTAAAGTAAATGGTTTGAACACGGGAGTATCGTTACATGCTTGTAAATGTAGATCGTCCAGGTTGGTATAGTCCTGAGAAGGACTGCTTTTGTTGTTGTTGACTGACGTTTCGACTACCTTAGCGGTAGTCATCTTCATTTGACTCTGAAGATGACTACCGCTAAGGTTGTCAAAACGTCAGTCAACAACAACAAAAACAGTCCTTCTCAGGACTATACCAACCTGGACGATCTACATTTACAAACATGTAATTCATTTTTATTATACTTAAAACTTAAAAGTACCCCGTTTTTTATTATGATAAGTATGAATATCTCATTATTAGGAACTTTGCAGTATTATGAGTAGGGGCGAACGTTAAAGGGATGAAAAATATTTAAAATTTACGTTTTATCAGTTTTGAGCGATACAAATCAGTGAACAATTGGTCAAGCGAATTGCGCATGCTCGAGCATTCTTTTATTGTTTAACTTGATCGTGACGTTCTGTTAAAGGCGAAACGTTGTTATAAACTTGTTAAATTATGACTAAATAGAATAAATAAGTTAATGTATTTTATCGTAGGGTACTGTGGTGTGAATATCAAATTAAATAAATTAGCGTTTTTACGAAGACTGTCGTATCGATCTTGTAACTCATTTTGTATCGTTGAAATGTCATCAAACGTCTTGTCACTATTTTAGGTGAAATTTCTCGGAAATGATTGTGGTGATGGTGAGTTGCAGAGAGTTTCGTTAAAATGGCGAATACAGGTTAAATATGTCCTTTGCTCGACTTACAAAATAAAGAAAATTTGAATATCTCTTACGTTTTTTCTCGTAGAGAAATCCTATTATTGGTGACAAGTTTTCAAGTCGTCATGGGCAGAAAGGTATTTGCAGGTAAATAATTTCCTACTAAAATGTTGGTTTAATAAACCCTTAATAACCGAGCGCGAGGTCATTACGGAGAAATATATCGGACCGAAGTTTTTTTTAGAGGTCTGATATTTCTTAGTAAAGACCGAGAAAGCGAGGTTAATAAAAGTTTATTATATGGCATTATTTGACCTGAAACGAAGCTTGCTTTCTTTCTCGTCCTTGCTGTTTTTTACCGTTTGGCTTTCACTTTTCTAGTTTTCGTCCATAAAAAATAAATCGTTTCAAATTGTATCGGATAGTTTAACTGTTTTCCCAGTGTTTTTCCTTCGAATCACATTCGTAAATGGTTTTTTCTTTTGTTTATTTTGCGTTTTACTGTTTGCATTGCGAAGTTTGTTTGCATTTGACGGTAAAATTACGCGTTTTGGACGGTGGTCGATTACTGGAAAATAATGGACCGACAAAAATGTTTCTGAGCCAATCAAAGCGCGCCATTTCGCCGGAAGTGACGTTTGCCATATAACAATTACGTATAATATAGCTTGCAATGTTGGTTCTCTAAAACAGCATTTAAATTTGTCAACATTAAGATTGAGAAAAAGGTATTTTTATTTTGTTTGTCAGTGTACGTTAATTACAACCTTTATCAAAATTTATTATAAATTTGGCCTTCAACCAACAGCGCACAAACACTATAGTCATTTGTCAGTTGAACATTTTTACATAAACTGACCAATTGGTTATTTGGTGTGACGCCCGAGTAAATTGATGAGAAACATTTTCTGAAACAAGATCCACAACATCAAATTAATCATAACCCTCATTATTTTGTTAGTCAAAAGTGGCCTGCCGAAAACATGCCGTTCTCTGAATCAGGAATGACTCCCGACATCATTTTTAACCCTCATGGCTTTCCATCTCGTATGACTATTGGTAAGAGTCACGTTTTATTTGTTTGACCAGAAGTATACTTTGGGGCGATGGACTAAATATATTTTTTAAAGAGTATTGCGGTATATATCGTGAATTATTAAGATTTGTGCATCAGAACAAGTTTATATTTTGGCTAATTTACCCATAGAAGAAACGGAATTAAATATACAGTGTGGTCAAACTGTTTTGTTTCAGTAATCTCAAGAATCCCAGCGATAACTAACTTAAATTCAGGGCATACATATTTACATACTTCGTGGGTCGGCTTGCATCGTACAACTGTTCCATGTACATACAAACGAAATACATTATATCCAAAATAAAAAAAACTTAAACGTAATTCAAACTTACGTACCCTTTTTTGTCAAATTTCAATTATAAATGGTACTGGTCTTTCAATGTTATAAGACATCCAAGCCAAAAATAAGTGCAGTTCAATACACTGCCAACGAGGCTAAGAAAATAAGCCTAAGAAAAAGTATTGAGGCGGATTTTTATTTTTTCATAGTTTTGCTTTGAATGATAAAAACAAAAACTTATGAATAAAAAAACTGAATGTCCTTTTAATATATATACACTGTGTTAAATTTTAAAGTGCCTATGAAACGAAAATTTTGCTTCTAAAATTATTTTTGCAATGACCAGAACTTTTGAAATGACAGTGTACTTTCTAAAACAGTTAAGACATATCTCTTTTCATTTTCGTGGTTTTCATGTTTTTGTTATTTCCAATTTATCCAACTTCTTACGTCATATTGCATAATAAGTTCCCACAATGTTTCAAATACTTTTCAGTTTCCTGACAACTTTAGATTGATACCAGTAGGCAACATTTTATACCATTAACCCACGTCACAATGAAGGGAACTCTGTCCTTGTGTAGTACAGTATCAACAATTTTAATTCTCATTATGCAATGTGATGTGACAAGTATATAAATCAGACAAAGCAACAACCTCAATATCTCAAAAATCAAAAGTGATATACATAAACTGGTTTAGAATGGCCGTTGTCATTTTAAAATATCTCTTTAAAAAAAGTAGAACTCAGTTAGCAAAATTTTCGTTTCATATGCACTTGAAGGATTCAATATCATGGAGATAAACTGACCTGGGCCTTAAATTGCTTTGTTGTCGGAATCATCAACTGCTCTCAAAAAACTAACATTTTAAAGCTCCTCAATTTTTAAAAGCTTCGATTACGACATTACTGTTCGTGTTTGAATTTCATTTAATATCAAATAATCCCTTTGGCTGGACACAATTATCCTTTTGGATTTCACTGTTGATTAATGAAAATATGTTTTGCTTTCCTTGACGTCATGCTTGTTGTAACTTATTAGTTTACAACTATTTCTTGATAGGAATGATGATCGAGAGCATGGCTGGAAAGTCGGCAAGTATGCATGGCTTGGTGCATGATGCTACTCCATTTACGTTTTCTGAAGATGTTTCTGCCATTGATTATTTTGGAAAGATGTTAATAGAAGGTAACAGGAGCACAAAATTTAAATTTGTTACCAAAACAAGAAAACCAAAGCTTTTACGATATATGTTTGATGGTTTTTTTTGTCTTTATTGTAGAAGTCTAGCAATTTAGTCTTCTTCATTTTTTAATGCCTAAAATTGTTTTTAGCTGGCTACAATTATCATGGTACCGAAAGACTTTACAGTGGTATCACGGGGAAAGAATTTGAGGCCAATATTTTCTTTGGTATCGTTTATTATCAACGTCTTCGACATATGGTGTCTGATAAGTATCAGGTATAAACATGGTGTCTTATAAGTATCGGGTATAAATATGGTGTCAGATAAGTATGAGGTATAAATATGGTGTCTGAGGTATAAATATGGTGTCAGATAAGTACGAGTTATGAACATGGTGTATGAGGTATAAATTTGGTATTAAAGGTATAAATATGGTGTCAGATAAGTATGAGGTAAAAATATGGTGTCTGAGGTATAAATATGGTGTCAGATAAGTACGAGTTATGAACATGGTGTATGAGGTATAAATTTGGTATCAAAGGTATAAATATGGTGTCAGATAAGTACGAGTTACGAACATGTTGTATGAGGTATAAATGTGGTATCAAAGGTATAAATATGGTGTCAGATAAGTGCGAGTTACGAACATGTTGTATGAGGTATAAATGTGGTATCAAAGGTATAAATATGGTGTCAGATAAGTATCAGTAGAGTAGACCCTTAGCAAATATTTTGATGACGGACCCAAATTTTATCAATTCGAACATTGATATTATTAAAACTATTCATTCACTAATGTCCTTAAACTATGATTTTCTTCGATATTTCGCAATTTATGGCCAGATCCTATCAATGTTTCTGTGTTGCCAAATTGCATGCACATAAAGATATGGCAATAATGAATTAGTTTACGCAGACTGATAAAACCTGCTCTAGGTGAGGGCAACTGGTCCTGTCGATATCCTAACTCAACAGCCTGTACAAGGTCGAAAACGTCAAGGAGGAATACGTTTTGGTGAAATGGAAAGAGATGCATTACTTGCTCATGGAACTTCTTTCCTTTTACAAGACAGATTAATGAATTGTTCTGACCGATCAGAGGTAGTTATTTACCTTCTTTTTAAATAATGTCGAGTAATTAACTTTAGCCATGTAAAAAGTAATATTTTCTACTTCATATTTTCTAGCGTTGTGAACAAATACTACAAAATTTAAATTTCAGGGTCATGTTTGTGTCAAATGTGGCAGTCTTCTCTCTCCGATTTTTGATAAATGCTCTACGGAAATGGCTGCCGTCTCTTCAAATAGGACGAGAAAATGGAGGTGTAAAACTTGTGAAACGAGTGAACACATAAAAGTTTTGTCTTTACCTTACGTCTTCCGTTATCTTGTAGCAGAACTGGGTGCGATGAATATTAAAGTATCTTTAGACGTGAAGTAAAATAACTTTAAAGAAGATAAATGTTTTTGTGTGGTTGAATATAAGGAACGTTCATTGTTACAAAAACTAGTTTTCAGTTTTACTGAAACTCTGGATTTTTGTGTGGGGGAGGGTGGGGGGAGCTTGGCCGACGACAGCGAGGAATTTAGAGGGCATAAGGTATCCACAGGGGGTATTTACCGGAGATGTGTTAATTTTTTCATGCTGCAGATACTTCATTCGTTGTCATTGTCAAACATAGTCAAAATGACTTTCTCGAACAGTTGAACATCATAACACATTACACTGACCTGTGTGTTGGATTTGTTGATTTTTTACAGGAATATGGGAAAAAAAGCCATCTGAATTCTACGATGCATTTTTTTGCTGTGTTGGAAGAGCTAGACTTACTCCCGCTATGTAAATTTTAAATAATCATCATTATACATTTCTTTAGAAATCTATTGTTCTCACGGTCATGGAAGACAAAAATATTCGCATAGCGGGGTGAAAAGTTAGGATGACTGCGCTTCTGCCCCGCTCAGCTGTCTTAAGATGTTGAAGTTGAAAGTTGAATATAACACATATGCTGTTTACTTTGGATATCTGCCTTATTTGGTCAAAATACATTTTATTTATCAATGACGTATATTTGTTTAAATCCTAAGATCATTTTACTTTAGTGAACGGCCTTTATCTGAAATTGAATGCACGCCAAGCCTGATGGTATTGTCTGAAGGCCAACTGTTTACATATGTACGGAGCATGGCGACGATGCTTTATGAATATATAATTCACGGATGACACGGTTTGATCCACGATTATCATATAAGGTGAAACTATATATTCATGTACATTCGTGTGTCTGTGGAACGATTTGTCTAGTTAAGAAGTGCATTACTATTTGTTTTTTTGTCAAACAGTCGCAATATATGTCACGTTGAGCGGAAGATAATTTAATTCTACTCCTACCTCTTTCTGTTGTTTCAAATATAACTGATTTAAACAAAATGTAAAGTAACTTAAAATAAGATGTTCCAGCGACTGTCCCGTATCAGCATTTAGGCTATTAACAATGCGGAAAACGAGCTTAAACCGCTAAAATGTTCTATATATCTTTCATACAAGTTTTTTCAAAAGAATTTGTTTTACATCTTATTTTGCGGCTTTACTCGTATGCATGCGTGGTGCCATATTGAATTTCTTGTGGTATATCTGCAGTCCGTTAAATAGCGTTGGTCTATCTTGTTTCAGGATTCTTTAATTGATATGGAAAGTTTTCACGAAGGAGAAACAGACGAGGACAATACTCCACTGCTAATGTCTGCGAGTGAGGATTATTCGTCGGAACGAAAACAAGTGAGTATTATAATATTGCACTATAGTTGTTGTACTACGTATTTTTTGGATTCGACTTTTAATTGTATTGTATTCACCTACTGGCCCACTTTATTTGATATTGGTCTTATTCGATTCAATTCACATTTATATTACATGATATTGGATTGACTCTGTTTTATAATGCCTTAAGTACCAACTAACTATATAAAATTTATTTGACGATTAGGCAATACACTCCGATAATTAGTAGGTAAATGTTGTTGAAAAGCCAACATTCAGTTTTAAAATGAGTTTTATTATATTATTATTGATATCATGCACTATAATCACTTGGGAGAAAGCAAACCCGAACGTTGTTCAAGTTTTCTAGAAATTTGAGTTTGCGTAAACAACTTTAAATAGATCCAAAGGCACACCCAAACTGAGTGTACCGACAATTTCAAATAAAAAAAGGAATTTCTAGAATTCGTTAAAATGTAAGAAAATCAAAATAAGAAAGGCGGAAGAGTAAGTTTTTGTCTTTATAAGAAAATCTTCCGTTACGACGAAGTTTCGTCTCACATTGTGTCAGAAGAAGGTTTTGAAATAAAGTCGAAAATTTGCACTTCTTTCCTCATGTTTTCATTCTGTATATTTTAAGATGGTGTTATTCAATTGAAATTATTTCTCATTGTATTGTACCACCATTGTACTTTACGAATAAAGGCTCTGATTGTACTTCATATTACGTCATCTTATATTTTTATCAAATCGCCATGTATGAAAGTTCAATAAACAACGCGCTGCTGAAATATAGTTAAGGCGAGCAAACTGCACGACTGAGAAACTACAAACACTTTTCTCATATTGTCAGCTAAGAGAAGAAAACGCCGATTTAAGACAAAGACTTCGTCGCGCACAAAAGAAGATCAATGAACATATGAATGAAATGAAAGGCCTTAACGAGAGGTAATTCCACAGGTGGTTATTTTGCTAGATGATTAATATAGCTATATATTTCAAAAACGCGGAAGTTGTTTGACTCTATAGTTTTCGTCATCCGATAATTTGACCTTGACATGTCATTCCTAGATGTTTACAAGTTATTGATATTAATGTAGTGTAGCTTTCTTTCAAGATTTGTTTTTATTTTCTTGCTTCATGAATTTTTTATGTCCGTGTGTAATATATTATTTAAAAGTCAATATTCTCTTATTCCTTTTCACCGAGTGTGCTTTATAAATAATATAACGATGAGTTAATTTTTACCGATAATTATCTACTTCAAGGTGCACATCATTTTTAATAAGATATTTTTAACTTGCGCCTAGATCTTTTACTTATTGTTAAAAACATCTTAAACTTAAAAATTTAAGCCATCCGATAGTGCCAACGATCTTTTGTTATCCAGACCAATTTTCGCGCCAGATCTACGATTTGCATTCTAATCTGTTGTTTTCTGTTAGAAAATCGATTTTTAGCTATATACCCGCTGTTCACGGCAATAACTATATAGTACAATGTAAACAAGTGATTTAACTGCTCTGGGCTTTATTGAAATCGTGAAATTATTAGAACAAACTCCATTGGAGCTTGCATTTGCTGTGCACATGAAAGAATATTTGAACAAATAGTTGCAAACAAATATTAAAAAGTTCACATGACCATTCATGTCATTGGCTGCCATTGCATGTCATGTGAAGTCATTGGTGTTTGAGCCTTCAGGATTCATTAGTGAAAGAGTTATATATTCATTTATTGACACGTCGGTGTGTTAAAAAGCACGTTATGATCATCTCTACCATTTTAAATTTGTTCTTTAAAGGCTTACTCAAGAACGTGGTCACTTTACAAAGTTACTTAATCAATTATTAAGAGAGTAAGCAAAATGATTCTGTTAACTTTTTGACCAGTATGTATGTTGATTTTTTTGCTAATTTATTGCTTATCGTTTACTAGTCATCATGTTGATACATTATTACCACCCTATTCTCACCCATTTTAAATGAAATGATAGGAAGTGATTATATAATGTATATTCCTTTGTTATTATTGTTCGTTTTTGACGTGTCGATGACTTTTCAAAACACATTTCGAAGCTCCTAATGAATATTCGTGATTCAGTTCTACTAGTGTACGTGCTTACTGAACTGTGTTGAGAAAAGTGACGTGAAATGCTTGTTCTGCAGATGTTTCGTCGATGCTTTTCATAACTTCCTTAGCTTTTACGAACATTACTTTCATTCCAATAATATGTTCCATGGTGCTAACCATAGAAGTCATGACGTTAAAGTCACTAATGAATCTGTTACTGAAACGATTTTTCCAAATGCAAACCTACATAAAAGATGCAACGTTATTCACATTTGTATGATGCATGTTTGACAGGAGTTTATGCGTTTTTAGGTAGATTTCAGTTGTAACTGTACCATTTATTTTTGAAGGTACTATAGCTTGGGCGAAAATTCCATTTCCTTCAAAGATGAACTGGAGGCAACGCAAATCCTTCTTTTAAAGGTGCGAAACAAGTTACTTGCAAATATTCCATTTCTGTGTGTGTGTGTGGGGGGGAGGGTTAATAAAGATGATCTGAATACTTGTTAGCCTGTTCACACGATCAAATATTATCAGCGTCAAAACTTATACCCATGTACTTTTGGAAGAAGTTTTCTTGCTTATTGTCCTGTGTTGAATTCCTGCAAAGCCGCAACTGTTCTCAATTAATTTGTGAAACACGTCTGCATTCGATTTAAAAACCCACAAATGTAGCTGAGTGATTTTTATGCCCTCCATCAGTGGACTGACATTTTGTAGATATTTTACAAAATCTGGGTTGTTATACCACCACACCATCCCTAATGTGTGATTTTGTCTCCTTTTGTTATGGTTGTTCTGCTTCTTAACTACTTTCCTAATTTTCTAGTTACCAGTCAATCATTTGCTCTCAATTACTTCAACTTGAATTTATATAGTTAAAATCGTTCTTAGCATTTGTTTTGGTTATTCCTTCCTAGAAGCAAGAAAATATACAGGAGTTACAAACGTGTATTGATCGGTTGAGGACAGAAATCTTTAAAACTGGTCAGAAATCTTTGGTAGGCATTTTAACTGTTGTCCTTCAATGATGGCGTTGCTAGATTTTTGGCGGAAGAAAATTTCAAAATGTTCGAGAAGATTGTTAAATAATCATTTTGATAATGCTTTCAAAAAAGCTCTGAGTGCTTTAATTTAAGACAAAACTCAGAATTGGGAAATAACCGCCTTCAGATTGTTTCTACAAATAGTAAGTTATTGCCGCCTACTCATTGTATATATATATAGATATATACAGTATGTTTATAAATTCTCGTGTACTTTCATTACAGCTTAAACTTATAATCTTCCGTACTATCGCCGCTGTGAATATACAACCCCCATCCATATATTATGTTATTGGTTATAATAATTTATTTATCTAAACATAGTTGTACAACGTGGTTGTCATAATTTATTTACGTTATTTATTAAGGATGTCTAAGTAAGATAATACATTTCAGATGAAATTATTTGATGGTATTGCCGGCTCTGAATGCGATGGTGAATCGCAAGTGATTGCTAATGGTTTCGCAAATCATGAAAACGATGATCCTCACAATGAAAAACGCCCTGTAAGATTATTTTTTTGTTCTTTGCATAGGAAGCATAGACAAGTATTGAAAATTGCCTTACTCCTCGTACTTGTTGAGCTGACAACGTAGCTAACATTAGAAAATCGAAGCGTCTTCTCACAAAAATGCGTGAACCTTCTAACTCTCTTTTTTCGTCTCTCATAGCCATCACATAGAAAGAGTGCTGAACTAAATCCCGATGATCTTGTTTTATCATGTACATTGTGTTCTGAAAAAATAAGGTAAGACTTAAATTTAAGATTACCAACACATGTATAGAGCCTATATTTACTTTAAATCCGTGATTGCGCATTCTTAAGAAGTTAGAAATCCGTCAGGCAGTGCTAAATATAGGAATATTAACTTCCCCCTCCCCCTTACCTTTTTAGTTTTGCCCCATTTTGGTTCATCGTTTGATTCTAGTTCTAGTCAAATATATACCGACAGTGGCGCGGAGCATCGATAATTTGGGGGGGGGGTATATTCATATAGCCATATGTTATAATCTGTAAACACAATTGATTTCAATAGAAACTAATAAAGTAAAACATGCATATGTGAATGATAGCCCCCCCTAATATCGATGCTCCGCCGCTCTTGTATGCAAAGCTCTTAAATAATTGATTTGAAAGCCAACTATATTGTCGAAGTACTTTATACTTCTCTTTTTCGAATTTACATCTTTCTTTTTACTTGTTATTACCGACGTTGCGTTGTTTTTATTAACTGCGCATGTCTATTCTATTCAGAATTAATTTGACTTGCAATCGTTATCACAAATATTGCCAATTGAACTGTCCAAACGAATTGAAAATTTTATGGTTTAGAACAAAATTATGGTCCCTTCAATAAGTAGCCAGCCCACGAGTTTGGTAGTGCTATGTAAATATTTCGATGTTCACTCACTCTAAAAACAATTCTAACTCTAAAAGGAATTCGTGTCCAATTGAGTGTTGTGTTGGGTTCATGTCATAATAAGTAAGAAGAGCTCATTTGCTTGAAAGATGAAAAACATGGGTGCGTCAGAACCTATTTTGAAGGAAGCTTTTTTTGCCGTCAATCTATCAAATCATAAACGAAAAACTTTCGCTATTTTTAATAAATAGTTTGCAATCAATCTTACATCAATGGTTTTTCTAAAACGAGACTTAAATCGTTCAATATTTTTATTGCAGAATCGATGAAATAACGAGCCATTCGAGAATATGTTCCGCTCAATCCCAAACGAAATATCGGCCGTGAGTGAAACTAGTTTCGATTTTACCAACGTTGAAAACCGACATCGCTTTAGGGTGCAAATGTTTTGTATATTTTTGATAGCATTTTGAAACCAGACACACTGAATGTTTATGTCACTTTATCACAAGCAGATATTGAAAATACATCATTCAAAATCGTTACCAAGGTGAGTATGTTTTACATGCTTGAAACAAAACTTTTATACGTTCCTTTGGAGGCAATACTCGCAAGAGTGAGGGCAAAACGTGTTGAAGAAATGCCCGCTGGAGTGAAGGAAAAATTTATTGAGGAAATGCTCCCTGAGTTAGGGTAAAATGTTTTGAAGAAATGTCCACGGTGATCTTCTCTATTTACTAACTTCCATGCCTAAGTCATTTTTTATCAAAAAAATTGATATGACTTTAAAAACAGTCAAATTTTTTGTCGAATATATATATTTAGCATTTATGAGTGTTTTTCATTGGTCAGTTGTGGTGACTTCGGTAATTAATACAGAACACACCCGTAGTTTTAGGGAAAAATTTCCAAAGGCAAAAAAAGTTAGTTATGTTACAAAATGCTCGCCTAAGAATGCTCGTCTGCTGTGAAATTGCCGAAGCGATGCATCTACTCCAGTGCTATTGGCGCAGTAGATGACATAAACATACGAATTAGTCCATGGACAAGAGCTTGCTTATGTATTTCAAAGATATTTTATTCACATATAGATATAGACTTTGTCGTGGTGACATATCTAAAAAATGTTTTAAAAATAGTTAATACCATGTGGTGAATGGTCAAAATAATAACATAATAGTAAATAGTTCTTAAAAGAGCTGTTTGAAACCAGAACTCAAATGCCGATCGTGTCTTTCAGCTTTTAAACAGTTCTTTTAAGAACTATTATGTTATTATTTTGACAATTCACCATGCATAGTATTTGCTATTTTTAAACAATATTTCACATAAAGATGAACGTATATATAATATTCATACTCTTTTTGTTTAGACCAATCTAATGAGTTACAGTAGTCATCATTATGATGTCCGCAGAAGCGAGTCAGATTGTGTTTGGTTTCGAAACAATTTGCTTGAATTATGTACTGAGTGTGTAGTTCCTCCCTTGGTAGAACAAACATCAGCTAATGGTGAGAATTTTCTATGTGTCACTTCAATTTCAACTATTTTGTATTTTTACCAATCAGTCAATTGTAATGGGGAATATTTATAAAGGATATATGTTAAATTTAACGTATTTTATCAAATGACTAGGATACGAGTTTTTCTTGTGTATGATGGAAGTTTTTAAACTAATCATGCGTTATGCAGGCAAAACAAGAGAACTCGAGAGATTTCTGTTGCGCCTGTGCAAGCATCGGATGTTAAGAGAAAGCAGTTTACTGAAGCTTTTTTTAACTGGCTCTAATGAGGTACGGATATTTCTTAAGTCTTTTAATAGCTGTTTTTTAATACCGGTATTAATTTTATAGTATTTCACGTGTTTTGGAGTATATGTATACTACAAAGTATAATTTTCTTGATATGTTTGGATCCAAAGAAGAGAGTATGTTTATTCCCCTCAGAGACACCTTGGATATGTAGAGGAGCCAATTACAATATATAAATAGTGCTTTCTCGAGAAAGTTTCGTGAAAAAGTTTTTACTTTGACTGAATTGTGCCTGGTTTATGGCAGATAAAATTGAGCAAAAATGACCTCTTTGATTGACCTTGTCCGTCGTCAGAAAGTCTGGAACGACTTATGTTTGGGACGTTTGGCTCGACCCAGGCTTCTTACCACGACGGATAAATAGTTCCATTGAAGGCTAACTTAATATCACAGTTACAAAAAGGCAATTTCACCCAATCAAAAAATTTTATTGGTTGTGCGTTAGAAATTGCTCCTACGTTTTATTAACGCCAATAAAAATTTTGCTGGTAGGGTTATTTTAACGTGTTGTGTTCATCGTTTCATTAACACTCTTCGTCTCGTCGTACACTCTAGAGTCTATACCAACATAATACTTGGAAAACGGGGAATTTTTTACGATTATTTTATCGTGGTGAAGAATGTTTAGAACTATGCATCAGTTGTTGTATATATGTCACAAATAATAAAATTCCGATTTTTATAAAGTACATTTAAGTTTCAAATATTTTATTGAATTATGCAAAACAATGCTCACGCTCATCTGTTATTTTTGAAAGGATATTCAAACTGCAAAAGAAGATTTTCTCGAGCGACAAGCTTTAAAACAAAATGCAATAGAGATCAAACAATCTGAAATGCTAACCGGTGACAAAGGAAAACTCGTCAAATGTAAAGTAAGGCTGATTTCACCTATCGCTTTCTTTACGATAACTCTCCCCGAAATCTTTTAATTATTACTTTATCTATCACAAATACATCTTTATGATGTCCATATTGTTGTCATTTTTCTGGAATATTATCGCCAAACTGTCTGTTCGAATGAGAAAGCACGTCAGGACGTTTGCTATACCAGACAGTCACGTAACAACAACTGGAGGCCTTCCGTTGGTGCTCTTTTAAAATAGGCTGCATGGTCGTATTTAGTAAATTATATTTTCGTATTTAGTAAATTATATTTTCGAAACTTAAAATTTGTGCTTGCATAAAGCAGTTTTCAGCTTTTACACATTTTATTTGAGAATAATCTAAGCACAACACAAAAGAAAATACCCTCAAGATAAATTTTTATAAGTGTCAAATCAACGAATCTCAGAAGACCTTCAAAAGACCAATTGCAAGTGCTCTGTTTTGATACAATAAACTGGGTATTCTTCAAATTGCCTAACACGATGACAGTTATTTATGAGTAACTGAATAAGGAAAATGATTATACCATTTTTTAATGATACGTTTTTTGAAATCAACATACCTCCTGAGAAGCCCAAGTGGCCCCGATCTTTAGCAAGTTATCATAAGCTATTTTAGGGGAACTTTGTTTTTGTGAGGTGTTCAATTGGTTAAAAGTACGCCTCAAAACATATCCTCAACACAAAGCATTTCTGTTTTATTGACAATAACCAAGAACAGCAAAGTTGTATCATGACAGTATGCTACTCATCCATAGTTCGTTATTTGACTTCCCATAAATACGTTTAATTATAAAAAAGTCTCTCAAACGTCCCGTCATGGCCTTATGTACAAAGTTTCCACGTCGGAAACCTTAGAAACCTTATTTTCGTTGTTGGACTTAGTCTAATGACTATATCTTAACCTTAATGTCAGGCCTGCATAATATTTTTAGAAATATTTGGAGTCGGTGGTCCATGGTTTAAATGGCTTAATTAATCATTTGCAGAATAATCTGGAGAATAATTCAACAAGTTGGTGTTACTCATATTTTGTTATAATTTTATAAATGATTAAAAGATGGCGATAACTCGATTTTGTTTCGAGATCTGAAAAATACCCAGGAGTAGGTTATAAAAACCCCGGAGAGCGTCATCCACACACCCAGGAGTAGGTTATGAAAAACCCCGGAGAGCGTCATCCACACACCCAGGAGTAGGTTATAAAAACCCCGGAGAGCGTCATTCACACACCCAGGAGTAGGTTATAAAAACCACGGAGAGCGTCATTCACACACCCAGGAGTAGGTTATAAAAACCCCGGAGAGTGTCATCCACACAATTTTTTCTGATACTTCTTACAAAATTATGATTTCATTCATCGCAATTTTTAGTATCACTGACTTGCTATTACATTTGATAAAGTCACCAAAGCACAAAGTGTGACTTCATACAACATTTTGATTGATTGAAATCACAGCTCGCTCGTCTACACTACACTGCGGTAATGCAGACGTAGTGAAAAAATGATTTTCTCGCAGTTTATACTAAAGCAAGACCTATTACTTCGGCCAGTTTCGTTTTCATTTGCATCTTTAATATGAGTCATTTTTATCTCATAATCCTCCCTCTATAATCACTACTTTGGGGTTAGTTATATTTGCATCTTTGATATGATTAATCTTTAGCTCGTAGTCGTCTCCCTAACCGCTACTTTGGTCAGTTTCATTCATCACAACTCTATTCCAAATAAACTGCTTTAAGTAAGGAGTTCTCTTGATTTAGTATGTTTAAGCTCCTCACTTTTGTGATGAATTGATCTGAATTTTCTGAAAATGCAAAGATCTGAAATTTATGAAAATGCAATGTTTTTGTGTTATTCTAATCCATCATGGTTTCATATAGTTGTGAAAACTGTGTTCATTTACTTTTTTTGTGCGATTTCTAGAGGGACGTGGTCGATGGTTTAAACGCATTGCGGAATCTGAGCCCACGGACACCTATTTGAAGGTATTGACGCATATGATTATATAGTGCATGTCCTTGATAAGGCTGTAAAATGACATAGAAAAGATGAATAAAATTTTATTAAAATTTTGCAAAAAATAGATGTCTGCGCAAGCATTGAGTAAAGTTTGTGATGATTTGGAAAGAGGACAGGTACGTATGTATAAACATATTTACTTCAAATGGTACATGAGATAATTTTTCTCTTTTGTAATTCATCTTTAAGTTACTTTTGCTCAACAAATAATATATTTCAATCTTTTTTTCCAGGAAGAGGACGAAAAGCTAATAATCTGCGATCTTCAAAGTGTTTTAGAATATATTTATTGTTGTCAGGTGAGTACTTTATGTAGGCGTTACTTTAAACATCATGCGCGAATGAAAAGTGGCTCAACTGCCCTAAAATAAAAGATTGCAGATCATTATTTTTGGTTATTATTTAATTTTCAAAGTACTGCCACTAATTGTAAAACGAATGAAAATTTTACGATTGATTTAGTTAAGTACTTTTTCCTTATGTACGACTTTTAGCCTTTATCAAGTTTTGCCTTCATGAAATCTTCACAATGCAACATACGTTTTCTACTGGAAACTTCACGAATAAGTTTGTGTTGACGATGAATTTGACAAAATTTCCTAAAGTATTCTAAAAACATACGTTTCGATTCAAATCAAGGCTCTCTCTCACCAAGTGGAAGCAACAGTTACATGATTGTCGTGAAAAATGTACTTATATAATGTCAAATTCTTTGTTTAGGAGTTATTGAGAAGGGTGGAAAATTCAGCAAATCGATTTTTATATTGGGAGGAGGAAGTTCGTGAGTGCGAGGAAATGAAGGTAAAAATTAAACAGTATAAATGTTTTTGTGTGGTTTTTGTTTCAAACTGTGAAAAACATTGCACGTAAATATTTCAAATTTGCAGAAAAACATAAACAGAGAAAGTAATTCAGATCTTACGAGAAAATGGGCTGAGGTGAGATGACTGTAGGTTGTCAGGTTATAGTGAAATTATGTTTCCTATTGATTTTTTCATAAGTAAACGCATACTTTCAGGGATACTAGTGGATACTAGTGATTAAATGTGCCGAAACCGAGGAAGGTTTAGTTAACATTTAATCAATAATATCCCTTTAGAACATGCGTTTACTTTGTAATCACATGGTTGCGGAGGTAATAATCAATGCATTAGACCAGGGGTCTCCAAACTTTACAGCCGGAGGGCCACATGAACTTTCATCCAGCATGTTGAGGGCCGAAGAATATAAAAAATTTCCACGTTATCCTTCAGCTTTTTAAATTTCGCAATGTGCTTGAAACGGAAGTAGGAAGTTGGGAGAAAAATTGACGTAAGCTACTCTTGCTAGTTGGCTTGCGACATAACGTGAACTTTCTGCACAAAGTTTATTTTGTTTAATAATAATATTGATAATAATATATATTATTTTTTCTTAAGTGCCTCTGCGGGCCGGATTGAGAGGCCCAACGGGCCGCATCTGGCCCGCGGGCCGTAGTTTGGAGACCCCTGCATTAGACTGTTCACTTTGACAATAGTTTCATCAAATTTTGAGCTCACTTATTCGAATATTGACAACCAATTAAATTGACGGTGTTTAAAGGCACATTGTTCATGGTCAGTGTTGGAATAAAGAAATCCCCATCTAGGTGTTTAATTGTAAATTCTGTTTTTGAATTGGTTCAGTGAACCTGAGTATGAATTTGCTTTGCAAATACATATTGTATTTTCATTATTGTTGAAGTTATTAATTGATGGTTCATCATCGGTTTTCCAAAATTAGTGACGAGAAAGTTTCTGAGGCGAGGGAAAGATGATTTCTTTTACAACTCAACGTCATAAATTGTTAGCCACTAAGGCTTGTAATAACGCAAGCTTGGCGATTTTGAACTATAGGTCGAAAGATTTACTTGTGTTTGACACTGAAGAATTAACGATTTAACAACAGCCGAGCAAGAGGACTCTTGACTTGGTAAACTTGTCCTCGAAGTATTGTGGTTTTAAAGGACTTGCAAAAGACATCATGCTATTAACCGTTTCATTTAGCAGAATTGAAAATGATTCAGCAGTGAAAAGATAAGATGCAAGCTGAAGCAATTTCTACGTGCCGAAAATAAAATTTGAAAACAATCTAGGCGTATTGTTTTATTGATAAGGGATATTTAGTCTGATCGTCCCTAATGAATATATTGATGCGGGAAATTCGTCAGTAAACGTCCCTGTGATAACAAAAGATCCCGAGGCAACAATGTGATTACTATTAAAATCTTATGATTCCTATGTTTAGAATCGATATATTCAGTGATCGATTTAAGGGAGGGATGGGGGGAAGAGTAAGCATCTCCTAGCCTTCGCTAGAAGAGGTGCAGTGGTGAAAATTTCCCTACGAAATGTTCATATACTAACCAATTAAGCTAAAACAACTGTCAAACTACACATTTCCCAGGGTCTCAAGTCAAGCCCATAAAAAGAATGATGCATTCATTTGAATGATATAACGACATCCACGAAGGAACCACGGAAATCTAAACTTGATTAATAGCCAATGCTAATAGCACGACATTTTATAAAAACCATTGTAACCCTCCCCTTCCGCCCTAAAAATCATCTTGGATTTATCCCTGATATTATATATTTATGATTAATAACTGTTCCAGTTATATTGTTTTATTTTAATTGTTATTTTATAAAAATTTCAGGCTAATTCCAATTTACTTGGGGCTAAAGCTCACTTAGAAATGATGTACGAAAGTCTTGCAAATGAGCTCGAGTATTTTGACTATCAAAAAGAGATGGAACTTCGTGATATATTCATTGAGTATACAACCTTGCAATCTGAGCATTATGAAAAGGTAGAATGCAGTACTTCCATGAAATTAGTCAACATTTATTATCTGTTCAGATTTCGTTGTATACAAAGAATTTTATGTGTTGCAACGTTAACTTACCTCGGTGGCTTTGTAGTTTTGTCTTTTACCAAATGGACGTCAATTTGTGTATATAATTAAATAGATAGACAAAAAGTAATCATTTGGTTTGTATAATAAGAAAAAACAAACAAGATTCCTAATGAGCAAAACGACTTTTCTGTTATTCTTTTTGTTGATTTTAAATGTCGTTGCATTATTTGAGCTAAATGTTTAAGTTTTCATCCGTGCAACTCTATCACTCTCAAACCTCAAGATTTTCTCCTAGATTTTTTAATAAGATAATATACCATAAGTTGGAGGACAGCTGTTTGAATCAGCTTACACGTTTTAAATACAAGCATTGAAAATATGTGCCTTTAATTTTGTCTTCTCCATATTTCTTTTCCAAATGATGAAATTAATAAATCGTGCGTGCACTATCTGAGACTACTACCACACCTATGTCAGCTTAGTTTTTGTTTGTAAAGTTCTTTGATAAATAGTACATTATGTTTTTATTTTAGGTGAAAAGTAAGTGGGAAGCAGCAACACTGATGACAGACATAGAACTGTCCCGTGCTAACAGGGCCATTGTATTCACGTAATCGATTCTTAAGAATATCAATCCGTATTGATCTTGTGATTGAGGTCAGAGGTATGCAGCTTCATTAGGGAAGAACGGAAAGAACTGTTTGTTATGTTGTTAGTCAATCAACTTCTGATTGGGCAATTGCGCTAATTAGTTGAAGAAAGATCCTTTGAAATAATTTGTTTAAATTACACCCTTTTAAATTTGCGTACACAATGGTTCGCTGGTTAATTTGTTTTTAGCAAATATTTGAGTAATTTTAAACTTTAAATATATGATGTGTGTCTTTCGTTCTGGAAACAGGTTGCTCAAACGCCGTTTGATTGACATAGCATTCATATATTTATTTGTAGATTTGGATCGTCCAGGTTGGTATAGTCCTGAGAAGAACTGTTGGTGTTTATTTTGACTGACGTTTCGACAAACTTAGCGGTACTCATCTTCAGATTCAAGTGAGGAGTAAACGTCAGGTTTGCCGTATTTGTTATCTGGTTCTTACGTCATCGTATCATACCATGACGAAACGTCAGTCAACACCAACATTCCTTCTTTGGACTCTACTAACCTGGACGATCTACATCTACAAACATGTAACGATACTCCCGGATGCAAACCATTCACTTTAAAGCATTCATATATCATGCTAATGCGTTTATGGCTTATTGCGGTTAATTGACGACTGCTGATTTTTAACAAATGCATTAATATACAATATTAACCTATCGTCAAACATACAACAACCAATGTATGATAAAATCAAAATATATTTCTTTTGCCTAAACTGGGAAACCGGGTGGGAAAATTATGTAGCTATACAAATATGAATGGTTAATATATAAATTTATTTTATTGCAATATTCAGTTCAGTTGTATAACGATTTACTCGGCATTATGTGTGTTGCACCTATGGAAATAAAACAACCTCCTTCAAACTTGTTGCGCGTGTCCATGTAGCTAATTGTGTAGTAAATATTTCGATATGAAAAAACTTCCCTATTGATTCTATCACCATTCATGTGAAATAAATTTATTAAGATGGTGGTCGCAATTTATGATCTTTAAATCTTCATTTGACGAAGAGCTTTTTGTCAGGTTGATTTATCGAACAAATATATTGAAAGTTAGTTGTGCTCATTGATTTACAAACAACGTAAATTATTAAGAAATAAGAACATTTTATATTTAGATTTAAAATTTTCATCATTTGAAGTAAAAAAGTTTAGTAACCGATGATACGTGAGCGAAGATATTGTCAGTGACGTGACGTGACTTTGATCAACAAATTTGGGTGGAGGTGTGGGTGATTGTGAAGATTGAGGTCATTCTCATTGCGCAATTTGAATTTACTTGATCCTCACGCAGCACATGGAACGCCCTGCATTTTTTAGAATTAGCAAAGAAAAGTTTGCTTTTTTGGGTTTCTTTTCTTACACTTACACAATGAAACAATTCCAATAAATGAGTCGTGATGATTTTCTTTGTGTAATGCGATGTCTACTATTGCTGTCCAGTCAAAACGCCTTCGTTTTTTAGGAGGAGAGTTAGGATTTCAACATATGCAGATGTTTTATTGAATTTTTGCCCATTTTCATTCGGACGTTTTGATTTGAGTACTTCACCTGTAAGTTTACACTCAACTTTGACTTATAAAGTCCCGTATATCTCAACATGATAACTGCCAAACTAGCATCAACCAATTTGTTGAAAGGATTTCACTAACATTTAACCAAGACGGCGTGGATTAATTGAGTCTACGATTGGATCATAAATTTGGATAACTTAAAGCTATAATCGTGAGACATTACAATACAATTCTTTCGACATGAATACCTTGGAATATATTAATGCACATATTTCCAGAATTAATTACAAGTTGAAATGTTTGAAATACATCATCGTGCTTTATAAAAGTACATCCCTATAAACAAATTTTTACACATACCAAACCCGTGAAAATATTTAATGTACTATACTTATTTATGATTACACATATATTAACAACTTGCTATACAATGACACATTTTCCTTAGTGAGTCAGTGCGACCTTTTTAACCAAACTGCATCAAATTAATTTATCAAACATCGTGTGGTATCCATTGCTTCAGAGAATCGATAGATAATCAAGAAAATCGATTGATTATTTTGGCAGTTAACTACTCTACTTGGCGATGCATTTAATGGTGAACGTGAGAGGTAGAACGTCCTGCGTATAACTAAACGATACGTGCAACTTATCAACATAGTTGTTAATTTTAAAACTAAACATGGACACAGACACGCATCCTTTATAAAATTTTACCATAATGTAGGGACGTATGAATTAAACAGCAAACCACCGCTGTTGTTTTGCTAAGCATAACTTGACTACACTTTCTTCTTATTACTCTCTACAGGGTGCATAAAAATAAACTGAACAGTTTGGAAAACATTACTAAAGTCATTGCCAAAATTTTCGGTGCGACTTCTAATGGTTTATCTGACAGTAAAATTGTCGCAAAAAATAACAATTTTTAGAATGAGAATTGTGTTGTGCGCGAAAATTATGCAGCTAATAAGAAAATGGAAGACATAGGGTTAAAATATGACAGATTTTGGAGTGCACGATTTGGCCAAATTTCATCGAAGTTTGCAAGTTAGAACAACATGTCTTATATTTCAATTCTATATATACGTGTTCCAATCACTTTTTAGCTTTGTCATTTTCGTGCGCAAGCTATTTCAAAAGTGCTTCTCAGTGGTTATTAACAATGGTTATTATTTGCGAAACTCTTACTGTCAGATAATTGAAAGTTCAACTATTCCATAAAAGGTTTTTTCAGATCGTGCGTGCTGATAACTTTAGTGACGTTTTCCTATCGTCTCCTATCTTGTAAAGCTCGGCTAATAGCATAAAATGGTTCTATATTTCCTTTACATAAAATTTTAAAGATTTTCCTTCTTTTTTCCACTCCCTTACAAGGCAAAATCGAATTTCAGTGAAAAGGATGGAAAAAATGTTTTTGTGCAAGATATATGGCACATACAGCTCCGTCCCACTGTTGCGCTAATATATGTGCGAACTGTGGCACGAAATGCTAATTTCTTTTCAATGTTTTTAGCCAAATAATAGATGAACACTACGATAAGAATTGGTGTACAATTATAACGATTACTTGCATTTAGATTCAATAAATCTAGGAAAGATTTCTTCACATCGTTAGCAACAGTGGTAACGGGCCAAACGTAAATTCAATAAGTCAAGTTAAAATGGTATTCTTTGCATCAATGAAATATACGTAGCTTTACCCAAGAATACATGTGGTTGGTAAAGGAGATGGTCAAAATGAAGGAAAAAATTCATTCAAGAACGCTTTTTTCAAGAGTAACCAAAGTATTTTTTCAATGAATCAGCTGTCGATGGTTCATTGTTATGAAGGTCGCTCACGTCAAATTCATCAACTTCAGTTGTACTGATTATTTCAAAATCATCTTCAGAGCTTACGATGATCGATGGTAGTCCATGATCATTTTCAGGTTCATCATGAGTCCTTAAGAGAACATCTTTTTCATTTTGTACATGGATCGCATCATTACCTGGTAATGTCTCATCCAGATTTTGACTTGATAACGTAACATGATTTTCGATAGAATCGATGGAGCTTTGATGTGATACGGGCGTGAAATTGTTAAAATTCAAACCCTGAACGAAATCATCAGAATTGACAGAGTCAGCACTGTCACGACGTGCAAATGATGGGAACTCGAGGCCGTCAACGAATGTAAGAGAGCTGTCTAGAGGATCTACACGGGAAACACAAAAATAAATGTTGCTAGAATGCAAACAAAGTACAAGGTCGTCCACAGTAGGACATGTATATGACTATATGTAACAAAAAAGCTAAACAGAACGCTGATTGGGGGGGGAGGGGAGGACGTATAGTCATATTCAGTTGTGCTTGACTGACCTATTTTGAAAGTGGTTAGGCTACATAAATTTGAATGAAATCAGTCAGGTGCAACTGAATGTATGAATACACACCCAATAAACATTGTAGTTATGTCCCTAGAAACTTGGGACTGACTTTTCAGTGTCTATAATCTAATCTAGTAAAAGACAACAATTTTAGTCATATTTTTCAAAAGATGAAAGTGTCATGTCCCTTATATGTACGTACACTCCGATCACCATGACTACTAGTGAATCAATGACTATATAACAATTAAGTAGACAATCTGAATGCAATCATGCATGACAGCCAAGGTTTTCTAAATAAATGTATTTGCCTCAGTTACCACTTAAATAACACTGCTGCAGTTTAATTTGTTTGTACATATTGTAAAATATAAAACAGTGTATAATATTACTAACATAAGGTTTTTTTATTCAAAAATTATATTCACTTATATAAGCAACATAACAAGCAAATAAAGATGTCAATTAAGTACTAAATTCACCCAGGATGAGTTCATGACAGTATATATTTATCCATTATTGTACCTGTCATTGGTGGTTCTTGAGGTATTCTTTCATCTGGTGTAATAGGAGAAACAAGAAATGTTTGTTTATGTGCAGTGTTTAAATTAAATTCATCATCGTCACTGTCATCTGATACTGGCTCACTAACTGGATGATAAGAAAAATGTAAATATTTCATCAATAACAAATTTGTCAAATTTTTTTTGTTCCACAAACCTTCCAATTGTACATTTCTTTTGCGTTTTGTTCTACTGTTTTCCCATTGAGTAAATAAGGGCTGCAATAATTTTCTAGCTTTATGAAGAACTTTATCCTTAACACCATAAAATACAATTGCTGGCCATAGGTACAAGAAAGTGACTGCAAGCAAAAATAGAATTTGCTTCTTTTAACTAGGATATATACATATAACTAGAATATACATATGTAGTGATGTTGAAAAAAATCATGAAAACTACAGATTCATCCTGACAAGCCTGTTTGTGGTTGCTCACTCTTTAGGGATTTAATGAATAAATACTTAAATGCTAAAAATATATATACAAGATGATGGAAGTTAGTATATTAATCAAGGTGTATAGTTACAAGTTAGATGATGGAAGTTAGCATATTAATTAAGGCGTATAGTTACAAATTACATAGGAGTGTTTTGGATCTATGGCGACAAGAGGAAACAAGTTTCTTGTGTTTAACGAGGGATGATTTGGATCATTGGCAGAGGATGAAGAATTTTTCTTTGAGGCAAAGGTTACATTTAAGTATTTATTCATTAAATCACCTGAAGAGTGAGCAATCACGAAACAGGCTTGTTGGAATGAATCTGTAGTTTTTGTGATTTTTTCAACACCACTACATATATTTACGCTTTGCTCTCGGGCATCGAGCACTGTTTTATACGGAGAATCATCAAATATAAACTTCCTAACTAGAACATACATATTTATATAAGAAACCAACAGATTTTAATCATAGTGGCATGTACACTCCCACCATTGGAAACAGAATATTCAATTTACCTGTCAGATATAAAATATTCCCCATTGGAAACTGTGTATAAACAATAGCAAAGAAAAGACCAAGGAAAGATATTACTAAATAAAACTAAAGAGAAAATTAAAAAGTGAGAATTATGATGAATTAATGTCATTTGATATATCTTCTTCACATGCATGAAATGTTTGTCCCCCATCCACTTGGAAAAAGAGTTTGTGATTCCTGATAATAAAAATTTGGAAATCAATGTACATCAAAGTGGTTGGACAAGAAATGGATGACAAGAAATTGTGAAAACAGAAAAATTACCTTTTGGGCATTTTCTGCTTTTAATGTTTTCAGTTTCTTCCAGTATTCAACAAATCTGTCCAAAATATTTGCCAAACCAAAGCAAAATTCTTTATACGAAAAAATATTCTTCTCACAGCTAAATACAAGCTCAAATATTAGTGTGAATGCTTTCTTTTTTCTTAAATAAATACTACCTTTTGTTCTGGCCTTCATCATTAGCTAACATCTGGTCATCATTGTTCATAGTATTTTCAAAGTTACCTAGATTTGACACAATACAAAAGTTAAAACTATTTTATTAGTACAATGAATAAATCAGACATAACGTTTAAATCAAATGTAAATATATTCTGGAGAGACAAAACATGTTCACATGGTTAAGAAAATTATGCAAGGAGTGCACCAGGTGTACAGTTTATTTAAGTACGTATTTAAAATTGAAGATGGTTAATAGAAACCTTTTTTTAAAGATAAAAAAATTAGAAAAGTAAAATAATAAATTTAACGTTGTTGTTTCAATTTTTCAATCAAATTGACAGAACAGTGAGTCTACAAAGGACGTAAAGGTTGGTTTTATGAAAAACAAGTAAGCTTGACAGCTGAAATAAAATCAAAACTGTGGAAAAACTAAAGGATAGAATTTATCTGCTAATTTCTTAAACAAAATAACAAAGAAAGCACAAACCATTTTCTTGTTTCTTTATCCAATTGATCGAAGCTATCGAATCTCTAATGGGAGGCAACAACAATAACAGCGATAACACGAAAGCTACGATGACGATTTTCTTTAAATACGGTGTAAGAAAACACCTAAAATAAATGTATAAATATTTTGCGAATTCACACACTGACAAATAAAACTTTAGCATTCAAAGTATTCGAAGTATTAAAAGATGCACACTGATTTACCAAAACAAAACATTGATGGTGTTGAAAATCAAAACAGATAATTCCAGATTGCTCCACTTTAAAACATCCTGGATAAAAGCCCAACGATATTCTAACGGCGATAAAATGTCGCTAACATGCTCAAAAGTTTTATATGTTTGCTTTTTCTGGTTACTATCTGACGCTTTTGACGAAATGTGCAAATTTGCTCCGTCGCCCTCCATGATTTGTTTACTTGTAGAGAAGACCCTATATTGAAATAACATTCGTCACGTGATACCAAAAAAAATTCTAGACATTTCGTAGTATTTCAATTTAAAATTTTAAATATTTAATAATTAGAAGCACGATGAGTAAAATGAGTAAAATTCTTGAGCATTATGGTAAGTATTAACTATTCATATCATGCCATTCTTTACTCATGATTGATAGCTACGTACAATCTCTGGGCATAATAGACTTTAGCATTCTACTACAAATTGGATGTTTTTCTTATCGTGACATCCCGTAGCTTATTCGGGATAAACCGTAAATAATGCCATTGGTAAATGCAAATCTTATTTACCCCGCCAAATGCGTGTGGTAAGCCAAGGACTAAGGAGACTTTAATGTTTTTAACAAGTTCTTATTTTGTTTGATGTGCGTACCGAAAATACGTCTAATACAATGCCACGGGAAATAATAACTTTACAGATTGGACAATGTGGGAATCAAAGTAAGAAATTTTTTGATTTTATACTCTCAGAGTGAATATTTTTTCAGCGAGATGATGTATGTTCAGAGTTGATGAACTTTGTTTCAGAGATGATTTATGTTCAGAGCTGATGAACTTTGTTTCAGAGATGATATATTTTCAGAGTTGATGTACTTTTCAAGTTGATGTACTTGAAACATGTACATCAACTGTGCTTGTAAACATAAAATCCTTATGAAATATGAATGGAGAATATGCTGTAGTAAATTTAATAATTTTTAGATTAACCTATTTTTTTGTGTACTGCCATGTGCTACTATGTACTACAACAAAAACTGTTACATGATTATATTTGATTTTTTTCTCCATTATTTAGTTGGTATGGAATTCTGGAAACAACTCTGTGCTGAACATGGCATCAGTTCAGGTAAAAACAGTTTTACAAAGCAAAGCATGCGTATGTAGAGACAAAATGTTGCTTTGCAAAATTTAGATACATTTGCTTTTTACATAACATTAACGTGTCAATATCTAGCTAGCCCATTTTGTAGCCTTTTAGCATTGCTAGTTGCCATTTAGCATTGCTTGTATCCATTTAGCCTTTCTTGTAGCCATTTAGCCTTGCTTGTAGCTATTTACCCTTGCTTGTAGCTATTTGACTTTGCTTGTGGCAATTTAGCCTTTAGCCTTGTGCCATTTAGCCTTTAGCCTTGTGCCATTTAGCCTTGCTTGTAGATATTTGGTCTTGCTTGTAGCCATTTAATAAATGTATGTGACCATGTTTAAGTCTTTGGACATGCCCTTACTTGTAAAGCAAAAACAAAAAGCAAACAACATTTGTATACTGGCCAGTATTAATCCCCGCCAGGGGGGTTGACCGGTCCATGAACTTTTCTACGCCAAACGTCTCTATCTCTTGCCATATCTCTCATTATACCCATCGCCTTCATATCACTGTTCACAGCATCCATCCATCTCCTTCTCGGTCTACCTCGTTTGCGGACTCCATCAACATTCATATGCAAGGTTCTACGAAGTTTTGTCTTGTTTCTTAGTAGCTCGTTTGTGTTCAGTAAGTCTTATGTTTAAGTTCCTGCCAGTTCCAAACTAATCACATTGCCGAACATCACCGAATCACAAAGCACAACATTGACTGGGACTTCGCAAAATGCATTATTTACAGTACTGACTATAGACAACGGCTTACATTAGAAAGTTGGTATACCAACTTGGAACAAATCCCCCTGAACAGATCACAGCAATTACCGCACCTTACAAACGAGTTATTCACAATACAAACAAACGATCAACTAAAAACATTACACTTAACACTAATTCACAATGACAATACACAATTGACACCTACACATTACAACTAAAAACATTTCACTTCACACTAATTCACAATGACAATACACATTTCCTGTACACACAATACAATGACGTAAGAAGCAGATAACAAATATCGCTAACCTGATGTTTACTCTTCATTTCACTCTGAAGATGAATACCGCTAAGGTTGTCGAAACGTCAGTATACAACCACAAAAACAGTCTTTCTCAGGACTATACCAACCTGGATGATCTACATTTACAAAATGTAACGATACTCCCGGGCTCAAACCATTTACATTAAATTAATGTTTGTTACTGTATTTGTAATAGATGGTATACTTGAAGATTTTGCAACTGATGGAACAGACAGGAAAGATGTCTTTTTCTACCAAGTACAATGTATTAAATTTTTTAAGTTTGAAAAATAATCTCAAAGACAAATCGTAATGATTGGTCCAGCAATCACCAGGATGTTTCTGACTTTTAAAATTGTGTTTGCTTTGCAGAAAGGCTTGTTTCAGACATTATACACATACTTTCTCAACAATGATATTATTTACATACCATTCTTCTAAAAAATGTTTCATGTACTTAAAAATATAAATGTTGACCTACTTTTATGTGATGAAATTATATGTGTATCTATTTAGGCTGATGATGAGCATTACATTCCCAGAGCTGTTTTGCTTGATCTTGAACCAAGGGTTAGTGTGCCTGTTTTGAAAATATAATGACATTTACGTAACAAGTTGGGAGATTGGTGGATGGGACATAAGCCAAATTCTAAATCAAAAGAAGCCAAAAATGAGCCAAACATCAGGCCAATGCATCAGACACCTATTCTCATACCCAGGGCCCTTCTTTTGAGCACTCCTTGTTGACATAAAGACTTAGGTAGGAACATTGCGTCCAACACACTGCAATTAAAAGCTCTGAATTGAAGAATGCAAGCTTTCGAAATTATAGAAGTATAAAAACTTATTACGCCAACATATCATAATTTTGATTTAAAGAACAACTTCAAGTTTTTATTCAAGTATTTCAACATCTGAGTGGGAAGTCTGTCAACAGTCAACATACATGGTGCTTGTGACCGCATTTGGATGTAATACCTTTATTAATATAAATTTTCACATTGCATTGTTTGGACAGAAGATTTATGAAATTTGGCTCCAAATAAGCCAAACTGGCAAGTGTGATGATTTTGTCATGTGACCTTGTCATGTCATAGTCTTGTATTGGCTACAGGCAATTAAATTTGTGCGTGTTACCTTCATATGGCAACTGTCATAATCATGAAATCGTGAAAAATATACAATCTTCACCGTTTCCACATACTGTATGATGTCCATTATTACACTTTTATTTTGTATCACGAAAAGTATATCTTGATTTCTCATTGACCCATATTTTCATCCATTTAGTGTTAATCAGTGCTCTTAACTGCCTTGTTCTGATATTAAAGACATTATTATATCTTCACTTTGCATCTTAGTACTTATAGGAGACCCTTGATATAGGGCTAACCTCTGGGTTTCCTTTTTCTTAATAATGATGTATTTACATGTTGTTCTGAAATAAAGTATTGTATTGTATTGTATTGTACTGAGATAACTAGAGTCCATCAACCTTTCTTTTGTCAAAATATATGTTTGGCTTTCTTTCGATGTGCTATTTTTGGTCATTGATAGTATAATGACTGTCTTGTTGCTTGATGTTGTTTATGGCAATCTTTTTATTTCTGAAGATATCTTGATTTCCATTTATTAATAATCATTTTAGGTTATTGATACCATTATGTCATCTCCTTATGCCAACCTTTATAATCCTGAGAATATCTTTACATCAAAACATGGGGGAGGAGCTGGAAATAACTGGGCCAGTGGTTATTCACAAGTGTGTAAATACAACTGTCTTTCCATATTTTATTGATGTTATATTAATACTCTTTATACCATTCCTCTAACTTCAGGTAGGCAATCACATTTTGCAGCCTGATTGCCTGTATGTATGGCTGGCAAGAAACAGCCAAACATACAATTTTTGTTGGCAATCTCACATTAATTCGTCCATTGTATGCATAAGCTTTGATGTAAGCAAACGTGCACATTCATTTAATGTATTTGGCTTTATGTTTACAGTTATGTCGGAATGTTATTAATGGGGGAGAGGGAGGGAGGTATTCATGTATTTGTGGTTGCCGCTTTTAAAAAACATTTGATTTAAAAGAAATTAATCTGGAAAAACATGAATATGTGAATAATCCCTCAGTGTCCGTCCTCAATTATTGATGTTCTGGGATCCCTGCCTTTCTACGTATGAACGAACATTTGTGTGCATGTATATGGAAAATACTGGCAGTGGTATTCACTGTCACAAAAGACAGTTTTCACCAGATTATCCAGTAGTGCAGGCTTAGATTAAAACATGCATTTGAACCAGCGAGGGAGGAGGCACATTTAAGATAGTCAGACCAAAAGTATGTCATATTTTCTAAAATATAGGCGGAACGATTGCATGAAGAGATATTTGACATTATTGACCGTGAAGCTGATGGCAGTGATAGTCTTGAGGTAAAGCAGCATTTTGATATTCGTAAAGAATTTTTAATTTAAAACTTAAATTTTTTTCTTACATCACGTCATATTGATTTATCTTTAGGGTTTTGTTATATGTCACTCGATTGCAGGTGGTACTGGATCTGGCATGGGTTCATACATGTTGGAGAAATTGAATGATAGGTATGTAGCCATTTCAACTGTGTGAGATTCGTAAATAGCCATCCTCCGAGTTTTGGTCATGCAATGCAAATTTTAGAACATTATCATTTCTTTCTTTAGATAACTATTGTTTTTACTGTTAATGAATCCACAAAAGTTTGCATAGCACGAGTAAACTTGTGGGTTGGCCACGTCCCTGGGGATATTCTTTTCATGTTGATTATTGATTATTAGTAAACGTTTATCACTGTTTTACCCTACACAATATACTCAGAGGTGGAGAGTACATTAAAACCGCTAACATTGAGGTGCTCACGAATAATCTTACCAGCTATAAATCGTTTCTTGTATTGTATTAATTTATTGCTAATAAAGTCACTGCGTGGACTCGTGTTGGCCTTTTTGCTTTTAGTAAAATGTGCAGTGGAAACATGTTGTCTGTTTCACCATTCCATGTCAAAAAATGCAAGTCACTTTATTTTTTAAGTGAAAAACTGTTTCTCATTTTTATGTAGGTTTCCCAAGAAACTTATTCAAACGTACTCCGTTTTTCCACAGCAGGTTTCTCCGACCCTGTATAAGTCATGTGTTTTATTGCTTGTCTTGTATACTAGTAAAACTACATAACTATTGCATAATAATTACACATGAGCTGCTTACGTATACATCACATTGTTATGAAATGAGTGTTTTTTATAGGAAGACATCAGCGATGTTGTCGTTCAACCCTATAATTCTGTCTTAACATTGAAAAGACTCACCCAAAACGCAGATTGTGTTGTAAGTTCATTAAAAATGTCAATTTATCAGGGTCCTGCTTGAAACTTTGTCATAGCCATTTTGACTCGCCTGATTTTATGATTTCGATCCTAAACAACGTGTTCTACTCACATTTCTTTTGATGATCGTTGGTTGTGGCAATGCGACAGTTATATCATTTTATTACTGATCAGCTGGCTAACATTAAAATCTATAATCTATCCTTTGACGATTTGACCAAAATTATCCATAAAAATAGTTCAAGGAAACACCACTTCTCATGTGATCTTCTAACAGTTATATTTATATAATTACAACGTATTTTTTTATTATTTCAGGTCGTTTTAGACAATACCGCTCTCAATCGTATTGCTTCGGATAGGTTACATATTCCTAATCCTACATTTTCTCAAGTAAACCAACTGGTTAGTGTTCTTTTCTGTTCTAAGTTCGTAAATTTATTTTGTATGAACGAAGTTTTTTGAAATAGGTGTCAACCATTATGTCTACAAGTACAACTACACTGAGATATCCAGGTTGGTGCAAGATATATACACATAAAATAATGTCAGACTGTATCTCCTTAGCCACAGTACCGCTCGCGTATAACTTAATATATTTTTGAGTATGATACTTGTATGCTACTGCTATAATGATACGAACTGTATGATACTGGATACGGATATGTTAATGATTTTATACTGGTATGATACGGATATTATATTGATGCGATACCAGTGTGATATGGTTAAGATAAGGATGTGATACTTGTATGATACTGTTATGATACTTATATGATGCTGGTGTGATACTGATACTTAAGGGTATGATACGGATATTATATTGATGCGATACCAGTGTGATATGGTTAAGATAAGGATGTGATACTTATATGATACTGTTATGATACTTATATGATGCTGGTGTGATACTGATACTTAAGGGTATGATACGGATATTATATTGATGCGATACCAGTGTGATATGGTTAAGATAAGGATGTGATACTTATATGATACTGTTATGATACTTATATGATGCTGGTGTGATACTTATACTTAAGGGTATGATACGGATATGATGTTGATGCGATACCAGTGTGATATGGTTAAGATAAGGATGTGATACTTATATGATACGGTATGATAAGGATGTGATAACGGGTCTGACACCGGTATAATACTGGTATAGTGGTCGTAATATTGATAATACAAAAAATATAATACCTAGGTCTTCATTAATATACAAAGTTTAATGCCCGTATTCTGAAGGCTCTCTCTAATCAATGTAAAAGTCATTTCTTCAGCAATGGTAAGATTTTTGCTTAAATATTTCAAAGTAAGAAATCAGTAAAGTGAAAATTCCGTTTTCAAATAGTAATGAGGCGATTTTCAATACCTTTTTTTAGAAAAATGGTAAATTTTCTTTTCCCATTTAATCAGAATTTGCTCCTTTGTATTATTTGCTAAAAACTTATCATACGATACATAAACGGTAGCGTGTGTTAAGAAATATCCCAGCGGCGTTATCGCGTGAATGGCAATGGTAGTACGTGTAGTTCATGTTGTTGCGTTTGTTTTGTGTTTCCATCTTCCATGTTGTTGTCAATGTTTTCTCATTTTCTCGTTTAGCATTTCCCAGAAAAAATTTGATAGAAGCTCTCGTATATTTGTTTCATCTACATATTTTTCTCGTCTGTTTAGGATATATGAACAACGATTTGATTGGTTTGATTGCATCTCTCATTCCCACTCCTCGTCTACACTTTTTGATGACTGGCTATACTCCACTAACCACTGATCAAAAGGTATCATTGATGTCTTATAGATGTTGTAGCTACAGGTTGAATGTAGCTTGCGTCAGTCTGTCGTTTCCTGGCAATGTTTTGTCCCTCGTAGTGTTAACTTTCAGTTTTTATAGACGTTTTTGCAAATCTTTTTGTTGATTAATCGTTTTCAAAGTACAGGAGGGAATTTGCCATATCTTTGCGAGTTAACGGTACATTGTACCTCTCAGTCTCGAAGTTCTGGGCAAAAAGAGCAAATGTTGTGAAAATGAACAAAGGCTGCATGACAACGATTTTATTTTCCGTCGACTTCGACTGCCGTCTCCCTTGTCATTGTTCATGCATTTTTTATTCATTTATTGAAAACAAGATGAAAATAATTGCGTATTTTATAATTACGCGAAATTGATCAATATAACCTGGTATACTAGATTGTGACCGACATTTTGGTTGGAGATTATGTTAATAAGGAATCGACTGAAGATAGATTTTTTATTTTGCATTTCACAAAAAACTTTAGTAGTTCCAGAAGTTAGAACGCAAACATTGCTGTTAAAACATCCTACGAAGTCCATTACGGTTTTATGTATTCTTTTGTTTAAGAAAATAAATTGTTTCGTGCCATCGGCACTTGAACTTAGCAGTTCATAAACTGATATATTTATACTGAATCCTTTCTCAACACATAATGATTTACAATTGAGTGTTGAAAACAATGTTAATTGAAAGTAAACTTTAGTAAAATGGGCTTTTTCGCTATTGCATGCAATCATTACATCTTCGTGAGACATGAATCCTTAGTCAATGGAGTCATTGTATTTTAAGAATTGCCTTATCCTGAGTTTCTCCATGCTCGAAAATTAAAAATCTAGCAGTGATTTTAGGAACTCTTCCAAATACTTATTCCAGTTTCAAACTATTCTGTTTCTGGAATTTATGTTTAGCTTACTTATGTTTTTCTGCGAGCTGTAGAGTGACTAAAAATGGTCCCGTGCATGCATAAGGGAATTATTTAAATCCTTGAGAGTCTGACAAAATAGTTCAATTTTTTAGTTTTTGTCTCTTTATAGGTATCTAGTGTTCGTAAAACAACTGTTTTGGATGTGATGAGGAGATTACTTCAGGTTTGCTAATATTTCTTTTTTTATATTTTAGCCTTGTCGTTGTTCTGGTAATGCTAAACATTTTTTTTTAACAGCCAAAAAATGTTATGGTCTCAACATTGCGCGATAAGAAATTTCAGCATTGCTATATTTCTATATTGAACATTATTCAAGGCGAGGTTGATCCAACGCAGGTAAACGTATTATCAACTCTGTTCTATACATCCTCAATTTTATAATATGTCTTGTTGTGTAATGTTTAATTTAAGGTTCATAAAAGTCTTCAAAGAATCCGCGAACGCAAGTTGGCCGAGTTTATCCCGTGGGGTCCAGCCAGTATCCAAGTATTATATTTTATTTTTCTTTGTGTTTCTTTATACATTTCTAGAACATGTTAATTATAATATATTTACATAAATAATATAATTCTTATTTTATAATTAATACAAATTAAAATACTTACGCATGCTGATTGGTTGATTTTCGGCTCGGGAAAGGCATCTTGTTTACGTAGAAAATTATCAACTTTCATCCCAGAGCTTAGTTTCCCGTACTACCTCAAAACCTAGATAGTTAATGAACACTTTTGTGTAAATAAACTTCAACCTGCATTTTTGACAGTTAAAGTGGTTTCTGACAAAATATTGTCGTACTGCATTTTGTGATTTACGTTTTAGGTGGCTCTCTCTCGTAAATCTCCTTATGTCCAGACGGCTCATAGAGTCAGCGGTCTAATGATGGCGAATCACACTAGTATTTCAACAGTTAGTATTCAATAAACATAATTACATGCAAGAAAACATGGGCTTTGAAATTTCACCTTTGTGATTAAAATCCAATGTATAAATTGCTTCGATTCTTCCACAATTTTTCTATGTTTTTTGTTTGACGTATTCTTTTTATGTTTTTAGGTTTTTGAAAAAAGTTGCCGTCTTTATGATAAACTAAGAAAACGCGAGGCCTTTCTCGAGAATTATCGTAAAGAACCTATTTTCGAGGAAAATCTTGACGAATTGGATAATTCTAGGTAAATTTTACTCACCACGAGAAAAATTATCATCCTTTTTATTTGCGACACAAAACTTTTTCGTTTGATTTTCCATAATGGAAGAAAACTTGGAATATTATCTTATTATGGAGGCTCTATAATCTTTACATTTTTATCAAAGTTTTGAGTATGGTGCGTTTTAGCCATAAGTATGAGAATAATTTTAACGTGCACTCTTTTCGTTTGAGCACGACGTTATTTTAATGACCAATCTCAACAGAAAAGTAACTCAAATAGAAAATATGTCACAAGATTGTTGCCAAAACTATAATGACATTGTGAATCTTTCTAGAAATCAGTGATTTAGAAAATTTCTAGAAAATATTTAAAAGTCCAAGGAGTTTTTACATGTATTAGTGGCGCGGATAGCGTAATCCATTAGATAGTAATTTTTTCAAACTTTTAAAAAACATCAAGGAAAATTAAAAGATTTGAACTGAGCTATCATTAAAATATATTATCGCTTCCAAGTTTACAAAATTTCTTTTTCGTAAATAAAATATAAACGCTTTTTTTACAATTCTGTATATTTAATGATCTAATGGATCGTGAACGCAATCAATGCTTTGTGCAACCGGCCACAGTTTTTTTTTATTTCGAAATTAAATGTTAATCTAATAAACAGTAGAGATCTGCTTTGTACTGAATATACGTCATCATCACAAAAGAAATTAGAATTTTATTCACTATCTAACGCAAGTAACTGCATGGAGCCTCCTTAAATAAAACAATATCCTTCAATCATGTTTCGTCTTGTTTGATTTTTATGGTTGTATTTGATACCAAACTAACCAAAGGTAAAAATAGAACTTAGAATGAATATAACGAAAAGGATGCCTGTATGTCCGTCGTGGTAGAATGTTTTAGCCTGCATCGTAGACTATATATGTTTTATGTTTATACAAATATAAGGTCTGCGATGCAGGCTAAATGCCTTTTGATTTTCATATTTATAAATAAAGATATCTGTAAAAGACACATCAAAGTCGAAGTCAAATTGATTTTTCGAACAATTTTTACCACTGAATCAAAAATTTCCGGCCAACGAAAGTTCGTTTTGTTGAACAACCTCTTCTCGATCAATGTCGATTCATTGTCGATTCTCTGCGTCTATCTTCGTGTTAATTTATTTGTATTTTCTCTGAAACCTTAAGGGAAGTTGTACAACAATTGATTGACGAGTATCAAGCGGCTACAAAACCTGATTACATTTCATGGGGAATGAAAGTGAGTGCACATTTTGATTTATTTCCCTTCAATAAGTTCATTTTTGTTTTGGAAGTTAGCAATAACTCATGCAGCTTTCTACTCTCCATTGTTCTTTACCAAGATAAAAACATTTGCAGTATTATTATATTCACGGAATGCTGTGCTCGTGTCCTTGACTTGCCATATCGGGCTATTTGTGCATGTGAGCGGCAGTCATTTTACTGAACACAACACTGAACCGTGTCATTGACACATACTGACTACTCTTCATGAATACCTATTATTGAGCTAAAGATCTAAGCTCTTACCAATGCACTGAAATAGTATCGATAAGTCCGTAGTTATTTAACTTATTCTGAATAGCTTGAATGCAACGCACTGTCCGAACAATTTTTACGTGATTTAAGTCTTGCTCTAACTGACATAATTTTGATTATTGTGTTCAACGTCATTGCTGAAACATAATCGTTTCGTCTTGATCAACTGTGAATCATCCCTTTATTCGAACTATATGACAAATCACTTTCTTTTCTCGTTTTCAGGGTGTAGAGTCAAAGTGAATGCTTGTTGTTCATATGAATAATGTCGTCTCCAGTGATATGTTTAGTTGCTCTGCCTATACTTGTACAATGTACACGACTACACATGTGAATGTGTATTTAGAAGTAAATTGGAAGATCAGTTCGTTTGGAGTAAAAATGACTTTCTCAAGAATCTGGCGAATGTGGGTGTTCGCCGATCTTAGCAGTATGTACACTATGTCTATTAATAGTTTGCGTGTCTTTAAAGATTGTAATGATAATTCTTTACAGGATAGTGCATTTCGTAATATATTGTTCTTGTTAATTTGACACTGTTAAAACTGCGGCAAACCTCGAGGTTTTTTGAGCTATTGTGGGTGTTTGAGGTCAAGAGGTCTTATTTACAAGTACCGAAACATGTTAAATTATGCCACGAAACAAGTAAGATCATGATTCATGATTGTATTGAAAGTAGTAAGAAAGTCGAAATTACCTGTCCGATACCAAGAATTATCATCGATAAATTGTTGCTCATAATTTTTTAATGATTTTTATGGGTAGCCGCTGTGCATGCGCCTGTTGCTGGTCAAAAAATACCTCGAATGCATTTATAGGCATTCCGAATGTCACAAATCAAATTTAATGTATGGAAGTACATCGAACATTAGAATTTATCCATCGGATTTAATTTGATTGATCTTTATTGAGAAAGCAATATCCAACAAAGAAAATGTCAACCACGAGTCTATTAGATTAGTTTGTTTGTTTGCAAAGACATATTTAATAAGAGTGGTATAACCTGATTTTTAAAACAGTTTATATTACGTGCGGGATCTCGGCGAGCATCTCGTCCCACTTCACATAAACTGGTCTGGCCCTAAATATCTTCCTGGAATAATGGTGGCCGTGAGGACGCAGTGCAGACTTGAGTGACCCTCTGCATTATTATTGTTCTGTGTCATTGCTGCATTGTGTGTGTGTGTGACTGGGCCATTGATACCCTCAGGTGTTTGGTGTACTTTCCCTCCCCCCCTCCCCTTCCAATCTCCATTCATACTATTGAGATCCTGCTGGTGAAACAACAAACGAAATCCCGGGGAAATCACCCCCTTTTCACGTGGAGCTCTCACCTTTGTATGGTTTAATTGGAAATTTTTTGAACAGCAAACCTAAATAATGGAAATGGCAGAACAAATCATGTGTGTGATTTTACCATCCGGAAGCGGATGTTAATATAATCGGAACAAGTCGGAAATGAATCAAAGTTTTGCAATAAAGCAACATTAACATATCACTATCACGTTAATCATTGTTTACGAGTACAAACACTTGTGAGTTGTGACAGGCTGTACAGGGTAGACTTGCACTGATTTAAAAGAATTGTATTTCGTTTGTTGAAATAAAGATAGACTACAGCCACTAAAGTCGATGGCTGAAACATCTGAGAAGAAATGTTCGCACAAGGTCGGCTTGCCACGTAGTAAAGAACAAATTTCTATGAGCGCTGCCCTAGTGGAAAGATCGCTGGAAAAAAGCATCCAGGCAAAGCAATTTTAGCAGGCAAGTTGTGATGATTGCAAATTACATTTTTAAATGATTGCAAGTAGAGAACGACTAGAATAAAGTCAAAATAGTGAATTACGTAATTTGTAGTAGACTTGTAGTTTGATTCGGCTGCATTGATAAAAGAAACTAAGTTCTTGATTGGGCTTATAGAACACTTGAGATTCTTACTTGCTGTGAAAGTTTATGCGTTATATCTCATTTCGACTTTAGTTCTTTGTTTCAGCGAGCAGTTCATTTGTCTCTAAAGAACAAAACATGAACTTTGGACTGTAATCCGAAAAGAAAGGCGGGAGTTGGGCTAGGTTATTAATGTCAATACATTCTTTGCGTTCTCGTGTATCGTGTTAATGAAATGCATTTGTTTGCATTGTCTAAAATAAGAAATCCCACAACTTATTTACTTGCTATGTAATTAAAAAATTAGTGCATAAGTAGATATTCTAAAATACACGAAACTCGTTGATTACTCAGTAATATTATGGCTGCCAAAAAATATTTCATAAAAACAATTGACACTTCTTATAAAGTAATCATCAATAAATAATAAATAAAGTAAATAATGTTAACATTATACTGAGTGTTAACTGTTTTGTGTTTCACTCAATAATATTGGTGATGTGATATTTTCTACGTAAGCAACTTCATGGAAAAATTCTTTAGATTCTTTAGTAAACTATTAGAGATTGTTGGACCCTAAAGCGAAGTTCCCCCTGGTGAAGTTCCCGCTAAAATAATATATACTAGATTGTTCAATTGACTGTCATTTAACTGCCCCCACCCCCTTGAAAGGAAATTGTGACTATGCCACTGCAAAGAGTATGGGGCTGAGGCATACCTGATCCCCTTTTTTATGAACAAGTATCATCTTGGTCAAAATGCCCACAAATAGACTATGTTTTCTTTTTATTCTACCCATCTCCACCTGACCCCACTACCCCCACATTGATCACTGAGTCTGATTATTGAAGGGCTCATATTCAGATACAGTAAAAAACAAAACAAAACACATACAGTGACTGGTCTATAGCTGTGTTTCCATCAGCTTGTGCAAACCGATCTGAAGTCAACAAATCAAGTCAATCAAAGAAAATTTGCAAATTAATTATGAATACATGTCAGAGGAAAAACTTAAATGTTTATTTTATATTTGTCTGTTTTGTATTATAATAAGAACTCTCAAAACCCTTGGTCTTGGGTATGCACTCATCTTCTCTTGAGTTCTTCCAAATGTCTCCTTGGTTTGTATAAAACTAATGAATCAGATGGTACATTACATCAATTATCAATTCAGTTTGTATAGGCTCTGTGGTTAACATCACAATTAGTTTATAACCAATTGACACCAAAAATAAAGTTTGCGAAATAACACATTGTTAACAGCTTGCTTTTGCATGTTTTGATTCCAAAAATACATCTTGATTTTTTTCAAACTAATTTTCTTATTCTGATTTGTGTTGATGTTTCAGGCGCATTGCTGGTGGTTTGGAAATTCTTTGCACATTTCCCACAGAATATGTAAAAACTCAACTGCAGTTGGATGAAAGAGCCGAGGTTCCTAAATATACAGGTCCATTAGATTGTGCTAAGAAAACTGTGCAATCTCATGGCTTCTTTGGTCTTTATCGTGGTCTGAGTTCACTGTTATATGGATCAATACCAAAAGCTTCTGTTAGGTATGGTGTAAGAGAATGGTATAGGTGTATAGCTAAACTACCAATAAAGTGCATTCCTTATGGGTTTTTAAAAAATTGAAAACTTTATTACTGCTGACACATTTAGCTTTTGACAACAATCAATCTGTTCAATCAATAATTTTTATTATTTTATTTAATTGTTTTAAAAATCCAGTGGATGGGATTCATCTTTCATACAACCATCCAGAACTATCTTTATATTCAATTCCAACCCTGATGTACTGCAATTTTTCAAGAGTCATTACATAGATACTGGGATATTTTCAAGCACTTTAGTCTGATACCCCAGGAGCGTTTTTTGGCGTGAGGACCCTAAAGTATTTTGTAGTACATGTTTCTAGTCAGCAACGGCATGCTGGCAGGGGCTATGGCCCACCAGAGTTGATTTTTGGGCAGTGCAAAAATGAATACTGAGCGTCGAATATTGAATTTGTGTTGGGACAATGTATTAAATGCATTTGAAATCATACAAGTATCATTCCACCTCTCAAAGTCCAGGAAATGCCATTTTTAAGCTTCTTGAATTTTCTGGAATAGCAATCCTCGGAGTACACCAGCGCGACTTAATGCAATTTCGGTGTTTGGCTCTGGCTTTCGGTCCTCATTTAAAAAGTGTTATCTTTTGGCGTGTTTTCAGTGGAAAGCGACTGTAAGATATTTGTGAGTTTCAGCTTGTTTAGAGTGAAAACTCAATTGAAGATTGTCTTTACTACCTACCGTGATATTAACCATGTAGTAAGAATATAATGTATAACCTGTTTGAAAAATGCATGCCTGAGATAAAAAGTTCAACATTGATTGTTTTTCTTCGTTTAATTGCAATTTTAATGCATGATATTTTTCTTGCTTCTTTAGATTTTCTGTCTTTGAAGCATTGAAAAACAGGCTTTGCGATGAAAATGGAAGTCTTTCACAACGGAATATTTTGCTTTCTGGTCTTGGAGCTGGTGTTTCTGAAGCTGTTCTTGTTGTTTGTCCTATGGAAACTGTTAAAGTAAAATTTATTCACGATCAAACTCAGCCCAACCCCAAATATAGAGGATTTCTTCATGGCGTATCAACTATTATTAAAACAGATGGTATGTTGGAATGTTCATGATGGTGACAGAGTGACAGTATTGAATCTTCCATTTATTACTTTCCATCTCATCAAACTATTAACTTTGTGTTTTAAATCACATGTATCAGCTCAGGTCAGCTGTTTTGCTGCATGGCATACAATTCATGCAATTTTGCCTGAGGGTATACATTTGCTTGTATTTTATACTATATTTCACTGGAATGGGGTTATACGCACGTACTTATATACCAAAAGATTGACACCATTGATTGCGTGAGGTGGTCAGACTTTAATGAGAAGTACGAATATGATGCTTTGCAACGAGAATAATATCAGTACAGCACACTACGTACGTTGTTCATTGACTTGATTCGTCACCTTACCAGTGTCGCAAACAGAGAAAAATATTTGCCCTCTAAAGCAACTGAAAGATTCTAGTAAAAATGTCAGCTTTGTTCCGTTGTAGTGCGTGGCAACGTTAAAAAAATAAACATAAATTTACGTTTCCTTGTGTTGTATGAAAGTCTACTATGTAAGACGAATTGAAATTTAATATAAATTTACCTTGCAATAAAATCTAATTGATGCCGATACGAGCAATATTCCTAGCAAGACACAGATTTTTTCCTGTTTTGCCTCTGCTTTTTTATTTATTTTGAAAAGCAATGGTTTGCTGAAATTTGCATTTATTAAAAAATCTGAATTTTTTAATAAATGCAAAATATAAATAATACAAATGGCAGGTGTATACTCAGATCCTGGATTTTGCTTGATCTTTGAATAGGAACCTCTTGGTAGTCTTACCTGTATCGGGGGGGGTCAACAATTTCTGACACTCCAATAGGCAATAGGTTTTGTTCATAAACAGGTTCTTGATTCTATTAATCAATTCAATTAATCAAACTTTACTGTAGTCTAAATACTACCACGTTGCCATGCTAGTAGTAAAAATTATGTAAATAGTTTATTGGAGTGTGAAACAAAACGATTTGTAATTTCCTCGAATCGTATCGTTTCAGGTATTACTGGAGTCTACCAAGGTCTTGTACCAACTATTTTAAAGCAAGGAACCAATCAAATGATCAGGTTCTTTGTGTACTCCAATTTGAAGACTTGGTTGCAAGAAGGCGATAATTCTAAAGATATCGGAGCGATAAGAACTTTTCTTATTGGTGGAGTTGCTGGAGCAGCAAGTGTCTTTGGAAACACTCCAATAGATGTCGTCAAAACTAGAATGCAGGTTTACCCTACTATGATATTTTAATTTCATTTAACATAATTAGTCTTCGACTTATGCATCACGACTAATGTTTACTTATTGACATGTTTAAACGGCCCGAAAATCAGGAATGGATTTACTGTGGGATCTAAGAAAGTTGCCAATTTTCCTACGAAAGATAAATATACCAAAAGCTTTTGTGATTTGTGTGTAATAGAACACACTTTTGCAAAAGATCTCCCAACATTGTCCAAGAGTGATAGAATTTAACAAAAAATGTAAAACGTGGTGACATACGCTAAATATTTTCTGAAATTTAATCCCAACAAGAGTACACTCTTTTACAAAAACAATATTCTGGATTCATCTCTGCCGAAAAGTAGTATTCGCCACTCTTTATACTTCATTTATGGATATGAAAATTTTGAGGTAAATGAATAGAGTGGTCACAAAATGCGTAATGTTTTCGAGAAAACACCAAAGAAGTAATTGATAAGGAGTTGAAACCACATGCATGCTGTAATGTAAACTGCCGTCGTTTCAGGTTTGACTGGCTGTGCTGGTTTGCTAATGATGTATGTGATTTGTTTGTTTTCAATGACAAGATTCATATTGATGTATAATTGATTTTATAAGTTGCAAACGATCAACGGATGAATAATTTATAATGTTTGTTTTAAGGGTTTGGAAGCTCACAAATACAAAAGCTCTTGGGATTGTGTTGTACAAATTATGAAACACGAAGGACCGAAAGCGTAAGTAAATAATTTTATTCGTAATTTATGAGCCAGTTGTAAGTGCACCTATATTGTCCCCCTTCCCCCCCCAATGTTTAGCACAATGCTATAACATAAACTACATGCAAGCGATAATTATAGAACATTTTAAAATTTAAAACTTGTTGCTTTATTCAAACAACATTTGGACACCTTATGTCGCTGGTCAGCAAAAAGTTCGGCAGGCTCAGAAAATAAATATTACATGCCAGTTGAAACATAGAAAGTTAAGAGATTGTGTAATTTCAAATATCTTAAGCCTAACCCTAATCATTACCATAACCCTATCAACTATTATACTAAGGGCAAAACGCCGTTTTACTCTTTAAAGGCATGTTCACACGATTTTGTCGGATCCTAAAAAACGCATTGTGTGAACACATATAAAGTGAGCTTCCGACAGTCGGATCCTAAAAAACGGATGGAGATATAACTTGCTCTACTTTCATCCAACAAGATCAAATGAAGCGGACTAGCCTCAGACTTTTCACTCTTCATACTTCCCAAATTTCATTTGACACGAGAAATTAGATTTGAAAAAGCCTTGAAAACAAGAATAAAAAATACGCAAAATACATCGATAAATGTACTGGCTAGTACAAATGGCCGCTCTCATAACTATAAATATTTTATCGAATACAAATATCAACAAAATCTTCGGACTATCTGAACAAGCAACCATGGTCGGAACCGAGACAACCAGATCGCACAAATCAAATCGTGTGAACGGGCCTTAACAAGTGAAAAAGTAAAAGCAACGTTATGCAAGTTACTTTTATAGTTACAATATAGGTTAGGGTTATGGTTAGGGTTAGAGTTTGGCATTTGCTGCTATGTTTGTGGTCACTGCAAAACGGCTACTAGTGTCCGCTAAACTGCATTCTAGCCAGACTAAAATTGTGCATGAAGAAATTGCAAAGGAATTAAAACCGAAAAGTGGCAAAATCTTTGGAATAAAATTATTTGTTGACTGTTAAAACTTACTTGATTCGAATAACATTATGACTTTTTCGAAAATATGTACTCGAGTGGGTAAAAGCATGGGTAGTAGTTTAACACTTTGTTTGTAGCCTATAATTTGCTGTTTGGTCATGAGCGTCGCTTTTGGCTCTTTAATTGGTTGAATATGTGAGCATCTAGCTCAAATTCACCGCAAACGGCGACAATTTTGCCTTACGAGGCCTAAAATATCAAAAATTCTTGATGTGCAAGAAAAGGTTACATGAGCCGTAAAACTCAGCAAAATTCATACAAACACAGCGAGCTACTGCCTGAGCTAACGGGCACCAGTAACTTTTAGCTCAGCTGATGGCTCTCGTGTGCTGCAGCCTTAATTACTTTTTATCGCAACTAGGACTTGTGTTCCATTGCTTACAAGTATTTTTTAAATTCGAGTTTGTAATGTGTCAGCAGCTCGAGAGACATCGAAAATGTCCAGACTTGGTCCGTACATAGTTCTTGGTGCAAATTATGCGTTCATAAGATTTGTAAAATTGTAGGATGTACTCAGTTCATCAGCAATTTCTCCTTGGCAGAAATAGTTGTGTCTTACCGTTGTTCATGGTTTATCACTACAAAAAAATAATTGAATAGCTAAGAAAAAATGCGATGTAGTGGTGTAACTCTGTAACTATGTGCATTGTTTTTGCTTATCGTTATAATCTCTTCACGATACGTTCTTGGAATCAAAATGCAAAATATACTTCTCATTTTGATGTCATCTTAATTACTTTTTCTTGCTGCTCTTTTGGTTTAAATGGATTCCTCTTGCAAACCTTGAGTCCTTAGTGAAACGATCAGTTACTGATTCGATTACTGCACCAATTGAAAAGAAGTTTAATGAAGTTCTTTGGTTTGATACGCCAACATGGCTACTTACTCCATTGTCATTTTGATCGTGTTTTAATACCTATCCTAATTGAAGTTAGACCACGGAGCTTTAGAGAGTTGTGGAAACAGGAAACATTAGTGTGTGCCCATATAGTTTATATTCTTTGCGCTCGTTTCATTTAGTTAAACAAAACTAAAGTTCAAAAATAACATTGCAAATCGCACTTTTTTGTTTGCCAATTCATGTACCGAATATATTTTTAAGGTTGCCTTTGCTAATGAAATTGTTTATCCTCCTAAGTGCTTTGGAAATGTATAAAAGTGCATAGAAAATGTCATAAAATTAATTGAAAGCTTATCGTTCCAGGTTTTACAAGGGCACTGTGCCTCGTCTTGGTCGTGTTTGTTTCGATGTCGCTTTTGTATTTACGATTTACGAACAAGTTATGAAAGTTCTCAATTACATTTGGGTGACGGATTGATTAATTTCTCGTGAAAGGTTATCAAAATTTCAAAATCAATATCTGGAATTATTTGAAGGTATTTGGTAAATGGGACTTAGTGTATACACATAGGGATCGTTGGACCGATTGATTTATGTAATATATTAAAGTGGTGACTAACCTGCCGGCCGGGACTTATGTTTTAGAATTCTAGCATCACTTCATATATATTAAAGTTTGAGCGGCATTTTTTGGTTTCAAGTTTGTTGGAACTGAAAATGTTTAGTATTTTATAATTTAGATGAATTTACGAAAATTGTGACAGCATTTGGTGCGCACTTTTATTAAATCTACTCAAGAATTACTTTTGTGTATAAATAAGAGAAATCTTGTTCCATTTATCGATTCACTATAAAAACCAGTTCAATAAGAAAGATCCAATTAAAGCACGAATATTATTTTCTCGTTTAAACTGCAGTTACAGAGTTAATTCAGAAACCACTTTCAAATAATCACCCCATCAGGTATGATTTTTCGTACACTCTCAGCTCTGGGTCTATGAATGGTAATTATTACTATTCTATTGACAGCATCACTGCCGTTTGCGTTGTAGGTGGTAAATAACGTGTTTATAAGCGGAACTTTGCAACTTCAGACGGAACTGATAAAAAATGGCGAGATTATGAAATGAATCCTTCATTGTGACAATGGTTATAAAAATGGCAACAAGTTAATTGTTCTACGTTCTACAGGTCTTATAGTTTTATATACTAACTTGCTCGTTATGTTTGTACAACCATCCTGAGATTAGTTTTTTGAAACGAAGTTTTTGTGTTGTAACTTCATATTACTATTGTGTGTGGCTATAGACTATAGCCTTCTGTTGGGAAAGTTTTTGACTGAACAGCATAACGTGTTGCGGTAGTGGTTGATTTTTGTATTCAATGTAAGTGCATTTACAGGCATTTATATGCAATTGTAGGCAAAAACTTTGATTTTGAAATATTTAACGCAATATTATTAAGTATAACTGTAAATGTGAAAATTATGATATGTAATAATATTCCTGTATAAAATGCACTTCATGCAATACAATAAATAAAAACACAGAATAAAATAACTTTGCCCGCTGTGGAAGCATTAAAAGAACGCAGTCTTCTATTCATGACACGCGATCTAAAAGACACTGAATCTTTCAAAATAATTTAAATCTAAAAAAATAACGCTGAATCTGCCATTTTGAAAGTCTTCCGGAGAGTACTAATATCGATGGCTATAAAAGCTTTATAAATGGAATTGAATACTCCCTGTACGTTATTTAGTATTCAATATAACCTAGAGTTGTGTTTACGGACATAATTTCAGATCTTGATCACATATAACCTGCAGCAGCAGTTTTTACTCTTATTTGTTACGTAAATTAATGATACACATACATTTGTTTCTTACATTCATGATAATTTAATGTTTTTATACATTTCATAGATTTGAACTGCCTTAAACACGAATTCAAAAACATGACATCCCCATGTATTTCGTTAGTGAAATCCTTCAAAGAATTTTTCGTTAAATAAAATACATAATTTTTATACATGTCTTTGATACATTGTTTATGTCAAGTTTCATTGCAAACTTTTCGTTGTTTCTTTATGAAACTAGTAAAATAAAGATGAGCTAAGGACAGGACAGATTCAAAAAAACAATCAATTTGTGTAAACCAGCTTTTCACGATCTCCCTCATGTTGTACCCAAGCTTCTTGTGTCGTATTGTCGTATTGTCTTGTGTCGTACTTTAATGTCCAAACTTCTTGCCAATTCATTTAGATAACAGCAATCCTTTCTTCTATACTTAAGTTATTCTTCTTGTCCATACGAAATCTTGAACATGATTAAACTTATAAGATTATATGCTTGAAATTGTCAAATGCAACAGTATGTAGCAAATGAGACATAACGGTCCCATTCCCCTCCATACTCCAATGGCTTTATTCACGACTGGAGGTGTTTCCTCGAAGGCTTCTGTAAGAACTTTGCCTGTCATATATCGACCTTTTCGCAAGCCTAAAGCGTGAAGAGCAGTTTGAACGACATCTCTGTTTGCGACATAATTCCTATTTGCAGTCATGTTGTATCCCTTCTTTACTCTTGGACCTTGAAAATGCAGGAATGAGGAAATTCATCAACATTGACTGTTTGTGGAATATGATGAGTAATGCTGCAAGTGTACACTAACCTTATCAGAAATAAGTCTATTCACTAAGTTAGTGAAACATGAAGAGTGTATATTGTTTGCGAGCTGTTTTAACGTTAGTATCTTTCATTTACGACAGAACGCGAAGATATTTTTGTGTTTTTTAAAACAAAAGGCATTTGAAAACGTTTAAAATTTTTTTGTTGAAGCAATCTTTTTCCAAATTTATGTGAAGCCGTGTAGTGTAATGAGTGAAAAACGTTCGAGATGCTTCAAAATCTTTAAAAAATTTGAGATAACATAAAAAAGCATGAAATTGAATGTTGAGTTGAAATGAGAAAATTCTTTATTATTTCTTTTGCATTGGGGTCAACTAAGCGAGACTCATACGTGAGCTTCAAAACGTTCTAAACTCAGTAGCATGCATGAAATAAGTTCAGTTTGGTTGACAACCTTTCAGATGTCTAATAAGTTGGTGAATACATGTCAATGCACATAATAGTATGCAGGAACATGAGAAAAATCTCCCCTGTCACCTCGGTCCCTCCTATTTGACTTTACTTCATGTAATTTATCTTATCAGTAAGTTACGAAAGTAGCAAAGAAAACATTTTAATTGACCTGAGGAGTCCGACAATTCGCCGAATTCTGAACTAAACCCTGCATCGACAAAACTCATAACTCGAGATATGTATAAAGTATAAGCATTTAGATAAAATTGACTTACCCCTCAATAACAAAGGCACGTTCATTGTTGCTGTCATAGTAAAGCTCAAGCATTCAGTATTTGGTCCATTACACTCCCCATGAAGATTTCTGTATCCGCCGTGATCACTGACCACCATCACTAACGTCTCATCTAACATTTGCGTTCCTTTTTCGGAAATACGAAAAAATGTACAAAATATTTCGAAAGCACAAATATTACCTTATGAAAGGGGAAGAAATAATTGTTATTTATGCTCAAAAATTGCTTTGATATGTTTTAAATATGATTGTGACGACAATATAATTCAAATGGACAAAGCATAACTTTAAGGTTATTACAAATAGGGAGGCAAAATATGGCAAGAAGATGAATGTCGATCTACATTGGTGTTTATTTTTCTACAATATCCAACCTCTTAATTGTGTTAATCTATCTTAGGTGTTTTTATTAAATCTGATTATTTTCCGATAAGTAGATAAGTAGAGGAAGCATTTATTCCTAACAGCGTTAAGCAAATCTTAAAAAAATATCTTCAGTGCTTTAGAACTCACAAATATTTTCGAAGTATTTAGATGCATGATACCTTGCGAGGTTTTCGTTTCTTTCAATACTTGTAGGATTTTTTGAATGTATCCATCTATAACTTCTAGCTCATCATAGTACTCTTTGCATCCCCAACAATGTACGTGACCTGCTTTATCCAAGCGAGCTGCATGATAAAAAGACAATGACTACAGAATGTTTTATAGACGTGACTATACGTTACAAGTACGTTGGTAGATACGTACCTACGTTGCAGTTAAATGTATAAAGCTACATACGAATATTTGCTGCACTAGTCAGTACTGAACGGGGCGTTTAATTGCATATTGTCACGTAAGAGAAAAGAATTATTGTCAACTTCGTGTTGAATATCAGATATTGAACATTTATTTGGTCGTTTTGATTGGTAAATTGATTTTGACGATAACACCAGTGACCAAAAAGTAGTTTTTGGCAAAAGTCACAAATTTGAAAAAGTATTTGTTTGGAAAAAAAGGTAATAGCTAACGCGACGGTAATTGTTGGAGCTGCTGTTAATTTTTTTGCAAGAGGGTTAATTTTTGTCCATCCACTTTACTATGACCCAGTGATACCCTGTATGAATTCTATTTATGTGAATACAATACTTACAGAAATGTAAAAACATGAAGTTAGGTTGAATCTGTTGAATGACATCAACTGTGGCATTAAATACGGCCTCATCTGAATGTTTGATGCAACCAAAATCAAATGCGCATTTTAGCCAATCAGCGCTTCCATTGAAATACGGCAACTGTGCCCCACGGAACATCTCATCTACAGTTGTATTGGTTGCAAAATGATGAAACCAGTCCCACGTGTAACCCATGTATACCTAAAGTGTAGTTGGATCGTTGTTACGGAAAAACTGTATTTTTTTAAAAACAAAACTTGAAGATTATTTCTCGCTTTTGGGATGAATAAAGTCAATCGATTCCTTATATCTGCTATGAGTAGTTTAACGATTGTCATCTCACAAAGGTACGCATTACAAAGAGATGCCTTTCGTTCTACTTGAATGTGGGAAGTACGATGCAGCCTTGTAACATTATTCTATAAAACGTAAAGATATCCGATGGCGTACATATGTTTAGAGGAGACATTTTCGAATTCGGTTCTTGTGTCCCAGTTTCCATATCACGACGAAAATATTTAGAAAAATGTTGAATTTTTCTTGTTCAAAGCCTTTTTATAAAAACCATGTAACAAGATCAATAATAGTTATAGAACTTTTCAAATTTTTTCACGCTCTGTTATAAAAATTGTAATAATCCCAGAGGTGATGCAGGCAATATGTGTTTTTCGTGGTGTTTTTAGGTAAAATCATAGCCTACCAGGACTATGCATTAAAAATTACACCCGTGACTTTATGCAAACGTTTCCAAAATTATCTTTCCGAACTCCTGCCTGTTTAGCATTGTCATAAATGCGCATTTGGGGTTTCTAATGTTTTTTGCCTCTTGTCAAGCTCTTAACATACTTTGTATGTTATATAAGTGCCGGAGATTGTGCCCCTCGGAGATGGTGCCCCTCGGAGTCAAACGAATTTTCTCCGGCGTTTGAATTGAAACAATTAAAACTGTACTTAATATAATTTGTTCTTAATAGAATTTTACCTTCATGTCTTTCTGTTTGTACATAACATCAAAGATACTTTCAGGTACACCTTCACCAGAAATTGGTTCAAAATGGCTACGTTGACTGATACTCTTAGGTCTTCCATACTCAGGAATCCAGTAATTTGCCTGAATCCCTGCTTCAGCTGGCGTCATACCTGTTATTAGTGTTCCCCAATTTGATGCACTTACCTTATATAATAAAAATACACTGTTGTCAAACCATGCATAAGACGATTTGCTGTGATAATTTAATATCATATTTATATTATTGTGTTTTTGTATTTTGTGTTTAGCATGAGCATCGTTTTATGGCTAGATTTATGAATGTGTATAATGCTCACAATGATCATTTCGTATAGGTCGCTTTGTGAATGTTTCTAATGTTTGAATTATTATATGGATATAAAGGGCTTTGTGAATGTGTATGTCAAGATTTATGCGGTGTGAATGGTGATAACACGCAGTTGCATCACATAACTACATAAAAAAAGCAATTTCAGCGATCCTATGATCTATAGCCTTACTGTTGGAGTTTCACATCTTGCACTTGTTGTATAACTTCCTTCATCAAAAAATGATCGAAATCCGGGATATTTTGCTGTAACATTCTCCAAGTGAACACCGCCCAAGCCGTCAATACCTACATATGATGAAACTTGAAATTGAAATGGAAACACCAGTATCTATATTTTATCTAATTTAGTTTCCTATAGTAATCAATAGTAATATTTTGCTGTTTGATTCATTTCAACTGTTTAGATTCCCTTGGATGATAATTAGATTTCAACTGTTAGAATCTGTAATTTTTGGGATGTTCATAAGTAATTAACGTTTTGGTTAAAATCTAATATTTGTAAATCATGTAGCGTCATAAAATCAATAAAACATGAAACTAATTTACACTGAAACTTGACGATAAATTGATTTTGAACAAATCCAATACAACATATGAAAGGACGATTAATCCGTTTTTCCTTTCCATTTTGAGTTTGACTATTTTTCTAAATTGAGAAAAATTCCTCATTATCCTTTATTCTAAATACATTCGGTCATGTAAAGTTCGACGTTTGAAACTGGCCTGAGTTTGTTATATTAGAAATGATAAGTCTTGTCTCTGACTGTTCTTTGTAGTCTTATGGACTAGGACTAATCGCCTTATTTGTTGATAGTAAATATCTGTTCGCGCATTTTGGAGACCAAAAACATGAAATAATGTCATTGCAAACTTTTTCATTGTTGAAAACTTTATCTTGTTTCGACATTTTTTCGTCATTGTGGCAGAAGTATAAACTGTTGGTATAAATTTAAACATGTCATCTTTGCTTTAAAATTCTTAAGTTATATATGCTCACAATTGATCTTCATTAGAAAAGAACAGACGTGACAAACCCACTTGAAATTCCAAAGAGTTAATTAAATTGCTCTATTGTTATTTTGAGACAACCTGTCAATTGCGATAAACTAGTTATTTGTTTTTTTTTTAAAACTGCAATCAAAACGATAATCTTCAACACTCGACAGGAGAGTTATGGCAGAAAAAGAAAAATGATTTATTTAGCCAAAAAAAATGTGTGTGATTCACCAAACCAAGCAGTTTATTTCTGAGGAAATTCTCCGACACAAAAGTTCCAAGAGAATTCTAAGAAAATTCTCCTAAGACATTCACAAATACTGTGCAATGTGTCAACGACCTCACGCGTACTTATAAGCGAACCGCTGACATGTTATGTTAAAATTTCATTGTGTGCAGCTTTAAACATTTGTCATTCATGACAGATAAGTTCGACTTAAAATATGTTTCATGTTTGGTTCACTTTTCACGAATATAATCATTAGGTTTTTAGTCGAATCAACTACGTAGTGGTTTGAAACGTTTGTTATTCCTTTTTTGTATTTTCAATGTTCGTTTTTATTTTATTTTGATCTTTTTATTTTTGATGATTTTGAACTGCGACTTTCGGTGGGGGAAAATGTATTGTAAGAATGATTATGAGGGTAAATTTACTAATTTTGCAAAGAAGCACAGCACAAAGAGCATTAGGAACATTTTAATTCAGAAAGGAGATGCCATGGATTTTCTACTGTTAGTCAAATAACAGTTGTCATTTCCATGTAGCTATTAAACAGTGATGTTGAAACTCAAGTTTTCAACTTGTGAAATGAATGAAATTATACTCACTAGAATACAGCGAAGCTGCATTTACAAATGCTACTCAAAGTAACTCCATTTTATGATGTTATATCCGTTCCGGTACATATTCAATCTTCAATATGAATCATGATTTATGATCTTCCGAAAGAGTAGATAAACTGTATACGTTAAGCATGACCGTTGTACTGTCTTTGCTATATCATATAATGCGATATAGTTTAATTTCGAACCCGGATCTTTTGAATGAATATTTTTTATTTTTTATACTATTGTTGATAGCGAAAAAAATGTCATGATGAAGTTCAAATAAGGGTCACAGCTCACAGCATGCGTGAGATTATTGTTAGAAATTAAATGTGGATATGATCTTCGCACTTTGCTGGACAATTTAAGCAATTCTCTCAGGAACCTGAAAAATTCATATTATCGTTAGAGCAAATCAGATATGAAAACAGTTATTTATTTATAAACCTTGTTCTCAAGTTCTCATCTATGGATATAATGATATCACTCTATGGTATAATGGTATTTTAAAATGTTTACTTGTAATCAAAATAACATTATTTGGATTGTGAACTAATCTTTCATTGCTAACGTCAATCACCAAAAACTCCGGGGAGTCGGGAACCGAAGGTTTTAGTCCATCTTTGGGATTTGACATAAGTTTGGAGTAATGCACATATAGTGTGTTTATAGTGTATTGATATTCTAATCCTTGAGTACACCATACGAGTTACTCAATCACAAATTTAGGTCCTAACAATAAGTAACACCAGTTTATCTTGGTGAATATCGTTGTAATACGTGTTTCTCAAAAATCTTTTAAAGCATGTTATGAAGCAGTGTTATACACGGACCTGTTATGATGCGACAGAGTTCCTTAGAAACGTTCTAATCAACTTTGTTTTGACATGAAAGTAATATTAAACAATCTGCCAAGATAAAATAATGCTTTAACAGCAGACGTAAAATTTAGTGAAAATCGTTTTATCTTTATGACATCATTCAGACGAAATTCACATACCAAAAATTAGGACGTTTTTCGCTGAGCCATAACCCTTCGTTTTTTGTATGCTAAATGGAGCTGTTAATACGTGATGAGTTAAGCAGGTTATTATCCACACTCCACATAATAAAAGCTGTTGGACTTCCATACTCTTGCCAAAATTTGACTGCCTGTGGTATAAGTGTACCTTTATAGACGACGACTAGCCACATAATATACACTGACCAGGCTGTCAACAACGCTTTAAACTGCTATTTGCATAATTTCCTGATTAGACCACTTAATTTGACAAAAGAATTGATACAATATGAACTTATGAGGGTTGTTACAATATGAACGTAATTTATATCAAAACCTCTCTGATTTGATGGAGAAACTACAAGACGCCAGTTAGATTGATATATTTCTTGTTCCCTAATTTGGTAATTAAAGATAAATACAATGCCTCTTTGATGTAAACTCATCGAATTAGATCGCAGGAATATGATACGATTCATTTCATTTAAGCGGACAAGAAACGCTCTTAATGGAATGGCTTTCCACCACACCATTTAATCATCTGATGTAGTGAGAAGGGGCGAACAAAGTGGTTTTATAAAATTGACTATTGGCTTATCGTTTATCGAGCTATGTCACATATTATGTTACAATTTGAATTGATCAAATATTTATGAATGGTTTACGAAATTTAATGCATTTCATTCAATCGATAATAACAGCAACTTTAATTGCAGACAGCCTTCAGTGTGTGCCAGTATGAAAAAGATATTTGTGTACTGAAATGAAGAATGCTTTAACGCATAAAAACATTAATTTCACAGCACTTAATCTTTTGTTTATTCTTTGCAACTTTAATTAAACACAATCTATTGAAAACACGCAATAATTGAAAATTTTACTTAACACAAAATGATTACAAATGAATAGGTCACTGAATATGCAATTTCAATTTTCACTGCGTGATGTTATCGACCGTGTTGAAAAATGTTATCAAAGAGATAAGAGTTTCTTCACATAAAAAAAATTGAAAATGATGCTTTGTTTAGAGATGATGTAATTGATTAATAAAACAAGAACAAAACGTTGCCAACATGTGTAGCCAAACATGTTTTTTCCCAATGAATTTATTGCTATTGCTATGGTCCGTGGTTATATTTGTGGTACAGTCACATTGTATTCCTCGTCTGTTTCAATGCCAACATCTTCCTGTAAAAAGAAATACGATTGACTTAGTGAAAGGCAAACTCATTTTTAGTAAACATACGTATGTAACGTATCTTTAACAGGAGAAACAACAGGTAAGATTGAACAAGTTAAAATTTCTGAACTGCGTAATTTCACAGAGTATGACGTGGTGTATAAATATAACAAATGACGAGCACTATAGAGGTTGAGTTTTCTATTTCATTGTTTAAGCACATAAACACAAACCAAGATAGATGAGTGAACTATTATTATCCATTTGAGATGATATTACGCAGTTTTTGCATTCTTAATGTTAGAATGCAGCTTAATGCAGCTTGAGCTTAATACAGCTCAAGATAAATGCATTTTGAGCTTAATTTCAACGTGATATTAGACGCGTCAAGCTCTGTGTATGCACAGATAATATTGGAATCATTTTTTTCAGAATGTAAAGAATTCAGCTCAATTACAGGTAAAATAATTTATGTGTCATTAAATATTGAATCAAAGCAGCATGACTTACGATAAATTGTTTTTTTGTTTTGGGGTAATTTTCTAAGATGGCATCCATCATATCTGATGCCTATAACAGACAGAGGATGTCTTTCATAAATGAAATGGCGAAAGAGATTGATTCTTTTGGTTATCCAAGAGTAGAGAAAGGTTTCTGGTCAACTTTCTCATAAGAAAATAGAAATAAGTGTTTGCAAATCAAAACAATCTTATCGGAAATTTTCAACTCACTTTTAATTCAATGCATCTTGCAGTTGCAGACCTAGCTACGTTTTTATTTTACAGGTGGCTCCTGCATTTTGCCTGACGTGCTAATGAATTCGGATAAGCAGCTATCAACCTGGGAGTCGCATTAGCAGTTGTATTGACCTAGATTGGGATTAGTAGCTAATTCTGTCCTAGAATGACCTAGGGTTTAGTGAGTAGTTAAGGTCCTGATCTCTGTCAATGTTGTGCTAATGTTAATATTACATCGAACTATAAGAAAGTGAAGTGCAATGATTTGTAAGTGATAACTGGAAGTACAAACAATCATAGGCGTACGGGAAAGGGGGGGGAAGCTGCCTCCCTCAAGAACGTTTGAAGATTAAAAAGTTGGGCAAATTTTAAACGTTAATTGGGCGAAAATATGGCGGAACCATCATTGTGAGTTGGAGGGAAATAATTTTGGTTCAAACTTACAATACGTTTTCTCTTTTTCCATGTTTGAACAGCAGTTTTACGGTTTTTGATGATCTAAAGCGAAGAATTACTCGTACCATTATTGATATAGTTAAGTTTAAAGTAATTGCAACATCAGCTTTAGCGAGTAATGATCGCCAATTATATGACTTACTCCATGTTCAAATGTGAAGTGTACATTATTATGAAAAGAACACGTGCGACAGTAAACACAGTAGATTCTGAACAATCGATGTTTTAGAAAAAATCGTGAAGCCTGGTCTGTTCACGAGCATTTTGTCAGTTATGCAAAGGCTATTATGATACAACGCAGCTACGCATAGTTTGGTTTTCATTAAATTTCAGAAATTCTTCATGCTTCGTCATACTCGATCTATATACTAACACACAGTGTTCTTGTGTCGTATTGTCGTATTGTCTTGTGTCGTATTTTAACATCCAAACTTCTTGCCAATTCATTTAGATAACAGCAATCTATTCTTCTATACTTAAGTTATTCTTCTTGCCCATACGAAATCTTGAACATGATTAACTTATAAGATTATATGCTTGAAATTGACAAATGCAACAATATGTAGCAAATGAGACATAATGGTCCCATTCCCCTCCATACTCCAATGGTTTTATTCACGTCTGGAGGTGTTTCCTCGAAGGCTTCTGTAAGAACTTTGCCTGTCATATATCGACCTTTTCGCAAGCCTAAAGCGTGAAGAGCAGTTTGAACGACATCTCTGTTTGCGACATAATTCCTATTTGCAGTCATGTTGTATCCCTTCTTTACTGTTGGACCTTGAAAATGCAGAAATGAGGAAATTCATCAACATTAACTGTTTGTTGAATATGATGAGTAATGCTGCAAGTGTACACTAACCGTATCAGAAATAAGTCTATTCACTAAGTTAGTGAAACATGAAGAGTGTATATTGTTTGCAAGTTGTTTTAACGTTAGTATCTTTCATTTCCGACACAACGCGAAGATATTTTTGTGTTTTTTAAAACCAAATGCATTTGAAAACATTTAAAATTTTTTTGTTGAAGCAATCTTTTTCCAAATTTATGTGAAGCCGTGTAGTGTAATGAGTGAAAAACGTTAGAGAGCTTCAAAAATCTTTAAAAAATTTGAGATAACATAAAAAAGCATGAAATTGAATGTTGAGTTGAAATGAGAAAATTCTTTATTATTTGTTTTGCATTGGGGTCAACTAAGCGAGACTCATACGTGAGCTTCAAAACGTTCTAAACTCAGTAGCATGCATGAAATAAGTTCAGTTTGGTTGACAACCTTTCTGATGTCTAATAAGTTGGTGAATACATGTCAATGCACATAATAGTATGCAGGTACATGAGAAAAATCTCCCCCATCCCCTGTCACCTCGGTCCCTCCTATTTGACTTTACTTCATGTAATTTATCAGTAAGTTACGAAAGTAGCAAAGAAAACATTTTAATTGACCTAAGGAGTCCGACAATTCGCCGAATTCTGAACTAAACCCTGCATCGACAAAACTCATAACTCGAGATATGTATAAAGTATAAGCATTTAGATAAAATTGACTTACCCTTCAATAACAAAGGCACGTTCATTGTTGCTGTCATAGTAAAGCTCAAGCATTCAGTATTTGGTCCATTACACTCCCCATGAAGATTTCTGTATCCGCCGTGATCACTGACCACCATCACTAACGTCTCATCTAACATTTCCGTTCCTTTTTCGGAAATACGAAAAAATGTACAAAATACTTCGAAAGCACAAATATTACCTTATGAAAGGGGAAGAAATAATTGTTATTTATGCTCAAAAATTGCTTTGATATGTTTTAAATATGGTTGTAACGACAATATAATTCAATTGGCAAAGCATAATTTTAAGGTTATTACAAATAGGGAGGCCAAATATGGCAAGAAGATGAATGTCGATCTACATTGGTGTTTATTTTTCTAGAATATCCAACCTCTTAATCATGTGTTAATCTATCTTAGGTGTTTTATTAAATCTGATTATTTTCCGATCAAGTAGATAAGTACAGGAAGTATTTATTCCTAACAGCGTTAAGCAAATCTTAAAAAAATATCTTCAGTGCTTTAGAACTCACAAATATTTTCGAAGTATTTAGATGCATGATACCTTGCGAGGTTTTCGTTTCTTTCAATACTTGTAGGATTTTTTGAATGTATCCATCTATAACTTCTAGCTCATCATAGTACTCTTTGCATCCCCAACAATGTACGTGACCTGCTTTATCCAAGCGAGCTGCATGAAAAAAAGACAATGACTACAGAATGTTTTATAGACGTGACTATACGTTACAAGTACGTTGGTAGATACGTACCTACGTTGCAGTTAAATGTATAAAGCTACATACGAATATTTGCTGCACTATTCAGTACTGAACAGGGCGTTTAATTGCATATTGTCACGTAAGTCTCTTTTAGGAGTTTTAAGAAAACGAGAAAAGAATTATTGTCAACTTCGTGTTGAATATCAGATATTGAACATTTATTTGGTCGTTTTGATTTGTAAATTGATTTTGACGATAACACCAGTGACCAAAAAGTAGTTTTTGGCAAAAGTCACAAATTTGAAAAAGTATTTGTTTGGAAAAAAAGGTAATAGCTAACGCGACGGTAATTGTTGGAGCTGCTGTTAGTTAATTTTTTTGCAAGAGGGTTAATTTTTGTCCATCCACTTTACTATGACCCAGTGATACCCTGTATGAATTCTATTTATGTGAATACAATACTTACAGAAATGTAAAAACATGAAGTTAGGTTGAATCTGTTGAATGACATCAACTGTGGCATTAAATACGGCCTCATCTGAATGTTTGATGCAACCAAAATCAAATGCGCATTTTAGCCAATCAGCGCTTCCATTGAAATACGGCAACTGTGCCCCACGGAACATCTCATCTACAGTTGTATTGCTTGCAAAATGATGAAACCAGTCCCACGTGTAACCCATGTATACCTAAAGTGTAGTTGGATCGTTGTTACGGAAAACTGTATTTTTAAAAACAAAACTTGAAGATTATTTCTCGCTTTTGGGATGAATAAAGTCAATCGATTCCTTATATCTGCTATGAGTAGTTTAACGATTGTCATCTCACAAAGGTACGCATTACAAAGAGATGCCTTTCGTTCTACTTGAATGTTACGATGCAGCCTTGTAACATTATTCTATAAAACGTAAAGATATCCGATGCGACATTTTCGAATTCGGTTCTTGTGTCCCAGTTTCCATATCACGACTAATTTTTTGCTTTATAGTTTGCTCTTAACATAATTTTGTGGTGTAGGTAAAATCATAGAGGACTATGCATTAAAAATTACACCCGTGACTTTATGCAAACGTTTCCAAAATTCTCTTTCCGAACTCCTGCCTGTTTAGCATTGTCATAAATGCGCATTTGGCGTTTCTAATGTTTTTGCCTCTTGTCAAGCTCTTAACATACTTTGTATGTTAAACGGAGATCGGAGTCAAACGAATTTTCTCCGGCGTTTGAATTGAAACAATTAAAACTGTACTTAATATAATTTGTTCTTAATAGAATTTTACCTTCATGTCTTTCTGTTTGTACATAACATCAAAGATACTTTCAGGTACACCTTCACCAGAAATTGGTTCAAAATGGCTACGTTGACTGATACTCTTAGGTCTTCCATACTCAGGAATCCAGTAATTTGCCTGAATCCCTGCTTCAGCTGGCGTCATACCTGTTATTAGTGTTCCCCAATTTGATGCACTTACCTTATATAATAAAAATACACTGTTTTCAAACCATGCATAAGACGATTTGCTGTGATAATTTAATATCATATCTATATTATTGTGTTTGTATTTTGTGTTTAGCATGAGCATCGTTTTATGGCTAGATTTATGAATGTGTGTAATGCCCACAATGATCATTTCGTATAGGTCGCTTTGTGAATGTTTCTAATGTTTGAATTATTATATGGATATAAAGGGCTTTGTGAATGTGTATGTCAAGATTTATGCGGTGTGAATGGTGATAACACGCAGTTGCATCACATAACTACATAAAAAAAGCAATTTCAGCGATCCTATGATCTATAGCCTTACTGTTGGAGTTTCACATCTTGCACTTGTTGTATAACTTCCTTCATCAAAAAATGATCGAAATCCGGGATATTTTGCTGTAACATTCTCCAAGTGAACACCGCCCAAGCCGTCAATACCTACATATGATGAAACTTGAAATTGAAATGGAAACACCAGTATCTATATTTTATCTGATTTAGTTTCCTATAGTAATCAATAGTAATATTTTGCTGTTTGATTCATTTCAACTGTTTAGATTCCCTTGGATGATAATTGGATTTCAACTGTTAGAATCTGTAATTTTTGGGATGTTCATAAATAATTAACGTTTTGGTTAAAATCTAATATTTGTAAATCATGTAGCGTCATAAAATCGCTAAAAAAACATGAAACTAATTTACACTAAAACTTGACGATAAATTGATTTTGAACAAATCCAATATAACATATGAAAGGACGATTAATCCGTTTTTCCTTTCCATTTTGAGTTTGACTATTTTTCTAAATTGAGAAAAATTCCTCATTATCTTTTATTCTAAATACATTCGGTCATGTAAAGTTCGACGTTTGAAACTGGCCTGAGTTTGTTATATTAGAAATGATAAGTCTTGTCTCTGACTGTTCTTTGTAGTCTTATGGACTAGGACTAATCGCCTTATTTGTTGATAGTAAATATCTGTTCGCGCATTTTGGAGACCAAAAACATGAAATAATGTCATTGCAAACTTTTTCATTGTTGAAAACTTTATCTTGTTTCGACATTTTTCGTCATTGTGGCAGAAGTATAAACTGTTGGTATAAATTTAAACATGTCATCTTTGCTTTAAAATTCTTAAGTTATATATGCTCACAATTGATCTTCATTAGAAAAGAACAGACGTGACAAACCCACTTGAAATTCCAAAGAGTTAATTAAATTGCTCTATTGTTATTTTGAGACAACCTGTCAATTGCGATAAACTAGTTATTTGTTTTTTAAAACTGCAATCAAAACGATAATCTTCAACACTCGACAGGAGAGTTATGGCAGAAAAAGAAAAATGATTTATTTAGCCAAAAAAAATGTGTGTGTGATTCACCAAACCAAGCAGTTTATTTCTGAGGAAATTCTCCGACACAAAAGTCTCGTAAGAAAATTCTCCTAAGACATTCACAAATACTGTGCAATGTGTCAACGACCTCACGCGTACTTATAAGCGAACCGCTGACATGTTATGTTAAAATTTCATTGTGTGCAGCTTTAAACATTTGTCATTCATGACAGATAAGTTCGACTTAAAATATGTTTCATGTTTGGTTCACTTTTCACGAATATAATCATTAGGTTTTTAGTCGAATCAACTACGTAGTGGTTTGAAACGTTTGTTATTCCTTTTTTGTATTTTCAATGTTCGTTTTTATTTTATTTTGATCTTTTTATTTTTGATGATTTTGAACTGCGACTTTCGGTGGGGGAAAATGTATTGTAAGAATGATTATGAGGGTAAATTTACTAATTTTGCAAAGAAGCACAGCACAAAGAGCATTAGGAACATTTTAATTCAGAAAGGAGATGCCATAGATTTTCTACTGTTAGTCAAATAACAGTTGTCATTTCCATGTAGCTATTAAACAGTGATGTTAAAACTCAAGTTTTCAACTTGTGAAATGAATGAAATTATACTCACTAGAATACAGCGAAGCTGCATTTACAAATGCTACTCAAAATAACTCCATTTTATGATGTTATATTCGTTCCGGTACATATTGAATCTTCAATATGAATCATGATTTATGATCTTCCGAAAGAGTAGATAAACTGTATACGTTAGGCATGACCGTTGTACTGTCTTTGCTATATCATATAATGCGATATAGTTTAATTTCGAACCCGGATCTTTTGAATGAATATTTTTTATTTTTTATACTATTGTTGATAGCGAAAAAAATGTCATGATGAAGTTCAAATAAGGGTCACAGCTCACAGCATGCGCGAGATTATTGTTAGAAATTAAATGTAGATATGATCTTCGCACTTTGCTGGACAATTTAAGCAATTCTCTCAGGAACCTGAAAAATTCATATTATCGTTAGAGCAAATCAGATATGAAAACAGTTATTTATTTATAAACCTTGTTCTCAAGTTCTCATCTATGGATATAATGATATCACTCTATGGTATAATGGTATTTTAAAATGTTTACTTGTAATCAAAATAACATTATTTGGATTGTGAACTAATCTTTCATTGCTAACGTCAATCACCAAAAACTCCGGGGAGTCGGGAACCGAAGGTTTTAGTCCATCTTTGGCATTTGACATAAGTTTGGAGTAATGCACATATAGTGTGTTTATCTGTATTGATATTCTAGTTCTTGATTACACCATACGAGTTACTCAATCACAAATTAAGGTCCTAACAATAAGTAAAACCAGTTTATCTTGGTGAATATCGTTGTAATACGTGTGTTTCTCAAAAATCTTTTGACGTATGTTATGAAACAGTGTTATACACGGACCTGTTATGATGCAATAGAGTTCCTTAGAAACGTTCTAATCAACTTTGTTTTGACATGAAAGTAATATTAAACAATCTGCCAAGATAAAATAATGCTTTAACAGCAGACGTAAAATTTAGTGAAAATCGTTTTATCTTTATGACATCATTTAGACGAAATTCACATACCAAAAATTAGGACGTTTTTCGCTGAGCCATAACCCTTCGTTTTTTGTATGCTAAATGGAGCTGTTAATACGTGATGAGTTAAGCAGGTTATTATCCACACTCCACATAATAAAAGCTGTTGAACTTCCATACTCTTGCCACAATTTGACTGCCTGTGGGATAAGTGAACCTTTATAGACGACGACTAGCCACATAATATACACTGACCAGGCTGTCAACAACGCTTTAAACTGCTATTTGCATAATTTCCTGATTAGACTACTTAATTTGACAAAAGAATTGATACAATATGAACTTATGAGGTTGTTACAATATGAACGTAATTTATATCAAAACTCTCTGATTTGATGGAGAAACTACAAGACGCCAGTTAGATTGATATATTTCTTGTTCCCTAATTTGGTAATTAAAGATAAATACAATGCCTCTTTGATGTAAACTCATCGAATTAGATCATGATACGATTCATTTCATTTGAAACGCTCTTAATGGAATGGCTTTCCACCACACCATTTAATCATCTTGTAGTGAGAAGGGCGAACTGGTTTTATAAAATTGACTATTGGCTTATCGTTTATCGAGCTATGTCACATATTATGTCAATTTGAAGATCAAATATTTATGAATGGTTTACGAAATTTAATGCATTTCATTCAATCGATAATAACAGCAACTTTAATTGCAGACAGCCTTCAGTGTGTGCCAGTATGAAAAAGATATTTGTGTACTGAAATGAAGAATGCTTTAACGCATAAAAACATTAATTTTACAGCACTTAATCTTTTGTTTATTCTTTGCAACTTTAATTAAACACAATCTATTGAAAACACGCAATAATTGAAAATTTTACTTAACACGAATATGCAATTTCAATTTTCACTGCGTGATGTTATCGACCGTGTTGAAAAATGTTATCAAAGAGATAAGAGTTTCTTCACATAAAAAAAATTGAAAATGATGCTTTGTTTAGAGATGATGTATTTGATTAATAAAACAAGAACAAAATGTTGCCAACGTGTGTAGCCAAACATGTTTTTTCCCAATGAATTTATTGCTATTGCTATGGTCCGTGGTTATATTTGTGGTACAGTCACATTGTATTCCTCGTCTGTTTCAATGCCAACATCTTCCTGTAAAAAGAAATACGATTGACTTAGTGAAAGGCAAACTCATTTTTAGTAAACATACGTATGTAACGTATCTTTAACAGGAGAAACAACAGGTAAGATTGAACAAGTTAAAATTTCTGAACTGCGTAATTTCACAGAGTATGACGTGGTGTATAAATATAACAAATGACGAGCACTATAGAGGTTGAGTTTTCTATTTCATTGTTTAAGCACATAAACACAAACCAAGATAGATGAGTGAACTATTATTATCCATTTGAGATGATATTACGCAGTTTTTGCATTCTTAATGTTAGAATGCAGCTTGAGCTTAATACAGCTCAAGATAAATGCATTTTGAGCTTAATTTCAACGTGATATTAGACGCGTCAAGCTCTGTGTATGCACAGATAATATTGGAATTATTTTTTTCAGAATGTAAAGAATTCAGCTCAATTACAGGTAAAATAATTTATGTGTCATTAAATATTGAATCAAAGCAGCATGACTTACGATAAATTGTTTTTTTGTTTTGGGGTAATTTTCTAAGATGGCATCCATCATATCTGATGCCTATAACAGACAGAGGATGTCTTTCATAAATGAAATGGCGAAAGAGATTGATTCTTTTGGTTATCCAAGAGTAGAGAAAGGTTTCTGGTCAACTTTCTCATAAGAAAATAGAAATAAGTGTTTGCAAAGCAAAACAATCTTATCGGAAAATTTCAACTCACTTTTAATTCAATGCATCTTGCAGTTGCAGACCTAGCTACGTTTTTATTTTACAGGTGGCTCCTGCATTTTGCCTGACGTGCTAATGAATTCGGATAAGCAGCTATCAACCTGGGAGTTGCATTAGCAGTTGTATTGACCTAGATTGGGATTAGTAGCTAATTCTGTCCTAGAATGACCTAGGGTTTAGTGAGTGGTTAAGGTCCTGATCTCTGTCAATGTTGTGCTAATGTTAATATTACATCGAACTATAAGAAATTGAAGTACAATGATTGTTTAAGTGATAACTGGAAGTACAAACAATCATAGACGTACGGGAAAGGGGGGGGGGGAAGCTGCCTCCCTCAAGAAAGTTTGAAGATTAAAAAGTTGGGCAAATTTTAAACGTTAATTGCGCGAAAATATGGCGGAACCATCATTGTGAGTTGGAGGGAAATAATTTTGGTTCAAACTTACAATACGTTTTCTCTTTTTCCATGTTTGAACAGCAGTTTTACGGTTTTTGATGATCTAAAGCGAAGAATTACTCGTACCATTATTGATATAGTTAAGTTTAAAGTAATTGCAACATCAGCTTTAGCGAGTAATGATCGCCAATTATATGACTTACTCCATGTTCAAATGTGAAGTGTACATTATTATGAAAAGAACACGTGCGACAGTAAACACAGTAGATTCTGAACAATCGATGTTTTAGAAAAAAATCGTGAAGCCTGGTCTGTTCACGAGCATTTTGTCAGTTATGCAAAGGCTATTATGATACAACGCAGCTACGCATAGTTTGGTTTTCATTAAATTTCAGAAATTCTTCATGCTTCGTCATACTCGATCTATATACTAACACACAGTGTTCTTGTGTCGTATTGTCGTATTGTCTTGTGTCGTATTTTAACATCCAAACTTCTTGCCAATTCATTTAGATAACAGCAATCTATTCTTCTATACTTAAGTTATTCTTCTTGCCCATACAAAATCTTGAACATGATTAACTTATAAGATTATATGCTTGCAATTGACAAATGCAACATTATGTAGCAAATGAGACATAATGGTCCCATTCCCCTCCATACTCCAATGGTTTTATTCACGACTGGAGGTGTTTCCTCGAAGGCTTCTGTAAGAACTTTGCCTGTCATATATCGACCTTTTCGCAAGCCTAAAGCGTGAAGAGCAGTTTGAACGACATCTCTGTTTGCGACATAATTCCTATTTGCAGTCATGTTGTATCCCTTCTTTACTCTTGGACCTTGAAAATGCAGAAATGAGGAAATTCATCAACATTAACTGTTTGTTGAATATGATGAGTAATGCTGCAAGTGTACACTAACCTTATCAGAAATAAGTCTATTCACTAAGTTAGTGAAACATGAAGAGTGTATATTGCTTGCGAGTTGTTTTAACGTTAGTATCTTTCATTTCCGACACAACGCGAAGATATTTTTGTGTTTTTTAAAACCAAATGCATTTGAAAACGTTTAAAATTTTTTTGTTGAAGCAATCTTTTTCCAAATTAATGTGAAGCCGTGTAGTGTAATGAGTGAAAAACGTTCGAGATGCTTCAAAAATCTTTAAAAAATTTGAGATAACATAAAAAAGCATGAAATTGAATGTTGAGTTGAAATGAGAAAATTCTTTATGATTTGTTTTGCATTGGGGTCAACTAAGCGAGACTCATATGTGAGCTTCAAAACGTTCTAAACTCAGTAGCATGCATGAAATAAGTTCAGTTTGGTTGACAACCTTTCTGATGTCTAATAAGTTGGTGAATACATGTCAATGCACATAATTGTATGCAGGAACATGAGAAAAATCTCCCCCATCCCCTGACACCTCGGTCCCTCCTATTTGACTTTACTTCATGTAATTTATCAGTAAGTTACGAAAGTAGCAAAGAAAACATTTTAATTGACCTGAGGAGTCCGACAATTCGCCGAATTCTGAACTAAACCCTGCATCGACAAAACTCATAACTCGAGATATGTATAAAGTATAAGCATTTAGATAAAATTGACTTACCCCTCAATAACAAAGGCACGTTCATTGTTGCTGTCATAGTAAAGCTCAAGCATTCAGTATTTGGTCCATTACACTCCCCATGAAGATTTCTGTATCCGCCGTGATCACTGACCACCATCACTAACGTCTCATCTAACATTTGCGTTCCTTTTTCGGAAATACGAAAAAATGTACAAAATACTTCGAAAGCACAAATATTACCTTATGAAAGGGGAAGAAATAATTGTTATTTATGCTCAAAAATTGCTTTGATATGTTTTAAATATGGTTGTAACGACAATATAATTCAAATGGCAAAGCATAACTTTAAGGTTATTACAAACAGGGAGGCTAAATATGGCAAGAAGATGAATGTCGATCTACATTGGTGTTTATTTTTCTACAATATCCAACCTCTTAATCTATCATAGGTGTTAATCTATCATAGGTGTTTTTATTAAATCTGATTATTTTCCGGTTGCAGCTCAGCGTCAATCGACCACATAAGTACAGGAAGTATTTATTCCTAACAGCGTTAAGCAAATCAAAAAAATATCTTCAGTGCTTTAGAACTCACAAATATTTTCGAAGTATTTAGATGCATGATACCTTGCGAGGTTTTCGTTTCTTTCAATACTTGTAGGATTTTTTGAATGTATCCATCTATAACTTCTAGCTCATCATAGTACTCTTTGCATCCCCAACAATGTACGTGACCTGCTTTATCCAAGCGAGCTGCATGATAAAAAGACAATGACTACAGAATGTTTTATAGACGTGACTATACGTTACAAGTACGTTGGTAGATACGTACCTACGTTGCAGTTAAATGTATAAAGCTACATACGAATATTTGCTGCACTATTCAGTACTGAAAGGGGCGTTTAATTGCATATTGTCACGTAAGTCTCTTTTGGGAGTTTTAAGAAAACGAGAAAAGAATTATTGTCAACTTCGTGTTGAATATCAGATATTGAACATTTATTTGGTCGTTTTGATTGGTAAATTGATTTTGACGATAACACCAGTGACCAAAAAGTAGTTTTTGGCAAAAGTCACAAATTTGAAAAAGTATTTGTTTGGAAAAAAAGGTAATAGCTAACGCGACGGTAATTGTTGGAGCTGCTGTTAATTTTTTTGCAAGAGGGTTAATTTTTGTCCATCCACTTTACTATGACCCAGTGATACCCTGTATGAATTCTATTTATGTGAATACAATACTTACAGAAATGTAAAAACATGAAGTTAGGTTGAATCTGTTGAATGACATCAACTGTGGCATTAAATACGGCCTCATCTGAATGTTTGATACAACCAAAATCAAATGCGCATTTTAGCCAATCAGCGCTTCCATTGAAATACGGCAACTGTGCCCCACGGAACATCTCATCTACAGTTGTATTGGTTGCAAAATGATGAAACCAGTCCCACGTGTAACCCATGTATACCTAAAGTGTAGTTGGATCGTTGTTACGGAAAAACTGTATTTTTTTAAAAACAAAACTTGAAGATTATTTCTCGCTTTTGGGATGAATAAAGTCAATCGATTCCTTATATCTGCTATGAGAAGTTTAACGATTGTCATCTCACAAAGGTACGCATTACAAAGAGATGCCTTTCGTTCTACTTGAATGTGGGAAGTACGATGCAGCCTTGTAACATTATTCTATAAAACGTAAAGATATCCGATGGCGTACATATGTTTAGAGGAGACATTTTCGAATTCGGTTCTTGTGTCCCAGTTTCCATATCACGACGAAAATATTTAGAAAAATGTTGAATTTTTCTTGTTCAAAGCATTTTCATAAAAACTATGTAACAAGATCAATAATAGTTATAGAACTTTTCAAATTTTTTCACGCTCTGTTATAAAAATTGTAATAATCCCAGAGGTGATGCAGGCAATATGTGTTTTTCGTGGTGTTTTTAGGTAAAATCATAGCTTAACAGGACTATGCATTAAAAATTACACCCGTGACTTTATGCAAACGTTTCCAAAATTATCTTTCCGAACTCTTGCCTGTTTAGCATTGTCATAAATGCGCATTTGGCGTTTCTAATGTTTTTTGCCTCTTGTCAAGCTCTTAACATACTTTGTATGTTATATAAGTGCCGGAGATGGTGCCCCTCGGAGTCAAACGAATTTTCTCCGACGTTTGAATTGAAACAATTAAAACTGTACTTAATATAATTTGTTCTTAATAGAATTTTACCTTCATGTCTTTCTGTTTGTACATAACATCAAAGATACTTTCAGGTACACCTTCACCAGAAATTGGTTCAAAATGGCTACGTTGACTGATACTCTTAGGTCTTCCATACTCAGGAATCCAGTAATTTGCCTGAATCCCTGCTTCAGCTGGCGTCATACCTGTTATTAGTGTTCCCCAATTTGATGCACTTACCTTATATAATAAAAATACACTGTTTTCAAACCATGCATAAGACGATTTGCTGTGATAATTTAATATCATATCTATATTATTGTGTTTGTATTTTGTGTTTAGCATGAGCATCGTTTTATGGCTAGATTTATGAATGTGTGTAATGCCCACAATGATCATTTCGTATAGGTCGCTTTGTGAATGTTTCTAATGTTTGAATTATTATATGGATATAAAGGGCTTTGTGAATGTGTATGTCAAGATTTGTGTGTGAATGGTGATAACACGCAGTTGCATCACATAACTACATAAAAAAAGCAATTTCAGCGATCCTATGATCTATAGCCTTACTGTTGGAGTTTCACATCTTGCACTTGTTGTATAACTTCCTTCATCAAAAAATGATCGAAATCCGGGATATTTTGCTGTAACATTCTCCAAGTGAACACCGCCCAAGCCGTCAATACCTACATATGATGAAACTTGAAATTGAAATGGAAACACCAGTATCTATATTTTATCTGATTTAGTTTCCTATAGTAATCAATAGTAATATTTTGCTGTTTGATTCATTTCAACTGTTTAGATTCCCTTGGATGATAATTGGATTTCAACTGTTAGAATCTGTAATTTTTGGGATGTTCATAAATAATTAACGTTTTGGTTAAAATCTAATATTTGTAAATCATGTAGCGTCATAAAATCGCTACACTAATTTACACTAAAACTTGACGATAAATTGATTTTGAACAAATCCAATATAACATATGACAGGACGATTGATCAGTTTTTCCTTTCCATTTTGAGTTTTACTATTTTTCTAAATTGAGAAAAATTCCTCATTATCTTTTATTCTAAATACATTCGGTCATGTAAAGTTCGACGTTTGAAACTGGCCTGAGTTTGTTATATTAGAAATGATAAGTCTTGTCTCTGACTGTTCTTTGTAGTCTTATGGACTAGGACTAATCGCCTTATTTGTTGATAGTAAATATCTGTTCGCGCATTTTGGAGACCAAAAACATGAAATAATGTCATTGCAAACTTTTTCATTGTTGAAAACTTTATCTTGTTTCGACATTTTTTCGTCATTGTGGCAGAAGTATAAACTGTTGGTATAAATTTAAACATGTCATCTTTGCTTTAAAATTCTTAAGTTATATATGCTAACAATTGATCTTCATTAGAAAAGAACAGACGTGACAAACCCACTTGAAATTCCAAAGAGTTAATTAAATTGCTCTATTCACCAAACCAAGCAGTTTATTTCTGAGGAAATTCTCCGACACAAAAGTTCTAAGAGAATTCTAAGAAAATTCTCCTAAGACATTCACAAATACTGTGTAATGTGTCAACGACCTCACGCGTACTTATAAGCGAACCGCTGACATGTTATGTTAAAATTTCATTGTGTGCAGCTTTAAACATTTGTCATTCATGACAGATAAGTTCGACTTAAAATATGTTTCATGTTTGGTTCACTTTTCACGAATATAATCATTGGGTTTTTAGTCGAATCAACTACATAGTGGTTTGAAACGTTTGTTATTCCTTTTTTTTATTTTCAATGTTCGTTTTTATTTTATTTTGATCTTTTTATTTTTGATGATTTTGAACTGCGACTTTCGGTGGGGGGAAATGTATTGTAAGAATGATTATGAGGGTAAATTTACTAATTTTGCAAAGAAGCACTGCACAAAGAGCATTAGGAACATTTTAATTCAGAAAGGAGATGCCATAGATTTTCTACTGTTAGTCAAATAACAGTTGTCATTTCCATGTAGCTATTAAACAGTGATGTTGAAACTCAAGTTTTCAACTTGTGAAATGAATGAAATTATACTCACTAGAATACAGCGAAGCTGCATTTACAAATGCTACTCAAAGTAACTCCATTTTATGATGTTATATCCGTTCCGGTACATATTCAATCTTCAATATGAATCATGATTTATGATCTTCCGAAAGAGTAGATAAACTGTATACGTTAGGCATGACCGTTGTACTGTCTTTGCTATATCATATCATGCGATATAGTTTAATTTCGAACCCGGATCTTTTGAATGAATATTTTTTATTTTTTATACTATTGTTGATAGCGAAAAAAATGTCATGATGAAGTTCAAATAAGGGTCACAGCTCACAGCATGAGCGATATTATTGTTAGAAATTAAATGTAGATATGATCGTCGCAATTTGCTGGACAATTTAAGCAATTCTCTCAGGAACCTGAAAAATTCATATTATTGTTAGAGCAAATCAGATATGAAAACAGTTATTTATTTATAAACCTTGTTCTCAAGTTCTCATCTATGGATATAATGATATCACTCTATGGTATAATGGTATTTTAAAATGTTTACTTGTAATCAAAATAACATTATTTGGATTGTGAACTAATCTTTCATTGCTAACGTCAATCACCGAAAACTCCGGGGAGTCGGGAACCGAAGGTTTTAGTCCATCTTTGGCATTTGACATAAGTTTGGAGTAATGCACATATAGTGTGTTTATCTGTATTGATATTCTAATCCTTGAGTACACCATAGGAGTTACTCAATCACAAATTTAGGTCCTAACAATAAATAACACCAGTTTATCTTGGTGAATATCGTTGTAATACGAGTGTTTCTCAAAAATCTTTTGAAGTATGTTATGAAACAGTGTTATACACGGACCTGTTATGATGCGACAGAGTTCCTTAGAAACGTTCTAATCAACTTTGTTTTGACATGAAAGTAATATTAAACAATCTGCCAAGATAAAATAATGCTTTAACAGCAGACGTAAAATTTAGTGAAAATCGTTTTATCTTTATGACATCATTTAGACGAAATTCACATACCAAAAATTAGGACGTTTTTCGCTGAGCCATAACCCTTCGTTTTTTGTATGCTAAATGGAGCTGTTAATACGTGATGAGTTAAGCAGGTTATTATCCACACTCCACATAATAAAAGCTGTTGAACTTCCATACTCTTGCCACAATTTGACTGCCTGTGGGATAAGTGAACCTTTATAGACGACGACTAGCCACATAATATACACTGACCAGGCTGTCAACAACGCTTTAAACTGCTATTTGCATAATTTCCTGATTGGACTACTAAATTTGACAAAAGAATTGATAAAGGTTGATACAATATGAACATATGAGAGTTGTTAACAATAAGCACGTAGTTTACATCAAAACATCTCTGATTTGATGGAGAGACTACAAGACACCAGTTAGACTGTATATTTCTTGTTCCCTAATTTGGTAATTTAAAGATAAATACCATGCCTCTTTGATGAGATGTAAACTCATCGTCTTGAAAAATGTTATTGACCGTGTTGAAAAATGTTATCGACCGTGTTGAAAAATGTTATCAAAGAGATAAGAGTTTCTTCACATAAAAAATAATTGAAAATGATGCTTTGTTTAGAGATGATGTAATTGATTAATAAAACAAGAACAAAACGTTGCCAACATGTGTAGCCAAACATGTTTTTTCCCAATGAATTTATTGCTATTGCTATGGTCCGTGGTTATATTTGTGGTACAGTCACATTGTATTCCTCGTCTGTTTCAATGCCAACATCTTCCTGTAAAAAGAAATACGATTGACTTAGTGAAAGGCAAACTCATTTTTAGTAAACATACGTATGTAACGTATCTTTAACAGGAGAAACAACAGGTAAGATTGAACAAGTTAAAATTTCTGAACTGCGTAATTTCACAGAGTATGACGTGGTGTATAAATATAACAAATGACAAGCACTATAGAGGTTGAGTTTTCTATTTCATTGTTTAAGCACATAAACACAAACCAAGATAGATGAGTGAACTATTATTATCCATTTGAGATGATATTACGCAGTTTTTGCATTCTTAATGTTAGAATGCAGCTTGAGCTTAATGCAGCTTGAGCTTAATACAGCTCAAGATAAATGCATTTTGAGCTTAATTTCAACGTGATATTAGACGCGTCAAGCTCTGTGTATGCACAGATAATATTGGAATTATTTTTTTCAGAATGTAAAGAATTCAGCTCAATTACAGGTAAAATAATTTATGTGTCATTAAATATTGAATCAAAGCAGCATGACTTACGATAAATTGTTTTTTTGTTTTGGGGTAATTTTCTAAGATGGCATCCATCATATCTGATGCCTATAACAGACAGAGGATGTCTTTCATAAATGAAATGGCGAAAGAGATTGATTCTTTTGGTTATCCAAGAGTAGAGAAAGGTTTCTGGTCAACTTTCTCATAAGAAAATAGAAATAAGTGTTTGCAAATCAAAACAATCTTATCGGAAAATTTCAACTCACTTTTAATTCAATGCATCTTGCAGTTGCAGACCTAGCTACGTTTTTATTTTACAGGTGGCTCCTGCATTTTGCCTGACGTGCTAATGAATTCGGATAAGCAGCTATCAACCTGGGAGTTGCATTAGCAGTTGTATTGACCTAGATTGGGATTAGTAGCTAATTCTGTCCTAGAATGACCTAGGGTTTAGTGAGTGGTTAAGGTCCTGATCTCTGTCAATGTTGTGCTAATGTTAATATTACATCGAACTATAAGAAATTGAAGTACAATGATTGTTTAAGTGATAACTGGAAGTACAAACAATCATACGTACGGAAAGGGGAAGCTGCCTCCCTCAAGAAAGTTTGAAGATTAAAAAGTTGGGCAAATTTTAAACGTTAATTGCGCGAAAATATGGCGGAACCATCATTGTGAGTTGGAGGGAAATAATTTTGGTTCAAACTTACAATACGTTTTCTCTTTTTCCATGTTTGAACAGCAGTTTTACGGTTTTTGATGATCTAAAGCGAAGAATTACTCGTACCATTATTGATATAGTTAAGTTTAAAGTAATTGCAACATCAGCTTTAGCGAGTAATGATCGCCAATTATATGACTTACTCCATGTTCAAATGTGAAGTGTACATTATTATGAAAAGAACACGTGCGACAGTAAACACAGTAGATTCTGAACAATCGATGTTTTAGAAAAAAATCGTGAAGCCTGGTCTGTTCACGAGCATTTTGTCAGTTATGCAAAGGCTTTTATGATACAACGCAGCTACGCATAGTTTGGTTTTCATTAAATTTCAGAAATTCTTCATGCTTCGTCATACTCGATCTATATAGTAACACACGATTTTGGTCGCGAGTTGCGACAAGGGAACTTCAGGATGATTCCCAGAAAAAATTCATTTGGCAGATGATTTAAATGATATGACACGAAAAGTAATGCAAGCTGTTTAGTTAAGCATCAAATGAAAAATAAATTAAAACTATAGTAATAATTAGAGTAATGATACTTCTAGTCAATATTTCAGTTTTACTCAATAGTTTGTCCTAACGCCACTGTAGCATGCGATGCCGTGGTGTTGACATCGTGTTTGAGAAGAAACATTGAAAATATTTTCTCGGAATGCCGATAGTTGAAAATAAACGGTTGATACAATTTTAGAGATAATTTATAGAGACAACAATATGATATGCGTACCTTGTCTTTTTCCGCGGGAGATATGTGATTTGATTCTAAGTCAAGATATATACATTCTTTTCATTATTGCAAACTAATTTTTAAAAAAAGCCTAATGCGACTTTAATTAATACGTGGATAAATAAAGTGTTGTTTACTTTCACAAAAAAACACCATCTGACCTTAATACTAACTTAAATCACTTTAATTTCGTAAGAGCACAATGGTTATAAGACATTTAAAATGATATATATAGTGATATATATCACTATAACTTATTATCATGTATACTTCCTGTATTTATTCACTTCGCACTGAAGATGGCATAAAGTATGCTGAAACATGTTTGCTTTATAAAAATTTGTCGTTTATTTTAAATGTCTGAAATCACTATATAAAGAAACATAACATCCTTATGTTTTTGCAAACTGATATTTCGCAAAACAATTTACAACATGGACACAGCTCAGGGAACCAAATTACAGTATTTTTACCTGATTTGATGCGTTTCAAGTGGTCCTGATTGTTTTGACACTGTTGAAGAAAAAAAGTGATTTTGTTGTAAGAAATCGTGATTGTGACAGGATAACTGCAACATGTATAAAACCTACGATTTTATTTAACTCCGATAATCTTGCAATCGCCTCTTCAGTTGTCAGACTACTCTTCAGTACTCTGTATTCTTCAGTTGAAAAAAGAAACACATGCGATTCTTTTCCATACATTGGTTTATCTTAGGTAAAATTTTATTTACCCTACAGTAATTATTTGTATAATAAAATGTTTCCCTCAAATTTTATTGTTCGATGTACTGGTAAAGTCCAGTCTAATTAACAATCCCAATAAACACCACAAAGTATTCCCAAAAACATAAAAATGTTTAATTTGCACCATCGTTGACAGTGCGCGAAACACTGACTAAAACATATCGGCAATCGCGATTACAAAGTAAGACAATGGTAGTTTGGTTACTAAAGTGTTGAAAGCCTCGGGAGTTTGAGTACATTAAATCACTAAGTAACCTCAATACCTTGGTTTTACTAATAATAGTCGATCATTGAGTCAGTTCGTTGATAGTCGAGCTTAATTTCTAAACCTGCAGTAAACTTTTTCTTTCTTTCTGTACGAGTTAGGAAATTGGGCAAGCTAAGGCACAAGCACCAAGTCATGACTCCTGACTGAATATTATGGTATGTTGAAAAATGAAAAGTTGAAAAATTTTATCAGTATTTGCGGGAGGTTGAGGATATACATTCTTCATTCTTTCATTGATAATATTATTTGCGGGTGAAGACATCTCGACATTTGACAAACCGCACCACAAATAATGTGAAAGAAATCATTACATTGTTTTGCTATGACATCGCTGCGCAATGTTGTCACAGAGACAAGAACTTGGCAGTTGTGAACTAAACATATAACATCAGAGGAGCAATTCGTCAAAGATTAAAAAGTCTATCAAGTGTTTCTATATGAAAGGAGTATGTTGTCGTTGTTCAGCTGTTTAGTTAAGTGATTCTGTAAACCATTGAATAATGAAGGTATACATAAAAGACGACAACGTAGTTGAAACGCAACTTGATCGTGGTAAAAGGTAAAAACGTGAAAGTCAATAAAGAGATAAGATAGTGTCATTAAGAACTCCTTAATGATCATCAATGGATTTTTCTTATTGTTCTTCACATTGCAAAATGAATCTTCATTGAAAATTTAAATGGTTGGCTTTCAATTCAATGTTATTACATTTGGGATAGTTAGTGAACTAAAATCCAAATGAACAAAAACTTTGATCTTTGCTTGCTTTCTCCCAACTGCACATGAAAATATTCCCGTGAGCTTTACATACAGTAAAATACATATTGCTAGTATTTGACATAATGGTAGAAAAGACACAAACATGTATAACATGAAACCAATAATGCCTGGCTCGAGTAAATAATGAGAAACATTAGTTATACCTTCCTCTAAAACCTTGCAAGATCTTTGCAACTCAGTGCAAATCTTCTCATATTTTTTAATTTCCTCATCAATTTGTTGAAGATCACTTTCTTTATAGTCTGCATACTGTGTCTTAATTTTTCAATAAACATTGCTTAAATATATAAACTAGGTTATGTAATTAACTATTGGTACCGGCCATATCACACATTTCTCTTGTGTAGATCACAGCCTGACCATTGGAAGCAAATAACAATTAGCTGGTTTGGATTTAGGGTGGGGGAGGGGAAGGGAGGTAGATAGTCTGCCTATGCCATTAATTTCTCACATTTTGGATCAATGAAAATGATGTAATCACTGGTTGGATGTGCTAAATTTACCTGTTTTGGAGCATAAACCTTTTGTTTTCCATAAATCTTTTCGTTGATTTTTCCGGAAGATGCCAAACTTTCACAAGCTTTCACAACTATCTATAATGAATGAGAGCACAGGGCAAAATGTCCGCAAAAATAAATCTTGCCAAGCTATAAGACACAAGCATTCAATAGAATATGTTTTATGGAGCGATTAATTTTGAAAAACAGCTTGTTTGAAGCCCTTACAGTTTTGCCAAATTTTCCATGCAAGTTGGAAAAAATATCACCTGGAAAAAACATAAAGTATGAAGTACACTTCCTTTATATTATATCTATTTATCTACCAAAGTATGTTTGTTTTTTACATAATCTGGAAGACAATTGCTTTACCAGCACTATATGGTCGGTTCTGTGTATTCAGATATTCAAGAATTGAAGATGCAGCTGAAAAACAAAGAAAACTAAAGAAAATGATATATGACACTCATGAGGTTGCAGTGTCGGCATTGGTATCACGAACGTTCTGCAAAAGTTAATACCTTCAGCTTCGTTTTCCTTCTTTTTACTCATTATCGCGACAAGTAATGCACTTCTTTCGCGTTTTAAGTTTTCATAAATACGACAAAATAAAAACAAAACATTCAACACTTTCAATTAGTTAGAAATTCCCGCGTTGCCGTTTTTGTTTTGGGCGACCGAAAATCACTGGGAACGAGTGTTATGATGACTCCTGTTTGCCCACGGTGATCGCTATTGATTCTTTTAGTCGCTTCTCTCAACGAAGACAAGTAGCAATGGTAATGTCCAAATGAAATCCTTTATTTTCTTGCCAATCGTACTTTCAATTAGTTAGAAATTCCCGCGTTGCCGTTTTTGTTTTGGGCGACCGAAAATCACTGGGAACGAGTGTTATGATGACTCCATATTGTCCACGGTGATCCCTATTGATTCTTTTAGTCGCTTCTCTCAACGAAGACAAGTAGCAATGGTAATGTCCAAATGAAATCCTTTATTTTCTTGCCAATCGTACTTTAGAATGGTCAGGCAATTGTGTATTGATGGTAAAATGGTATTTGGTACATTGCCGATTGAATATTTTGATTTTTTTATGTACTTTTGGGCAGGCTAAGCGAACGAAAAAGGTTGGAGTTGTTGGAAAATATGGAACTCGATACGGTGCTTCGTTGAGGAAAATGATCAAGAAAATTGAAGTGTCGCAGCATAAGAAGTACACCTGTGCATTTTGTGGAAAAGTCAGTATATTTTATTGGAATACATTTTTCTAAAGGATTCTGTTTATTTGGATTTTTTCTGTCTCATTAAATTAAACTATCAAGAAAATTTTAATTTTCAATAACAGACAGTTGATGAAATTAGAACAGAAATTTTATTTTTATTGAAAGCAATCGTGGCAAAATACGTCTGGGCTTACTGTTTCCCTTTTCCTTTCATCTTTCTCCTTAGTGTCAATGTTGAATAATTCTGTTTGGAAAGAGAGTATCAAAAGAAAGTATATTCTTAGAAAATGTTCTCTAAGATAAGATATGTGCCAAATAAGCATTTACAGATTCTGAGTACTTTCAGGTTCAATGGTGCAGCTGGCATTGAAATTTTTGAAAACACAAGTTTTGTTGGTAGTGAAAGTAAAGTCCTTCAAAACAGTCCTTGTGCATAAAAGTTAGTCATCAAAGAAACAATTTACTTAAGCCAAATCAAAATATGTACTGTGGTGCCCACATGAGATTTTAAAACTTAGATTTTCTCATGTTTGTAGATTTCAAACCATGTGTTATCATATAGTTTCAAATAAACTTTGTGTATTGTCAAATGTTTGTGTTAATTAATGTATGAAATTTACCATTTCCTTAATGTATAAATGATATTATAAAACTTGGTGGTGAAATTTTGAAAGCTTGTTCAACACAGTCCATATTTTGACTTAGGGGGATTAAATTGTTTCTCCAATGATCAATTTTTATGTGCTGGGCTTAATTTAAAAGACTTTTAACAGCAGTTTCTTCACTAGTAAAAAGCTCAAGTTTTCATAGCTTTCAGTGCTAGCTGTAACAGTCTAGGTTAAATTACTTAGAATCTACAAAAGTTTTTTCTTAAGTCAATGTGTGTCTTATTTAAGAATACACACTATTGCTGTTCTAAAATAACCAAAATATACTTAACTTTTGCGAAGGGCATTCCATTCACAATAAACATTGAATTTGTAGTTACAACATTGTTCATAAGAGAAAATTTGATTTGCAGTAAATTATGTTGGTTAAATTTTGTACATTATCATGTTTATAGGACACTTTGAAAAGGAAGAGTGTTGGAATATGGTATTGTAAAGCATGCAACAAAACATTAGCAGGTGGTGCTTGGGTTGTAAGGTAAATCATATGGATTTTCATCAAATTTTGTGTTTGTTAATTGCTTAGTCATTTGGGCTTTCATGTTATTTTAGTACTACTGCTGCAGCTACAGTGAGAAGTGCTGTTCGTCGTCTTCGTGAAATCAAAGAAACTTAACTTGTTGGATAAAGCTTAAACTGATACCTCGTTTTTTAATTCTGTTTAGTTTCATTGGTTTGTTAATTAGCTTTACTGACAATTTATTTTGTGTTGCCTTGCTACATCCAATGACAATATAAGAAAGAAAAGTCAAATTGTACTATCTAGGTGCCTGGATGATGTAATGTTTTAACTATATTCATTGCATGCCAGAACAAATTGAAAAAAAATATTTGATTTCTATTTAATGCCAATAATTCATGTCTAAAATTACACTCTGCATCAATTGTTATATTATTAACTTATTAGATGCAATTAGCTGCTTTATGACTGATTGCCAAAGGAACAACTGCAGAGTTGTTCCCATTCAATTGGTGCAGAAAACACTTCTCTTTCAAGCCATTTTTCATAAGCACCTTTAAACTCGTCAGATAGTTCAACAGTTGAGTCCAATACACTATGAATGTTCACATTATATTTTCTGAAGTCATTTGTTATCTCATGTGGATTACCAGGCCCATAATATGTGTTGTTAAAACGATCGATAGAAGCTTTAAGGGATCCTTCCTCTGCTTGTAAATCCCATGGTCTAGCATCCATGTCATTACCAAAAGCCCAATCATCATTGAGGCGATGGCGGACTTTCTGATATACAGCAGACATGGTCTTCATGTTGGACTTCCTCCAGTTGCGACCAAGGTACTTGGTTTGTGCTTTCAATAATTTTAGGACGTACAACTCCATTGTGTCATGCTTAACTTTTAGAGAACGTTTAAGAATTGGTGCAGATTTGAACACAACCAACATCATGGTTCTGGAATGTTTCCATTTAGTCAATTTCTGCAGAATTCGTAACAAATTAATGCATGAAAACATGTTTCTCCAACAGCACATCTCTGAAGCATTATTCTCTAAACTCTCTGCAGTTAACTCGGATTTCTCAGTTAGAACACAGGCAGGAAAGTCGAGTTGTGGAATGAAATTCTTTGTGGATATGTAAGATGACACATTTTGGTTGAGGAACTTTAAAATCAAGGGAATACAGTTCCCACATACTAAGTTCTGGCTGATAAATTCAAATTGGTAAATATGATTGTTCTTGAAATGCTTAAGAAGGAGTAAAAGTAGACCAGATATAGCTTTGACTATTATTTCTTTATGTCGATTGACATCAATACCCAATCGCATTGAACTGATGACTGTTGTAGGCATTTCTTCTGGTAGCACATCAATTAAAACATTTATTGAATCATTTTTGGCTTTTGCTGTGGGTGAAGCAGCAAGGAGAATCTTCAACAGAGAAATCATATACTGAGGAATATTTGGCAACAATGATCTATATAAAGATTCACATGCTTCGTGCTTGGATTCAAATTTCTTAGCAGAAAAAGGTCTTTCTAGTGCTTCTTCTTCTACCTTGAGTTGATATTCACCAAGTGATGTGTAGATGTGCTTCTTCATAACATGAAGTCCTTCATGTATCGGATGAGGAAGACCAGCCAATGTGCTATCATCACCAGTTATTTGATAACCAACAAACTTAGCTCTTGTGGCATCAAGAAAAACATCAATGTCTTTTTGACGAACTTTTGGTTTTGGTCTTAACTTACGAATTGGAGGTTTGAATATGTTGTCATTGGATTCTTCCATTTTTTTATTTCCAGAGCATGTTGAATCCTCAAAATTTTTATTCTCTTCAAGTATTTGTTCATCAAATTCTTCAGGAAGTCCAGCATCAAGCCTTGCTTGTCTTTTTAATTTCTTGATTTCACTTGTTCCACCAAGGGTGACCAAAACAGTTTTCCAGAGCAGCAACAAAATTTTCTTGATTGGAAAATAAGGACAATTGCCAGCACAGAATTTTACAACCAATTCAAACAAAAAAATAGAAAGACTTTCATCATGTACAGGATGACTTAACTCGAAAATAAAGGCTTCCCTCTGTTCCATCATCATCATTGTATCTGTAGGGTCAACATGTCTCATGGTTTCAACCATGATATACAAAATATTGAGATATACTCTCATTAGATTACTATCATTAATTGATATTGATGGTTTTTGCATTATAATTATTCCTGAATTGGGGTTTTCTGATTCCAACGTCAAAAGCTGAACAATATGATGAAAAAGACCATGAGAATACATAAGAAATACATTTCGTCTAGACTCTATGAACAATTTATCTTGGCTCAAACCAAACTCAAAAGCCCCTTGGGCTAGATATAGCAAGGCATATCCGGCCGGTATACGGATATCATCAACAATAGTATCAATTTTATCGATCAATTGATTAAGACACGACTTCTTCTCAGCGACAGATAATACATGCCAACTGGAAATATTGCTAAATTGACTGAAAAATTCATCTTTGTTTCTAAAAAACTCTTCGTCTTCTGTATAGCTGTAAACTTCAGCCAATTCTTCCTGAATGGACTGTGCATCAGCGTAAATGAACTCAACGTCTGGAACTCCATCTAAAGCATCTGTTTCTCCTTTCTGACGCTTTAAAAGTTCACGAAGTTTTGGAATGCCGCGAGCATTTTTCTTATCCGTGGCGATGCTACCTTCACCAACTAAGCGGACCTCCATCGAAAAACTTTAAAGTTATCTCCTAAGGAAAGATTTTAAATACTCAATCTTTCACAGATCTTCCGCAGTAAACTATCCGTAAATTTTGATAAATGACAGTTGTGTTGGTCTTTTGGCCTGGGCACGAAATCAAGTTTTTTGTTGGATCAGATACCGGATCAGATCAAACCAAATCGTCGTTTGTTGCGCTGATTTCGGATTGCAGAGGGGTTATAGTTTACTGGATTTGCGTTTATATCAGTGGTTTATATAGCGGATTTATTTTTCAAAGTGTGTTGCATAGCAACGTGAAAACGAAGCAACCATGGCGGACGTAGCATCCCCAAAATCAATTCCTTTGGTGAATAATATTATACACAGGAGTTCGTTCAACCATTTCAATTTAAAGGTAAGAACACTTAAAGTGAACTTCTTCGTTAACTTCTCTCCCGAGACACTATTCCACATTTGTTTAGTTGTATTTCTGTAAAAGTGACTGTCAGTCCATGGAATGGAATTTGTTCACAATTTTAGTTGTTTTTAATATTTTAAATTTATAACTTTTATTATTGATTTATTTCAAAAGGAAAAGTCAGTACTGACTGTTGAAGCAACTTTAAAACTGCTTACTTGCAGACATTCGGTATATTTTTAAATTGAATTGAATTTCCCTTCTAACAGCTATTTCAAATAACGTTGGGTTTTGCTGTTTTGCTGTTTTCTCTAGGAGAAATTAATTAATCGGCATGTACGCTCTATCAACCTTCTCACTCAACAATTCAAGAAAGGATTTGTATCTTTTTAGCAATGCCAAATGCCACTGGCAAATATTTAACTGAAGAATTTATCATTAACTTGCTACTTTATATTTTATCCCAACCAACACTCTTGATATCCTTGTTTACAAGCTTTTCCATGTCTACCCTTTATAAAAATATAGTATATAACCAAAAAACATAAGTATGTTTGACTTCATTAAAAAAAAAAACCAAAAAACATAAGTATGTTTGACTTCATTATGGAGAGTGGCTAATTATTTGTCATTTTTTACATAAAGTTCTCTTAATAAGAAAAAGATGATTGCAGATATACCAGTTTTGGGTCATTTGATAGCTGTTTGTGCTAGCAGAGTGGAGAATGATTTATCATATGAAAAACCACTTTGTGAAATACTAAAAGTTTGCAGGTAACTTTTATAGAGTCAAAGTAGTGATAATTAATGACTCTGTCAGAGATGTTTTGAGAAAATATCTTCTCATAGTGGATGAGTTCCAGTCATCAATACAGTGCACAAGAAGAAATAATTAACTGTTTGTTTTCATTTTAGCCATTAATATTACTAGTATTGAAAAATAGGCATCATCACGTCAAGAAATTTCAAATTTTTGTGCCATCAAATATACACATCATGATTTTCTGTTATTTTTTTATTTTTTAGCTTTTGCTTTTAATTCCCTTACAAATAGCTTTGAGGGTTTATTGTCGCTGCTAAGGACTGCATAGAGAAAAAGTCTTTTGTACCGAAGTTTTCATTGAGCCAATAGACAGTTGCCAAACTAAGTATTAAAAAGTTCTCACATTTGGTTTTTTATAGTAATCCGTTTCTAAAAGAAAAGAGTTCTGATGAATCAAATCATTTTAGTTCTGTTGTTGAGTTTATGAGAGAAGTTGGTAAGTTGTGAGTAACATGATTTGTGTTTGAAAGTTTTTTTTTGCAAAAAATTGCCTAGTCAAGTTCAAGTAGAGTCTTTAGATGTGGTGAATAAAGTGGAGAGAAGTTATTTGATCTCAAGTAAAGTTGTGTTGAGTGTTTTTCTCAGCTTGTTACGTACGTAGGAAAATGATCTATGGTATTCACCTACATTGCAGGGAGATGTTTAAAATTAATGCTGTACTTATATTTGCAGCTTTTGTAGCTACCATTGATGACAATTCGACAACTTCAACAACAATTACTTAACAGCTATTCTCGCCCATTTTAAATTTCCATCATTTTTAGAGGTTAACTGTTTTTCCAATATACTCACATTAAGTTTTTTTTTATTAGGCAATGTAATGCTTGTGAAAAATGCTGCAATCCACACTCAGATTGCCCAAAGTTTAACCAAATTCTACTGTAGCAAAGATAACCATATCGTTTACACAGGTAAGTTTAGTATTACGTCATAATCTGCCTGCAACAGGAAAGATGGCCGATCCACATTTCCCACAGTACATTTCGGTGGAAAAACTTTAGAAATCATAGGACGCGTGTGGACTCGTGAGAGGCCATTTTCACGAAGGCCGGAAAACGCTATCCACTTAATAGCAATATTTTTGAACCCTTCAACATCTCTTAAAGTGAAAAATCTACGAAAAAATTACTATCCAATAGATAACGCTGTTCTGAACATGTGCGCTAATATGGATAATTCACCCCCCCCCTGGTGTGACTGGATGATTTTATATTTATTCCTGTGGGTTTTTTTCTAAACTTCCCAAAACTTTATATGAAGGTAGGTACATATAGCCGAACCCCTTACACTACAGTATTGTACTTGAATTGTTTACGAGAAATATAGGAACGCTAATCGCTATTGGTTGTATTGCAACCACTGTAAGTTGCGTGCTCAGGCTGCAAAAATTGTATCAAACTTAATGAACACGGTATCTGATATTGGTAATTGTAAGTACTCGCTGCCGATTTTGTATTAGACTTTTCTTTCAGCAATAAAAAACTACTTGAAGAAAACAACTAGAAGAAACATGTTGCTAGTATCTTTGTGTGATGAATGAAGTTTGATGTAGCTATTTATCTCCAACTTTTAGGAATGGAACCTACCAAACCAGACTTCAATAGATTGGTGATAGAAAGAAGTGGAGTCGTACGATCTGTTGTCAAGGTTATTTGCCTGCTTAATATGCGATATCCGCAATTGTCAATAATTGTTAAGGTTTATGGAAAAATTGAGATATGGAGAGATAGAGACGTTTGGCGTGGAAAAATTCATGGACCGGTCAACCCCCCTGGCGGGGATTAATACTGGCCGGTATACAAATGTTGTTTGTTTGTTGTTTGTTTATGGAAAAATTGATTCAATTGAATTAGTATATATTATGTGAAAACATTTCCAATATTTATGAATATTAGACTTTGTTATTTATGATTTGATGTGAAAACCAGAACATATTGGCGGTGTTCGTAGTGTGCTTCATTATATTTACATTGAATTTAAAGTTTTCCAATGTGTATTTGGGTGCAATGACTAGCTTTTTTTCAAGTGAGCTTGTCAGTCGTCCAGTAAAACAAATCTCAATATTAAACCAAACCTCAAAGTGTACAGCAACTTCAATATTACTTTGCTGATATTTAATAATCACGCCTTACTGAAACCTCAGATATCTCCATATTGCATCCAGCATTGATTAAAAAACTACAGTGATTACGGGTATATTCATCTATGGTGCATCTGGTTGAGTTACGGGGACCATTTATTCATCTTTCATTTTTTAACTCTTCATGCTGGCAAACGATTTTTTGAATTTATCCGATTATAGTTGGGTGCAATTTCACTACGAATTACTACGAATTATTTTTTTGCTGTTATTTTTAGTGATTTAAAATTACTCCAAAGGGGTTGAAGAGGCCCATGACTATCTGGGGGTGTTAATTTGTGACTCTTGTAAATTTTGGCCCCACTTTCAGAGTGAAATTAACTCGAATATACGTGTTATTTTTAAGCCCATGTAGATTGTGTTGAATCTACTATACCAGTTGATTCAATTTTGTAAAGGAGAATTTAGAGTTAAAGAAAGTCTATCATTTCAACCCCTGAAGGAAGCCTTAATTTAACATAATCGATATTGCTATATTGCAAGTCTGTGAAAATATTAGTATTTTTTTAAAACTACGTAACTAATTTTAATTTTTCCCGTTTTGCTTACAGTGTTTAGAAACATGTAAAAATCTTGATGTTCGAATGGAGCTTATGGTCGCACTACAATGCTTCTCAACTTCTGGTATTAATTATGGCACTCCATATTAAATTATACGTTTTATTATTTTATATATATATATACATATATAGGAAGTTTATAATTTATGATTTTCCGTATAAAACAGTGCTCGATGCCCGAGAGCAGAGCGTAATATAGGTGAGAATAAAACTACAATTTCATCCCGACAATGTTTCGTGATTGCTCACTCTTCAGGGATTTAATCCATTTATTCATCTTTAAATCCCCTGAAGAGTGAGCAATCACGAAACAGGCTTGTCGGGATGAAATTGTAGTTTTTGTGTATTTTCTTCTCCTTACCAATATATACATATATATATATTTACAAAGTGTATTACAATGTGCCCTCCCGGCTATCACTATAGTAAAATGGTGACTCCTGCACTTGGGACACAGGATGTACGATTACACATTGTATGGATTGTATTGTAGAGTCAACAGAGCGCTCAAACCTTTGAAGGTTAGCTTTGCATAAAGCGAAAGCGGTGAACGTCTACGCTTACGAAAGCGAAAGCGGTGAACGTCTACGCTTACGAAAGCGAAAGCGGTGAACGTCTACGTTTATGAGACTCTCTACACAATCCGAGAGCGCTCAAACTTCGCAAGCGCAGCGAGCGTAATATACAAAGTGTATAACAATTTGCCCTCCCGGTGATCACCATAATAAAATGGTGACTCCTGCACTTGGGACACAGGATGTACGGTTACACATTGTATGGATTGTATATAAATAAACTTATATATATATATATAAGTTAGGAAGTTTATAATTTATGATTTTCCGTATAAAACAGTGCTCGATGCCCGAGAGCAGAGCGTAAATATTGATAAGAAAAAGAAAATACACAATTGTAGTTTTTTGTGTATTTTCTTTTTCTTATCAATATATATAAAAGTTATATATATATAACTTATATATATATAACTTATATATATATATATATAAATTTAGCTCAGATTTAAATTATCTGATCATAAAGTTTAGTTTTTTTACTACATATGGATAAAATGGTCGCAATATCTTTTCTTTTTGTCATTATTGAAATGAGCCCGCAATCCATATAACTTTGTTACTTCATTTGCTTGGTGAATATGGGTGGTACATTATTTCTGTGAGGATCATGCTTGACAGAAAAAATTTCTAGATAGTCTCTTGACGGTTAAATATGACTCAAACATTTGCTAAATACTGTCTTTATATTTTTCTTTGATTTTTTATATATTTTTCTTCATATCATTGATGTTGACTACGCCATTGGCTTTGACATTAACTCTCCTTAGGTCAAATTTATAGAGAGACCCTTATCTTCCACGGAGTTGATGTTAAATATTCTTATTAAATATTTTGCAGCGGTAAATTGTGATGACATGCTGTATTCTCATGCTGCCCGTATTGTTTGCAGTTCGTTAGGAGATACGCGCCAACTTGGAAGGTACATATACATATGTTTAATGCAAAGTTTCCATTGAAATTTATGTCCCTCGTAATTTTTCAGTCAGTGCATTTTTTTGTCGATGTTATTTAGCGTATAGTTTTAATTGTACTATTTAAAATTTACCTCCGATTAATGTATGAAGTTTCTAACTCCATTATTCCGTTGCATGTAGACTGCGCAAGTTTTCAGTCATAAATTAGCTAATAGCATGTCGGCTGTTTTTTTAAGTTTATTTCAACAAATGCATTTTCAAAGTTGTTATATCAATGACCGTTACTAAGTAAAATAACCAATACAACGTAGACATTACACCGTGGACAAAAAGAAAATCTCTCACATTTAAACCGTGGACAACAAGACAGCAATCGTTATTTAGACTATAACTTGTGATAGGTTTTGTTAATGTTGTTTTTTTTTTGTCATGAAGTCGATAAATGCCCACCTCATGATACATGAATCCAACTTGAATATAGGAGTTAATGGAGAAATGAAATATGTGTTTAAAAAATTTAATGGTTGATTCAAATTAGGAGTCAAAAGGCAGTGTTTTTCCTTTGCACTATCCTTAGTTACTAAAAATAGTAAAATAAGCAATGACATTGTAACTTGTGGTCAAGTCAAACAAATTTTTGTTAAATCACCCCCAAGAAATTTTGCTGTTGTATAATGATTATTAATCTGACCAATGTAGAGGAATATTTCTATGTGTGGACATTCTGTGGAATATGTTAGATAATGGATCGAAGTCGGATGTGAGTATTAAAGTTTTATGACATAAAAGTATTTTACGTAGGCTGCTGTTGAGTCAAGAATATTTTCGCTAACGTATCCACGGTCACATTTAGCTACTGTAATTTTGGAAATTATATTCGTTTGAGAAAAACCGTACGAAAGACTAAAAATTGTTTGAGAAAGACTGAAGTGAAAGACTATTGATTTTTGGATAATAAAATCTTACTTTCTTTAGGTTGCACAGCAGCTTCACTGTCTCGACTGCATCAGGTACAACCAGAAGTTTTTCGACAATTTTAACTTTATTTGTAATTTTAACCATGTTTGTAGACATATATATATTTGTTTAAAGATTGGTAATCCAGGCATTATATTGTTTAAAAATAAAAGTTTCTCCGGATTTTATAAATAATTATTATTAAATATTTATAATAAATTATATTATATATATAATCCAGGTTGGGTCAATCTTGATATAGACTGTTGGTGTTAATATTGACTAACGTTTTAACATCTTTAGCGGTTCATTAATTATTTTGGCTTGAAATCACTTGACTCCGAAGTTGACTATTGTTAAAGATGTCGAAACCTCAGTTAACATCAATACCAATAGTCCTTCTCAGAACTGATCTAAACGAATGATCTAAATTTACAAACATTAATGATTGTATAATCATAGTGGTGGGCTTGAACTTGAAAAGAAAATAATTGTAATTTTACCATTATAAAGACAGATCATGTATGTAGTTAATTGTGCGAAACTTTTTTCTAAATTTGACTTTAGTAACTTAACATTGTGTCAATATCTTACTCCCGTTAGCACCAACTAATCCCTTGTTAACTCTTATGTCTCGTGCAATAAAAAAATTTTACGTGCCATTGATGAGAACAAAACTGAAATTAATAAACTGTGTTTGTGACAATTTCAATGATGTAAAATTATCATCAAAATCATGGCTTTGGTCGCCCTTATATAAAGTTTGTTTCTTTGTTAGCTATTCAATATTTTATTTTTTGGTTTTTTTTAGAACGCTTTACGATGCATTTGTGTATCTTGTCACAAAAGGATTTAGCCAATCTGATAAACAGCTTAGGTAAGTATTTTATTGATTGAGAAGATTTTAGTGTATGGTTTCGCGAAGCTTATTTTGGTAACTTGGAGTAACAGCTTTTTCCAATCTTTCATCGCTTCCAGTTCAATTTAGTTTCTTTTTCGAACTATTGACATATGCAGTTTTGAATTTAAAATATTTTCACTTTTTCCATTGATTGAAAAATGATTAATTTGGAGTTTTTATCACTCATATATATTCATGAAAGGTACTATTTTGTTTATTCTTTCTGAAAGCTCAGGACACTCCTTCTTAGTCAGAATGAAATGTAGAGTTATTTATCAAAGAATATGAAGTTAACGAGTGATATTCTGTTATAATCATTTTAGGAATGATATTTTAGTTATGGCTCTTTTGATTGCCGATTCACGTCCAACTGCTCCGTTTGTGGTGAGTGATTACTTGGAAACGGTTTTCAAATAAAAAATATGTGCAATTGATGTCACATTATGAAATAATGTGTACTGTTTTCCTTAGCATTGCTTTTCTGATTGTTTTTTAACATTGCCGTCGCCAGGATTTTGCAAGGGGGGGCACAAGCTAAAATCGAATTTTGCCAGGGGGCATCTAGGAAATTTTTGAAACATTAATCACAAACATAAATAGTTTTAATTTTTTAACTTTCCAGTTAAACCTGGGTGGATTGGTACATTCTTCGTGTTTTAGCGTTGTGTAGATTGATTATTGATTCTAATGAAATGTTTTCATATTATAATACTCGCAGAATTTGCAGTATTTTTATGAGCCTTAGACTTAGTTAATGGCATTTGTACATTTTTGTGTCTACCAGTTTGTGTCCATTAGTGTACTGTCCACGGACTCGTACAAATTTTGTGATGTGTTGTAATATGGTTCACGACAAGCACCGCAATATCACTTGTTCTTCCTTGCACACTTGAATTACTCTAGAAGTATTGTTTTTTTAATTTCAAAGTAATAAAAAACTTAACGACTCGGCTGACAACGCAGAAAGCGTAAATGCAACGCAAACTAGTTTGCACAGCTAATAGAATGCTTCCTTGTACATCACTACAGTTGTGCGAATTCCGTAAGACTTACTTTAATGCCATGTGCTTCTTTTTAAAATTTTATTGCTGCATCTCAAGACGCTTTTCTAAAATTCAAATGGGAGGCACAACAAATTTTTAGGTGGGGGCTTATGCCCCCCAGCTCCCCCCCCCCTCCTTAGCGACGCCACTGCTTTTTAAAATTGTTCGAACAAGGTAGTCTCCAGCAAAAACAATTAAAAAAATTAAATGGTTGCGTGCTTACTCGTAGTCGTGATTACAATAAAATAACCTTCAGTGTTAAGTGTGACGAAGGAAATTTATTATTAAGAGTTTCAATGCAATATAATTATTTTGCTTACCGGAATTATTATTGAATTAATTCAAAACACTGCAACATTTAATTTGTTAGAATACTGCCAATGGTATTTGCACTCTTGAAACATACAGTCTGCTTTATTATGTCGTTCTTGATTCGTTTTCATTATTGTTTTAGGAAACTGGTTTCACCAAGTTTTTAGTGTTGTGTGCCACATTAACTGAAGGTATAGAGCATTTTAACATTCCAGTAAATATCTAGCTCAATGTGCGAAACATTCAACTTAGTTTAAGAAGTACCGTTCATAATCACCAAAAACCTTGAAAATAACTTCTAAAATGAATGTATTTGTTATATTCTACTCTGATCAGATTGCACTTATAAGGTTTTTTATAGTACGTTGAGCACAAAGGATGCTAATTGAAAACAAACAATGAAATTTATCGACTTAAGTTTCTGGAACGTTCTTTATTAACTCGATCATAACCATGCATTAATGAATGATCATTTTTCAAAAGAATGGATGTGTAATTCGAGCTCAATGCATGTCTTAAATTTCTAGTAAAAACAAGAAATCTTTTGGTTCGGGATTTTAAATTTGAACAGGTATACTTAATTTGCTGTTAAATTTATAATGTTTTTTGATTTTAAAGCCTAAAGCTTATGACTTAATGCTTACTGTTGTAGTGCCGTGAAGATTTTGAATTGAAAAAACTTTTGATTTCTGCAATGGTAACAATGTCAAAGGACCCCACAGCAGTTCAGGTAGTGATTCAGTAGTTAATAATGTTGATGGCAGTTTTCATCCTTAGATTCCTACTTAGAACTCGTGTAGACAAAAGAACATTTTGAAAATCGAATAGTCCCAAACGGACTATCTCTCTTGGTACTCGAAACTCAGGGTGCTATTGCGTTACATGTTACGTTTCATAAGGAGATTTCGGCTTCAGCTACCCTATTCAAAAGGGTGTCATTGTCGCAAGCTTGGGCCCATCAGAACACTGAGGTGCTTTGCGTAGAGTGCTGTCAAGACGTCTAAGCCACTGTGACAAATTTGACACGGAGCTTCCCCTGCTATTTGACATGTACTGTGTATTTGATCTCGTTTATATATACATGGTTTGTTTTAACTTTGTTTCCTATAATGCTCAGATGAATTCACTTGTAATTTGTGATTATTTAATGATCATCTCCCAAAATTTTTCGAAGTCTTCACTTCTCGTTTAGGCGAAAGTTTGAATGGTCAGTCTTAATACAGGGGTGGCGGAAGCAAATCACTTTTAGTAGGGCACAACGAAATAAGTCAAAAATCGTTTGAAGGATGAAAGGTTTTCCACAGTTTAAAAAGTAACAAGAAATTTTATTATTTCTCCTTGTGAAATATCATTAAGTTATTAATATAGTTTTGACATTTCAGAAATTTATTTGAGAGCAAGTCACCGTGCCCACCTCGTTCTGCCGCCCCTGTAATTTAGGTTGGTTAATTACTTTAGACTTAAACAGACAATTTTTTTTCCTTATTTCACGAACCATTGCAATATATGAATGGCTTATGAAGAAATATTTATCTTTTTCCAGATCATGTCGTCCAATCGTTTACTGCTTTCTTTATTCACATACATTAAAGCCAGCGACTCGTTGTTACTTGATCTATGGTCACCATCACAGACTGAAGAGTTGCAACTAGAGTCATTGTCGGCGCTATGTTCCATTGCTCCGTTGTGCATTAATGATTATCTCACATGTCAAGGAAACAACAGACTTTTATTGTTGCTTGAATGGTGTATTGGTCAAGGTTCGTAACTTTTCTCACATGTTAAAGAAAAAATAGGCTTTTACTGTTTCTTGAATGTTGTATTGATCAAGGTTTGTAACTTCTCTCACATGTTAAAGAAAAAATAGGCTTTTACTGTTTCTTGAATGTTGTATTGATCAAGGTTTGTAACTTCTCTCACATGTTAAAGAAAAAATAGGCTTTTAGTTGTTGCTTGAAACTATGAATGATAACTTGATCGACGTTTGTAAGTTCTTTAAAATGTTAAAGAAAAATTTTATTTTTGCTTGAATAGTGTGTTAGTCAAGCTTTGGAAGACACTGCGTTTTAAATCACACTACCACATACCAGGGTCCTCCATTTCAAAATGAGTGATGTGAAAGATTAAACAAATTATTGCATGTTTTCAAACCAATTTGTATTCATAAAGTGTAATAAACAGAGAAGACTTATAATTTACTTTTGTTCTCATAGAATTCAGGTTTGAACTGTTTTTTTTCACATGATTTAGGTGACTATGGTGGTCATGGCAACAGCTATCACGCCGAAGGAGGGCGTGGTAACAAGAGAGCTCAGATGAGATATTGTCTCCGTTTGTTGAGAAGTATGAGTTCAACCGAAGATGACGCGATACTTCAAGATCTGTCAGATCAAGGAGCTATTGGTCAGCTTACTGGTAAGTGAATATTTCTCTCCCAAAAAACTTTGTTCCACTATTGTTGAATGTGATTTCTAAGTTGTTCAGTTTTGCATTAATTGGATGTAAAAAGAAAATAGTGTTCCCTCTTATCCCATGCTATCAATTTGGGTAAAAAAGCCTTCGTAATGTTGCGGTTTCTATGTGCTGTGTAGCCTAGCGGAGGAAGATAAGCCCTTAGGCATATTTGGTTTACCTGTTGTCATTGTTTGACTGGAGTTCTGAGAGCTGACCTCACTTTTCCACCGATTATTTACATATACACAAAAAATAAACCTTTTCCTAACTTTTTGCTGGTAGGCTATAACCCATGATGCTCTCAAGATTTTTGTTAAGTATATTATGTAATTGAAGACAGTTTTTAAACCTCTTTTATTCTAAGCGTTCTTGTTAGATGTTCATGCGTGCATTTCACGGCGGCAAGGTAATCTTTGCAAAAATCATTTTTAGGAATTCTTTGGAATGCCAGCACAAGCTGTGATGAAAATGATAATATTGACATTGAAATGCAGTGCGATATGCTGCTTATTTTATCGTGTCTTTGTGAGGGAGATGTACATAGAAAGGTACATATAATTACTTATTTTTGTCCTATAAAATAAGAGAAACTTCAAATGAAACAAAAGTTCTGCAATTATTTTATAATATGAGTTACATTTAATAGTAGTTTACAAGGACATAGGAAGACCGACAATAGATAGCTTTAGTTTGGCAAACCTCAACTACCAGCTTGCCGTTGAAGAAGAGCCTCTTCACGTTAAAAACTATGATTAATTTTTGCGTTTTGCCGTTTGCCGTTAACGCCAAACTAAAACTCTCCAATGGTTGAAGGGGGACTCATATTTATATACGAATGACATGTTGTTGTAAGCTCCTCTGAAATGTTTTGTTTACTTTTCTACGGATTATAACATGCATATGTGAATATGGACATCACGTCCGACCTCAATTCTCGATCTTCTTACGTCTATGGTAGGTTAAGAAACTTAACACAAAAATGAATCCCTCGTGAAAGAAATATGTCATATTTTACTCCATCAACTATATAGGTCTTTTACAACCTTCATTTTGGTAACTTCATATGATCATGTTGGTGATTCCTTTGTGTGAATTTTCGTTCTGTATAATAGTATTGTGCTTTCTTCTCGTGTGTTACGTAGACCTGGATCGATTATTCAATGTCTGCGTGCCAAGTTGATGACATTGTCAGGGTTTACTTGAGACACAATTATTTGAAATTCAATTTTCTAGGAACTATTTACTTGTAGCGGTGTTGATATGATCGTTGAGCCAAGTTGATGACATTGTCAGCGTTTATTTATGACACAATTATTTGAAATTCAATTTTCTAGGAACTATTTGCTTGTAGCGGTGTTGATATGATCGTTGAGTTTTTGAAAAAAGATCTTGTTAAAGTGCATAGTCCATTAGGAGACCATGCATTGTTCCTTGCAGCTGTTGAATGTGTGTGGTAAGTTATGATTTTTCTTAGTCTCTTGTAGAAATCTAGAGTAAGTAAGGTTAATTCAGTCGTCATTTCATTGCTCTTCATCTTTCTTGATGTAACTATTAATGCTATGATTTTTGAGGAAGTTTTGCAATACAACTGTAGTTTATTACTATAGTTTTTTGTCATGTCTTTTAGGTCGTCGGTCTTGGGTTGCGACATGTCAGAACAAAAATTTCTTGAAAAACAAGGAATATTTTTGCTGTTAGATCTATTAGAGGTATGCTTTTAAGGGACGAATTTGATGAAACCAGCATTAAAAATTTCTATACTACCTACTGTACAGTAGTCGTTACGTTCATACACGGTAAACCTCGTGTAGGCATAGTTGGTAGTTTTGTCTTGGAAAACACGATGTCTTAGAAATAAACCTTCTTACTTTAAGAAAAAAAATTGTCATTGTCGCTTTAGGTTTTGTTCATTATCCGACAGGTTTGATTATTCAGGCTGTGCATGAAAGTTTACATACATGTGTATTTACTATAACGTGTTTTACATATGCTATTCTACTTATCAACGTATAGTACATGCCTCTAGTTGTGGCTGTATATATTTTAATGTTGTGTTGCGTTGTAGGGGAGTCCTTCTACGATTCAAGGGGTCGTTCTGGGATGTCTTGTCGATCTTTGTGAGAATCCCAAAGCTTTATCGCATGTCTATTCATGGCGGGGTAAATCGAATATCACGACAGGCAAACTGCTCATCGATTTATGGAGAACGGATGAAATCTCACTAGGTGTCGCTAGGACCCAGCAATGGTTGATTAAAAGTATGAAATATCACACTAAATTTTAATGCATTTATCTTGCAAAATTTTTCCTGAATGGGTGTAAATCATAAGCGAATTACAACTTTTGAAGCATTTCGTCAATGGAAGATCCAGGTTTGGGCAAAATAATTCACCCTTGCTCATTCCTGGATTTCATTTTCATTTCAAAAGAGGGAGAACATTGTATAGGTTAAGATAATTACGTATGCAACCTAACCAATAGCGTTATTGTGAACGTATTTTGAATTTGAAATTTAGCTTCTGAAATTAATTTTTCTTAACCTGTATGCACTATTTCATTCATATATAAAGTCATTTCTTGCACCAGAAATGTCTCTATAGAGCCGGAAATGTGCACGCTGTATTTTTTTATATTTGTTGCTTGTGATATTTGTTGTGTTTGTGGCGTGTAGATATTATTTTTGTTGCGTGTTATTTTTGTTTAGTGTGTGACTTTTGTTATGTTTTTGGTGTGTATTATGCTTTCCACATGACTATATATATGTTGTATTTGTTACTTGAATAAAGTAATTTCCTTCGCAGTAACATTAGTTTTATTTGTAAGAAATTGTGATTATTGCAATTTTTCAGACTTAAGTCAACCGTTAATGGGGAAAGTTCAGAGAGACAGTGGGAGTAGCAATCCACTTCCCGCCAACGTTGCTTCGCCAGCTGTCGTGGAAGTCTCGGAAAGCATTCGGGCTAATATCTACACAATTTTCTCGAAACTTGGTGAGTTTAGATATTTTGAAATAATGCCTAATATTCATCGTTATACATAAATATAGTTGATTTGGTTTTGTCAATCAGTGGATAACAATATATACCCTGCTCTGCATGTCCTTCATTATCCGAGCAACCCCCATTATTTTTTAGGATTCAACGATATTGCTGGGTTATCAACAATGGATTATGTTACCCTTGCTATCATTGAAAATTATTTGGAATTTAAGGTATGTGATTGTTGCTCAAGAAAATACACGGTCCAAAATAATCTATTTAAGTTTTGTTATGTACATGCAATTGCAAACCTTCCATCAATGGAAAATGGCTCTTCAAGTAGTTTTAAATGTACAATAACTATCCTAAAGTTATATGTTTTTACCATGCAGCCAGCTTTTTAAAGGTTTCTAAGTTCATCTATGTGCAATTTTAATTTCAATCATTTCAACTCAAATCTCTTACTACATTCGGCATGTTATAGTAAAAATGAGAGGAATAGAAAGGCTGTTATATATAAATGAAAAATGTGTTTTAGGTTTTTGAGGTTTGGCAAGAAATATCGGATGAACTCGAACGTGAAAATTTTTGTCCCGTCTCCCCTGATCTGGAGTGTCTTAAAGAAATAAATAGAATGTTTGAAGAACGTACAGCGAGTATTATTTCATCCCAAGAAGAACTTGTTGAAAATCAAACACAGCAAGATCTCACAGAAGAACAAGCATGTTATGATAAGGTAAACAGTAAGGATTTATTAAAGATCTTCTTTGTAATAAAATTCGTTACAAAGAATCGAAAGTGGCTCTTTTATTGATTGATGTAGTTCAACGTTATAAAATATGCGTCCTGTTTGTGTATCGAGTTGCCTTTCCTCCATTTTACTAATTCATTGCACGATTCAATTTGAGGCAATGCTTGTTTTGTCTACGTTGTATTAAATCTACGTATCATCCATAAGATGACGTTCATTTTGCGTTTTTACATCGTTAATTATTTCATCTTTCAAGTAATGTCATGCAGACTTTCAAATAAAAATACTAAAATCGAAATTTTTCTGATGGCTTCCACATTCCTTCCCTGTGGAAAAGTAACAATAACATTCTTCATATTTTAAGCACTAGATACAATCAAAAATTCAAAATATAAGTAGTGTAAACGTCGCACATAATGAAACGATAAGTGAATGAAGTTTTTTGTAACTTTTCTAGGTTATCTGATTTATTAATAACAATTAACATAAACTGCTGAGGGAGAAAACGATTCTAAGAACACCCATTTATTTTCCTCTACATGAACAGTGATTTATATCTTATTATTTATTTATTTCATGTCAGATTCTCGTCCGGTTATATTATCCGCCAAAACATGTATAAAATACTATGTAAAGTGAAATTTTGCTGCTTTAATGTGAAGTTAGTTATCTCCCATGCCTCCCCGCTTCTGACGCGCCTATCTTCATGATATTTTAAAAGCATTCTTATAGTAATTCTTATTTTGTCAACTTTAAGTTGCAATTATCTCAAAGTAGCACATTCGTCTATGATGGAATTTCAAATCATGTAGCTCACAATGTATTCTTTCCGCATTTTTGTAATATTTTGTTGTCATTGTGCAAACCTTTCTTTTAGATAGTTGAAAATCACGAGCAACGAGAAAAGGCGTTTAACGACTTTTGTGATTTCCTTAACAGAACCTCAGACTACGCTGTGCTCAAAGTAAAATTCATAGATTTTTAAAAAGTTTGAGACGTGATGTGACACTTGTTTTATCTTATAGGAGTACGTAAACTTTTGATTCATTCTTTTTCAGGCAAGTAAAAAGAAACAACTCGCAGACATTGACTCATCACGACTTTATACCTCGAATGAAGAAACAGAGTGAGTTCACATTGATATATTTGCATTTCTTTATGGAATTGACAAGTGTATGTTTACATTGATTGTCATTATAAACTCTCGTAACTTTTGAGCAAGTATTAGCGGTACTTCTAAGTAAAAAGGACTTTCCCACGTTTCATGTAAATGTGGGATGGCATTGAATCAACCGGCAATTACTTGGCTTGAAATTGTTGGACTTTTTTCCATCCAGTGCAATTCTCCTACAAAAATGTGCAAAATAATAAGTTTGTGTTAGACTTTAACATATTTGGATTTGTTTACTAAGATGTTTTAGACGTTGAGAATCAATAATTTTTGTGAATCAGTTTTTTTATCTTAATTAGGGACGAGGTACTGACTACTCTCCAATCTAACGTGACGACAACGGTGAGTATTTATTGTTAATCAAGTACAAAACTAACTGCATTTTATCTGTGGATGTCCTATTGTGAAATATCACAATGTTGTGTCGTAACTGACATTTCTGTTGATAACAACCATACAACTAATTGTATGTAAATTTTTATAATAATAGACTTCATTCTATTCTATGATAATACGTATACACCTGTACTCCCACAAAAATAAACTTCAGTTGGTAATTTAATCGTATACACCATAAAATGAACTGACCTATCAGTTGATTATAACTACAGTGGCATTTTAGGAGCTAGGGTTCAGCAACTAAACGAATACAAACTGTGAAGGGAATGTTATTTTGTTGAAAATTTATGCTTTGTACATACAAAGTTTTTGGTATTTTAGTTTTAATTGGAGTGAGTTTGATTTCGCGATTTATCGTTGAAATTTTCATTTAGACATTCTGTGGTCGTTTGGTCGATATGACAAGTGATGCGATTGACAAAAGTTTGGAATTTACGTAAAATGTTTGACATGAACGGGAACATCAATAAAAAATTATGTTGTTGTTATTTTTCCAAGAAAAGTTTCCGTGTATGTTCTTTGTATAAATATATACATGTATCTTGTTGTATAAACGATAAAAAATATGGTGATGTTGACATCTTTTGTGGCAGTGATCGTAGCAAAAATGAAATGACGTAAAGGTAATGAAGTAGCTGGCATGACGTTTTTTTGCTGAGCTGCAAGTGGTTAGAATTTAGTGGCAGAATTTTAAATGTGCTTTAAATTCTGTGGTTGTGCACGACTAATGTGAGATGAGATCAAGTGAAAAAAATTGAAGGAAACATTTTAGTCTACATTAACTTTTTCGGGCCGAATGACCGATATTTTCAACATATCTGAAAGCGAGAAAATATTTGAGAAAATATCTGTTTACTTTTGCAGAATTTAATAAATGTCCAAGCGATGGATGATGGATGATGGTCTACGATTGTTTTGTGGTTGGGAGCTCTACTTTTGATAAGACTTTGGTGTCTACTTGTTGCAGAACCATGGCAGATTTTTTCAATTCTTTTACCTGTTTATTAAGAGTGGTAGATTTTAAAAAGTGTGCTCCATGAAACAATTGTCAAAATTGCTTCTGTATTCACAAATGTGTAATGACGTAATCACTCATGGAAAAAGCATAAAATATGGCCGAACTCACTTTGACGTTATCACGACACTCGAAGGATGTAAACTGTTGTGTATTTTCACCAAACAGTAGCATTCTAGTGTCAGGATCTAGTGATAAAACAGTAAGGCTATGGGACATTCCTGAAGGCACGGAATTAAATGATTCTCCCTTGCAGGGACACAGTTATCATGTTTGTAGTTGTGCTTTCTCTCCTTTTGGTACCCTTCTTGCTACCGCATCAACGGATTGTTCAGTCTGGTTATGGGATACAAGAACTTATGAGAAAATAACTGCTTTGGAAGGTCATCGTGGAGCTGTAAGATCTTGTGTATTTTCGCCAGATTCGTTGCTGCTAATGTCTGGTTCAGCTGACGAGACAGTATGTTTATGGAGTACTAAAACAAAGAAACTAGTACGGCGTATTGAAGGTTTTGAAAGCAGTGTGATGACATGTTCTTTTACTCCCGATAATCTTTACATTCTCGCCGGTGTGAGCAATGGTGAAGTAAGTTTATGGGAAGTACAAAGTGGTGTTTGCAAAGCGTTTGATAAAGAAGCAAATGACATGGGTGTAAATACGTGCTGTTTTTCTCCAACTTTTGGCTCTGCAGGTAATGTCGATCCAGTTTACATGTCGTAGAATATACCATAAATGATTACTTTTTCTCAAAATTGTAGGTCCATGTAACACAGATACCAGTGGTAGTTCTCCTCATTTTCTTCTGGTAACAGGTGGAGGCGACAATTTGGTGAAGCTCTGGAATATTTTCACTGCATCTGGTATGTATGTATGAATGTATAGCATCAAATAGCAACGATTTTCTCCTGATATTTCCACTTATTTTTTCTGTAAATACATATGTTTGTATATATTTTCAGCAAACTATTCTAACTATTTTTAATGTTAATTTTACAGCATATTCAGACAAGTGTCATATTGGTCACCGAGCTACTCTTGTTGCCCATGAAGCTCCTGTTTGGGAATGTACTTTCTCAAATAATGGAAAGCTTTTGGCTTCATGGTAATTAATGGCAATTTATAGTTTTAGAAATGTTGAGGATGAGGACATTACTTTTTACCAATCACGAGTTTAAAACATTTGTCTCTTATTTTTCAATATGTAATCATTTTGACAAGCACATGTCAAAATATTATTTAAGATTATTATATTGAAGACCTTTTTTAAGATGATTTCTTGCTAGCATTATTTTTGTATTCAATTTTTCACTTAAAAATACTTTTCCAAAATTTGACTGTCAAACTGTTAACTTTAATTTTCTTATCTTTCTAGTTCAGGCGATAAAACAGTTATCATTTGGAATCCTGTGAGTAAAGAGTTCATGTTTGAGCATTTAAATTAATCTAGTTGAATTCTGATGTTTGTCCTAATTTTTATGGTTCAGGTTATTGTTGAATTTTACACAGGGACAGCACTAGAACATTAGTTGAGGGGGGTGTTAATTCATTTATTAAGTTGTGCCCGATTGTCTTCTATAAAAAACTATATCATTTTCATTAGATATCACTCATCAACAACTGAATATAGGAATATACACTCCCTCCCCAATTAGTTTTCTAGAGCCGTCCCAGATTTTACAGTGCTTGTCAGCATTCTGTTGCCTTTTGAGTAATGTATACAATTTCATTATTTTTAAATCCAGCTTGAAGGAACACCATTACACAGAGTTTTTGCACATTCCAGGTATTTTTTGTTACAAATACTTTTTCATACATGTGTTTTTGTATATCAGTTGACAAAAGGATGAAGTGCATTTCAAAAAATATCTTATTAATATTTCAAAGCCAGAATTAGTTTTATAACATCTTGTGTGCATATAGCATTAGGAAATAACTGACCTGTACAAAAGAATTTTGTTTTAATGAAACTTTGCAATTGTGTGATAATTTGAAGTGAATATTTTATAGTCTCAGAATTGTACAAGTTGCTGAGAAATTTTAATCTATTAAAGCAAATGTTTTTTATTTGTAAGCACTCCAAGCATTTTATGTACCACAAAATTTTATAAAACTTGACAAAAGTGCATGCTTTGCATGTTTAATAATTTTTATAAGTAATGGCTTATATAAATAGAATCAAACTTATTGAAAAGATAAACAACTGAAACTACCTTAATATAACCTGTATATAGCAATGTAGTGGAGTGAAAATACGGTCTTCTAATAATTTTTAGGTGATTTTGAAGCGTACTCAGTAAGTGCTGTTGAGCTTTTGTGATACAAGTGCATGTCTTATAAAGATATTACTGTATATTCTGTTGACATAACTAATAAAATCTTGTATTCTCCATAGATATGTGACCTGTTGTGCATTTTCACCAGATGGCCAGTACTTAGCAAGTGGTTCTAATGACAGAACTGTAAAAGTTTGGAAGTTAAATCTTTCTGAAACATCGGGTACACATGTCTTCTTTGTTCAGAACACTGCTTTTTACATTTCTGCTTTTCTTTGTCTTGAAATCGAGTAATTTTTGTATTTGAAATTTTGTAGCTGGACTGATTGAAAGTGGAAACATGGTGAAGAATCTTACTAAAAATGACACTTACTGCACTACAACATCAGAACCAAAGGTCGAGTGCACTATTATTTACAAATTATGATCATTCAATCACTGTTGAATAACTAACCATTATTGTACCTACATACTGCTTTGGCTAATCACTGCATGTACAATGTTTGATGACAATATGCTGTAACTTCTTCTATAAACTTAAATTTTGAGCTATTTATAATTCAGTCGTAGTAGTAGCAAAAAGTCTGTATTTGTCAATCGTAATTAGGCTATAACTTTGCTACTATGTTTGTGTTTAAAATTTTGCATTTAATGAATATGTAGGACAAGTTTTCAAAAAATAAACATGTTTCAACATCTCATGGTGCCATCTTCAGTATAATAAAGAGTATTATGTATATGATAAATATATATAGTAGTAATTAATTAATCAATGATTGTCTATACAAATATGAGTAAATTATGTAGAATGAAATATTTGCTTGAATTAATGATGGGTGTATTTACAAACTTAACATAATGTTAAAACGAAAAACTTGAGCGTTGAGATTAGGTTTAGTTTTTGTTAATTTGAAGTGCTTCTTTAATTTTTAGTGAGAACGTAGTGATTTTAAAACAGTATTGAAGATGGCATCATGATATGTTGAAATATTTTTTCTTTAAAAAAACTTGTCCTACATATTCATTAAATGCATATTATCAATAGTGCTTTTACGCAGTTATAGTTTACATATTGATTCTCTTTATTATCGATTTTAATGTATTGATGTATTTCACTATTCATTTATCGAAAACTTAAAGCGAGATTCTCGTTGGTAGGCTGCTGTGAAGAAATTAGTGGCGTGGACAGTAGATGATGTTTGTATTTGGTTAACGAATCTAAATCTCGAACTGTATTGTGAAAGATTTCGCGAGAACGCAATCGATGGGACGGAACTTTTTAACATCACAGCAGAGCTTTTAGTGAATGATTTATGTATTGGTAAGTTATTGCAGGGAACATGGTGGATTAATTTTTTGAGAAAAAGTTGACTTTCCTATGATGAAAACAGAACACAAAATGTGCTGCGTAGCTGTAGAAAAATATGAGAGGGAGTGAAAACCGTCTTTTTTGCATATTTTTTTTGCTGGGATGAATTAGATCAAGTTTCATATCATTAACATTCTGTGATCCCCATGATTACCGACATGGCACATTTTCTTGTTTTGTTTTTTGTTTACATAGTAAAGAATGAATCTATTCCTATCGCCGTTGTTGAGAGCATTTTCTCACCATTGTAGACTACATTTTCTCACGCGTGACCTTATATATAAATCAAACTGTCAATGTTTTTTAAAATATTTTAGTCGGTATTGAAAATTTTATTTATAGACGCAACCAATTAAATTAACATCATGTTATTTTTCTATTTCCAACTTTGGACGACGTTTTCTGTCTGTCCTCTCAAACTGAAATCCTTGTCATCATTAACGATTTATCTACATTAAGGTCCTGTGGGTCATCGCAATAAGATTCTGCGCAGTGTGAAAGACTTAAAGAAGAACGAACTTGATGATAACATTCCAGATGAATTTCTTTGTCCGATAACTCGCGAAGTTATGATTGATCCTGTTATTGCTGCAGGTGAAACAAAATTTTATTTAACCCTCGTCAATTTTTAAATGGCATTTGATATCGAATTAAGCATGGCTTATAGAAATGTACATCATCTTTATCTATATGTTCTTTTACACTACTCTTGAACGCTGTTTACGGACATCATTTCTACGTATAAGCTTGTTTTTTGACTTCTTTTGAGGCGTTATGTACTGCAACATCATGTGAATTTCGTTGATTGCAATGTGTTATCGTTTTGTAATGAGCAAAACTTATCTAATTAGCGCGATAATTGATTGTAGGTTTTACACAAGGACGGTAAATAAAAGAAGCAAATCACTTGAAAACACAATTGCGATGGTGAATGGCCAAGACTTATAGAGTTCCATAAGAGTTCGAAAAACCAATAGAATCCACAAGAGTTCTGAAACCCGAGAAATCCAAGAGTTTTGAAAAGAAATTTTTTAGAACTCTCGATATTCTCTTGTTTTTTCTAGTGTTTCTTGATCTTCTCTTTTCTTGTCTTGGATTTCAGAACTCCTTGGCTTCTGTTGGTATGCAAAACACAGATTGAACACTTGGAAACTCTATAATTTTGTCCATTCACCGCGTAATTGTGTTTTTCAAGGCAATATTTTGACTTATCATCAAGACAAATTCTCTCTTTTATTACTATTAAGACTTGCAGTGCTGAGAAAATAATGAATATTGGTTGGTTTTGTGAGCCCCTGAGGTTTCGCTTAACATGCATATCTCGTGGCAATTTAGATTTTGAATTTTAATTTTACTGATATACCTTTTGCACATGAACCAACGACCGTGCAATGTCAACGTTCGCTGTTAGTCGTATTGAATGGTTGCTAATTTTAAGAAACGATCAAAAGTTACTATCCAGTGGATAGCAATACCTGGGTTTATTGAAATGACCATCAGCACAAGAACTTATGCAACATCCATGTGAAGCGTTAACGTTCATTAAATCTTTGTTGCACTTAATGTTAAGTTATATGAAGTCACTATCCAAGTATAGCGATGTACGTATGGGTTTGATTCAATTGACTGCATTACTGGAATAAAACTTATTTCATCGCGTAGGTCAACCGTTTTCTACGTTTGAAAATCGTTTGAAAGTGGCAAGTAAAATTTTACTGACCTTCTTTTCGATCGCAAGCATGCATTATTGAAGTATTGTCTGATGTATTGTCTTAATGACTTTTTTTATTATGACAATTATATTTAGATGGTCATTCCTATGAACGAAAAGCAATTGAGTCGTGGATGTTGTCTGGTAAATTGACAAGTCCCATGACCAATAAGCCGATAAAACATTCAAATCTCATTTCCAATACTACGTTAAAAAGTGTTATATCAAGGTACTTTAGTGCAGAGAATGTTATATGATAGGAACAATTGTTCAATGAATTAATGGATATAATTTAATATTGAATATAACCATTTATATGATTGAAAACTGCTTAACGTTTCATGAATAATATGAATATGAAAAGCTGTTATTAACTGTAATAAATTATAGATAGGGAATTCCATTTATAGATACCTTGGAGTTAATCTGCCATGAGTTATGATCATAATGTCGATCATAATTTACTGCAATATAGCATGACACTGCTTTATACTAGATGCTTATAGAATAACTTATAAATCTACATCATATATGTTCAGAATTGAGTGAATGTAACCATTATACAAGATTGTTTTCAGCAAAATATACATATGAAAAATCATGTAATATGTTAGATATATTTCTTAGTCGTAATTGAAACACGAATAAAATGTTCTTGACTCGATCGATGTAACGTCAATTTTCAATTCTATTTTTTTATTTCAAAAAATATTACAATTTAGAGCAAGCATATCATCTCTGTTAGTTTTCCAGATTGAATATTGCTTTATGTGATACAAATGTAAATCATGCATGCACAAGCGCAAATTTTTGATTTACTGTCGTTTATTGTACTTTGTATTTCCTCAATGTAAAATTACCATAGACATTTTTTACATGCATATCTATATGTAACCTTGTAAACAGTTATGTCTTAAAAACTTGTCTTTATAGTTTATTACTTAAAACTTCTTACTGTATGTGTCATAGAGGCTAAGTGCTAAACGTCTGTCATGAAGGCTTTTCTGGCAGTATTATTTTCTGAGACTTTCTTTGTGTGTTGCTCAATGTTAACAGAGTTGATTCGTTGAATTGGTTTTGAGCAATTCCTGTTGTTCGTAAGACATTCTGATTGTGGTCGGTTGGATTGAAATCGCCATTTCTGAAGTACACCTCGTGTTATCTGCCATGCGCCTTTCAAGTTGATGTCGGACTCGTTGATCTCGGACTCCTGGGACTTTTCAGTTATTGAAATGTCATCTTTATCAGTGTCTTGACTCAATGGACTGGGAGATGGACTCAGTGTTTCTGACTCACTGAGTTGCTCCAGCTCCGACCAGTATCCAGAACTACGTGGTGAATATACCCCTGAGCTTCGTGGGGAGTTGCAACTGGAGTATTTCATTTGATATAACGAGCTTGGTCGTTTTCGTCTTTCAATAGTAGATTGTCTCATTTGCCATATGTTTTCATAATGAGTAAGATCCGGGCATGATGGCCATGTTTTAGGACATGATGGCCGTTTCACTGAATCTCCTGCTGAGTGTGGTGTGGAATCAGAAGATGATTTTGTGTTATCTTCATTCAATTCATCAATAGAACTGCATAGAGATCTTTGATCTGGAGTACTACAGTTAACTGTTGATATATATGCCTCGCTAGAAACATCTACAAAGAACATAGTTTATTGAGACTTATATAATTATATAATTGCATCTAAAAGCAATATTATCGTTTGGATGCTGTTCGAATCCACGGTCGTAATATTTAGAGAAAGGATATTCTTCGAAGTGTTAAAAAGATTGAAAAATTCTCTTAAATTTATTTGATTATTTTTAATTAAAAGATTAATGGCATTTGTAAGTACATATTTCGTTAAACAACTGCTTGAGCTTCTTGATATCTGCGTAATCATTACGTGTTTGTAGATGGAGATCGTCCAGTTTAGTAGAGTGGACGATCTACATCTACAAACATGTAACGATACTCCCGGGTTCAAACCATTTACTTTATTGTTGAACGTTTTCAATTGGTCGCACCTGATGAGAAACTTCCTGCTCTTGCTCTATCGTTCAAAATTTCCAACGATCGATATTTTCGCATTTTTTCTTCCATGTTATATCCTGACAATATAAATCGTAGTCACACTTGGCATAGATCTTTTACCGTTCAATCTTATCATTTCTTGATGGGTTTTTTTTTATCAATTCAACTTAAAGATAGTCGCAACCGTGAAGTTGTATCATCTCGCAGGTGCAGTGCAATATGCTAAGGCTCAATCTTCAACATGTATAAAAAATCAAAGCACTCATATAACAATGTGAATCGTCTTTATCGTCTTGATTATAGACCTAATTTCTCTTGAAAATATTTCCCAATTCTTTTATAAGGTCACTTAATTATTTTATAAGGTAACTTAATTTTGTCTTCAAAAGAAAGTTAGCAAGTTGGAAGCAGATTGCATACATGTAAGTAAGTTGCTTATGTGTTACTTCTCTTTTTGAAAACATGAACATTATTCAATTTATTTACTTACCTTTAGAATTTGGATCATAACTGTACAGAGTTCGCAGATAACTATCTGTAATAAAAAAGACTTCGTTACTGGACTGTCTTAAGACGATCAAAGGTCAAAATTGAAGCTCTATTTGAGTGATTGTACTAACGACTTGAAATCGTTGCAAAGAGTAATACGGTAAACTCAGGTTTATCAGAAAAATGAGAATATAACATTTAACCTTTTCTAAACATGCCAGTAAATGTGTTAACAGATGTATCCGACAGTAATCTGTGGTATTGCGGTATTTCCTCATGTATCTTTTCACGACTTAATGTTCTTGCTCTTTGTCGTCCATGAGGAAGTTCTGTTACAGATTAAAGAGAATTTTTAGAAATAAAACAATTGCAATAAAAATGTAGGCACAGGGTTTAATAAATAATAATTACTTGGCAAGTTGCGGTTATTACAAATCACTGAGAAGGTAAAATATCTATATAGTCTAAAGTAAGTTGCAATCATCAAGTCTAATTAAGGCGATTGGACGAATATTGAAATGCAAACATCATTCTTGAAAGTGAAAATTTATTGTTTTGTTCTATTTTTTATTACTAAAACTAGTACTGGTAATTATAAACGAATTAATATTTAAGTAATAGCTACCTAAAAAATAAGCAGAAATATTTGATATGGCCAATGCATAGGGAACAAACAGTGACTATATGTATGGTCAGTGAGAAACAACACCTTTAGAAATTTATTTATTTTGATAATTTCAATTCTTGATCACTGTTAAGTCCCACTATCTGCTACGTGCATAAATTACGTTTCTATTGCAAAAAGCTCTGCTCCTGAGAATACGATAGAACTCCTAACAGCAAAACATTAGAGAATGCACCAGTAGGATTAGAAGAGTGATCAGGCTTGGAAATTTCTCAATAGGTTATCTTTGAAGGTCTTCTTTTTCATGCAAGACTACTATCGAGTGATTTCAATGCATATTATTCGCTAGAATATAGGCATATGTATTTTAACCAATAATATGAGCGATGAAATTATTACAAATAACGATTTAAAATTTTTGAGGTAATGGCACTTGCGAAATAACGTTTCATCGTAAATCTTCGATCGAGAAAGTCTGTATTTACTGTTTGCTTCATTCATTACAAAACACTATGCTGTTTTAGCTACGTCTCAGTGAAATGTTGCCAACTCGTAGCTATATTTCAAAAAACGAAAAGCATACAAGATGAAAAGTGATGCTCAGATATAGCATAAATAGCGCTATACATAAAACGACGTTAAAATATTTCATTGAAGGCAAATGGAAAGACGAAACAAAATGGCAAACGGTTGGTGCAGTTTTGCATTTTATTGCAATAAAATCCTTTTTTAGAAAAGAGTGATTGCATTAAAAGATAAAATGCAGAAAGTTTAACGGAGAAAGAAATTTTCAATTAAGAAAATGGTCAACGATTTTGGGAACTTTAACTCCATTTTGTTGAAACCGTGATATGCAAGAATTTGAAGTCATGAATCCACTGTCGACATGAATGAGGTGAGGTAAATATGAATTGCTAAGATGTTTAGAATCTTTACCAATACAATGTCCAACTGCCTGACATGCGGTTATTGAGAATTAATTTCCCTAAAACTAAAGCGCAAGAAACAATTAATACTCTTGGAGCTTCGCAACCTCAAGAACGGTTTGCGTGTTAAAAAGAGAATCAGACAAATTTCGGCTTACAGCATTGTAAAAAATAAATACCACGGCACGGTTCACAATGAAGCTCTAAATGTTTCCTGATCAGTAAAACATGTCAAACGCAAAGGAGCGGTAAAGGATGTACTTCAATTTATTTGCCATCATTTACATTTCATACGATAACATGAATTTTCCCTCACTGATTTTAATCCATTCCAAATCCTTTATAATGTCTCTCGTGTTTGCTTATTTGCATGCCTGTAATTCTCGGTCAATTTAATGTACCTTGAATAAAGGAAGCCAATCTTCTTATGGTCCAAATGGAATTAAAATTATTTCTGTAAAATTATGTCTTAACCAAGTTTGTTCGTGTCGATGCTGCAGATCGACAAAAATTTTGTCAGTGCTAACTTCGACAAAAATTCAGATTTAAAGAGATAATGAGTTATGCAATGCAGACTCTTATACTTAAACTTTATGTTAAGAGAAAATTCTTCTATACGTCAATCAAAAGTTTAAAAAATATAAACAAGGATATTTAAAAGTTCTTAAATCTAACATGGATTTATGACTGTTCATCAATACAGCCGTTCACGTTTTATGAAATCATTCATGCCATAAAATATACAACACGCATACAACGTCACCCATCTTGAAGAAAAATCTTAAAATTATATAATAATGAACCTTGTAAGAAAGGAAACACACGGCAATTTCGAAATATTTTAAATTTAAATGTCGCTAATTAAAAATCTTCACAGATTTGTTTTCCTCAACCTAAATGTGTGAGCCCTGGTATGTTTCACATACAGCTTTACAAGTGCATAATTTGTATGGGATACCATAAAACATATATATTCATATTATTTTTTGTGTCTTCAGACACACATTTTTTTAAAATGCGAAGTTATTTAATTTTTAAATTTTATGACTATTGATAAAAGCGTCGTAGAAATCCCGAATTTTATAGTTGTAAGTACGTGCATAATTTAAGACATTATGCAACTGAATGAAAATTTCTAAACAACCTTGCAGAGCTAGCAGATATGTTTATTGATGTGATCATCTGGAGGATTCGCGCTCAAAAGTTTCATAACCTCTAGTACAATAATGATCAGAATTAGCAAACATCATCACATATGTGCAGTATTGTTGTTTAAAACTAAAACTCATTAGAAATTTGTTTAATTGTTTATTTTGGTCTCGTATAGAAACTGCCCGACGACCTTCGTGGTAGGAACAGCCATAGAAATCTTTTCATCGTTGTAAAAACGAAGCATTTCTGATTGAATTGCGTACACATTCAAAATCGTTTGCTCACTTCTGAAGGAATTTGTCAAAAAATAGGAGACGTTTAGCAAAATTGTTTAACAATATGAGCATGAAATTTGATTATATATAGGACCAACAACATAGATTCCAGACAAATTAAATGGGCATGAACATGTTACATTGACGACTTACTAGCACAAACTGGACATGGATTGTCTTTCATAAGACAAGAATAACATCTAGGATGACCGCATGTATCGATCAATCTTCTTTTCTTTGTGTCGTTGTACCTTTCGCTGCATTCAGGACAAACGAGACACTTTGGCGATTCCATATTACTAAAATAACAACCTTCCTTCGAGTACTTTTCATCACAATGTGTTATTCGGTAAAAGCGGTTATATTCTTAGCATCTATGTAGGCATAACTATTTCCTGCATAGATACCGGTTTTCTTTCGGTTTACATAGTTCTTCGTGAATCAAAGTTTGCTTTGGGCAGTTGGCGTGACGTCAAGAATTTATTTTGAATAAACACCTAGTATAGCAATTATTCCTAAGATCACAGTGTGTACACAGTACATTTGGGAAAATTGAGCATCGTGTTTGAAGAAACCGTGAATGCATTCCTCATTTTTGTACATGGAAAAGGAAATGATGAAATTTCGACGTATTTGAATGAGACTAGTAATATAAAAATGCATTTTGATAAAACTTGATTACGATGGCGCTAAATTGATTAAAAAGAAATAATGAATACATGGACGAAATGTCGAAGTCTATAAGTTCAATGACATTTTGGGATTATACTATTGTCTCAATATGCCAAAAAATTTCGATACAATAACCGAAAGAATATGCTCATAATTAATTCAACATTTCTACTTTTTTGAGTTCTTGCATATTTTTTAAACGTTGATTCGCATGGTATACGCCAGATTTTTATATTTCATGCAATATGTTTAAGTTATTAAGCATGACTGGTTTACCTGCATCGAAATACAAGCATTAATTGAGTTAAACGTCAACGGACTTGCCTGGGCGTTCACATTTGGATGTTATAAATAAAAATTCTGCATTCCTTGAGATAAACAGGCCAAACTAGTGTGTTTCCCACGATATTTGGCATTCATTTATCATGTTAAAAACACTGACAACATTAGTCTTTCCTTCCCATGAGGTCACATGAGTTTTTTGTCCAAACCTGCACCTTGACCTACACGATCCCTTGCACTAAAATCTACACGTGATTATCTCGGTAGCAGAACATTTCATTTGAAATTTAATTCAAGTTCAATAAAATATTGCGCAGAATCAAGCAACGACCTAATGTCATAACGTCACAAGCACTGAAAGAATCAGTACAGGAGAAACATAAAACAGTTTGAGCAACATATATATATATACAGCATAAAAATCATAAGGTTTGAATGCAGGCAAGATTTTACAAGTTTTTTTATTTTAACTATGCTCATAGGTAGAGGTATATGTATGCACAACGTGACCCCTATAGCTGTGTATAGCAAAAATATTTAAGATGCTATAGCAACAATAAAAAGTATTTTTAATGCCATAAAATGATTAATGAATATTTAGTTGTAGCGTCAAAACTGTATTTGATATGGTTACGTATTCAAATTTTACGTAGTGAATCCTTTTACATAAAACTTTTTTGTTAATTGAAAATGGATAAATTTAAAGGTGGCAAAAATTCTGAAGCAACTGAGCGATTGCAATTGGTTTTACCAATTGTGAACCGTGTCTTTCTGTTTGACTATCTTGATCAGCAAATCTGAGCAAATCCGTGCTTAATTACCACTTTTCACGCCCCTTACTAAAAACAGAGGCTTTATAGAAGTAATCGAATGCCGATTTTTAGCACCATAGAACATTGCTTTGTGATATGTGTCGGCACATTTTCGTTTTCTTATGATTTACATGTCATTTAAAACAAGAGCAGGAAACGTTAATTATAAGTACGTATATTTTTAGCACGCTTTACCACGTAAACGTGGACTGAAACTAAACTTAACAAGACGCCATTTCGAAAAACGCAATAAAAATTACAAGGTTTTTATTGTATAATGTGGAGCAATCCTTTCCACAGCCAAATGAAGTTTCATTTCCCGGTGTCATTTCAATAAATTTGTATTTGTTTGGATTTTAGGAGTATAAAACTCACCTATTATCATTTTATAAACTGAATTTTTCTGTAACAAATACATACACGAGGAAACACATTAACTACATAAGCACTTTTATATGTTACTCCTATTGCAAAATTCAGTTTTAAAATATCCATGTTTGTTTATTTTTTACACTTTTTAAGCGGCATCCATTGCTGAAAATGATATTTGTGGTCAAATTGCTTCTATTGTCAAAAGGTGAATGTGGGGCTCCTGGTTCCACCTGCTCCATGGGTTCCTGGTTATAGATGATAATATTTATACCAAATCAATTATTGCTATGTATTTCTCTAGCTTATATAACAGCATGTCCACTATATTATCCCGATTACTGCACTTTTAAGTTCGTGTTTATAACAAATCGACCAATAATGTTACTATATGTCCTATATAGCTACAGCAAACCCATATTAGATCCATAGAGTATCTATTACTTAGGTAATGATTAATAACAAGTACGGCATTATGACAAAATAAAGCGAAATATTTTGGAGAGCCAATATCCAGAGTTAAAGCCTTCTTTATTTGAAACATGCAAGTGTCAGCAGTATTATCATAAATTGAGTGGTGGACTATGTTAACAAAATAATCACTATTTCCATTGATATTCCTAATTTCCCATTCATCAATTTAGTTATCTCAGCTTCATTTCAATCATACCTTGATTTTTGTCATAGCTTAGTTCATCGTCTTCATTGTACGTTGGCCGTTTAATACAAGAATCCAAAGATCTTTGACGGTTTCTGCAGTTTTGATCTTTGATTTATGAAATGAGATTAGTGAGGGAACCATCGGATTTGATATCAAATTGTAAAACAATCTAATTCGATAATCCTCTGGAATTCATTCTGAAGAATAGCAATTTAATTTTTACACTTGTATTATAGTTTTACCTGAAGAAATCGGGTAACTATACAATCTTCTTATATAATGTTCTACAATGGAAATGAGTTTAACTGTAAGTCTACGACAAAGAACGAGCGTCGCACAACTGATTGCATTTTCGGTAAAGTAGAGGTAAAACATGAAGGAACATGATAGCGTTTACTTTTCCTTTTGTTTCCAAAGCGAAACTGAAGATGACATTATCAACTTACTTAAGTTATCTGACTTTATATATTTATATACTTTTATTTTATCCATTCAACTGACAATTGACGTTAATTGCGAGTTGTATATATAGTTTATATTTCGATAGTTTGCCCTTCACAATAATATCTAATCGACAAATGTGTCATATAACCAATATACAAGTTATACAAGTTACCTTTTGAAAAAGATTCATTAAATGAACCTCGATTAATATTTACGCTGTCTACATTTTCATCATTGATACTGTTCAGAGAGCTACGAGAACTTCTACGCCTGCTCAATATTGCTAGAAATGATATAAGCTTGCTGATAATAAGTATGCAATAATAACAAGCTAACTTGTTTTGACTGTCGTCAGTGAAGCATCAATTTTACTCACTTTTACAAATTGTACAATCATTATCTTTCACTAAACACGAGAAACATCGTGGATGTCCACATGAATCGATCACCCGTCTGTTCTTTTTTGTGCTGTATTTTTCTTCACACTCCGGGCATTTGAGAAATTTTGGTACTTCTATCTTGAGTGACATCTTTATGACTTTAACAAATATACACCTAAATATAAACCAGTCCTCATTATCTCACGTGGTGGCTTGCTGCACCTAAACCTGTAGCATTTCGTTAGCCAAAAATGGCGAGTTGTGTTCAGTTATTCAGAATCACTCACGATATGTTATTCTCGATGACTGGCTCGATGCCTTTGTTCTTTCATAAAAAGTTTTAAACGTTTAAACTGAAGACAACCACTTGAAAGTTGTTCAAGTTAACGCACGCAAGATTTAGCAGTGTCCTATTACACAGTGGAATATCCAACTTTATCACCAAGTTAAGTTATCTGTGATTCAATATCCAGCCGAACTGGAATGCTCGATTGTTTTTTGACTTACAGACGCCAATATTTCTTTGGAATATTTCTATATATATCACGGTTTGTACTCTGTATATACCGATTTGAAATAAACAATGTTTTTATTCTTCTGTGATTTTATGAATTTTCTTGGTTTCTTCTTGTCTTTTCAGTCGACCACTGTTCTCTAACAAAATCAAAATGTACTCATTTTACGTTTTAATGAGGTTATATGCCTTATTTGTGCTCATTGTTTGTAAATTAGACAGGAAGCTTGTATAATGAAAGTACTCTAAATTCAACGAACAAAGATGTCTCCTTGTTTTGATCATTCTAGAAAATAGTAAACACAAAGTGATGCATAGAGACTTGTATCAACTGAAGTTTGTAGAACTTTCGATTTCACTTTTATTAATTTACTTCTATAGTAAATTGTACGGGATGTGAGTAACTTCCATTACTTCCTGATGAAATTATCAGAAGACGTTTTTAATAAAGAATATTTCTGTTTAACAAATATTTTAGGCGAATGAACTTTAAACAGTTAGTAAATTCAAATATGACTCGATCACAAAACACTTAAAAACCAATATAAAAACTCGTCTCATAACCTCCAGTAAAGGGTTAACAATATGATATTTTAAATAAATACCTCTGTTTAATAACTATTTTAGGTAAGTGAATTTTAAACAGGGAATATGACTGAATCACAGTACTTTTAATGCACAGAAACAGCTTCTTTAAAAATATATTCCCTCTTCAGACCAGTCAAAAACGCAAAATTCAAAAAATCTGTTAACTTTGTTGAAAAATCAAGTTTATTAACTGACAAATTCAAACAAACAAAACAATTAAGTATTTTTGATTAAAAATGTACTTATCAATGGAATTTAAAATATTTGACGAACAAAGATGTCTTAAATATTTTTTATATTGGACTTATGACCCGCATTTCTTTGTTATATAAGTAAAGATGGTGTCAGTAGAAAGTGGTGTGTTGAACTTTGAGATCAGGTCGTTTTTAAATATAAGTAGTTTGATAATTACGATAAAGCCAATAAGGTCATTGCAAATAATTTATTCATTTCATAAATTTTTATATTGCATCATATTACCCATTAGACAATTGACTGCTCATTTGCACCATATTGTGCACTGAAGACTGCAGATGGCATATTGCCATTTACTAATGTATTGTGTATGGTTAGTCACGTAAATAAGTTTCATCTTTCGTGCATGTGCATCTACAAACATTTATCTATATTCTCATTATTTATTAGCATCCGGTTAAACAGTGGTAGCTATAAGTTTAGTGTTTTCACTATAAATTTTGAACCAATCAATACACAATATCTCATCATGTAAGACTCGACTCTCTCCTAAAAAAATTACAGACTGTCCTGGAAATAATAATGAAAAAGAAAGTGGAAGTGAAACTTTAAAAATCACTAAACAGTGTTCAGTTGAATGGATGACACATCCTGAGATGGTTTGTATTAACAAAAATTGTCAAAGGGAGCTCTGAAACAATCCGGAGAGCAGTTTTCACTACCTCTAATAGTTATATCATTCGTAAAAATACTAACCTAATGACAACAATACAAGTGCTATCTTTGCAATGCGAAAAAAGTTATAAAAAAAGACATTGAAAAATACCTCAAAGACTGTTATAACCATGTGCACATTTTGTGCAAGTAATGCCTGCAGCACACGAGAGCTATCAGCTGAGCTAAAAGTTACTTGTGTCGGTTAGCTCAGGCGATAACTCGCTGTATGCGGAGGAATTTTACTGAGTTTTACGACTCATGCAACCTTTTCTCGCATACCAAAGATGTTTGATATTTTTGGCCACGCGAGGCAAAAACTTCACCGTTTGTGCAGAATGTGAGCTAGATGCTCACATATAAACAATAAAAGAACCAATAGTGATACGTTCTTCCATCTCGTGAACAAACAGCAAAATATCGATTACAAACGAAGTGATGAACAAATACCCATTCACCCACTCAACTACATATTTACAAAAATTTCATGATGTTATGAGAACAAAGTTGAGAATAAAGTATGTTTTAACATGCAAATAATATTATTCCGAAGTTTTTTGCCACTTGTCTGCTTTAATTCCTCTGCGATTTTTAACTTATATGCAATTTAGTCTTTTTTATTTTAAAGTCTGGCGAACTTACATTATACACACGACTTGATTTAGTTAGCACAAATAAGATTCTTTATTGAATTTTTTTGTTATGTCGATGTGAGTTTCATTCAACAGGAAAATGGTTTGGAATTTGGATGTTATAAATTTTGTCGAAAATTCTGCATAAAGGATATTGACAAGCGGGTAAGTGTTTTCTTATGGTGCGTATTTGATGAACTACGGTGATGTCTTCAAAGGACACAATTGGTTAACACTTTAGCATTGAAATTTTTTTTCAAACCAGTTAGTTAAATCAATTGGGGAAAAGATATTTCAAATTTTGTGTTTTTCTCTGTATTTATTTGAACGAGTGGAATTGAAAAGTAGACTAAAAGCAGTACTGAAGGAATGCTTATATTTGGTGGAAAATATTATTGCTCACTTTTTACAAAGGACATGAACAAATACAAAAATGCGCTGAAATAGTTTGATAACACAATGCAATAAATTTTACCATAAGAAATAAATATGTGCTAAATAAAAACATTGAAAATGTTTTCAATGTAGCTATATAGAAAATGAGATAAAGTTCCTCATTATTTTTGTTTTAAATGCATTCGGCTCTTATAAAATGCGACGTTTGAAACAGGCCTTAGTGAACCCAAAATGAATGGAAAACAAACTTTGTTTTGCATGCACAAAGAACTAAAGTATAATTCCCGTAAACAAATAAAATAAAATCTCTTGTGCAAAATGATCTTCAAATTTAAATGTTAAAATTGGGTATGTTGGTTGTGTTGATGCCTTTGATAGTGGTGAGGGTTGTTGAAAGAACTGGTTGGTATAAAGCCGTATGAACATTGACCGGTATTGGTGAGTGAAAAGCTTCTTGATGGTCGTGGAAGTAATTCAGCATCTTTCACTAGACCATCGATGTAACAGAAGAATATCTTTTGTTAGGCCCTCGATGTAATAGAAGAATATCAAGAAATAATTGAAGATTATCTTTGTTAGTTTCCTTTTGGCTTTTTTTCTTCTTTTTTTTAATGTGCATGTGGCTTTTGCGATTCATCTATAAAAGATAAAATCACAAATTGCAAATTAAGTTTTTGTGTCACGTGATTGTTTGTTTTACGCATCCCTATTCTGTCAAACACGCAGGCATATGCTAACAAACCTACACCTGGTCACAAAATTTCCCAAAATTAACACCTTCAGTTTCATAGTTTTGCTAAAGTTGAACACTATCTCACTATTTTTTCAATAACTATTTGATAGTACCTTAATCAACATATTGCCATTGATTTTGTGCCAATTAAGATTACATGATTTTTAATCTTTGAACGCAGAGTCATTGCAAATAGCGAATATTTCTTTGTATTCAGGAGCCAGGCCAGACTCGCACCATGCATATAAATTTTTGTTATTTTTGAAATTCTGTTAAATCCGCACTGATATTATCGGTAATCACAAAAATACAAGCCAAACATTTTCTTCACTCGAGCACTTTTGTAGCCGAGCATTTTAAAAGTGAAAAAAACAAAAAACTCAAAATGGAAAATTAGTTAAAAGAAAGTTTAAAAAACCTTATAAAATATTTTTAAGAATCAAATTGAGACTATCATCTTTGAAACTTTATATGAACTCAGGAAGCAGATGTTAATCATAAATGTAGAC